TGCAGAAGAGTCTTCTCCAGCACGCCCAGCATCGCGGACGTTATCTACGCTCTGCCTGCAGAAGAGTCTTCTCCAGCACGCCCAGCATCGCGGACGTTATCTACGCTCTGCCTGCAGAGGACTCCTCGCCTCGACATTATAGCGCTGAAGCTGACCGTAAGCAAGCTGGGAAAGAAGAAGGAGATTTGGTTTCGGCGCTCGCTTCTCGGCTTCTGAGCCACGACATGGTCAGTGCGCCTCCATCACCAACTCTTGGCACATATTGACCTCATGCAGGAGATCAATGTGACCACACCCATGATGTTTTATCACAGTCGAGTCGATATCAGAAGGCCCAGGACCGCTCGAAAACCGCTTTCGAAGGATGCTATCCGCGACCATCGGGAGTGCACTGACCTGGTTGCTTGCAATTCGGTTGGACACGCGCGGCGACACACATCCTCGTAGACACGTTTGACACCATTTCGAAGAAGAAAGCATCGACACTGAGCCCCAGCAGCCAGCAGAATGCGATCATAGCCTCATCACCGCAGCACGGCTTCACTATCTACAACTTTGTCACTTTACCGTTTACGGCTTTATGAATTCACGATCTACATCCTTGTCACTTCACCATCTACGGCTTCGCCACTTTACCATCTACGGCTTCACCACTTCACCATCCACGCGTTCACCATTTACGGCTTTATTACTTTACTATTTACGACTTTATCACTTCAACATCTACGGCTTTATGACTTCAACATCTACGGCTTTATCACTTCACCACTCACAGCTTCGCTTCATTGCTGCGTCCAGCCAGACTCTCAGCAATCTTCCCATATGCTGTCATTCAGCGCATCTCTGCCGATTTGGTTCCAGCATCCCTACTCGTGCAGCACTCCCAAGCACAGTTGTAGATTTCGTCATCAGCACCAAAGTTTTCTGCAAATACTGGAAGCCTGCGTCTCTTTGTCAGTCCATACAAATCTCTCAGATCTTGTTCAAGGGCTCTTACTCACCTGTTGAGATGTAGAGAAGATGCTTATTCGGGATCTATGCATGAATGTCTGGTCAACATGAGCCAAGGACAATAGATTGCATATTACATAGAAGGAAGCAGATCTGGGCTATACAAAGGAGATGAGAATAATGGTTTCAACTCATGTAAGGTAGTATAGATGGTTGGCAAGCAATGGACCTGAGCTGGGAACAAGCAAGTATCGAGCTTCCTTCCATTTCATTCCTTTGATCGAACTAAGGTGAGACCGTCCAGTACAAAGTGACGGTGTTTGCGCGGGCATGGATCAGTTTCACTCCGCGCTTCTTGACTGATAGCAAACACCACCGATAGCCATGCTTGCACATGGTTGCCTAGCCCGAGTTCACTGCGAGAATTTCCGGCACGTTCATTGCCATGTTGTGCCGGAAATGTCTGGACTATTGACAGAATTCTATGTGCAAGACAACAATACCAGTCTGTTTCACACAACCTTGCTTCCACTCACACGCGCGCCAACTCTCGAAGTTCTCGCTGCACCTTAAAAACCGCCTACTGAACTCTCTTACTTCATCCATCCAACCCTTTCTCCATACTTGCCTCCTTCGTCAAGACTTCCTTCAATCCAACCTATCCGCCGACACGACCTTACCCACAACGCACAGATACAAACTCCAACCACACCCAGCACAAACGACATCAAGAGCGACAATGTTCGAGGTCGCGACTCAGCATCAAGTCCGCGCCCGCGCGTCGCACCATCCCTCCAAATACCGCTCAAAGCGTCGCCCTGGTCGCGTCTACCGATATGGACAGAAACAAGTCCGTCAAGATGTCTCGAATCTCGATCTTGGAGACTGTAACGACTGGAGCGAGCCTAAAGGTGCACAGAAGCAGTTCCTTGGACGTCGCCCTTCACCCGCCTTGGGCATCGTCTTGAGAACTTACGTTCTGCGGGCCAAGAAGCCCTCCAGAAACATTTCCAGTCAGTATGATGGCCGTCATACCGCTTTCATGTCATACGACGGCGCCGACGACGATTTGCTTGACCCTCTGGCCCCTGCTGCGATTGGTGGTCGTGCGCGCATGTTGTTCGGATTTCCTCCTGGCGATTACCGCGCAGACCTACTTCCAAAAGGCAGAACCTGTTGCATCGATGAACAAGACCTTTCGAATGAGACAGTCTCAATCTCAGGAATCAAGGGTGGTAAGGCGTTTGAGTTCTGGATGAAGGCCTCGAACCTCAAGATGATGCCCGAGACTGAAGAGAACACCGTCGGGTTCGCGTGCACGGTCATCAAGGAAGACTGGTGCACTCCTCGCCTCGACCGCAACCCCAGGAAGGAGAGGCTGTACATCTATCCCGGCGATGAAGGACTCATACAGAAGGTGGACAACCCTATGTGGTTGGCTCAAGTTTTGATACCAGACCGCACGGATTCTTACGGAAACACGGTTTGCGGCTGGTTCGAGCTAGACTCTCTGAAGGTTGGCACAGCAAAGTATGGCGACATGAGCGTCCGTTTCGGTATCGCCGTTACTCGGATCTCCTTTTCCACCTTTGGGCCTGCGACTACATCACAGTTTCCTCTCACCAATTACTTCTTCGACTTCTACACAGGCGTACTTCGTGAATCCACGGCTCTTGGCCTCCCCACCTGGATTCTCGATGAGATGACAAACGCCTCGGATCGGTACAAGATTGCGCACCGACTTGCTGAAGGTATCAATCGGGCTCATCTCACGGAGTTCTTCCAAAACCCCAACTTCACCATTGAGGATCTTCTTGGCAACGCTGATGATTGCGAACTTGGCATGAATGATTCTGGTGGTATTTATGGACGCATATACACCAGGTTCATTAGTGCTTCCAAATACCACAAGAGCAAACACAACGGTCAGGACGTCTGGATTCTCTACGTGGGAAAGGCCAGCAAGTGGGGTGTGAGACTATCAAGCTACAATTCCACGCCATTCCGCAAAGAAGACCAGGGCTACTATTCTACACATCACATTACTATCCGCGAAGCTCGCCAGCGAGATATGGTCATGATGATGAGTTTCGACCCGGCTGACCCTAACTACGCTAATCTTCTCACCTACGGAGAGCAGGCCATGATGTGCTTGCTCCAGAGCTGGCGTGGTAAGCTGATAGCAGATGAGAATGAGTTTGGTCCAAAGGCTACCAACTTCATGGCGGACACAGCGGCCGCTGCACTTGTCAAGACGGATGCTTTCATCATGCACAAGGTTTCTGTGCAGGTCGCAGAGAAGAACAACTGGCCTGGTGGAGTTCTTCGCGACAGCTTTGGCGCCCTCGATGGCCTCAATTACAATTGTCCACTGCTGGAGACAAAGATGTATCAAAAGGTGCTGTACGTCGTCCTTAACGCTGGAGATAGGTACATCTACACTCGAGGTTCGATTTCTTTCACCAACAAGACGGGCATCGCGTTCGAGATCGGCATCTATGATCATCAAGGAAAACACAAGAGGTGGACCATTGAGCTCTCAAAGCATATCAAAGACGAGTTCAAAGCCAAGGGAGTGACCAAGATTTATGCTTCTTGGGAGCGAATGAAGCGCGGTGTCGCTCACCCCGCCCCGTACTTTCGCATTCCAGACATTGTTCCCTTTACAGGAGCGGAAGAGATTAACACTCTCGGCCTCAAGATCACCTGGCAGGTCAAGGACCAATGGAAGCAGATGTATCTACAGGTCAACCAAAAGTCGACCGTCGACGCGAGCCTCGATGGCCGCGGCGAACAAGGGTGGTATGACATGGGTTTCAACATGCTCTACTTCTTCAAACAGCAGATGGTAGACAACAGGCCCTCGTGGATGCACTTCAACCAGACTGCTCGTCTGGTTGAGCTCAGATTCGATCACCTCAGTCAGACAGTCACGGCTAGCTATCCATCCAAACCGATCACTCGGGTTGCAGCACCCCAGCTGAAGTCCATCAACACGCTCAAGGCGGAGATGGAGGCTCACGGCTTCCAGAATGTCGCTCAACCTGTCGGCACAAAGGTGACGGGCATGCAGAGAAAGGTGTGCGACGGATGTGCGTGCACGAAGCAAAACACACTCCACAAGTATATGTCACCGGAGCTGAAAGACGTAAGATTCTTTCTGAACGTGTGTCAAGTCAATTGCTAACCTATAGCAGCGCGTCAACACTATCGGTGGCAGTGTCTGTGAATGTACTATCGATCCTGACGGCAGAATTTGCGACACCTGCTGGGAGTTGGGCATTCCATGCTCATTTACGCCCAGCCAAACTCTCGCCTTGCGAGATGACTTCTACTACCCTGTGATCTACATGCAGCTCAAAGAGTTGGAAATTTGCAAGACCATTGATATCAGCGACCCCGGCTTCGTCGCCTTCAGTGTTCCAGCAGAGCACTAGTGAGAGGCGCGAGGTGTTCCAAGGTATTCAACAGGAGGAACGGTCAATATGATCGCTGGAATCATGAGTAAGGTCCAGAGGTTGCAATGTTAGCAACAAAAGCATAGATGAGCAATGCAGTTTTTGTATTTTCCATACTTGCGATTGTGTGATGCTTTGTATTTGACAGTCTCCTCTCTTCTGGTTGTTGCAACTTGAAAGAGGGATTCGAGCCCCTGATTGGCGTCTAGTTTATCAGGAGAGAAACGTCTTCCCAACAGTGACAAGTATTCCTACGTCCACAGAGGCAGACCCATGTTTTCTGACTCAATGATATATCGAAAGAGTACTGAAAGCACATTGGGTTCTACCAGTAGCTCAACTTTGATAGCCATCATACGTCTCCACAAGCCTCTCACTCCTACAAGTTATTCTATCCTTCCTACATGCAATAACCCGAGTGAGGTGATGAGAAGGTGGAGGTACAAAGATGGCTACTAGTCATGTCATGGGTGGGTTTGCATAAGATTCCATTTTGTCCTTGTCCAAAGTTCAAGTCCATCGTTGTGCTTTTTTTTGTGCCTTTAAACACTGATTTAACTTCTGATTAAACGAGCTCTCAAGTCCAGATATACCATGATAATAAGAGGAGGTTGAGAGAAAGATAATATCGCAAGGTTATCGACGAAGCAGATCAACTTCGTTTGCACATATATTATCAGGACGGAGAGTTAGCTCGTACGCATTGAAGTCTGTAAGTCCCTGTCTCTCTTCGTTGAGGTCATGAAAGGCGTCTCGTTATGAAAATGTCCAGCTGCCTTAAAAATGGAGATATGTAGATACACAAGAGTCAGTGACCTCTCGGTAGAAGCTGCCTCATCTCTCGAACACTTTGTGCATGCCCATAGCTCCACGATTTGATGACGGCGCACATGAAGCAACCTCAATCAAACAAGACCAAACGGTACATCTTCGAATTCATGAACGCACACATAACTGCAAAACTATCATAATCGTCGTCAAAGAAAAGACCGTTCACCCATCAAAAAAGACCCCGAATGTTCCTGCTCACAGGCGGGACAGTCCTGCAATCTCTCTGGGTGCATGATAAGTTGGGACTTTCATGTCCAAAGCACTTCCAGAGTAACCCAGGTCCTCGGCCACGAGCATGGCAGCCTTTTCTCCGATCAGAAGTGCGGTGCTGTAGGTGTTGCAGCCGACGTTGTCGGGACAGATGCTCAAATCAGCAACCTTGAGACCCTTGACACCGTGGACATTCAGGCGTTCATCCAAAACGCCATGCTTAACGATTGAGTTACCTTCCTTGGGCGCCATCGAGCACGTACCCAAGCTTTGTAGACGTCAGCGAAAACAGTATTTCACGATTGCAACAATGCAAGACTTACCTGTGCCAAGTCGTCTCAACGTGGCGTTTGGTCCACTCAATTATGTGGTTGATATCCTCGTTGGTGTACTTCAAATCCTCACGAATCTCCTGTTTGTTACTGTTGAGGAAATTGGGTTGAGGGGCGGTACCGGCTTCAAGCGGCATCGTCCAGCTGCCGTGCTGAATGCCTGCTGAAAGGTGGTTCGGTCCTGCGTAAGCTTTAGTGGTAGCCAGATCCATATCCATGGCTCGAGCAGGACTATCGTAGGCATAGAACGGGTGGTGGCTCGTGACTTCTCCTGCGAAGGCGTCCATGCGACGAGCGGTCTCGCGTGACTTGATATAGGCCCAAACCATCGGCGCCATGTCCCGTTTGTCATTCATGAAGCCTGCATCAAAATCAGGAGCGTCGTAAGCGCTAGGTGAAGTGATATGTGTGAATCCTCGACTGAACGGATACTCCAAGAAATGGAACATGGTGAAGAAGCGGCCAGGTGCAATCACAGTGTGATCTCCGAACCAGCCTGCAATGACTGAATAGTGGATAAGTGGTTTGTCCTCTTTATCTTTGAAGTAGGACTCCCATCCAGAGCGGAATTCAGGGCTGCAGAAGGGTCAGTAAGAGTTGAAATAGTCAAGATAATGCATACCAAGGCCAACTGTCCATCTGAGCAAGTTCCTCTTCAGTAGGGCGAAGCTTGGTTCCTGCTTCGATGCCGTTCGTTGCCAATGGGCCTGTGCCGTTGACATTCCATTGATCGTAGACCTGTTTCTGGACCACAGGGTCGCCACGAAGGAAATCGTCAAAGGACTCGCTATCAGGCTTGGCCCTGAAGACACTGAAGGTCAAGTAATGGTCCTGGAAGTTCAGTCCCACACCAGGAAGGTCGACAAGAGGCTTGACACCAGCAGCACGGAGTTTCTCGGGGTCACCTGTATAGAGGTAAGTTTTGGGTGAAGCCTCGGAAGTTGAAGCCTGGGGACATACCGATGCCTGAGCGCTGCAGAATGAGTGGGGAGCTGAGGGTGCCGCCCGAGACAACCTAGAATGAAGAACAAATCAGTAAATGTCTAACATGCAAGATAAAAAATAGGGGTATGACTGGGAGCGATATTTGGTGAGACATCAGGGCAGCAGCAGGGCTTTCGGTACGCCTCGGCAAGCCCCAGGAAGTCGCTCCTGCGTGCAACACATGATAACTTACAATTTGCTTCCTCGCTCTGTAAACCTTTGCTTGATCCTGTCCAGGAGTCAACGGCTTAGTCGGCACAACCTTAACGCCCACCGCGCGGCCGCCCTCCATAATAATCTTCTCAACCTTGGTATTGCACACCAAATGCAAATTGGAGTGATGAGCACGAGTACTGTGGATATAAGCATGAGCAGAGTCAGAACGACGTCCAGTATCTCTGTTGATCCACTTCTCCCAGTGACAGGCTCCATGTCCGGTTTTCAGGTCTTGGAGATCGTCGGTTACGGGGATACCTTGGGATTCGACGGCGCGGAGGAAGTCTTGCATGACGGGGTAGGTGTAGTTGCCAAAGCTGACTGTTTCGGTCAGATTAGCGTGGATAAGTGATGAGGAAGATGAGAAGAAGATGTGGGAAAAGATGGGTGAAAGGAAGGAAAGGACGGGGAGGATAGGAAGGAATACCTTTGATAGGTCCCTCGAAACCATGGATGTCACGGTTGTTGCAAGCTCTCTGATATGTCTCATGTTTTCTCATCAAAGGGATTAGTTCCTTGGTAGTCCAGCCCTTGGCTTGGAAGTCATCGTAATCAGATGCCGAAGCACGAGTGTACATCTATGCTGCAATCAGCAATGTCGAATACCACACGGTCAGCATTCACTCACCATGAAATTGATAGAGGATCCACCTCCAAGGATATGAGCACAAGGAACCACAGCACGACGACCACCCAGCCATTCAGAGGGTCTGGAGTAGTAGAATGATGCTGTCTTACTGTCCAGTCTCCTGTGCACGCAGTCAGCGATGTTTCCTTGCCGTATCTGATGAGAAGAACAAACATGTTTCTGGGATAAATGCCTGGACGGTACACCCAAGGATTGTTGAGATTAGACTCTCCAGCCTCAATCAGCATGACCTGGAGGTTATGGTCCAGGTTGGCCAGACGGCCAGCAACAACACATCTGGACATCATCAGCAACACACCTGTGACATCGGATAGGTAAAAACACTAACCCGCATGATCCGCCTCCAGTAACGATAATATCGACTTCGTCGGGAATAGTCATCTTTGCTTTGATTCTCCTGGTAGAAAAGAATAAAAGAACCAAATCTGATAGTTCTCAAACATTGCACGCAGCACACCTCATATATACCTCAGGTCTTACCAGCATCTACGCGCCCTACATCCGCAACACAACCCCGCTTGCTCCTGAATCCACTCGGGTATATGGGACTGGCCAGAGACAAAGAGGGGAAATTGCCACGAATCCCAGATTCCGAACGGGGCGGCTAGAAAGCAACCAAGGCGCATGTGGGATGAGGGATCAGAGGATGTAAGTATCCTTGTTCTGGATCGTCGAGTTGATGCAGCTAGACGCTTGGATGAAGACGGCAGTGGAGGTGAATATGTGGTCAGCATCCTTGTAGCTTTCGATATGTACTGACTCGAGCAGTGCGAGGTCCAAAGCTATTCGACCTCCCTGATGGACTGCTCAGTCTCGTGCGTAGTTGGGGATCGGTCTTCGTGTGCTAGCTTTACCACTACCACAAGTGCGTGCACCGTTCAATCCTTGAGGATACTAGTAGCCAGCTCAGATCGGTCCAAGCATGTCTCTGGACAAGGATGCAGCTGCAGTAGCTCCTCGAGAACCATGCGACAGGAGACGTAGAAGGGTTCCCCGCACGATATGCTCGATCAGATCAGTATGTGGTTAGGATTGGTTGGACAAGACCTACAGAGCTCTACTGTAAGTATGTACCAGCAGTTCGTAAGCTGCTTGCGCATGTTCATCCGAGTGTCCTTGTCCTTGCAGCTCCAGCAGATAGATTATCTGTTGCATTCTCGACCAGGAGACTTCCGACCGATCACAGCAGACCCAAATGAGGTCTGACTAGTGTCGCGGGGCAACAGTGGGGTGCCTACGGAAGGAGTCGTCTTGGAAGGAGCAAGTAAGGTACGTACTCGTTCCTGCCAATACTGAGGTTGCGGGGTGAATGTGGGGTTTGCTGCAGGGTTTCTGGCAAAAAAACAGCAACATCGAGCCAATGGCAGTTCGGACCAACTCCCGATGCGAACCTCACCTGATGTTTGGATATCACAGACTCGGAATGGGATTTTGCCGTCTTTGCCAGCATGTGCAACGCCTGGCGCCAAGGTGTGCGTGGTGAGACCGGAAATGGTTGTTTCCGTTCTCTGTTTGCGGCAGTGATCAGTGACGAGAGCCGAACAACTCGGTGCAGTAGTTCTCGATCACATTCAGAGGGACTGAGTATCTTTCTGGAGAAGGGAAGGGAATGAATCTGTTGTGTTTCCAATTTCGGTCCAGACAAAAGTGATAAGAAAAGTGACAGAAGAGAAGATAAATAAACAGCCAGCCTCTGGGGGTATCTAGTAGTGTTTCGCTGGAGGCATGAGGTGACTTTGAAAGCAATGTAGTTTAGACAAAGGAAACAAGACAACGGCACCCGGCACCCTTACCGCATTATCGCCAAAAAGCCTTTTGAACTCAAAAATCGGGTTTCTTGTTACGCAGATCACTCAGACTCTGCCCACTCCCTAGTGATCTCCTCTCGCACTCCACGGCACCACTTCAAGACGGTTTCGTCAAATTGCTGCCAGGCGTTTGCATCCTTGCCGTGTACGACGTGGAGCACGTTGAAAGATAGCGATGTCTCCCATCGAAGCTCTGCAGCTTTTGACCAGAAACGCAGATTTTCGGCACATCGATATGGCTTTGCGACGTCTGTGAAGAATGTCTTGATCTCGCCAAAAGGACGCTCAGAACGACGGACCATCTCATTGTGAAGTTGTACCAAGCGTAGTCCGCTCTGTAGAGCTTGTAGGAACGGAGAGGGTGCATCGGGGCTAGATTCGGTCCACTGTGGAAGAGGATCTGCGCTGGTGTCGAAAGAGGACATGAAAAGCCATTCTCTTTCACGTTCCCGACCGGCCCAGTCCCCATGACGCCATGCAGATTTTGTTCGAGAGTCCTGCTCTTCTTGTTCGCGAGATTGCTCTTTCGACATCAAATCGCTGATGCTGTCGATCCAAGACTTTATCCCAGCTCTTTCTTCCTCTTTGATGCCTCCTCTGAACTCTCTAGCAGCTGCGCGTTTCAGCACATCAAGAACTTCGTACAAGTCTCCGCGAATTTTGCGTTCCGACTGAATCGTATAGAGCTGTTGGGGGCGAGGGTGTGATGTGTAGTAGGTCTTCGCGGCACGAATAGCCAGGGTTATGATATCGAGAAGGTGGAGACCCATGATCTCATGCCAGCCTTGGGCGATTGGTGGTTCATCGGAGATTGTGGGTAAGCGTACCGACTCGACGATTGCTTCTCGAGTAGCATCATCGTATGATACATTCTCTGCCGACTCTTGTAGTACTTTCCGAGCATCATCCAAGGCTTCACGAAGCTGTCGACGAAGCACAGGGAGCTCTGGTGGAGGTTGTACATTTGGCTCTTTGTAGGCGTATGTCGACACAGTCGGTGGCAGCATGACAGGCTCTGACCATTCTTCATTGGCATCTTTCGGACTCTCAACCAAGCCATCTTCTGATGTGGTGTATATGGCGATATTGGTATCCAGTTGTCTAACGCCTTTTTTCGGTTTTGCGAATTGACCGCCTTTGCCGTCGAGAAGGCCAGTACGAGCAAAGTAGTATTGCATGTGAGCGATACTACCTAGACTCATGACACTGTCGCGATTGCGAGCAGAGTCTGAGAAGGCGGTACCTTGTGGTCGCATATAACCATTCTTGCGACGGCCTGATTCTGAACGAGCTGAAGACGAGGACGCTGATCTGCTAGATATTGTTGACGGCGTGGACACTGATCGTTCGGAACGGGTATCCAGCGAAGGACAACCAGTGGGGTAGAGGGCTAGCGAGGGAGACACATCTAGTGCAGGCGACGACGGACGCAGATAGGGGGATGTCGAAGACGCGTCCATGATTCAAGCGGCTCTGTGTTGGTTGTCGATGTCGGTGGTGTTTGCTGGCTACGCGTAGTCGGAACAGACAGATATGCGACACTCCAGATGCGGATCAAGGCCCTTTTTCCAGAATGCCGTCGTCGGTCACGGCCACCAAGGGCAATACTAATCTCCGCAAGTCGATGCAGCCGCGTTGCTTGAGCGATGGCGCAACCTCCCCTACAATTTCCTCTCCTATTCCACACTTGCTGTCAACGTGTAACAGTGTGGCTCTCACAGATGACAGCCTCGCTTGTCCGTGAACCATTGAACATCTGGGTTGCCATGGTCTTTATGCTGCTTTGTCCGTCGCCAGATGCGAGACCGTTTCCCGAACCCCTATACAAGACATGCCAAACAAGCGTCACTCCAACGGCCGAATGTGTCTTCTTTTGAACACTACGATTTATTCCTCTACTTTCTTACGATAATTGCATAGTCCTTGAGACTGCCTATCGACAACTGCTGTCTTCAAGGCCAACAATCAGTCCGCTATAACAAGGACGCGTGCCTAAATTGATCTACTAGCTCCATATTACGTGTTTCATCAAGTTTCATCTACGCAATTCATCAAGACCTGCGCGACTGACAGCATTTTTGAACACAACTCATAATTGCTTGGAATGGACATGATCTCAAAGTCTGCATTCCGCTCGTCTATATTATTATGTGTCTTGGTCTGCTGCCTCATATAAAGTGCTTGAAGACTAATGATCCTTCCCTGCCCCTGCGTCCGTCGACCCCTTTTCGTGCCTCCGCTTAGCGTGTCTGTGATCGCCATCTTGACAGTTGCTTTTGCTGGATCGCTGTCGCATGGCTATTGACGTCGATACTGTTCCATGACATGTAAAATCCTGGCAGCGCGTCCTTGTAAGTATGTCTCGTGACATAGCGAGATGAACCGAATCTCTGCTGGTCAAGTCCCGTAGAACACTTAACCAAGACTGATGGATGTCTGGCCTCGAGTCCTGTTCTGGATGGAACAGCGGATCAAAGAATGCTCTCAGGACCCGGTCATGCACGATCCTGTGGCTCGAGGCTGATTCGAGGACCACTACATTCCCGTCTAGAAGATATCCCACAATATGCGATTGCCCCAAGTATCTCTCCAGCCGCATAGGCATCGATGCTCTGTAACTGGTATACGCAGAGGTTTGTTTATCAGATGGTGATTTGGGTGCTTAGGAGTTCTTTGTCTCTTCAGCGTTTGGACTTGCGCTTCTTGAAGACGACGGGAGCCTCCTGCTCCTGCTCTTGCTTGGATTCGATCTTGACCTTGAACTCGCTGGCAGTAGCTTGATCAATGTCTGGTACAGCAGTAATGGCATCGGAAGTATCGAGATCAGCCTCCTTCTTGAACAAGTCAGCTTCCTCGGACTTGACTTCCTTTTTTGTGGTGACGCCGGAGAGTAGAGCATCCAGATCATGTTCGGTATTGGCATTGGAACTAGGATATGACTTTAGACGTGACCCCCAAGCTTTTGGGGCAAGATTCAGTTTGTCGTCGTCGTCTTCGAGCTTTCGCTTCCTCACGCCAAATGCTTTATCATCATCTTCATCATCGTCAGAACCAGATTTGACAGGGCGAGAGTAAACAGGTCGTTCCGAGACTGTGGCCCACTCTCCTTGGATAGACATGTCACGACGGTATTCCTCCGGGATAGCGACGCCCATAGCCGCGAGCTGTTCCATCTGACGCTTGCGCTCGGCGACAGACGCGGGACCGGATGGGGCAGTAGACTTGAGTTTTGGCGCAGGAGGTTGCGATCCAGAGGCGACCGAGATGGTCGGCTGTTGTTTGCCGGAGACCAGGCCGTTCAATCTGGCGACTTCATCTTTGGCGCGCTGCTTCTCGCGGTCCTCGCGTTCGGTTTGTTTGTGGATGTCGCGCAACGAGCGCTGGATGTTGGCTTGATGCTTCGGGGTGGCTTCGTGTGATTTCTTCTCAAGCGTAGTATCGCGGACGTAGGTGGAGCAGAACTTGCACCAGTACTTGGGTGTGGACTTCCAGTATTCCGACATGTTTGATGTCTGGATTGGAAGCAAACGAATGTCAAAGGGAAGAAGGATGATGACGGAATTTGTTGACCCGCCCCCCGCGCCGGCGATTGTAACAGCAGCGACGATGATGTGCCTCTCTGCTTGCTTCTTCACTTTACGACCACAGCACATCAAACACATCCACAATGGCTGAGAACGCCATGGGACTCATCGCGCGATCCGGCGCCCTACGCCCGGCAGCATCCCGCCGCTCGCTCGCCGTCCTGGCCAACAGCCGCTTCACCCAAAGAGCTGCCTTCAGCTCGCAACCGCCACGCCTTCTTCCCTCTGCCGACTCGCTCTTCTCCCGTTCTTCTGGCTCGGGCGAGCCTACGAGCTACTTCCAGCGTTCATCATTACCCGCCAACACCATCGTCAAGTTTGTCCCTCAGCAAACAGCATGGATTGTCGAGCGCATGGGAAAGTTCAGCCGCATCTTGCAGCCTGGTCTCGCCGTCCTCGTCCCTTTGATCGATCGCATCGCCTACGTCAAGAGTCTCAAAGAAGCCGCCATCGAAATTCCCTCCCAAAGCGCCATCACCGCCGACAACGTTACTCTCGAGCTGGACGGTGTCCTCTATACCCGCGTCTTCGATCCTTACAAGGCCAGCTACGGCGTTGAAGATGCAGAGTACGCCATCTCACAACTCGCCCAAACCACAATGCGCTCAGAGATTGGTCAACTTTCTCTCGACCATGTCCTGAAAGAGCGTGCTGCCTTGAACACAAACATCACACAAGCCATCAACGAGGCTGCCCAGGACTGGGGTGTCACTTGTCTGCGCTATGAGATTCGCGACATTCACGCCCCTGCTGGTGTTGTTGAGGCAATGCACCGCCAGGTCACCGCCGAGCGTAGTAAGCGTGCCGAGATTCTGGAATCAGAAGGTCAACGCCAGAGTGCCATCAACATTGCCGAAGGTCGCAAGCAGAGTGTCATTCTCGCTTCCGAGGCCTTGCGCGCCGAGCAGATCAACATGGCCACTGGTGAATCCGAAGCTATTCTCCTCAAGGCCAAGGCCACCGCTGCTGGTATCGATGCCGTCGCAAACTCCATCGCCTCTGGCAAGGAAAGCGCCCAAGGTGCCGTCAGTCTCAGCGTTGCCGAGAAGTACGTCGACGCCTTTGGCAAACTGGCCAAGGAAGGTACCAGCGTTGTTGTTCCCGGCAATGTTGGAGATATTGGCAGCATGATTGCCACCGCTATGGGCGTCTACGGCAAGGTCAACGAAAGCCAAGCCCGCGCAATGGCACCCAAGCAGGTTTCTGCTCCTTCAGAATCTTCTACACAACAGTCGTCCGACAAGCCTCAGAGTGTGACGGAAAGTGTGCTTGAGAGCTTTGAGGATACCCGTGCCAAGCACTAACAACACCTCCTCTGTTCTGACTAGGATAGTCTAGTTTCTGCATGTCATTGTTGCACTAGCCAGACTTTCATTCTGTTTTGTATGAAAACGAGCGTCTAGCATTGTTTTTTTTTCTTTTTCGCCGCCGAACGATTCGTCTGGCAAAAGATATCGAAAGAAGGAGTTACTGATTCTGGTCGGATCCCTCCTCCTCCATCATGTACATTATTAAAATCACAACACTTCACAACTCACTCTTCCTCCGGAGGTTTGACAATCATCAATCTCGTTTTGAACATCCCTTTGAGGCTCGTGCCTTTTGGGAACAGTTGCTTCCAACTTCATGGTAAACCTGGGCCATCACAAGGATACCAAGAAGGTCACCACAAAGCCCACTTTCCTGGTGCCTTCTCTCTTGGTCGTTCTCGAATATGATGTTTCTCAAGCGAAAAGGAAACTCCGAAGAGAGGGAAAAAGGCACGGAGCAAAAAAGGTAAGCAAGATAAGTACTTTTCACATCAACGTTTTTTCTCGTCGTCGGGTCTTTTGCTTGTATGTTGGAGCATAAGGATAAGTTATGCTGCATATCGACGTTTGTACAGCTATCATTGGTGCAATTGTCCCGAGTGTTAAGAGCAGAGTACAAGCAGAAGAACAGAAAGAAAAGCAAAAGCACAAAGATCAAGAGAAAAATAAACATTGACATCTTCTCCAGTGTGCAGTTGCCTGTTCCCAGCAAAGAAAAGTATCAAACAAAGAAAGGAAATCAACCAGAAGCAAAAGAGCAACAAGGACTCCTTCATCTTCCTGTGATGTGTGCATATCATCCCTCAAAGCAATAATTCCCTCCCAAAAAGCATTATCATTCTTCCCCAAAAGAGCAAAAGAAGCAATTCTCTCCAAGCAAAGGAAGCAAAGCAAAAGCACAATCACTTCGCTCCTCACTCAATCCCTCATCTCCTTCCTCTCTTCCAACTCCCTTTGCTCTCCTCCCTCTGCGCCTCTCTCTCTCCATCTTTCCTCCCCATGATCAAACCTCGTGCAAAACAACCCAAACAGGAGGTCTCTCCCCTCCCCTCATCTCCGTCCATCCCAACCCCCTGACCCCTTGCTCAGCTTTGGCATCCCCCCACACCACGGTACCGCCCTTGTACCACTCTCCATCTCCCTTTTCCACAACTTCCGTCAATGCCCAGCCTTCTGCTGCTTGCTTACCGAGTAACTGCTCCATGAGTTCCGCAGCGGTAGTGTTGCAAGGAACAAAAAAGGTTTTGGCGACAAGAGATTTGGCACGAGGACAGCACGCTTCCCAGACTTTGGCGCGCAGGACGTGCAGACAAGTGTGGTGTTTGGCGTACATCAGTTTCATACCGGGTAATGGTGGGGTTGGTGCTGTGAGGGCTTTTGTCTTTGTGGCCTTTTGGCTCGCGGAGGGTTTTGTTGACGCTGCGGAGACGGCGGTGGATGGAGCTACGGAAGGGAGGTTCTTGCTTACTGCTGTGGAGACTGACACGATAGTCTTTGCGGTTACTATCGCAGCTGATGTCTTTGCGGCGCAGGGGGTTGACGACTTTTTGGAGGATGGGGCAGTGGAGTTTGCAGGTGCTGCCGAGGCGGGCTTTGCTGGTGGTTTGGCTGTCGAAGGTGCTTTTGCTGCAGATGGTGCTTTGGAAGGAACTCTTGAAGGTACCTTGGATGGTGCCTTTGAGGGTGCCTTTGATGGCACTTTGGAGCTAGCCTTTGATTCTGCCTTTGCTGACGCGGGCTTGCTGGCAATCTTGGTCACAGTCTTTGATGAAGTACCGCTGACTTTCATTTTCGTCTCTACCACGACCATTTCCTTGCCTTTTGCTGCGGTGTCTGAACCAGCGACTTTTACTCCTTCCAAAGGCGCGGGCACCCGTGCAGGCGCGACAACACAAGGAGTAATCAGAACAGGAATGGGTAGTAAGACTGGCATTGGAGGAGGCGGTGCAGGCGCAACGGGTCGATAGCTTTCAGGTTTCCAGGTGTATGGAACAGGACGACCCATGTGGGACAAGGGTCTTGATCAAAAGGGGTTGAAGTCGCTGATGTTGTGTTTTGCGTAGTCGATACCTACTCGAACAGGCTGAGTCGATGTTGGATGTTGTGGTAAAGGATCGATTTCCTGAGAGAGATGAGCGGCGCTTTATACACCACACTGGCGCGTGTGATGGTGTGAGTGCGCTGTCTGGAAGGTTGTGAAAGCGGAATATCATTGTGAAAATGTCGCCAGCGCGGTGTGATAGCCGAAACATATGAAAGTCTCGTGACACGGAGAATTCAAAGAGGTGATTGATCTGGCATGCGCCGACAGCATTACGGAGGCAAAAGGCTCGTTACCACTCAGAAGCAGCAGAAAAGTGTGAGACCAAGCACGCGTACCATCGTGTCTCCATGCTCAAGCGATTTGGGAAATAATGAATTTGTGGGTATCTTACATACTTTTTCACACTCAACCACCAGCAATCACGGCCAACCCCTCGTAGACCTTCCTTCTGACTGCAAAGAACGCGCCTTCACGTCTCCCAGCAGATGCCATGTAATTGCCACCCTCAATCTCAATCCTGCCATTAGCAGTCTTGCGGACAACAACTGCACCGTCCACCAGCAATGTACCTTCACCCCTGAATTCTGCCGCGTGACCAGATGCTTGCATGAGCTTTCGCAAGTCGGCGAGACGAAGGTCACCAACATGTAGTGGTTGGGTTGTGATTTGGTTGTTGGCGGATGAGTTGGTGGACAACACGTCGAGTACAGGTTCGGTCTCGATTTGAGCTTCGTCGACTGTATCAGGAGCATCATTGCTATCCTCAACCATCTTCTGCTTTTTCCTCTTGCTGGCGTCATCACCATTGCTGTTGGCGGCTGCGAGCATCTTTTGCACAGCCTCAAGGCGACCTGTGACAGCCACAATGCCGAGTCCCTTGACATTTTGCCAGGCAAGCTTCTTGACCAAGTTTCGACTGAGTTTGAGTGACCATGCATTCGTGTCGACACTAGCATCGACAGTCTCGCCAATGATGGGGGTAAGAATATCAACGGCATTACCTTCACCAGATGCTAGCAAAGCTTTGCAATCTTCGGCAAGTGCCAATGTCTCGGCTTCTTCTCCAGCTACCAAGATGAGCTTTCTTGGTCGAATGAGTGGGATGAGCATTTGCAAATCACGCTTTTCGTGTAGACCGGAGAAATCGATGTAGGCTATTCTCACGTTGAGTTGAAGAGATTCCTTGGTGAAGACGGCTTTGAGTGGTCCTTCGGGGAGTGCTTCTTCAGGCTCGTAATCAGACTCTTCTGACTCGCTGGCAGCGTCTCCATTCATGTCATGATCCTGGTCCGTCGATCTAGCATTTGCAGAACTTTGTTCATCGGTCTTGTTTCTCTTGTCGGGGAATTTGCCAGTTCGTCCGTTTTGAATAGCACGCGGTGCAACTTCATCCCATTTACGTTTTTGGCCAACAGCAGTTTCTGTTTTTGCTTCTGCTGCATCCTGGCCTTCTGTATCGTCCTTCTCTTCCGCACGAAGATACTCCTCCGGTCTGATTACTTCACCAAAGTCGTCTGCACGGCCGCGCTTGGCAACATATGGGAACACCTTTTCACGTCCTCTCTTGTTGCGCACATCATAATCGAAAACATTCTTGCGTCGTAGGAGAACGTTAATGCCAAGCTCCGCGTCTGTCAATCCGACCTTGCGTCTATGCGTCATTGTTGCAGAGATGTTGAGAGCTCTTCCTTGGTGCTCGTTCTCAGACTCGTCGGAAGATTCGGAGCTGCTTGAGGAGGCGTCGTCGGCCAGTTCCGCAGCATTCTCTTTTGTGAGTGTGTTGTCGCCTTGCAGCGTGCTGTGCATCTGGCGTCTTCGAGCCAGGTATTGCTGATAGAGCAGGTTCTCGTCACCTTCGAGGCGTGCCACATCCAGTTGACGAACTTGTGTTTCTGCACCACCAACCTCGACAACATTTGCATCTTCATCGCGTGACTCGACCTGTTGACGCCAGTATTCCCATAAGAAGCGACCAATGCCTTTGGTATCCGGAGAAGGATTGGCGGCTCTTTCTGTCAGAACAACGAGATTCCTGGGGTCCTTGCAAATCTTGCGGATGGCATCGTTAGAGAAACCCCATTCAAGAGACTTATCACTTGCTAGAATAACAGCAGGCTTTCCAGAGTCCAGAATGCGGTGTAGTTGAGTCTTCTTCTCAACAAGCTTGAGATACTTCAAGTCGAAGGGGGTATCTTCATCGCGGCCAGTCTGGCTCTTTTGATTGTTCTCAGATTTCCCTTGAACAGCAGCCTCCATCTCACGCGCAATAGCGTCGTCCATCCATTCAATCATACTGCGGGCGTATCGAAGAGTGGCAGATGCGGATTTTGCGGCAAATGCTAGCTTTGTGTTCTTGTAGAGTTCTTGGTTGGGACCATTGGTTCCTTGACGCCAGTGACGTTCCAGGATGTAGGCCAGTTCGAGCATGCGGGCACTTGAGTCTGTGGGGATCAAAACAGTTCCTCCGTTAGAGATAGTCTGGTTGATCAAGGCGAGCAGAGCATCGTCGCGCTTCTTGCGACCTCCGGAGAGATGTGATCGGTCAGCGCCTTTTGTGCTGCAGACCAAGGCGGTGGGTCTTCGTAATTGTTCAATGACTTCAGCACCTCCACCTGCACCTCCCAGCCAAGCAGCACCAGACAAGACGTTCTCTTTTGCTTGATTCCAGTCAACGGCGTATACGATAGACTCGAGGCCATGTTGTAGATGCCAGATGGTACCACCAAGAGTATGACCAGCGTTGTAGGCGGTGATGGTAAGGCCATTGAGAGGAGGGGAGAAGGGCGAGGGAATGGGCTGATGAGGTTGCGAGTATTTGAGAGGGTTGATCTTGGAGAAGTATGAAGCGATTTCATCGGCCGTGGGAGGTTGGAGCAAGAAGTTGGCGGGGAGCTGAGTGTTGGACAGTGAGTCGGCCAGAGCTGATGCAGGGACAATTGAAGCTTGGTGAGGAGCCGAGGCATACAGGTCCTGGATGAGAGTGCGACCGAGGGATACGACAGGAGTGGTAGCGTAGACGGGGATGGAGGAGAAGAGCGGAATGTGTTTGCAGCAATGAGCGAATGCGCCGAGATGGTTCAGAGTGGGGTGGGTGAGCAGGATGAGCGATATGGCGGATACGTTCTGCTCAATGTGGACGAGCTTGTCGGCGTCTAGAGACTCATCCCAGCCCACGTCGACGAGGATCTTGACACCTCCATCCAGCTCGAGCAGCGACTGCGAGGCAGCCGACTCGGACTGGGCGCCCAGCAGCGGCGTGAAAGTGAACATTGCTGATGCACGACAAAGACGGTCGCGTTTTGGGACGGAAACAACGCTCTGGACCTCTGGTATGCCCTGGCTTGGCGCTGGTCAAGGTGGTGTTACTTCAACGACACCCTATCACAGCTTCCACTCTCCTGGTTACTGAAGTCGATATGCTGCTTGTAACATGGACTGAACACACTGCTAACCCGATGACCCAGTCTTTTGAACAACAATTGTAACAAGTCAACAACCCAGTGACGCACGCTTGGCGGGGATTCGCGAATCTATACCACCTTGCCGCCGAAACATCTCTCTTCTTGCGCCACGACCATCCTTGACTGCATCTTTGGGCCTGCATTACCTCAATATGGACGTACGGACATTCATCTCGGACAATTTGATCAAGCTGGTAGGCGGGTCCGAGGGCATGATCGTCGACTTTGTCCACCAAACCGCCAGCTCCGTCAAGAACCCAGACCAGCTTCACGACAAACTGCACGCCATGATCGATGCCGACGACAAGGATCTGCGCACTTTTAGCCATCAGCTCTTTGCTCGTCTACCAAAGTCCGACAAATCTTCTACCTCGTCACGACCCAAGGATGCCTCGGCCAAGGACTCCAAGAAGCGCTACGCACTACTTGACATGGACGTCGACGACGAACAGCCTGTGTCTGTTCCGCCACCCTCTACTCGCCGTCGCCATCGCACCGAAGAAAAGAAAGACCGTTCCGACCGCCATGATCGCCATGACCGCCACACAAAACGTTTGCGACAACGAGACAATGGCGATTTTGACGACCGCTGGGGAGATGAAGAGTACGAAGAGGAAGAGGACGAGCAAGAGAGACCACGTCCATCGTCCTCAAAACGTGCAAGACTGGACGACGGTTCCGCCTCTCCACGCCGTCGGTCTGCCTCACCCGAAGAAGATGAGGAAGAGCGTGATCGCAAAGAACGTATTGCATTTGAAAAGCGCCTGAAAGAGAGAGATGAACGTGGTACCAAGAAAATCGTAGAGGACCGTTCCAAACATGATTCTGCCGCTCGACGTGCCCTGGCCGATGACCCCAACCAGAGAAAAGCACAACTCGAGGATATCAGATTGCGCTCTCGTCAGGAATATCTCAAGAAGAGAGAAGCCCAGGAACTTGCCCTTCTGCGAAAACAAGTCGCCGAGGAACAGATGGAACTTCGTGAGAATCCATTACTCACAGCCCAGGAGAAGGCCGAGTTCGAAAAGAACAAGAGGACGCTGGAAATTGCTGAAGAGCGTCTGCGCATCGACGACCATCTGGAAGGCTATGCTTTGCCTGATGATTATATCACAGAAAAAGGTAAGATGAGCAGAAAGGCAAAGTCAGACGCATTAAACAGCCGTCACGTCGACCGTGACGAGTATGGAAGAGAACGTTTCGTCACCGAACATGAAGAATGGGAGAATGAACAGCTCGCCAAAACCAAAGCCCAAATTATGGTCTCTGACCGCGTGAATGAAGCCGACTACGAATACGTGTTTGATCAGGACCAGCAGATTCAGTGGATGACCGACCGTGTCATGTCTGGGAGCATGCAGCAACAAACTCAGGAGGAACGTCAACTCGCTCAACAACTGGTCGCCGCTGAGAGGAAAGCAAAAACTATCGAAGAAAAGCGAAAGACTTTGCCCGTGTACACATACCGAAACGAGTTCCTGGCTGCCGTCGACAAGTACCAAGTTTTGATCGTCGTGGGAGAGACTGGTTCAGGAAAGACTACACAACTACCACAGTATTTGCACGAGCACGGTATGACTAAGGATGGCAAGATGGTTGGGTGTACACAACCTCGTAGAGTTGCTGCCATGTCGGTCGCTACTCGTGTGGCAGAAGAGATGGGCGTCAAGGTCGGTAACGAAGTCGGTTACTCGATCCGATTCGAGGACGCAACCAGTGACAAGACTATCCTCAAATACATGACTGACGGCATGTTACTCCGCGAATTTCTGACTGAGCCAGACCTGGGCAAATACTCTGCCTTGATGATCGACGAGGCCCACGAACGTACCCTCCACACCGACATCCTCTTTGGTCTGATCAAAGACATCGCGCGCGGACGACCAGATCTGAAAATCCTCATTTCCTCTGCTACTCTGGATGCCCAGAAATTCTCTTCCTACTTTGACGACGCGCCCATCATGAACATTCCTGGCAGAACCTTCGACGTCGAGATGAACTACAGCATGCAACCAGAAGCAAACTACCTCTCCGCAGCCATAACCACAGTCTTTCAAATCCACCTGTCTCAACCCATGCCAGGCGATATCTTGGTCTTCTTGACCGGCCAAGACGAAATCGAACAAGCCAACGAATCCCTGATGGAGACTGCCCGCAAACTGGGCGCTGCAGCAGGCGAACTAATGATTTGCCCCATCTACGCAAATCTGCCCACCGACATGCAAAACCGCATCTTTGAACCCACGCCTCCAAAAGTGAGAAAAGTGGTGCTGGCAACCAACATCGCCGAAACCTCACTCACAATCGACAATATCGTCTATGTCATCGACCCAGGCTACGTAAAAGAAAACCGCTACACCCCAGCCACAAACATGGAGTCCTTAGTTGCAGTCCCCATCTCCCGTGCCTCGGCCAACCAACGCGCAGGCAGAGCCGGCCGCACCGGCCCCGGAAAATGCTTCAGACTATACACGAAATGGGCTTTTTACAACGACCTCCCCGAGTCAACCACTCCAGAAATCCAACGCACGAACCTGACTTCTGTCGTCCTTCTCCTAAAAAGTCTAGGCATAAACGACCTGCTCAACTTTGAATTCCTCGACCCACCTTCTCCTGACATGCTTATCCGCAGTCTCGAACAACTCTACGCTCTAGGCGCATTAAACGACAAAGGCGAACTCACACGCGTCGGGCGCCAAATGGCCGAATTCCCCACTGACCCTCTGCTGGCAAAAGCGATCCTCGCAGCCGACAAGGAAGGTTGCGTGGAAGAAGTGCTCTCCATAGTCTCGATGCTAGGAGAAGCCTCTGCACTCTTCTACCGACCCAAAGACAAAAAGACACAAGCGGACACCACACGCGAGCGCTTCACGATAAAAGACGGCGGCGACCACCTCACATATCTAAACATCTGGAACCAATGGGTCGACGCCGAATTCTCTCAAGTCTGGGCAAAAGAGAATTTCCTGCAGCAGCGCAGTCTCACCAGAGCAAGAGATGTCAGGGATCAACTCGCGAAGCTGTGCGATAGAGTCGAAGTTGGCATTTCGTCGGCCGGTCCCGCGAACATCCCGCCGATTCTGAAGGCGTTGACGGCTGGGTTTTTCCCCAATGCTGCGAGGATACAGAGGGGTGGGGACAGTTATCGCACCGTCAAGAACAATCAGACGACTTGGTTGCATCCGTCGTCGGTGCTTGCTGCCACTGGCAATAGGCCCAAGTGGTGTGTTTATCATGAGTTGGTGTTGACGAGTAAGGAGTTTATGCGCAGTTGCTTCCCGTTGCAGCCAGAGTGGCTCTCGGAGGTTGCGCCGCATTATTACAAGTCCAAGGATGTGGAGGCGCTGGGTGTGGATAGGAAAATGCCCAAGGGGCAGGGTGCTGCTGAGAGTAGGCTGTAGATGGGACGAACAATAATCTAAAAGCTTGCACGAGAAACAATTCGTTTTTCTTCAAACTACACATCACATTCATGAATCATACCGCCGTAAGAATTGTCAAGTGACACGACTGGTCCATAGGGTACAACTCCTTCTCCGCCCCCTCTGCTCAACCCCTCAAATCATATTCCCACTCTCCAACCCAGAAATAATACTCTGATTGCTTTTCCTAGGATTGTCCATATCCATAGCCCCACTCAACACCCTAACGACCTTTTTCCCTTGCTTGGACCCAGCAACAAGCACCTGAGCAGGACAAACCACAATCTCATCCTCGCCTTCCCCACTATCATCTCCCTTCTTCACCACAAGCGGAAACAGTACAATCTTCACCACCGCCTGGGACTTCTCTAACTCGTCATTGCTGTTGTATTCGCCAGAGCGTTCATTCATGAGAGCAGCGTTGAAGTGCACTTTGCGTATCAAGTCGCCTTGGGTGTCGTATTCGGGCTGCAGAGGCGGCAGCATGATGTACTCTGCTTTCTGGCTGCGCATTTCGATGGACAGCTCGACGGCTAGACGCAACACATTGCGCAACGACGACAAGATCTGTGCTTCCAACTGCGCAGGAGGCGGCAGCAAAGCAGACAACACGGCAAATATTTCTTGAGCCACGGCTTCAGTGTCGAGATTACGTTGTGTTGCAAACGCTGGTCGGCGAGACAAAAGCGTCAAGGTGGTTGCTCTCCACTGTGCTACCGCACGTGCAGGACCGACTTCTGATAGTATCTTTTCCAGTGACTTGAGTTTCTGGCGTTGTTCCCTATCCATGCCGAAGAGGTATCGAGTAAACACGTATTCCCAGATCATGGTCATGACTACAGACATGAAGACGTCGCGGCGGCGGATGCGATCGCCGAGCAGTTTGTCAACATCGGAGCCATCCAGTATGGCATTGTCGAGTCTAGCTGCGATTTTCTCATCCGTCAAGTCTGAAGTCAAACGGCACATGCGGTTGTCGGAGTATTTTGAGAAGCGTAAAACCCATTGCTGAACATGCTGACAGAGCTTCTGACATGATGCATCAAAGTAGTCTTCGTCGCGGACCGTGAGGTAGTTGTCGCCCTTGGACGCAAGGATCTCACTCTGAAGAAGGCGGATCTGTTGACTAGCCAGATTAAGCTCCTCGCGTAGTTTTCTGATCTCAGCATTTTTATCTTCCAATGCATTGGCAATCTCCTGCCGAACAATGTCTTCCATATTGTCACTAAGCTCATGGTGTTGTCTCTTGAGACTTTCAAGTTCATGGCCCGTTTGCTGTATTTGCTTGTGAGCATTTGCATGTTCGTTCTGCAAAGTAGTGTATGAAACATCATTGTTGGCCGTGAAGCTTCGATTGACTTCGAAGAGATTATTGTTGACATCAGTCAACTTTGCAATTTCTCGTTGCAGTGGCTCGAGTAAAGATCGGATCTGTTGGATCTCTGCATCTTTTTCATGGAGTTGCATGTCACGTGTTCTGAGCATATCTTGAAGACCAAGATTGTCATCGAGCGAAGGATGTGATGGTGTGGTTTGATCGATGGCATCCTGTAGGTAACGATTCTCGGAAGCGAGTTGGTCGAGTTTAGCTTCTAGGTCAAGGATATGCATGCTTTGACGTTTGCGCATGCTCGGCGGTCGCGTCGGGGACACGGTCGGCGAGCTGCGGACATCGCCCCAACCCTCCTGTAATACATATTAGCATTGATTGTTCTCGATATACAGAAGAACCATTACTCACATAAATGTTTGCCATGTCCGGAGGACGGGAAGCACCGTGACCGTTGAAGTCCTCGTCTTGCAAAGGCGGTGTGGGGGGAGGTTCGATGGGGATTGTTGTTGGTGGTCCATGCGTCCTGCTAGCCGCCCTCAAATCACCTGACAAGCTCCTATTGATTCGTCGTAGGGAAGGTGTGACAGAGCGGTCGCTTCCTGCACTAGCCGATCGAAGTTGTTCTTTGTTGCTTAGTATCGACAGGTTCGAATTCGTGGGTCGTAAAATCGGTACCCGGTCAGCCAATTCCTCTCTTTCCACAGCTTGCGTTCCTTTCACTTGATATAGATTGGTCTGTTCTCGGAACGATTGCTGTGGTGGTGCAGACCGTCTTGCAGCCTTGCTAGAGTGCCCCGGGCCTGGGGACCCGATATCATAGAGACTCTTTTTTCTGGTCAAAGGAGGTGATTGAACTGGGCGCGGGTTTGGCGGCAAGGGGGCTGGGAACGATAAAGATGCACGAGAAGGACTTGGTGGAAGCGGTGCAGGAGGCGTTGCGACTCTCGAGGGCATCGGCGGCAGAGGCATATCGGACAACTTTGTAGGACTTGGTGGTAGGTGTGCTGGTGGTAATTGTGGCTTGGTACCAATATCCAGGCTCGATGTCTCTCGAGGCTCGTAGAGACCGGTCTGCTTTTGAATCGCCTCTTGCGATAAGTTCTTCGCTTTGTCGAAAGCTGTCAGATCAACCGGAGATTGGAAGAGATACGAAGTCCTGTCTTTGGTGGTGGAGTCTACGGGCGAGATGGGTTCAGCCTTTGCATTCTGCTCAACGAAGTCCAAGATAGGTACAGACGAAACAATGGGATCGTCATTCTGCTTCTCTAGACTGAGTTCCGGTAGATGCTCTACTGTAGGCGATTGTAGATTGTCAAAGGACCATGTCGCCGGCTCGCTGTGAGCTTGAACAGTAGTTGACGACTGTCGAGGTTGTTCTGTGATTGATGGTGTAAACGTCTCTGTCGTGCTTGGTCGCGGAATGTCTTTAATCAAAGTCTCCATCGCAGATATGTCGACCGAAGGCCGGGGACTCTGGTCTACGCGCTCTTTATCTGACTGGACTGGGTGATCAATACGGACCGGTAAGGATTGCGAGACTTCGGAGGTGTGAAAGAAATTGTGTTTGGCTAACCTCGTTGGTGATATGTCAGCCGGCTCGTCGATACTCCTTCCAACGCCTTCGAATCTCTCTCGGACATTCTCAACCTCTTGAGCATGTCCGACATTGATCGCTTTAGGTACCGGATGATCTGTCTTGCTCTCTGGCACATATGAATTGGCCTCTTCTGCTGGGTCCAGAGTCACGGTCTCGGCTCGTGTAGCCTTTTTGCTCTTCTTCTTTCTTTTCGGAATCGCGAAAGAGAATTCATCGGGTTCATCTCGAGCAGTTCCACTATCAATCGAGAGGTGGTTAAGAGCATCAGGCGCAAAACCAGAAGCGAGTAGACCTGCTGTCAAAGCTTCTGAGAAGTCGTCATTGCTAGGACGCTCTGCTGATTGAAAAACCCCGGCTGCCGGTAGCTCCTTGATAGCATATTGCGTAGGGCTCGGAGCTCGACTATGATTGCCACTCCTCTTTGGTCTTCTTGTTGTCGTAGACGTGACTCCACCAGGGTCAGCTTCTCCTACACTGGTGGGTGACGCTCGTCGATGGAACACAGGGTCATCGATGACAAGATGGGGATCGAAACCGGAGTCTTGTAAGCCTGCTGCCAAAGTGTCTGCAAAGTCTAAGTCCTGAGATGGGTTGACAGAAGTAGAAAGGAGCTCGACGTCTTGAGCGGTGGCGGGGACTTCGCCTTCGTGGTTGACAGGATCGACTGGTGCGTCCTCAACGACGCGCTGAATACCAGGAGAGACCTCTTTGACCTCTGTAGTTCCATGTTCGATATGCTGCTCATCACTGAACATCGCTTTCTTAGCTTTGCGTTTCTCTTTCTTCGAAGGCTTTCGAGAAAAGCTCCAATCTTCGTTGATGGCAGGGTCGATCATTGACTCTGGTTGATCTGGCGATGGCTCTGGCTCGATGATATGCCTGGTCGGCTGATCAGCACTATCCATGATCTCATCTGGCAGATTTTCCGATGCAACAGGATATTCTTCGCTGCTCTGACCAGCCAGGGGCTCTTCGAAGTTCTTGAGCTTCTTGGCTTTGCGCTTCTCCTTCTTGGACTGTTTTGTTGGCACTGCCCACTCGTCTGCAGCAGATGTGACCGGTTGTTCATCGACTGCCTTGTGTGCGACATTCTCAACCTTATTGACAACTGGCTCATCCTTGACAACCCGTAGTGATTCGATGGATTCTGTTTTTGGCCCTTCGAGTTCGTTTGGAAGGTCCAACATCGGCTCCTCGCCGACCTTGTCTTGCTCTACAGCCTCATGTTCAAGTCTTGTCTTTTTGCCTTTCTTGTCCTTCTTCTTCTGGGATGTTGAGATTGAGGCCCAGAAGTCGACGGGCTCCTCAGACATTGGGGTCTCAACACTCTGTGTAGCAGGACCCTCGCTATTTTCATGAGACTCGTTCACATTCTGATCAGAGCCCGGCGCGATTTTCTCTGCAGGCTTTCGCTCGAGGTTAGGCTGAGCAGGCGAGAGGGCTTTTGTATCTTCAACAGCTGGTTCAGTGGGGGTTTGGTTCATGGGCAGAAAATCATTTACTGCATGCTCAGATCCGTCGATCACTTTTTTGGCGTTGACTTCTTCAAGTGGCTCAGCTTCAAGAGTTTTCTTAAGTTCATGAGTTGTGTTGGACTCCGAACCTTGAGTGGCGTCTGATCTGAGGTGTGCAGTCGGCTCCGCAGTGACTTTGAGGTCGGTCTCTACCTCTCTCTGAGCCGCGAATTCAACGCTAGGCGGTTCCAGTGGCTCGTTAATGGAGGATCCAGGACATCCTTGCTCCGTAGGAACAGCAAAGTCCTGATCTGGATCTTGTACACTGGTGGGCTCGACTCCATCTTTCACATCGAACTCCTCCATCTCCTTTGCTTCCAATCTCTTTGCCTTCTTGATGGCCTTCTTAGACAATGTAGATGTGAAGGACTCCAGATCTTCATCAGGCTGCTGAGGAACAGAACCATCTAGGATCTCGGCAGACGGGTCATTCTCAGTGATATGCACAGGTGCTTTGATGTCAACAGTCTGAGCCTCCCCCAATTCAGGACCGTCTAAGACAGGCTCGGCAGCCTGCTTTGACTTCTTAGCTTTTCTGTTCTCTCTCTTTGAGAACCTCGCAGGTACAGGCTCGGCATCGGCAACAGACTGCTCTTCCTGGATGACATCTCGGATAGTTTCTGGCTCCATCGCGGGCTTCTCTGTTACCAAAGGCTCTTCAGTGGTCATAACAGGCTCTTCTTGAACTTCTTCCGTGCTGACAAGCTCTTTCGTGCGATACGACTCCTCGTATGACTGAAAAGGTGCAGTAGTCCCATCTGCAGGGTTATACTGATCCCTGTATTGGATGTCGTGCAAGTCTACGGGTGTTTCGTTGTTGTTAACTGGCTCGGCCAGACGTTCCGCAGCAGGCTCTTCGGAGAGTATCAGCTGATCAAGCACGCTCGGTGCCTGGTCCTCGACAGCTGCAGGCTCGAGGTCTGGAGTCTGTGTTCTGATCTCTGCCTCGTCAGCCTGTGCCTCGTCCATAGAACCTGTTGAGTTGACAGGCACGCTCGCAGCAGTGTGAACGTCGTCAATGTCAGAATCATGGTGAGCTAGGCCAGGCTCAACTGGAGGCTCATGCACGACAATAGGCTCGTGTGTAGTAGGGACTGTGTCGGGACTGAGGTCTCTGGCAGTCTCTTCAATTACAATAGCTTCTGGTTCCTGGTTGTGAACGTCAGGGCGTCTCTCAGGCCTTCTGTCCGACTCTCGAAGCTCGTTGAGTCCAGCATGGCCATTCGACGATTCTTCTGCAATCTGTTGTGATTCTCTTGTTTCGTCAAGTGAAACGGGTCCAAGCTCAGAATCTGTCTCTGCAGGAAGCTCTACTTGCGTCGGCTCTAGGGACGGATCATGCTCGGTGATGTCAGGAAAGAAGCTAGCGATATCTCGAGCGATCAAAGTTGGACCAGCCGTGTCCTCGGAAGGTGATACGAATCCAGATGTCACGGCTTTCTTTGCTTTTCTCTTCTCTTTCTTCGAGAGCTTCCTGGCAATCGGCTGTTCTTCGATGATAGGATCTTCTTCAGGCGACTGCGGGGCTATTGGAGCACCAACGTTGTCGTCTGTCACAGATACTGCAGGCTCGGTCTCACGTGGAGACTCAGGCAGCTCCTCGAGCACTGCGGGAGAATCAAGTTCGGCAGTGGCTTGTGCATAGGGCTCGGGCTCGAGTTCCTGCTGCTTGGCTTTCTTTGCTCTCTTCTTATCTTTCTTCGACTTCCTGGAAGACGTCAACGCGAAGACATTAGGATCAGTGGTCCCTGCGGCATGGGTTTCAGGAGTATCCTGGGGCTGAGCATGCTCAGTCGTAAGAAAGTCTGGATCAGACCTGCTGTTTGGTGGAGTAATCTGGTCGCTTGCTCGAAACTTAGCAGTTTGTTGGTCCTCTTGAACAGACTCGGAGAGCGCCTCTACTTTCTCGGGTTGCGATTGCTTGAGAGCGTCTGGGATTGGGTCGACGGACGTTCTGTGTGTTGTGACGGGTGATTCATCGACAACTTGCTCGTCCTGATAATATTTCAACTTGCCCTCAGTGTTCGCCATCTCAATCTTGGATTCATAGGGCCCTGGTGCTTTGCCCTCCACGGCGGAAACAGACACCTCACGAGTCGCGTCTGAAGCGGTAGTTTCAGTATTTTCGATATGCTGCGTAAACGGCGGCTGATCCACTCCAGCAGGCTCATCCTGCACATCCCCCTGAGTCAGGGTGATTGAACGACGTCCAAACTGTTCTTGTGATGCTGGGTTGGCTTCGTTCTCCTGGTTGGACCTCACTTGCACAGCATCATCCGCAGAAACAGCAAAAGGCTGCTCGGGAATCTCCTGCATAGGAGTAACAAAGTACTGGTCTGCGAGCTCATCGGCAGGTGTTGCAAAATACTGTGCTGAGGTGTTTTCTGCAGGAGTCTCGAAGACGTCAGGCGTGACAGGTGCATCCTCGATCTCGGCGATAGATTCGGACTGCTGAGGTTCTAGACTTTGTGTGGCTGTGGAAATCTCGACAGCTTCGACAGGTTCTGTCACGGCCTGCTTTCCTTTCTTGCCCTTCTTTTTCTTCTTTTTGGAAGACGGCATGGCCCATTCGTCTTCAGCAGTTGCGGTCATAGGCTCGGCGCTCGGAAGAGATCCGTGCAGGGTCATTTGTTCGTCAGTATCCTGTGCTTTGTCTAGGACGTCAGGCTCAGTCGAAGTGGCACCGCCCTCGGTTGACCCTGGTGTCGATTCATGGAGTCCGGGAACATTCTCGGATGGATCCTCTCGTTCTTCCAAGCTTAGAATTGGCGGTGATCCAATGACATTTAGTACGGTCTCCCTTGGAAGTGGAGCTGGAGCTTGCTCGGCTACCACAGCATGCTCGACTTGCAGTCCGGGCTCTCTAGCTTCAATGGCCTCATTGACTTGGACGAAACCTTCATTTGTGGTCATGTGAGTTTCCAAATCCAGGAATTCGTCCTTCGCAGTTGCAGAGGACAGTAGCGCTGATTCTGACAGAGCTTCTTGTTTCACCGCCGTCTTCCCCTTCTTGCCTTTCTTGCTCTTCTTAGTTGGCAGTGTCCAGAAATCTTTAATGGGCTCGGGCTCTTGGACTGATGAAAGTGTAATGCCCTCTTCTTGAGGCTCGTCCACATTTGCCTCAGAGGGGCTCAGAATGTTCTCAGGAACCTCAGTCACGCTATCCTCAGGAAGATCAGGGTCAACTCCTTGTTCGGCTGACACGGGCTCGATTGCATCAGGTGTCGTCTCATGAGAGTGTATGTCGGAATGAAGGCCAGGCTTAGAATCTTCGATGGCTGTAATGTCGTTCTTGTCGCTCATCGACGCCTCAAAGCTCGACGGCAGATGTTCCTCAAGTACTTGCTGAGTCTGAGATGGTATATTAGCATCGACGGAAAACTCGTCATGCTCCAAGGCCTCAATATCCACTACTTCTCTCGCCTTAACAGCCTTGTAGTCATCAGCCATATTCTCTTTGCTCTGAACAGGGTCCTCGACAATATTTCGGCTAATGTTCGGTTCGTCGACAATCTCGGGATGTTGTGTTGGCTGCTCAAGAAGACGTTCGAAAGGCTCTTGGTTAAGGACATCGGACTCTTTTTGGAAGTCGACGATCGCCCTGGACTCAATCTTCGGTTCATCGGCTTCTTGTGTCTTACTGCCTGGCAGCCAGGAGAACCAAGACGACCTTTTGCTTGTTGCTTCTTGATTAGTCTTTCCTGAACTCGGGGGTCTCTGTTCGAGTGCGTCTTCGGGTACACGCTGAGCCTGTTCTTGAGGTGTACTCTCGACGCTTGACTCTGAGACAGGGTTCTTGGCTACGAGTTCATCTAATTCGTCCCGAGTCTCATCCGGAAGTGAAATTTCTTCAAGGGACAACTCTTTGATGGGTTCAGAAAGCTCAATTGGCTCGTCCGCTGCATCTTGCTGCTCGATTGCGCCAGGTTCTTCAAATCGTTCGGCTTCGACAGTGGAGACAGCACGTTTAGGAGCTTCTTCGGACAGAGTTACTTCTCTAGGATGATCATCAGCAGTACCAGGAACCGAGCTCGCATAGTCGTCGACAGACCCCTCGATTGGTCTCTCGTCTTTTCTGTCATCGACAAACGTGGACTCATGTCCTGCAGCCGGACTCCTGTCACCCTGTTCCGGACCTTCATGATCGGACACAGCTAACACGGCTGCAGCAACAGCAGGGACTGCAATTGAAAGTGCTGCCTTCTTTGCCTTCTTTTTCTGCTTCTTGCGTTCTGCCTTGGACGTTGTGTAATCTGGTTCTTCAAGCTGTTTGTCATATTGAGACTGCTCTGGACCAACTAGTGTAGGGACCTCGTCTGGGATATCAATCGAGACATTTGTTTTTGAATCCTCAGTGTTGAGGCGATGTTCATGAGCTGTTGGATCAGGAGGCGTTCCTGTTTGAGATTCCCGCTCTCCATTCTCGGGCAGAATCCCCATAGGAGATTGAGTTTCGGGTGCGATCTCGGAGTCCATCTGTGCTTCCGAGGGGTTTTCGATAGACGTGAATCCAGAACTTGGTTCATCCAGGACCACAGATTTCTGCTTCTTCTTGCCCTTCTTCGATTTCTTGCGCGACAGCAATGGAGAAGTAGATTCAAGCTCTTGTCTTAAAGCTTCATTCTCTTGTATAGGAGCAGGTAGAGATTCGCTCTCTATGCTGTTCGCTTCGGTCGGAGTTGAGGATTCTGGCAAAGGCACAAGGCTTGCATCGACTTCATCTACAACAGCTGCTTCTCTTGATCCATCGACTGGCTGGAACCAAGTATCAACAGCATCTTGTGCGTCCTTTTCCCTTCTTCTTGCAAGTTCTGCGGGTGTTTCGCGAATCGGGCTAGTGAGTGTCGAAACGGAAGAGGTTCCCAGCTTAGCTGCCTTCTTGTTCTTGCGCTTCTTGGCTGGGGATATAAAGCTTGCTTCAAATTCCGGCTCCTGTAGTTGCAATACAGGCTTTTCGGGCTCTTCGCGAACACCCGCTTTGGTGCGAGAAAGCTCTTCGTCGCTCAATTCACCCCACACGTCGGTCGTCATTGGATCTTGATTGACGACTACTTCTGGATCCATGTGTGATTCGACAATTGCATCGTCAGAGATTATACCAGAACGAACTTCATCACCAGTAGCAGTTTGCTCTTCTACTAAGTCGTTGTGGCGGTCTCTCTCATTCTCCTGGCGTAGATGTTCCTCACGTTCCATATCGCTCCATGAGTAGTACTCTGGTTCCAAATGAGGACGATGGTCCAGTATGTGCTTCGGAAACTCAGTCGCTTTGGGTGTGGTTTGCGCAGACCCCAAGACATCTTCAGGCTCTTCAGTTTGCGACTGGTCATAGTTGGGGGGACTCAGATTATCGTGTTCGCTCGGGTCAAAGTCTTCGGCCGCCGACTGCCAGTCTTCACTGCTCTGGAGACTGGATGAGCTCGTGCTACGACTTGGAGGCAGACTTGGTAGATCCTGTTCAGATTCTTGAGTTTGGGGCTTACGTGTGCGCTCGAGTAGGTACAGTGGTCTGAACTCAGTTGAGTGCATTAATTCTGAGGATAGAGGTCTCTTCGCTTTCGGCGTTATCGGTGATGATGGTGATTGTGCAATCGAAGAGCTGAAGCTGGCCGACCGTTCTTTTGGGAGACTTGGCGATGTTGGTGGACGACGAAATCGTAATGGGACAGCTGTGGAGGAGCTGATGCGTAAGGGAACGATAGGTCTTGCCGGTGTCATGTGCTTGCTGGGCGGTGACAGCGCTTCAGATGGCAATGAATCAGATCTGGCTTCAACTCCTTGCGTTGGCACATCTGGATCTTCCGGGACAGTACCCTCCATGAAGTCCACCGGCTCATCAGTGACCATTGGCGATAGTGTCGAGTCATCGACTTGCTCTGTTGTTTCCATCTTGTCATGCACCGGTGACGCGATAAATCCCTGTAGATGTTCGATTGACTCTGAAGCCTGAGATGATGATAGGGAATCATCCTCGGGTAGAGGTACGGACTCCTCATCCTCTACCCGATCCACTAAAAAAGACTTGTCTTCGTCCTTTGTGGTCTTACTGTCTCGCGATAGCGACCTCCTAACGTCCAAGTCCAGATCGCGTTCTCGATGCCTATGCTTCCTCCTCGATTCCGAGGTTTGAGATCTAGTGTCATCGAACTCCTTCTCTGGAGACTGGCTCTGATCTCGACTACGATGCTTGTGGTGGCGCCTGGACTCTGAGGTTTGGGAAGCGACGTCGACATCATCTACACTTTCATCACGATGATTTTTGCGCCGATGTCGAGGACTGCTCGAGTGTCTAGAGAAAGCGTCGTCTCTTTCGACATAAGAATTAGATCTGGAAGGCGAGTCCCTGCGCTTGGCGAATTCACCATTGGCGTGCTCGGAGCTATGGCGGCGACGGTGATACTTGGAACGTTCTTCGTCACCATTGGCACGTTTCTGCTCACTACCGACAACATCATCCGATGTCTTACGACGGAAGAGGCTAAGAATGCCACCCTTCTTCTTGCCTTTGCCTTCTTCTTCGTCCCTCCTGGAGCTGTGAGAACTACGAGAGCGGATTGAGGATGCATCATCAAGATCGGCATCGTCACGATGTGATCGCCGTTTGTGCTTACGAGAGCTTTCATACGGTTCTGACGCTGCGACCGATATACTTCTGCGAGGTGAGGCGGACTTCTCACGTTCGCGGTGCGGCTTTCTATGCTTGCGTCTTCTACCACTGTCTTCGTCACCAGCAGGTGCAGAGACGATGGATGCAGCGCCACGCTCAGACTCGGGCGAGGTGAGGTTTCTTCTCAACTCTACCTCCGTGTCGTCGAGAGAGTGTCCATTATCGTAGTCAGCATTATTTGATTGCGTCTGAGCAGATTGGTCATACTCCCTGACATCCATGAGTTCGATATGGTCATCCCAAGTCATGGCTGACCGAAGCGGAGACCCGATAGCGGGATAGTTGAGCAGACTGTTTCTCTTAGACTTCTTAGGTTTCTTGCTACCAGGGAGCATGTCAAGATCGTCAAAGGCATGGCTGGGAAGAGATGGTCGACGCTCGTAAACTGGCGATGTAGGTGTGGATTGCGAAACAGTGTCTCGAGGTTCTGAGTGTGAAGAATGTGCACGCTGACGGTCGAAATCCTCTGGCTCACTCTTTCTCCTGGTTGGCGATCGAGACCTAGCGTTGTGCACGAGGGCTCCTACTGCCGCTGCAGCACCAATCAATGCATCGACCTCTTCGTAGCGTGAAGATTGCTCATTATGCTTGCGATTTTGTAGTGGTTCAGATCCTGGGGTTGAAACGTATGCTCCTGGTACAACGTCACGTTCTTCCGAGCTGGAACGAGGCTGATGCATACGTGATGAATCACTTTGGTTATCGACTGGCGATCGCTGGTCTTCCACGAGGGATGCTCTCCTTGCTTCCTTGTCTCGTCGCCTTCTCTGCTTCTTGGTCATGAAGTAATCATCCTGGTCTTGCTCGATGATTGGTGGGGACTTGGATCTTTGCGAATGCGCTAGTCCGCTAGGAACTTGTTGTTCTTGCATAATTTGACGTCTCAAATTTTGCACCGCACTGTCAAGCATGTCTTCGGATTGAGGCTCTGGAGTCATGTCATCGAAGCCGCCAGGAATATGAGGCATCTGGTCATCTTGTTCAGTCGCATCATCGATTTCACCTTCGACGAAGCCTTGTACGGGTGGTGCACCTTCTGTACCAGGCGAGTCCATAGTGAAAGCAATATCGTCAACGCTCTCAACAAATGGTTGTTGGTAGAAGCGTTCGGCGGATGCACATGGAGGTTGTCGAGTGATCTCTTCAATGAGATGATCGGCCCCATCCATATCCAGATTTGAAGTGTGACTGGTAGGACTATGTTGGGCTTTTGCTTGAACTGACACCTTTTGAGGCAGTCCATCAGGCAGAACGACGTGCTCTTGAGACGACTCAGGAGTGGTTATCTCGTAGAAACGAGTTTGATCTTCGCCCCAGCTGATTTTACTCGACTTTTGGAGTTCGACATCAGCGATTGACTTCTCGTTAGCTTCGCGTGTGATCCTCTCTGAGGCACTGATCGGTGACTTGTCATCCTTGGCCGATCCCGCGTAGCTTGCAGGAGGTGTAGGCGCAATCACATTGAGCTTGGGAATGTCCCACGGTGCTGGTCCTTTTTTGTCTCGCATATTGGCAAATTGATACGATGGCTGGTATGGTGGTGGTGGCTCGCTGGGCATAGATGCAAGCTGGTCTTCTGACATGTGGTAGACCTGGAAGTCGTTGTCGTCTATCGGTCCATGGACTTTAGTCTTGCCTTTTGATGGTTCGAAAAGCTCTCTCGGCGCGAAGAACTCAGCCTGGGATGGTGCAGGACTTCTGTACTTATCCTCAAGATCAGCGACGATCTTGGCAGCTGCTTTCTTAGCGAGCTCTTCGTGTCGAGCTAGATCGCTGTGACTACGCCTACGGGTGAAGAACTCTGGGTCGATGAGGTCGTCGTCCATGAGAGGCTGACCACTATGTTCGTTGGACGGCTCGTAAGAACGAGTAGCATAGGGCATGCTCGTAGAAACGTTTCTGTCATGTTCAAGATTGTCGTCCGAGAATCTGGGTGACGCACCGGCAGTCGATCGAGAAGTTGAAGAAGGACCAGCTCGAGGACGTGGAGGAGACTCCTGTCTCGCACCTGCCATCTGCTGAGCTTGCCAAGCCTCGCGCTGCTTCTTCTGTTCGGCCTCACAAGCTTGTTCGGCAAGTGCGTTCTGCATGAACTCCCTGGTCTCTTCTCTCCTCCGGCGGTACGCTTCTCGCACCAATGCTTCAGCAGCCGCTGCCTCTCGCATTCGAGTTTGTTGCTGCTGAGTCTGCTCGGCGATGTATCTTTGACGTTCTGCTTCTTCCGCGTAGTGTCTTGCATCTTCAGTAGCCTTTCGGACCGAGTCCTCTTGCATCGCTCTTTCGCGGTCGAGGCGAGCACGCTCCTTCTTCGCTCTAGCCCCCTCCTTGGCTTGGTCTTTGCTCTCTTTAGCGTTGTCTTTGCGATATTGACGTTCCTCTTTCTTGGCTTGCTTTTCAGTGAGTTCGAAACGGACATTACTAGGACTATCGTCTCTAGTTCTGCCCTTGCCATTTGCAAGAATTCCAGCAGCAGCCGCACCTGCTATTCCAGCTATTGCAGCGTTGCGCATAGTGTTATTCGAGACAGGACTCGACTGGGTGCGTCTCAGCTCTGTAGGAATAGTAGGGCACGCAGAGACTCGAGGGCTATATTGATCGTTGTGAGAGGTATCAGGCGGAGTCTGGGTTCCAAATATGCTAGATCGTAGAGGCATCATGGGCTGCGGTTGCTGTATCGGTGTGCCGTTGACATTGTATGATTGTTCTGGGTATACACCGGGCATAGATGGTGATCCACGAACATCAGAATGCATCGGGCTAGAGATCGGAGCCGGGGCCATATATCGCAGTGGTTGCGATGTGGCAAGGCTCAAATCTCTACCGATATGGCTGCGGTTGGTCTGTGACACATCTTTGGTGACTTCTCTCTTGTCTGCCTCTCGACGCCAACGCCAGCTCCATTTGTCAGTGCCGGAGCTCTGAGATGTGATAGATTCGGAGCTGCGTTGTCTTCGAGGTCTCCTTATGCCACTTTCGAAGTCACCAAACGCAAGGCCAGAGGAACCACTCTCGTGATCAGTAGCTGATTCCCAGCCATCCTCCTCACCGCTGTTTTGCTTGCTTCGCTGTGTTGCATGAAGGTGATCTCTATTGCGTAGTCGCGAGGTATCTGCCTTCTTGCTCGTGAGTCTACTTCGCTGCACGGCGCTAAGGGCAGCCGCAGTGGCACCGATGCCTAACAGAGTTGCCTTGAGATACTCGTCAGAGCTTTTGCGAGGAAGCTTCTTGGTCGATTTGCCATTATTGGTAGGCCAGACACCAAATGCCAGGTCGGGGTTGGAAGATGATGAGGACGAGTTGGCAAAATTGAAGAACCCCTTCTTGGTACTTTGCTTGGGCTTACTCCTGTTTGACGGCTTGGAAAGGAAATTGGTAAACATGCTATCCTGCTGCAGTGAGGAGGAGCGAGAAGCTTTTGCTGATGTGCGTCTGTGTGAGCTGGTCAGTCCCAGAATCTGAGCCAGAGAAGGACTCTGACTTCTTGATCGGCTTTTGTATCCTTTGCGGTATGCCGCATGTCGGGAGATATGTCCAGCTCCGGGACTAGGATGACGAACATGGATCTGGTCTTCGGTATGTTGCGAGCCTCCCGCGGTCGCCGAGCCTGACTTGGCAGTACCGTATCGACCATCTTCGGTGACTCTTACGTCCGAGCTCAAGTTTTCCGGTCTGTAAAGGTTGTACATCCCAGCTTTGAGCCGTTCGTCGAAGCTATCATGTTCACCTCTACGATCTTCAGTGCGCTCTGATCTGCTGTCAAGACCGGAGGAGTAATTCTTACCCCTGCGACTGCCATTCCTAGAGACCTCGCTCTTTCTCCCTGATTTGACACTATAAGTGTCGTCGAAATCACGAGAATTTTGCCACAACGACTTTCCAACTTTCGATAGACCGTATGCAGCAACACCAGCTCCTAGCCAACTAGTTCTCTTGCTACGGCGCTCACTGTCGGACGAGTGGTATCTCGCATCCTTGTCTACTCTGCCATAGTCCGATCCGTTCGTGTGAGTTCGGCGGAGAGATTCTCTAGAGCGTCTTCGCAATGAATCAGATGAACGTCTGCCTCCACTGTTATGCTTCCTGGGTGCGTCTGTAGCGGTAGAGCGAGGGTCAAAGCAATACTTGCACACGCCAATGTACTCAGTATACTCTTCCATCTTGCGAACGTCTTCATAGTCCTTCCACCAGTCCACAAATTTGCTTATCGAACCTTTGTGCTTGTGTTGCATCGCCATGGCTCCGGAAGTATACGGCCTTGGAGGAGAGTACCCGTGCGTCTCATCGTGGCTGTTGTCATGACCATTAGGAGCCGAGTGAGTGTACTGATGCATCGTATGATGATGTTGGCTATGAGCATCTGCTACCGCAGCTTCTGCGGCTGCGACATGTGCCAAGTTCTGGCCCGTCGAGGCGTGCTTACCGTGTCCTTGAACTTGACTGGGCACAGGTGTTGTGTAGGAGGTATCAGTATAGGCTGTTGCAGAAGGTACGGACTGAGGGTGCTGGTGTTGGACTCCGTATGAGCTAGTGTGTCCCTGCAAGAGATGCTCGGTTGGACCTTGCGGTTGACTGTATGTATAGTTTTGATTTGCGGCATTGTCGTTGTACGGGACATCAGCAGGAGCAGTAGTGTACGAGTTATTAGGATAGGCAGAGCCGTTAGACATCAAAGGTTCAAATTGTCCTGTAGGACGATTCGATGTCTTGTGTGAGGCGGCAAAGGCTTGCGAGGGCATATTTTGGCTTCCAGTCTCATGAGGCTGCATCGAAACCTGTGAGTAGTACTCAGCAGCAGCGCCTCCAGCCACAACCCCTTGAGTCGTAGCAGAAGTGAACGCTGAACGTGCGAATGTAGAGGGATCTTGACCAGGGAACTGGTCTTGCACACGAGAAGATGTACCAAACGAGTTCTGTGCATACTCTCCTCGAGGTACCAAGCGCTCATCTGGCATGGTTTCTCCAGTTGGAGAGTGGTAATCCAGATCTTCGTCGGACCGCCGACCTGTGTCGTTCTTGTACTTATGGCCAAAGCGTTCCCTCTTGTCTGCATGCCCAGGTCCCGAAGGCAAGTCATCTGCGTGCGAGTATGTGTCTCTCCATTCATCATCTTGCATACCAAGGCTCCTGATCGCCTCCTCCGTCAAAGATCGAGGTTCGAGTTGGTCAAGTCGGTCAGAAGTGGTATAGTAGGTGGAGAGACTAGAGGAGCCATCTACGGGAGGTTGGGTGGATGTTGGCTTTCGGTCATTCTTGGAAGTGCGTTCATCATTGCGAGAGTGTTTGCGATGCGTAGACGAAGATGCTACGGATTCGGTCCGGCGACTCGATTGAACCGTCTTGTTTCGTTTGGACGAGGATGCCGAGTTCTTGCTGCTTAGTGATCTGAACATGGTCGACTAGGTACGTGTGCCAGGCGGCGGTAGGCGCTGTCGCAAATGGTGTGAAGCTTCACCGTAAGAAGCAGCAGGTGAACAATTCAAGTCTTGATTATATCGATTATGCGTCGTGTCTGAGATGCAGTGATTACAAGGTCATGATAGCGTACGAGACATGAGAGGAGTGCGTGAACAAGCAAGCAAGCAAGACTGACGCTCAGAGCAAAGCTCACACAAAGTGCGACGCAAGAGACGAGTGGTGTTTGGTCAATCTATCGTGGCAGGCGCTGGGTCGCGTTCGCGCCTTTTCCCCCATGCATGTTGCAGCTCACCTTTGCCTGCTTGGGTTTGGTGCCCGACCACTATCCCAGCCTCCCGCATTTTGTGACCCCACCCGTAAGCAGGGCAACCGAGAGCTTGTTCTTGAGGGTGGTCGCAGGGTGCCGTTCAGACGTATCCTGCATACTGTAAATGTGTGAGAAGCAGATGTCCAAGGAGAAGCTTTTGTGAGGTTCGACGTCAAAAGGTATGAACGTTGTGCGGGTCCCCGTTCTCCAGTCAAGCTTTGGGGTAGAAACGGCCCGCGCGAACCATCACCGCGTGTCTGTGTACATATCACGAGTCAAGACCGCGATTAAACAAGAAGTTCAGAAAGACATGAAGGAACATTGTTTGGTATTTGGAGCGGACTATAACGCTCTTGGTGCTCAACTTTGTATGTGAGTGATCAACTATTGTTGGGGATACCGCCATGTCATGGCGGAAATGCCATCATTTGCTGTGGCCCGCTATGATGTGGCTCTGTGATATCATGGCCAGACGTGCGTCGCTTATGTCGCTGGCGAAGTTTTTGTAGGAACAGAATCGCTGCAAGCTCATCCTGCTTTCATCTAGCGATTCAAGGGACGCCTTTGTGGTTGAGCCAAACGCTATTGGGTGACGCTGTGACTTGGGTACCTTATAATGCCATCCAGTACTTGTGGTAGGCGAATGCTTTTTGAGCGAACGTGACTTAGTTGTAAGAAGTCACGATCTTCAGGCAACTGGCGCACCAAGCTGAGCACGTAGAGCAATGATCTGCTGGCGAGACACGGGATCGAGTTGATTGATTTGGTCGATGGTCATGGACAAGACCTGAGCGATGAGGTCCTGCTGGCTAGCCGCTGCTGCCTGTTGAGGAGGTGGCGGTGGTGCGAAAGCGGGCTGTTGGACAGGCGGTGTGGGTTGGTGATATTGTTGTGGAGGGTATCCAGGGAAGCCAGGCTGAGGAGTAGGGGCATAGGCGGCCTGGGGAGGCTGGGGCATGGGTGGTGGAGGAACAGGCATCTGGGCGTTCTGAGGAGCAGAGGCCTGGACGATACTGCTCAGCATGCTCGTGTCGACGAGGCCTAGGAGGAGAAGTGCTTGGAAGATGGCGTAGGCGAGTTGAGGAGCTTGGCGCAAAAGCTCGGTGGCCTGGTTGGGATCTGACATTACGAGACCCTTCATCTGCGAGATGATATCAAGCAATTGAGGAGCTGGGATCGCGCTGAGTGTCTTGGAGATGGCATCGGGGCATGTCAAGCCTGCGGGCAGGTCGGTGCCGGGTGGAAGCGGAGGGAGCATCGGGGGCTGCTGGTTTGAGCTATCGCCGGGATTTGACTGTTGTATGGTACTGTTGTTCGAGTTGTCATTGTTCCCACCGCCTCCACTGTTATCGTTGGACCAGTCGACGCGCAGCTTGCGGCCCATGATCTCGTGGTCATTGAGGTTGCGCACAGCAGAGGCAGCGGCATCTGGGTCTGCAAACTCGAGGAAACCAAAGCCCTTTGGTCTGCCAGTCTCCTTGTCGTGTACCAGTCTAAAGTTGTTCACCGAGCCGACTCTTCCAAACGTGTCGATGATCTGTTCCTCGCTAACACCTGTATCTTGGTCAGTCTTTGTCGCGTGTCAGGTACGAGGGCACGCGTATACCGTAAGGGATGTTGCCGATGAAGACGACTCTTCCATTCTTTTCGGGCGCCATGGTGGATGAATATGTGTTGAATGAATGTATGTTCGTATTATTGCCGAGACGCAGCTCGAAGCGCAGGACGGCTCGCGACAAGCTCGCTCTCACTCCCGCCCGCCATCCAAAGCCTTGGCTTCCAACCATGTGAATGTCAAATACTCTTGACAATCATCATCACTGTTGGAAAACAAGAGATACACCTTGTCAAGATCGCTGGAGTGCTCCCGCGATCGCTTTCGAACGACAATCTAGAGAAGGTATTGGTGCGTGTATTCATGGCACAAACTGTGTAGTATCTCTATGGGCTCAGATTGATATATGCTGATTTCGCGATTTATAGCCTCATCCAGTCAATAGACATCCAGGAGACATGAAGATCTAACACCCAAAATGGTCTTGCACACATGTCCTTAAGCGATTATCTGCGAATGTGTGCAGTTGTGTGCTGTTGATATTTGCAATTTAATGTCGAAATTGGTTGTTCGAGGGTCGACCCTGTATACTAGCCGTATGGAGCCCATACCAGTTCAACATCGTGTTCTTTCCGAGATACTAGACTGACCAGGTCCAAAACTGCAGGAGTCTTAGAAGTTCTTTGCAAGGCTGTGCGTGATGATGTGTACTTCTCAGCGTCCGCAATATAATGTCGAACATAAAAGTACATTTCCCGAAGAATTGTTTGTACAATAGACAGCATCAAAGCATCCTAGCAGTTCAAACTTGACTGTTTCTAGGCCTGACTTCCAGCGTCTCCCAGGCTTCCTCGCCTGCTAGACCTCTAAGCAGCCTGCTTAGCCTCTAGCAAGTTCTTCTCAGCCTTCTCATTCCTCTTGATAGCCTGCTCCTTATTGTGCTTCGCCCTCTCATCAATCTTTCCAACTGCGTGTTTACCACCCGGCAAAACTCCCTTTGGCAGCTTCTGTCCCTTGTTGCCCAGAAGTCCAGCATTCTTTGCGCCCTTCTCCCCCTTTCCAGCCTTAACACCCTGCCCAGCTTCCACCTCCATAGCGTCCAACTTTGCGATCGCAGACTCGGAGCCTTGGGCAGCTGCACGGCGAAGACTGCGACGTTCCTTCTTCGAGTGGCGTTTGGCGTTGTATGCGGCTTCGGACTCGCCTGCGCTGGGGATGGGCGGCCGTTGGGTGATTGGTGTGCCGAAGGGCACCAGAATTTCCGAGACGACGTGGTGGACGTGTTTTGCGGCGCGGAAGGGTCTGAGAGCTACGACGTCGCCGATGTTGAGGGAGGACTTGGGGTCGTGAACTAGGTGGTCTGAGTGGTCCTTGAAGTGCTACGACGCGGAAGGAAGTGATATGTCAGCGAGATGTTCTCAAGCGCATATGTAGCATTGGACTGTGGAGAGGATTGAAGGGTGATGATTACCTTTCTCAAGTAGTTGTTCCATTTCTGACTGGGTAGCCTGACTTTGACTGTGTTTTGCATCTTTCCAGCGCTGACTACGACACCGACGGGTCGCGACTTTCCAGATGTGCTTCCTTCCGTCTCTTTTGAGCTTGCGATCTTGGACTGTGCATCCTGGACTACTGGTGGAGTGATGGGCGCTGTGAGGTCTGAAGGAACGGGGAGTGTTGTTGAAGCGGGTGCGACTTCAGTGGCGAAGGATCGTGTAGAGCGCCAGGCTTGAATAGATGGGCGCGTGCCTGCGAAGGCCCTCAATGGGAGGCTGAGTGTCCTGCTGGCCATGGTTGTGTGATGTGCTTGTCCGCCTTTGTCAATTCGCGAAAGTAGATTTCCAACTTGTCGGTCTCGGTGCACAGACCACATCGACTTCCCGCATCATCTCCTCCCCATATGCACAATTATGACACGAAGACAGCTATGGAAATGCACAGTTCCTTTATTGACCAAGAGGCACTCATCGCACGTGTTGGTTTTGATCGGCTCTCCATGGCCGCTGCTACCGTCTAGAAGGGACTGTGCATTATGATGGCTTCTGATTGTCAACGTGAGAGCGAGTGGTAGCGACCAAATTTAGCACACGACGGCTTTTGACCTTGCCCCCCTGCTTCCTTCTTTCCAGCTTTCCCACCGCAACCCATTCCTTTCCAGCCGACATCCTTGAAACCCTTTGATTCCTACTCACTTCCATTGAATTCTACGTTGGCCAAGTGGAATGTCGACTTTTAACGCACCACTTCACACAGAGATTGTTTGACCATCAAAATGATTCGACAAGAACCACGCTTCATTGCAGCACTCTGAGCCTGTCATTTACCAACAAGACTATCGACAACTTTCTCATGCCTATTGATCCCCTGCAGGACTCACGGCGCGCAGACCATGTCGGCTCTGGAGCCAGGCACAGAGTCAGCCTCAACGACCAATGAACTCCAGCAATACCGCCAAAATACAGATGAGCCGCGCAGGTGTCGAAATAAGCGCGCGGGACAATCGGATGACAGTCGTGATCTCGGCGAGCGGCAAGCAAAACGAATGTGCCGCCAACGCATCACGCACATAATCGAAATGGAAAAGACCGCCAAATCCTCATCAAAAGGCAGACAATGGACGAAGAAGGACCTTCAATCCATCATCTCACGAGTACTGAAGGCTCCTTTCCTGGAAGCATCGGCGTAAGTCCGCTATCCAGACACATGAGAGATGGCTCCTGTCCATCCATATCTCGGCCTTGTCCTGACCATTGTTCAGCTTTCATTCTTCGGCTTCGGTAGTGGGCAATACGGTCAACATCCCCTCGGTCCCAGCCTACGTCCTCGAAGACCTCCGACCTCTACTTGCATTGAATTCTACCACTGCCAGGTGGAAAATTGACTTCCAACGTACCAGTTCACGGAAAGGCCGTTTGACCATCACAATGCCTTCTCATTCGCATGAAAGGTTCATCGATGTCATGGAGGACATAGAGAATCAGATGCGAGCTAGCTTTGTGCCACAAGTAAAGCGCAAGGTCATCTGGCAGACACGCAATACCGAGGTCAAAACAGACTCGAATGACGACATGGAACCTGATGGAGGGTTATCATTTTACAAGCCTGACAGAACATTCCTCGTGCTTGAGGTTGCTCATTCGCAGAAAGAGAAGAAAGCTCGACGAAAGGCTCAACGTTACGTCCTGGAAACCAATCGGAAAATCAAGATCGTGGTTATTGTTATCGTCAACAAAAGGCCAACTCCAAAGGGTCAATCTACTACGTCTGTCAGTCTGTCCGCAGAGACTGATACTGTGCACGTGGCTGTGTGTAAGTCTATTGAGGAACCCGACGCTATCACGGGCGAATACGTGGTGGATAGATTGCAAATCTTTCCCGGTCCAGTCCCAGAGAAAACATTTGACATCACGTGGTCTGATGTCAACAGAGGCCCTTGGGACAGGTTTCGGGATGGTATGCGCCTACCACTTGACACACCTGAGCCCGTGTGTCATGTCAATTTCCAGGATCTCCACCGGATCGCCATGGCACTTGCGAACGACCCCAACTCTCCGGTGACGACGACAATGTGGGACTCAGATGCCGAAACCCCCCCACCCAAGAAAGCAGGCAAGATCTTCGATCCTAGCTCGAGCCCAGACAAGATCCCTTCAAGCTCAAGCTCTGGCTCAAGTGCGGAGGGTCGACGAGTAGATCCAAGTTATTCGCATTCTGAGACCTCGTCTAATGAGTCAGATTGAGTTGAACAGCCCGGCGTAATAGATACCGTGCGGGACTCAAACTCGAAGCGATTCCCACATGTCGAATTTGGAAGCTGTCAAGAAGGAGTGTCATACTCTCCCTGCGTGTAAAGATCGTCGCGCGAATAGCTATAGAAAACGCACAGCCCTTTGAGCAGGTATGGAGTCCCCCACAGGAAAGTCGTGCTCTCTTTGGATCTCGCTATCGTCTTTGAAAGGACTGTGCACTCTGATAGGTCCAGCTCTGCCTCTGTTTCCTTGTGAGAGCGGTGTGGGGAGCGAAAGCATTCAGCACAATGAAGAAGACGTACTCCAGAAATGCAAAATGTTCCAAGAAGGTCTACTTCAAGAGTTCCAATTTCTTGTTCTCGTGGAGTTAGCATTACGCATGTTCAAATTGCACTTGATTGTGAATTACCACAGACGTTCGTCTAGACTGTACATGTGACTCGTCACAGGCTTCAAGCTGGATGTGGAAGAAGAGCAACATGCACTCTTCAAGTGTCTATAGTGTCATGACTGATAAAACTAACATGATTCCACCATCCCGTGTTGACCCATGAGGCCATCGCTATCTCTCCTTACGCCATAAACGCCAGTCCATGCCATCGTGCCTCCAAAGTCGCGTTTGACTCTAACCAACCTCTTAGAGAGCGGTCTGGGCTCTCTTTGCGTCAGGTCTCCTGGGGGTCGAGGTACCAGAGTTTGTGCCAGAGTTCAAACCAGAGCCAGTGCCTTCGTTGTCCTGGTTGGCAGTGCTCTTTTGAGTAGTCTCTTCGTGCAGCTTTCCATCAAGCGCAGACTGCTTGACCTTGATCTTCTTCTCGGCCTGCTCAGAGATTCTGGTGAGTTCATTGACGAAAGACTCGCCCCACCAAGCACTGGTGTATTTGTTGACGTATTTGGCGAGCTTGTGGTAATTGATGCTTCTCTGCTCGTCTCCCATGGTGACAGCGTCGTGGATGGCATCGGCCAGTTCTTCCGTGTTCCAGGGGTTGACGATGATGCTGCCGTTGAGACTCTGAGCTGCACCGGTGAATTCGGACAAGATCATGGAACCGTGGCGCTTCTGCTGAGTTGCAATGTATTCGTACGAGACGAGGTTCATGCCGTCTCTGGTCGAAGAAACGAGACAGACATCACTGACAGCGTAAAGTGCGATCAGCTCGTCGAAAGAGACTGACTTGTGCATGAAGTGGATGGGCATGAATTCGATGGTTCCTAGCACTTGTTAGTCGACTATCAATGCTTATGTATTCAATGTGCATACCGAATTTGCCGTTGATTCTGCCGACAAGTTCGTTGACAACAGCACGGAGGTTCTGATACTCCTCAACGTCCTGTCTCGAAGGGACGGCAACCTGAACCAGCACAACCTTGCCGATCCATTCGGGGTGTTCTGTCAGGAAAACCTCGAGAGCGTGGAGCTTCTGAGGAACACCCTTGATGTAATCGAGACGATCAACACCGACAATCAGCTTGACGCCTTGGAACTTCTTCTCGAGTGTCTGGATACGCTCGGCAACCTTAGGCTTCTTGAGGCCTTCTTCGAACTTCTCGGGATCAATACCGATGGGGAATGCACCGACGGTGACGACCTTGCCCTGGAACTCGACCGTGTTGGGCGTTGTTGGCAGTCCACTAGAAGATGTCAGTAATCGTGTTGCAACTCAAGCAGAAGTTCAAACCTACAGGATTCTGGAACAACTGCTGAGGAAGTGTCTAGCATAATCATAGGTGTGGAATCCGATCAAGTCGCAGTGCAGTACACCGTTGAGAATCTCGTTACGGACAGGCAAGATTCTGTAGATCTCGCTACTGGGGAAGGGAGTGTGGAGGAAGAAGCCGAACTTGACGTTGCGCTTCGAGTCGCCAATCTCTTCGCGGAGCATAGCGGGCAGAAGCATGAGATGGTAGTCGTGAACCCAGATCAGATCATTATCTTGTACGTCCTTTGCGATCTCCTTTGCGAACAGACGGTTGGCTTCCTTGTATGCATTCCAGGCGGACTCGTCGAAGGTGATCTCACCGGGGTGGTAGTGGAAGAGGGGCCAGAGGATTGAGTCTATCGCACAGTCAGTACGGGGAAGCCTGAAGACTGGAGCAGAGTGACATACTAGAGAAGCCATTGTAATGTCTGTCGGCCAGTTCATCGTCCATGAAGATGGGGACTGCGCCATACTCTTTCCATAGTCTGTCCTTGACGAGACCGATCTCGTTCTGAGGAACCTGAATACCGGGCCAGCCATACCACTGGAACTTTGTCGTCTTTGCGAGTCCGGAGAGACCACTGACTAGACCACCGGAGGACATGGAGAAGTCGTAGGTAGCGTCATCGGAGCGCTTGATGGTGATGGGTAGACGGTTGGAAACGAGCAGAAGACGACCCTTGCCATCGCTGGCGGGCTCTGAAGGATTCGACATGGTCGTTTATGTGTCCTGTTTAGAGGGAGAGTCTCTCTGTCGCAGAGTGTTAGTATGCTTGGGGAAGTTGTAGCTGCGCGAAAGCAAAGGGAGCGGCAGCAAGTGACCAGCCACGATAGGCTGTCACATGTCGATTGGTACTTACTTTGGTGAAGTTCGGAAGAATCAGGATCGGCAAACAGAAGGTAGCAAGACCTTTTATTGTTGGGCACAGAACAAGGAAAGATGTGATGTATTTGTGAGTAAAGAGCCGGGATTCGACTACAAGCTTGCTTTGGACGCTTGGGGCTGGGGTGGAGCACTGGAGATGCGGCTGAAAATGCCCTGTCCAAACTCAATGGAGCTTGCTGTGGTGCTGTACAGAGTACTGGGTGCTTAGGCAATCAGAGATAATTTAGGGGTAGTCACAGGGAAGTTATATATCGATCTTGTAGCAGGCTTCAGGCCCTGTTTACAGCTGGAATAGAAATTCTTGGAAATGTTGAGGATACGCCTTTGCCAACTCTGCGAACATCGAAGGTTCCAGGAAAGACCCGTGCGAGGAAGTTACGAAAAGTGACGTATAAGGAAAAACAGCTTGAAAAGCGTCTGTGGACCCGAGATTGTGACGGGGTTCATATACAGACAGCAGTTCGACCCGTAAACGAGACAATGGTAGAGTAGGTACGGAGTAGACTAGCAGTCAAGTTGATAGTAGACCTGCTCTTCCGGCAGTCGTGGTGTTTCACGCAAAAGGCGATGCAGCTCGCCGTACGAGGAAGGCACTCCGAAACGTCAAACGTGGGGCAGCTGCGCGTGAAGTGACTCTGCGACGCGTCTTCCACCAAAGTTACTAGTCTATACTCTATACCACAACATTCACGTTTCGCAAACATGTCCTCCGAGTCTGAGCTGTCTGATGCAGCACATCCTTCCGATGCCGTTCTAGAAAAGACACTTCGCGACATTGTGCGCAAGGCTGAAGTCGATCCTATAACCGTTAAGAGAGTGCGCACCGCCGCCGAGGAACGTCTCGGACTAGACACTGGCTTCTTCAAGGATCATGACGGATGGAACGAAAAGAGCAAGGAAATCATTGAAGCTGCATTCGTACGCCAAAACACATCCATTGCATCCTGCCATCGTATAAACTAACGATCTAAGAATGAATCCTCCCAAAAATCTCCCTCGCCCGAACCCACCCCACCAAAGAAAGCCCCCAAGCCAAAATCCACAAAGAGATCTTCAACGACTAAACCAAAACCAGCTCCTAAGCGTCAGAAGCGTTCCGGCTCAGAATCAGAACATTCCGAGTTCGAGTCCGAGGAGGAAACGCCCAAGCCAGCTTCAAAGAAATCCACAACCACCAGGAAGCGTGTGAGCAAAGAAACTGTCGACTCTAACGAGGAGGAAGTCGGTGACAACATAGTTGACCCGGACGGTGACCTGTCAGTAACAGAAGATAAGGATGACGAAGCGAAGGCTGCAGAAGATTCGGAGAGCGAAATGTCGGTAGTCCTAGACGAAGCACTACCAAAGAAACAACGCAAGAAGAGTGCAAGTGCCGGTACCAAGGCCAAGGCAGCGCCCAAAGCAAAGACGATCAAGGCTTCTGCTAAACCTGCGAAAGAAGAGACACCCGACGAAGCTGAGATTAAGCGTCTCCAGGGCTGGCTCGTGAAGTGCGGAATCCGAAAGCTCTGGCATCGCGAGCTGGCTCCTTATGACGCACCAAAAGCCAAGATCAAGCACCTCAAAGAGATGCTCAAAGATGCTGGCATGGACGGACGTTACTCTGAGCCAAAGGCCAAGGCCATCAAAGAGCGAAGGGAACTGGAGGCCGATCTGGAAGCTGTGCAGGAAGGAGCAATGAAATGGGGTAACGAGAGCGGTGAGGATGGCGGATCGGACGAGGCTGAGGCTGCCCCTAGATCTCAACGCAGAGCAGCTGCAAACCGCTTCGTAGACTTTGGCGAAGACGACGATGATGATGACGAGTAATGATTAACGAGGATGAAAGGTATCCAAAAGGGCTTCATCGTTGCGCGGTCGATCGTTGAGCGACTATGCTGAAAGCAGCGACCGACGAGATGAACAAGACCAAGTTGTAGAACTAGAAGCATTGCTGTAAGCATGTATTCATACGAGGTGTTCTGTAACACAGATGCTGGATATGTGGCGCATCAACTTTCAAGAGCCATTTAATGCTCCCTCTCAGGAATGACACAGTGTAGCCGTCGATACATGATTATTTCCAAATCAGAAGTGCGTCCGTAGAGGCAATCTTTATACTGTCTCTCTGAATTCCCACTTCCTTTCGGGAAACATTGTGCATTTCTACAGCCGTATAACGCGACAGTGAGCACACGAGATACCGTGCGAGGCCTCGACAAGTGAAACATCTCCTCCGAAACCTATTCGCCCACAGCGGTGATGGAAGATACCTTGAGAGATGACAAGAAGATAGTAGATATGTGTGGTAACTTACGGCATTTCTTGAATATGCGCTCTCCTCTGCTTCGGTACGAGCTTCGACAAAGAGGCGACGAAGGTTGGGCAGATTGGACGGCTACTCAAGATCAGCACGTGTGCGAGAAAAGATTGAAAGCAGCAAAGTACCATAATTCTTATTGGACTTGTGCTTGGGATGGTAAGAAGGGCATGAGCAACACGTCGAGGTTCTTGAGGACGATGCTTATGCATGCATAAAGTTGTGCGCCCCTCCACGTCAATCACAAGTGTGGAAGCTGGAGTCCAGAGCAGGGAGCATCAACAACCCTCATTTCATTGACACTTTGACATTCTACTGTACAGCCTCGACTGCAGCCCCGCCATCCGACCGAACCCTCTGGATATAGGCCAACAGACTTGGAAGAGCTGGGAAACACAAAGACAACAACAAGATGGCGGTAAACCGACTCCGCAGTGCGCTGGCGGTGCCTCGTAAGGGCGAGACGTATGAGCTCCGCGCTGGCCTGGTCTCGCAATATGCCTACGAGCGCAAGGAGTCAATTCAGAAGACCATCATGGCCATGACCCTGGGAAAAGATGTGTCGGCACTGTTTCCCGATGTGCTCAAGAACATAGCCACTGGCGACCTGGACCAGAAGAAGCTCGTCTACCTATACCTTATGAACTACGCCAAAAGTCATCCCGATCTTTGTATCCTGGCCGTCAACACTTTCGTACAAGACTCAGAAGATCCGAACCCTCTGGTTAGAGCACTGGCTATCCGTACTATGGGATGCATCCGAGTGGACAAGATGGTCGATTACATGGAAGAGCCGCTACGGAAGACTCTACGAGACGAGAGTCCGTATGTGCGCAAGACTGCTGCTTTGTGTGTCGCCAAGCTGTTCGACCTCAACCCGTCCATGTGTCTGGAGAACGGCTTCCTCGAGACACTTCAGGAGATGATTAGTGATTCTAACCCTATGGTTGTCGCCAATTGTGTCACTGCACTGGTCGAGATTGGAGAAGCCGCCCCCGAGACGAATGCCTTGATCGTAACGCCACAGACTTTGAAGAAGCTGCTACTCGCCCTCAACGAGTGTACCGAGTGGGGTCGCATTACCATTCTGTCCACTCTGGCCGACTACAAGCCCAACGAGCAGAAGGAAGCCGAGCACATCTGTGAGCGTGTCGTGCCACAGTTCCAGCATGCCAACCCTAGTGTCGTCCTGGCTGCTGTCAAGTGTGTCTTCCTGCACATGCAAAACATCAACCCGGAGCTCGGCAGGACCTACGCTAAGAAGATGGCTCCTCCGCTTGGTATGTGTGCTTGACAGATGGCCGCGATGCAATCACTAATCAGCTTCTTATAGTCACCCTCGTCTCGTCTCAACCCGAAGTTCAATACGTCGCTCTGCGCAACATCGATCTCCTCCTCCAGAAACAGCCCTCACTCTTGTCCAAGGAGATGCGCGTCTTCTTCTGCAAGTACAACGACCCACCGTATCTCAAGTTCCAGAAACTCCAGATCATGGTTCGCATTGCCAACGACTCAAACGTGGAACAATTGCTTGCCGAATTAAAAGAGTACGCTATGGAAGTCGACATGGATTTTGTCAGGAGAGCCATCAAGGCCATCGGTCAGGTTGCAATCAAGATTGAGAATGCTTGTGAAAAAGCTGTCAACGTTTTGCTTGAACTCATCAACACCAAGCAAGCTTATGTTGTGCAAGAGGTTGTCGTGGTTATCAAGGATATCTTCAGAAAATACCCTGGCTATGAGGGTATCATCCCCACACTGTGTCAATGCATCGATGATCTGGACGAGCCAACTGCAAGAGGTGCCTTGATCTGGATCGTTGGCGAGTATGCTGAGAAGATCAGTAATGCTGGCGATATCCTGTCTGGCTTTGTCGATGGTTTCGCAGAAGAATTCACTCAGGTATGCTTTCTTAGATTTGCGTTTGGCATGGACAATCGCTAACAAAACCAACAGACACAATTGCAGATTCTGACTGCCGTGGTCAAACTCTTCTTGAAGAAGCCCGACCAAGCGCAGGGACTGGTGCAAAAGGTTCTCCAAACCGCAACAGTAGAATGCGACAACCCAGACATTCGCGACAGGGCATACGTCTACTGGCGACTACTGTCAAGCGACCCTCAGATCGCAAAGAACATCGTCCTAGCCCAACGACCAGCCATCACCTCGACAATCTCAACTCTGCCGATACCCCTACTCGACTCACTCATGCCCGATCTATCGACGCTCGCCTCGGTATATCACAAGCCGCCACAAACTTTCCTCGGCCAAGGTCGCTCATTCGCAAACGCCCTCCAACAAGCCGCCATCGAAGAAGCAGCCCAGAACGCACGCGAGAACCCACTGGCAGCAGCCGCCGCCGCGGCCGCCGTTTCAGGCCAAGCCAGCACGGTACAAAGCCATGCCGAAAACCTTCTCGATATCGACTTCGACGGCGCCGCACCAGCAAGCATGCAAAAAGCACCTCCTGGTGGATCCTCGGGACTCGAAGGTCTTGCAGGCACACCCATGCGCGTTGCTAGCCCTACAGCTAATGAACCTATGGGAGGTGGCATGGAGGACCTGATGGGTATCTTTGGATCATCGGGCGGTGCTTCTGCTGCTCCTGCTACTGGGGGGTCGGGTGCTGATGATTTGATGAATGGGTTTGGGGGTCTAAGTATGGAGGCCTCGCAGCCGCCGCCACCGCAGACACAGTTGCATGGAGGTGGCAACAAGGCCAACGAAGACATTTTGGGGTTGTTTTAAGAAAATGCACAAAGCTGTAGTCGCTGTTTCCGACCCATATCATCCTGTTGCTAAATTTTCTAAGCGAAAGTCGTTGCATCTTCTAGAATTATATGCCTGTTTTCTTTTTTGCTTTCGCTTGTGCCCTGGAAACGATCAAAACCTCCACAGACATAACAACTTGTCGTAAAAACTAGTCGACACAATGGTTCGCGGTCCACTGTATCCGCTTGCTTCGGGTTGCGCATCACTGCCATAATTCATACTCTTGTGTTGCTCAAACTTTGCCAGCACCTCTATACTCCAATCGCCCTTGTCATCGTCTGCTTGAACACGCACGATTCTGGTGCCTGCATGCATGCAACTTGCCAGAACCGTATATCTGCACCTCTGTCAGTCTTCTTTCTTTTCCTTCACTGAAAGCTGCAAAAGGGTGTACAGGGAAGTTGTTGGGAGAAGAAACTTACGATCGTGCTTGAGTGTCTTGGTGTAGCGGTTGCAGTCGCCAAACACCGCCTTCGAGGTTTTCTTCTGCGAGGATTTGTTTCCTGCCTACAAGAGGTGCGGAGAGAATGCGTATGTTATCGTCATAACTGCCTGTGATGAGGATGTTGTCTTCAAGTGCCAGAGGCAAAATGGCGGTGACGCCTGCCTGGTGGGAACGGCGGTCTTGCCACTGTACGGGTGTGAAGTCGTTTCCTTCTTCTTGACCTTCTGATGTCGCAAGAGTGGAAAAACGTAAACTTGCGTCGTCGCCGCCAGAGTAGATGGCACTGCCATTGTGAGAGAAGACCAATGTCCAAGCTTCCAATTCGTGCTCCAAGATTTGGGTTCCCGTGCCTGTTGCTTCTTCTACCGAGACAGCGGTATCGACAATATAGACACCGCCGTCTGATGCTGTTACACCCAGTTTGTTTGCTTCGACAGGATGCCAAGCTAACGATAAAGCTAGGATTGCTGGATCGAAGAATTGGTAGGTAGAGAGGGATTCTAAGGATGTGGTGGCGGCAGAGAAACGGAAGAGTTGGAGACATCCTGTTGAGCCTGCTACGGCTAGAAGAGAAGGGTCGTGGGGCGAGAAGTGCAGGTCGAGGATTGCGTAGGGGGTGGGTGTTGTTGAAATGGTGATGCTGGACAGAGACATGTGAGACTTCTCGATGTTTGGCAAGGATACGAGGTGGAGGAGGAAGATGTTTGTTCCTTCTTGGTGTCTTTGGACGTATATGTGGTTCCGTTGTCTTTTGAAGTGCAAGAGCATATAGACGAAAGAATCGTAAAGACAGAAATTGGGGACGTATGGAAGGCAATACTTACATCTCATCACCTTCAACCTTGAACAGAATCAATGATCCAGTTCTAGTCTGAGGTTTTTTTCCAACATCTTCGCTCTTGTCCTCTTCATCTTTGCTCTTTTCCCCCTCAGCTACACTAGCATCTTGTTCTCTCTTTTCCAGAAAATATGTCCCGACCACAAAGTAGTCTCGCGCTGCGGAGCAAAATTCAATACAGCTAGGAGGTAGATCCAGAACCAGGGATTTGATCGAGTCGATTGAAGTCATTTCTGTTGCTTGCTGTCGTGGTCAACCGTAGGTATGCTCGTGAGCTCGAATTTTTGTGGTCGGAGATGTCATGGTCGTTATATCCGGGCTATAACCGAGTTCTACCAACTTATAGAAAACATGTTCATGAGACGAGAGGTATTTCAAGTTGATCTTTGCAAGACGCACAGGCTGTATGATAGGTTATTCACTTTACACTGGCTCTTCTTGGAGCCAGAGGGTGCAGATATAGTAGTCAGTCATGTCGAGTTCTTGGAAACGCAAGGCACATCAGAATTGATATAATAAAGATTAGGGGTTTGCTATTTCAACTAAGAAGACGCTCAACTTATAAACTCATGACAAAGGCACTGATCGCAATTTGGAGGACATCAATTAATTAACGTGGTCGGAAACCGCAGTCTCCCAGTTCACAAGGTCTGCTCCGTACCTAGCCGAGAACACGAGAAGCTACACTGCGAGCATGTTCGTGGTCGTGCTCGTCAGTAGCGTAGGATGTCTCGGTAGGCTGGGCTGAGGTCTGGGTCTGGTATGCAACTGGCTCTTGACCAACGACAGAGGGCTCGGACGAAGTAGCGTACTGGTCGGCGTGCTGAGTGTACTCAGACTGCTGGGTAGGGTATTCAGACTGTTGAGTAAGGTGCTCGGAGTGCTGAGTGGGGTACTCGGACTGCTGGGCGTAGTGCTGAGTGGGAGCAGCACCTTGCGAGGACACGGGAGCAGCGGGCATGGCGTTGGTACCAAGGTTACCAGCGTTGGTGTGAATGGGCTCAACGTTGGGAGTCCAGGCTCTAAGCTCGTCTTCGGCAACGTTCAAGACTTCTCTTGCAGTCTCAGCGTGGGAGAAGGTGGGGTGGACGTCTCCAGGGACAATGGGAGTATCGTCGACGAGGTTAAGCAACTTTCTTGCGTTCTTGGCCAGCAGGATCTGCTTCTCGGCGCGCTCGATGATAGCGGCGGTGTGAAGGTCGTAGGCCTCCTTGAACTTCTGGCGGGTGATGTTGGTAAGCTGAGCCTCGGCGACGAGAGACTGAGCCTCTGCGCGGACGAGCTCCTGCTCGAGGGTGACAATCTTGACAGAGCTGGGCTCCTTGTACTTCAGCTTCTGGATCTCGTCGGCAATCTGGAGATGGGTTAGTATGTTTGCTTGTCGTGTGTAAAACTTCATAACGAACCTTGGCCTTTTGGTCGCGCGAGGGCTGAACTGAAGACTCGGTGTTGCGGATCTGCTTGAGGACACCTCTGCTCTCCTCAAGGCCGGAAGCCAGAACATCCTCCTGCTCGGCGATCTCAGCCAGCAAAACACCAAGCTTGTCTGAGATCTCCGAGATGGCGTCGTCACCAGTCTCCTCACCCCAGTCGCTGAGTTGGGAGGCGATGTTGGCCTGCTCCTTGGCAGCAGCTTCGTATGCGCCAATGGCGTGGTTCTCGGTCTTGATCAAGCGGTAGAGCTTCTTGGAGAGATCGGGCTGTTGGTGGCCGCGGAGACTGGCCATGGTGAAGCGGTGCTTGTTGGACGACTTCTCGCCGCTCTGGCCCTTTGACCGGATGGAGAGGGAACGGTTCCTGTCGAAGGCATCAGAGATGAACAAGAATATTGGGACAGGCATGGCGAAAGCTCGATATTACTGACATGATGAAAATAGGAGAATCTGGCTTTGTAAGTTAGGTATGTGCTGAGTGATGGCCCAACAGAGTCGCAGTTGCAGTTTACGTCTCTGTGTTTGAATGAGAAAGAAGTTTGGAATCAGGAATGCGCAGAGGAAACAACGACGCAGAGAGGCGCATCCGGAGGAAGCTGCGACGTCATGGGGTCTCACATGCTCGCCTGCCGTTGCCGATCAATTCGAGGGGTCCAGCCACTCGGTGCGCGTCCTTCTGCCTTTCGTATCCATACCGGTGCTTCCGCTATCTCGATTATCGAGTCTTGTCTGTCGAGTGTTCAATGAAGTCTTGCTTCTGGGCTCGACCTCGTGCACTGCTTGATCATCCTGAGTCTGAGAGGAAACGAACAGGCTTCATTGCAGACATGAAATCCAACGTTATCAACAACCAGAGTGGACTTGACGTTTCTCGTAACCATTGCGTATAAAACATTACACCTTTCCAACATTATCTTCCATCCCCATCATAATCGTACAGTGTTTGCAATCCTCGACTCAGCCAGTCATGAGCATCATCTCTCGACCACTCTGATGTCGCGATGAGAATAGTCGATTGAAGGCTGGCTCGAGCGATAGACGTAGCGCACCGGAGCGTCGCTGGACCGATAATCGTTGCCATGGTTGCTGTATCTTCGACGATTCTTCGGAAGTGGTGATGTCCGTCGAGCTGGCCTAGCGTGATAATTGGAAACATGTCGTGCTGGCTGGTTCCAATCTCTTCCGACGCGCTCTTCTTTGCTCGTGATAATGCACATATTGTCCTAAGTCGATGCAGCTATTCGGCGGGGTCGATGGCGTGTTGGGAACGTGTTTGGTGGCTTCTGTGATGGTTTCGAGATTTGTCTGGAGAGGACAATTACTTATCGATCGAAGATGGGTATGAGCCTCTGTTTGACGAGTAGGTTGCAAGACCACAGCAAACTCTTGAGTCGCTCACGATACTTCCCGTGCCTCTATTCCGTGCCTCACAAAAATCATCATCGTTCATATGACGCGGCTGACCCTGTCCGGATTATGTGGCGTCAAGCCAGACCTCACGGAATACAGACATCTGAGAGTTGAAAGGGTGTCGCATACAAATCGACCTTCCGACTGGTATGAACATGCTGTTCTTGAGCACTGGAGACTCCACGTTTGTCCTGGCGTCCACCTGCCTCCTACGACTCCATCTTTCTAGGGCGGCAAACAACGACTTGCGAGCTCTGAAAATACACAAAGACCTCGAAGACAGAGGAGTATCCAAAGAGAGTCGAGAAAGAGACTGCAGTTCAATGATGACTATCTTCATTATCGACGACATCATGCACTCTAATTGTTACTATTGTGCTCCTTTTTGCGCATGGAGTTGTCAGCGGATCTCTCTAAGCTAATGTGGCCAACCTTTGCCGTACGCCAACTCCTCCTCATCACGGTCCAAAGAATCAGGAATGACGATTGCCGAATGTTCTCTGCCAGGAGTTCTAGGAGCTTCTCCTTCTCCCACAAGACCGCTCATACGATCCACATCCATGGGCTCACCAGAGTCCTTCTCTGGAGCATCCTCTCCGGGACGCTCCGGCGACTCCATTGACTCCAAACCAGTCTTGACCTCAACATCGATATCCTCTGCATCCTCCATATCTTCTTCCCAGGCATCCACGACCGCGACTCTAGCTTTGCAGATGACGGTATATCTGTCATCCTGCCCATCACCAGCATCTTCCTCATCCTCTTCGGTCTCATCGACTTCAACATCCTCTTCAATCCTGCAAAGCTGTGGGAATAGACTTGCTTTGACAAAGCCGGTCTCCTCCCAGAACATTCCCTCCATACGAGCCCGGCTGAATTGCACCGGAGATCCTTTGCGGCTTGCATCCATCATGTCCAGCTTGTAGTTCCACTCTTGGTAGTGAAGCATGCGGAGGGTAGTGAGATGCGGAGCGATAGCATCCGAAAGCCTACGGCGAATTGCATCGGTGAAATCCAAGGTTGTCACGGTCTCAAGATGTTCTTTCATGTTGTCCAAAAGGAGTTCCAGAGAATCTGCTCTTGCTTGAAGCATCGATTCTCTATAATTGGTGGTCAGAACGGTGCTAGTCAATGCGAGCCATCTCTTGACATCCTGTTGTGCCTTGGGGGTTTGCGTATTCTCTGGATCATGAAGTAAGCTTCTCGTCCGGAGACCAGTAAGACCAAACGTACCTGCGAAGGTTATCCAGGCCCACCAGGCAGCCTGAATTGGATCCTTGTTGGGAAGGCCAAAGACAAATTGGTTGTTGACAAATTGAGTAAAGGCTCTGGAAACGAGAGAGATGCAGACGTGCAGTTTGTCGTCTGAAGTGTTGTCTCTCCAGCTGGGCACTCGTTTGGATAGGAATCTTGTCAGATACCCATCTGACGACAACATGGATCTGACATCTGTAGTACCACGCGTCAATTCTCTTTTCCTCGCGATAGAATTTCACAGACTGACCAAATTCTTGCTTGCGGCGGACCATCAGAAAGCACTCGCGGAATCTTTCGTAAATCTGGTCCATGACTTTGCGGAATGTTTCGTCTCCCAGCTGTTTGTCTAGCCTAGTTGAAGCTGCGATACTTTGCTTAACTTCGTAGTCGAGAGACACACGAGATTCTCCGGTCTTCTCTACAACTTGGGCCAGTTTCTCCTGTAAGTCGTTACGCTCCTTGACCATGTCTCTGATCTTCTGCGTCTTCTCCTTCGCTCTTATCATTTGTCCATCACGCTCTTGTTCGAGATCTGCAACCTCATCTTGAAGATTTTCGTTTTTTCCCTTCAGATCTTCGTTTTTTTCTCTCAGCTTTCGAATCTTCTTTTTGGCTGTGCCGTAAAGGTCGACCGCTTCGTTGTACTCATCCACGAGACTGTTGTATTCGAGAATGCCGTCTTCTTGACATTTCCGAAGTACTCGCTTGAGGCGCTCATTTTCTTGCAACAGATCTCTGTAGTTCCTACTGTAGAGTTAGACTTGCGCACATCGAACGCGTTCAGATACACAAACTCGATAGTTGAACACATGGTTGCTGGTTCAAGGTTGGGAAGAAGGTGCTGGCGCTGACTGGTTGGTAGAGAAGAAGGGAAAGAAGGCTGAGCAGTGAAGTTGAACGGAGCCCGTAGTCACCGAGACTGACAGAATCTCAAAAGCTCCTCACTGTCACTTCACCTATTGGATTCAGTTCTTGCCGGCTGATCATCGCACCTCCCCATGTGCTAAAGTTTGTAAGTCCACAACCCTCCCATAAGAGCAAAGACTGTGGTACTCACTATAGAAAGGCACAAGTATTTTCGGATTAGAGACGACTCAAACGAGATTTGACTTGACATCGCTTCTCATCGAAGACCATCTGTTTTTTGGAGCCACTGTGTATTTTGATAGCTGTGCGCGTTATATACCTCAGCAGGGAGAGATGACACCCCCTCTACTCTGAGCTGAAACAGCATCTTCATTCGTCGCTCCATCCCTATTTACTGTCTAGAAATAGCGTCTAAACCTCACTTGTGAAGCTTTGCCTTCACTCTCCCAACTTATCTATTCGCTCCATCCGACTTCACTTCAGGCCTCAGCCTCCTCCCTCATCCTTTCCTTACTGTCTACGCTTACTACTCTGACTACCTCTCATCACTTCTTTTCTTTGATCGTCCCCCATTCACAGAATCGATAACCATGCCTCCCGGTCGTCCTAAGAAAGACACCATCGTCGTAGGAGTGGACTTTGGTACCACTCACTCGGGGTGAGTTTACATCGCGCTGACAACCTATCAAATTTGCGACTGACAGCTATACAGTGTGTCGTACACCTACCGTGGCAAGCCAGACTCTTCTAGTGAGATTCCAGTTGTAAGAGGGTATGTATTGTGTCCACATCACTCACTCATCGCGTCTGACACATTCTTCCAGATAACAGGAAGGCACAGGCTGTGACAAAGTGCCTACACAGTTGCAGTATGAGGTCTCCTCAGAAGCCACGCCTCTGCCCAGTCGCAAACGCCGCGCCGCTGGCAGTTACGCTGACTTGAACAAAGCCGATGTCCATGTCGTCAAGTGGGGCTTCCCTGCTATGAAAGAGAAGGAATCCATCCAGATGCTCAAACTTCTTCTGGATCCGCAGCAGGAGCTTCCTCCCTACGTCTCTCGTACCAAACTTGAAGCTCAACTCAAGCAAATTGGAAGAAGTGCTGTGGAAGCCACTGCAGACTTCTTGGAGAAGTTGAAGGCACAGGCCCTTGAAGCCCTTGACAAACGTTATGGCAAAAATTCATGGCTTCGACCAAGATTGACTACATTCTCACGGTCCCAGCTGTCTGGTCTGATGCGGCTAAGGATGCAACTCTGAAGGCCACTGAGATGGCAAAACTTCGCAACTTGCAGATGATCACAGAGCCCGAGGCTGCCGGACTCTACGCCCTCAAGCAGATGGAGGGTGTCACACTTGCTGAAGGCGATACCTACATCGTCTGCGACGCAGGCGGAGGTACGAAGAACCCCACCATCTTTAACCATGACAAATATGCTGATCGAACTCTTGCACATAGGTACTGTTGATCTTATCTCCTACGAAGTCAAATCATTGAAGCCCCTTCGTTTTGAGGAGTGTGCTGCAGGCACTGGTGGTATATGTGGAAGCGGTATCCTCAACATGAGATTCGAGGACCATGTCAAGGCTCGCATGGGTCTCACTGCTTTCGAGGAATACTGTGAGCAGAATCCCAAGGACTGGAACAGATGTGTCGAGCATTTCGAGTAACGCACCAAGAGAGGCTTCAACCCTCACGCCTTACAGAACACTGACGACATGGATGATGCAAGTATTCCTCTGGCCGGCGCAAAGGAAGACCCTCGTGCTGGTATCGAAAAGAACTACATCATCCTCGACGCCGAGAATCTCCACGACATCTTCCGTCCCGTCATGGAGTCTATCGTCAAGCTTTGCGACGAACAGTACATCGCCTTGCGCAAGGCAAAGAAGAAGGCCAAGGGTCTCATCCTAGTCGGCGGTTTTGGCGAAAGCAATCATCTCCACAACGTTCTCAAACTGCACTTCGCCGGCACTAAAGACTTCGATATTCTTCAGCCCCCTAACGCCTGGTCTGCCGCTGCTCGCGGTGCAGTCATTCACTGCATCGAAGGTGATAGTCTTGTCGAAGCCGGCGTAGCCAGACACCACTACGGCGTCATCAACCGCCTTCCATTCGAGCCAGGAAAGCACAGCCGCAAAAACTGTGTCTTTGACCCCGACGATGAAAAGTGGTATGCCGAGAATCAGATCGAATGGTTTGTCAAGAAGAATGAGAGCATCTCTGCGAGAACTCCAATGGTGTTGCCTTTCCACTTTCCCGCTTACGACAAGCTGACATCCGAGACCATCACTCTGGTCGTCAGCGACGAAGAAGAAGCTCCTCTGGAGTTCGTGTTTACAGGACGCACCCGCACCCTTGGCACCATCGAAGTCAATCTCGAAAAAGTCGCTGCTAACCGTTGGAAGAAGCAGAAGACTTTCTCCGGCAAGAATTTCGTGAGTCTGAATTACCAAGTCGGTATGGTCTTTGGCTCTGGAGGTCTCATGTTTGACATGAGAGTCGGCTCAAAGATTTGCGGCTCTTTGAGAGCCAAATACGAATGATCGCATCTTATCAGCAATCGATATCGTATTGGGGCGGGGATCTCATTCTGTATCAGCGTATTTCTGCATCTCTACGGATCAAGTAGAGATCATCAACGACATATCAAGTGGGGTACATCAGACCAACTTATTTCTTTTGTTTTCCAATGGAGGATGTTCATGGCAAAGAAAAGTATGAGATCAAGGAACGCAAGTATCGAGCAGAGATGGAAGACAGAAACGAAAACATAGGAGAAAAATCTGCAGATTCCGGAGCGAATTTCGAGGAACAGTTTCAAGCAGATCAGAATCAACATTATGCCCACTCTAAACCACGTCTTTGTACTGTTGTGCTAGAATAGTAGTAGTCAAGTACAGAGATAGTAATCTCGTAACGTAAGTGGTTAAGAACATAAGTTGCTTCTGTTGAAGGTAGCTCATCATTGAATTCTGATTTGATACAAGTGAGTTGACAAACCGTGATATACTTGACACGTCAAGAATTGGGCTAAGAGGGTGCTAGAATGGTCGAAGAGCGAACATGTCGGAAACAACTCAAGGAGGTATAAAAGATACGTCGCGCCTTCCTCCCTTTTCAAAGTTCTCGACCTCTTCCCGCAGTGACCAGTAGCACATTCATACATGATCGGAATGCACAATCCTCTATCAGAACGGAAGCGCAGCTCAAGAGAATCTTCTGAGGGGTCTTCCCCGTGGTCATTGTATCATTTTGCAAAGTACCCTACATTTTATAGCAAGAGACCTAGACAAAGGATGACTGCATCTGGCGCGGAGATGTATTCGTATCCGGACGACGCGGTCCCACTCCCTCCTCGTGTGCTAAATTTCGTCATTCCCACTGCCACTCCACTTCCGCTCTTACGATAACATATAGGCGGACTAGGAGCTATCATAATGCACAGTTCTTTCCAGATCTTGGCAAAGTCCAGAGAGAGCCCATGATGTATTAACTCTCGTTGGAAGCTGTTGCTTTGCACATGGGGAGGTTCAAGACATCCATTGTCTTTCTGGCTTAGATGATCAACATGAAAGTTGCAAAATGTGACAAGTATGCACAGGACAACCAAAACTATTTCGGAGTAAGTGCTGCTGTAGCGCTCTTCTCGTGACTAGTTGAGTAAGCGGAAAATCTATGGCCCATTCCATTAGAACCCTACAGAACATCTCAGGTATGAACTGTAGGAGCAGGATGTCATCGAGCTTCACCGTTCCACCGGTGTTTCACTCGTTTCTGTCTCCGTTCTAGCTCTGACTTTGTTCACACGTTGAGACTCCTCTTGGACTTTGATGCTTGCCCACGTGAATCTCATTGTAATCAACCCAGGTATGGGCAGATACTTCTACTGAGATGCATGATCTTGCGAGAGATTTACTCAGGTTGACAGTCGGAGTACAAGCTGATCGATACATCGATACCAGATTGTGGCTTCGATGTATCATAGTAAACCATGATCTCCTCAAATATCAAGATCACCAGAACAACACGAACTAGTCGCAATGAATTCTTGCAACTCATCCCAGAGTTCAACGTTATACGCGATGGCGGACCCGTGCATTCCGGAAACCCAGAAACATCATCTTCGATTCTTATATCCGAGTCATGGACCAGTTTCGGACCTCACTGGACTATATCCAACCCAAGGCTGGACACTAACAGAGACGGTTCCAAATTTGGACGGACTGATTATTTTCACAGATGTATGAGTACTTTGGATGGTCTTCGGGACAAACACCATATATGCGCTGCAAGCCTCCAATATGCAGATGCATAGATGTGGGCGCTATACATCGGCCGTACCATACATGTACCATGTACAGGATATGGAGTCGGCCATATCGCTACGAGACATGCAACGACGACGGGATCTTGCATAACTGATACCCCAAAGTGGTATATTTTCTACCCAACTGATCAACATCAGTAATCAGTCGGCATGAAGCCTGGATCATGTCTGAAACCTTCACATCATATTCCCGAGGCAATGCAAGACCACAACATGGGGTTGTAAGAATCGCGACAACGCCGGACATTCACGCGCATTGAGAGCCAGCGAACATGACACTTTTCCGGAGGACTAACACAATGCCTACGGAGAGAAGACTACTGGACTTGCCTTCCTGAAGAAAGACAATCGATGTCTACGCAAGCGTCGATACAAAAGCATTGGCACAGACGCAAGGGAATTGATCAATTATTTGAGGCATATGCGACGTCCCCGGCTGACGGCAGCACGAAGCTTTCACGTCTTGCCAGCCGCCTCGGGTGGGGGGCGAGTCTAAATTTAACGTCTCATCTTGACCGTCCGAACCAGGTTAACTGCAAACATCTGAAATCTCCCTACACATTTGGATTTCACATCCAAATCTTCTCAATGTTCGCTTGCGTTCTCTGTGCAGAGACACACAGACCCACACGGGAAGGGTCGCGGTTGGGGATATGCACAATGTGCATGTGAACCATGCCGCTCAGAAGTCCACAATCACTCCAGACGATCATCGAACCAAACCGATTGGTTACATCTCATCCAGATCTACTTCCCTGGACCAGATGCGGTAGGGACCCAATCGTACACATCTGCACCTGTGTGCATGGGTTTGGAAGAGTTGGCTCGTTCCACGGCAATGTGACGGCACTCTTGTCTGCATCGTCACCGGATCTTGGCCAAGATCGCAGCTGATTGAGTTTTGAGGTCAACTGTAAGCTTCTGGGACCTGCAGTTGAAACTGGAACGAGTCGAGATGACACTTATTGTGCGTTCCTGGGACCTGCAGACACACATAGGTATTCGGTGACATTCCAAATCGCGCAGACGTATGCATGGCTGTCTCCAAGGATAACAATATGTTCTTCTGCCTTTTCCAACACACTGGAATGCCGCTGACAGTGGGCTCTCGATAAGATGTGGAGCAAAAGACCTTTTTGGCCATGATCCTAGCAAAGGTCCACGAGAGCATTCGGAAGCTAGGTGAAGTCCAATGAACCGAGGTCCAAGCCACACAGCACCAGCCCCTTCGACAGTTTGCACCGACATGGGTCTGAAAAGCTGTAAGTCGCGATCCGTTGAATGAGATACGAAGCCTAAATCGGCGAAAGGTCTGCGTCTGCCACGTATTAGTGTTCCATACTATCGACCCTGTCTCTATGCAGCCGTCTTCTGGACTTCGAGTCTTCTCAAGCATCTGGTCCGGACCACATGCGTCCTATGCCATGGCAATCTCTGCCTCGAGCGTATGATGCTGCGGCAGCACCAGCTGATCTCAGACGATGTGCAATGCTTGACAGCCGAGGCTACCGTCGATAACTATCTCTGGCTATATCTGGATCTCTTCGCCGCCAAGATATATGCGCGGCTCTTCAGCTAAGCTCAGCACGATGCATAGTGTACATTGCACTAGTGGTGAACCATCTCTATCGGTAAACCCAACTGGATTCGAGTTGAGCCTGATTTTGGGGCTCGATTTGGGAAACTCAATGCAGCTTGAAAGCCACACGCATAGATGTAAGCTGAGTATGTCGTTGGCCCCATCATGGTGTGTGTGGATGTCTGCACATGGGCGATGGAGCTTTAAAGAAGCAGATCCCAGCGATCTCTACCTACACATCGACTCATTCTTCATCCACTGCTATACTTTGCATATCTGATCTGACGTCGTTCCATTCTTTGATCCAATTTTTGCATACAACGCTGCCCTCGAGCCCGCCACGCAGGACTGAGTGCCATCGCGAGTTGCCTCCGACATCCCACACCATGGGCTTAAAGTCCTACTTTCGCAAGCCGGCCAGGAAAGATGCCGAAAAATCCGAGCATAAGGAACCAACAAGCGGTTCTCTCACGCCGTGGGCACCAACATCCGACACGCCTATGTCCCGTGAGTCTGTGGTCTCACAAAGCATGCCAATGCATCGACTCAACGAAGCAAGATGTGAACTCATGGTCAACCATTTGTGGTCTCAACAGGCCAAGATGCTCTGGTACGCTGGAGGCGAAGACGAGGGTGTGGTGATCAAGCAAGGCCGCGACAAATACGTCTGCTGCCCTCCTGATTTAAGCAGGGCTGACGGCTTCTTTGAGGCTATCAAATCTCTGAACGTAAAGGTATGTATCTATATCCCGATCATTGTTGTACGTATTAAGTGATCATTAGAGCGCCATGACACTCAACACACGCATGATCAGGCTCCTCGTTCAGAGCAGCGATCAAAGTTCCATCCCAATAGGTCGGAACCTGAACCTCCAGGTCCTTCCTGACATTTCGTATCTGAGCCGCTGCGCAAAGCATCAATTTGCGGCATTCATCGCCGACAGAGGCATATTGGTAGTCTGGGATGACCAACCGGAACATCTTATCGACCGTGCCAAAGTCCTGGAGAAAAGTATCATGGACTTGATTTGGTCCAGCCAGGCCGACCAGGAATCCTCGGAGAAGGACACCAACGTATCGGTCAACGAACTGGACATCACTGAAAGTCAAGAGGACTTGGCAGAGAAACCCCGTCGCATAGTGCTACTTCACTCGATCACGACTGCACTGACGCTCTGTCTTATCATCGTTACTCTCGGCGCTGGATATCGAAAGATCGTGCAAGAGATTGCACTTGACAATAGTTACACCCGCTTGGCTTTGATAGCGACGGCCCCGGTCACCATATGGGTATCATTTTTCTTCTTCCAAGCTCTCATTGGCAACATCTTTCAGATATTCGGCCCGATCAGCCAGGTACAGAGCAACACCAAATACTACTCTGGCCTTCCTCCAAAGCGACTTCCCGGTGGTTCACCCTTGCCTCACGTCACGATTCAATGCCCCGTCTATAAAGAGGGTTTGCAGACCGTCATCGCTCCAACGGTGTTCTCTATCAAAGCTGCCATTTCGACCTACGAGATGCAAGGCGGAACAGCAAATATCTTCATCAACGATGATGGTATGCAGCTATTGTCTCGTGAAGAAGCTCAAGCTCGTCAAGACTTCTATGAAGAACACAGCATTGGATGGGTAGCTCGCCCCCGTCATGATCCGAAAGGAGAGCACAATCCTGTTCCATTCGTCAGAAGAGGCAAATTCAAGAAAGCCTCAAACATGAACTATGCTCTTTGGGTCAGCAACCGTGTCGAAGACAAGATGGCAGAACCAAGTCCAAGGCCACCACACTGGACTCAAGTGGATGAGGCTGCTTTGTACGTCAGAGCGCTTGCGGAAGTCATCGAAGAGGACGAGAATCGAACCTGGGCTGACGGCAACGTCCGTATGGGCGATTTCATACTCCTCATCGACTCCGACACGCGAGTGCCAACTGATTGCCTACTTGATGCGGTCAGCGAGATGACGAATTCACCACAAGTCGCCATCATTCAGTATTCATCTGGAGTAATGAATGTGACACAAAACTTCTTTGAGAATGGCATTACCTTCTTCACAAATATGGTTTATACGCAGATCAAGTACGCCATCGCAAACGGTGACGTTGCGCCGTTTGTTGGACATAACGCAATCCTCCGGTGGTCCGCCGTACAGGACATCGCGTACGATTGTGCGGACGATCTACGTGAGAAGTACTGGTCAGAAGCCACTGTATCGGAAGACTTCGACATGGCCCTCCGTTTGCAGTCCGAGGGTTATCTCGTGCGATTCGGCGCATATACTGGAGACGGCTTTAAAGAGGGAGTGTCGCTCACTGTGTACGATGAGCTAGCCCGCTGGGAAAAGTATGCATATGGCTGCAGTGAACTACTATTCCATCCGATACGATACTGGCCGACCCGAGGACCTTTTACAAAGCTTTTCCGCTCATTCATCACCTCGGGAATGCCACTGCCATCAAAGCTTACTATCATGTCATACATCGGAACCTACTACGCTATCGGGTGTGCATGGTTACTCACTCTTCTCAACTACTTCATCGTCGGTTGGTACAATACCATCCTCGATAAGTACTACCTCAACTCATTCCAGGTCTATCTCTCTATCATTGTGGTGTTTACAGGCCTTGGAAACGTTGCTCTGGCTGTTCTTCGCTACCGCCTTGGAGAGAAATCGCTTCTTGGTTCACTAGTCACCAACTTGATGTGGATCCCACTAATGTCTATCTTCCTCGGTGGCCTTTCGCTTCACGTATCCCAGGCCCTTCTATCCCACCTGGTCGGTATCGACATGAATTGGGGCGCCACTTCCAAAGAAGCAGAGAACACCACCTTTTTCCAAGAGGTGCCCAAAGTGATCAAGAAATTTGGATTCACATTTTTGTTTTGTATCACGGCTTCCATCGGCATGGTGGTGCTTGCATGTGTGGTTCCTGAGTTCTGGAGGATTGACCAGTTCTTTGCTATCTATCCGCTTGCGACTGTTGTTGTCAGTCATTTTATGTTGCCTATTGTGCTTAATCCTAGTCTTATGTTGTTCACATGGTAGGGTGGGAGTCAGGAGGTTTTTGTAGTTGTTGGTATGCTCATTGATCTAAAACATCCGTCGATGGGCACCCTCTCTCTGTGATCATCCTTCGACTCTGAAAAGCACTCTGCATTTTTATAGCTACTACGAGAGACTCCACGTCGGAGGGAGAGAAGCTCGAAGTATCCGACTGTTCAAAGTCCATGATTGGCTCTCTCCCGTAATGATTAGTAGCGCATTTGTACTATAGGAATGCACAGTCTTCAGTGAAACATGAGTGAATCCTTTGAAACGCATCAAGAAAAGCTATCTCCTTGGGCATCATTCTAGTGTGGAAAGTATTCTGCATTTTCACAGCTGCATTAATCACAACCTGAAACGCTACGTTGATCGCGAGCCTACCCAGAAGGTCAAGAAGGCCGCTGAGAAGGACGTCAAGAAGGTCGAGAAGAAGAAGGGCAAGAAAGCCCAGGTCGATGAGAGAGTGAGAGTGAGCACGAGGACGAGGACGAGGACGAGGACATCACCTGTGACAAGTCTGACAGCCATGATGGTCCTAAGGGTAGCGGAAGAGGCGTTTCTCTACGAAGGCTCAATACAGTGATACTGAACAAGTGCACAGTTCTTGTAAGATGGTAGACCAGTCCAGAGAGAGGCCATAGAAGTATAGCTCTCAGTGGATGCCGACTGTCGAGCAAAGACTTGGTGCATTTCTATAGCTATAACACGACACCCTGAACATGGGAAAGACATCAGACTGGTTCATAGAGAGCTGAGCATATCACGACTCTCAGTGGACACTACCTATTTGCTAGAGACACTGTGCATTTTCACAGCTACATTAGACTAGCTCTTCGTACGCGGGAGGATATCAAGCCTTCTGCGTGCCCATTTCATCCACACTGACTACTTCATCACCACTGTGAGTTTCAACGCCGTGATTAATTCTGTCCTTCTCTGTCCTTGCACACATCCACGAGACACCTGCCGTCCAGATGGCTAGGGCTATTGAACAACCAATCATTGCCCACATTCCTCGAGTGAATTTAGGAGCAAAGTTTGCCGAATAAAACACAATCGACCACCACGCGTTCACAGCGCCACTAAGCGCATTCATGGAAGCTATGACAACGGCACGAAGGCTGTCTTCCTCGTAGCGAAGAGCATCGTTCGCCCAGGCAAAAAACGTTGCTTGACCTAAGAGATACGTCAATGGTGTGCAGAGATGCAGCCAACAGAGAAGACTTACACGCATAGACGGACCCAGCCCAATAGTATGCTGCAAAAGTGGATGCTGTAGTGGCAGAAGGGGCAAGTATCATAGCGGACGTAATGATACCAGTGATACCGATCCAGTAACCGACAAGATACCTCTTACCACCCAAGAAGTCCGTGAGCGTAGCCCAGAAGAGGGTAGATACGATACCCACTGCTGGAACACCAGTGGGATAATTGTTGAGCTGAGACACCGAGTACTTGCGCCCCGGGTGAGCTTTCATGTACAGAGCAAGGAGAGAGTTTGACGAGAATGACTCCGTTTCTCCGGCTATTATCCACAACATAACAAAGCCGTACCAGTACCAGGAACCGAAGACTCGCTTGACGAATGCCCAGTTAAAGGGTGCGCGTTGAACATGGCGAGGGACTCGGGAACGAGCAAGTTCGCGCTCGGCTTCAGAGAGATACGGTACTTGGGTCGTTTGCGGGGTGTCTGGGAACAAGAGGAATCCATAGAGGGCAACAGGTACACACATCAGACCATCAACGATAAAAAGCCATCTCCAGCCAGCCAATCCTTGTAGGCCGTCCATGGAAGAGTGAATAATCGTCTGCAGTAGTCCCCCGAATAGCGTGCCTCCAAGGCCTGAAGCAGTAAAGACGCCGGATCGTTTTCCCAATTCGCGCTCAGTGTACCAAGCCCCTAAGATGTAGTGTGTTCCGACAAAGGTGCTCGATTCTGCTAAGGCTTGAAAGAAGCGGATGGCCATGATAGATTGAGGATTGTGGGTGGCGGCCGTAATCATCGTCAAGCAACCCCAGACGATCATCATGGACGGGAAGAAATATCGAGGCTTGATATAGTAGAGGGCCAAATTTGATGGCACCTGACCAATCACATAGCCGTTTGAAGACGTTAGCCGTGTCGTTCTAGAAAGTGAACTGCGATTCATGCATGCAGCTGTAAAATTGCACAATGTTCACCAGACCAGAGATAATTCCAGAGAGAGCATCATTCATCGCTTCTCGAAGGATAATACCCCCTCTCTCGACGACATTGTGGCCTTCTGTAGCGTAGGTGGCTTTCGGGCTTTGTGGAAGGGTTGTGGAAAGTTATCACTTACCAACGGTGAAGACAGTGTTGATTTGAGTAAGTTCGTTCCCTTTGAAATCAAGATCTTCCTTCATACCGGATACATAGGCGTTGGTGAGGTTGCTGCGATCCAGCTAAGTACGTATCAGTCAACGATACGTATAACAATGATTTGAGGCAAGCTCACATAATTCAAGAAGTACATCAGACAGCAGAACGTTAGGATGAAGAAATCAAGCTTCTGTACCAGCTTCCTCTCTCCCTCGGAGCTGCCTCCAGGACTCAGATACTCTCTGAACTTGGTAGCCACAGCCATCTTGATCTCTAGGAATTGGTCGACAAATAGGTGGATAAATATGTAATGCAAAAGGGTCGTTTGTTACTTCATCTTATATTGATCAGCGCAATGTGCAAGTCGGCGTATCAAGATAGGGCATGAGATGCACAGCGGCACAGACTGCTGATGATAAGAACAGTTGCCTTATCGAAGTACAGTGTCGAAAGTGCAGCTCTTGAGGTCCAATGGAGAAAAAACCCCTCGGCTGCTGAGATCAAGGTGGTTTAAGGTGGGCTGCCAAGCTTTGTGGGGCAAAAGATAGGGCAGATATGAGACAGGGTTGCCCGGAGCCGCGGTGATCTGCAAGATAGGCCTCGGGCAACAACGATTATCACGTGCGGGGTTTATAAAGACGGGATGTTGAGATTATGGATGGAAGGACACTTCGGCATAGGTTCCCAAGGAATAAACGACATACCGACATGACACGCAACTGGCAAGATATCGCAAAGGCCAAGCAGGCAGCACTGTTTAAATCTATTCCAAAGGAATGGCTTATACCAGCGGATCTCATGCCTTCGGAATCTCAATTGGACGTGACAGGCTTCCCAAAAGAGAGTGGCTTCTTCACCGGCAATGAGTTGAAGTACACTTCTGCTACTATACCAGAACTTCTGCAAAAGATTCACAGCGGTCAATGGAAAGCAGCAGATGTTGCTCAAGCATTCTCGAAACGAGCTGCTGTATGTCATCAGTTGACCAACTGCTTGAGCGAAACTCTTTTTCCTGAAGCATTGAAGAGAGCAAACTTTCTCGATGAGCATCTGGCAAAGACTGGAAAGCCTGTTGGCCCACTTCATGGCCTTCCTATATCGCTCAAGGACAACTTCAACATCATCGGCAAGGACTCGACCATTGGATTTGTGGCTTGGGTGGATCAGCCTGCGACATACAACACGGTTTTGGTGGATCTGCTGACCAAAGCTGGGGCGGTGCTCTATGTCAAGACGAACGTTCCTACTGGTGAGCTGTCCTGTTGCTTGATTTTGATCATCAGAGAAGACTTGCTGACTTCGTATGTGTAGCAATGATGATCGCGGAGTCTGTAAACAACACTTTTGGTCGCACTGTCAACCCTCTGAACAGAAGGCTGACCTCTGGTGGGTCTTCAGGAGGTGAGAGTGCTTTGATCAGTTTCGGTGGCAGTGTGCTCGGTGTTGGCACGGATATCGGTGAGTCAATGACGAGGCACTCTGCGCATGTCAGAGATTTGTCGTGTTGGAGCTATAGAAGTACACAATGCCTTCCAGACAAGAGCAATTTCCACAGAGAGGAGTAATACTGAAGGGATTGTGCATCCCTATAGCTCTAAACACTAACTCTCTTCGCATCTGGAGAGGACTGTTATGGTATACGATTTGCTTGCTGACTTTGACATTTAGGTGGCTCTTTACGTATACCTGCAGCTTGCACTGGCATCTTCACCTTGAGACCTTCCTTCGGTCGCTTCCCAACGGCCCTCGCGAAAAGTGGACTAGCAGGGCAAGAAGCTGTCAATTCCGTCAATGGACCCATGGCTCGTAGTCTCGACGACATCGAGTTCTTCGCAAAGAATGTTGTGGGTGCGGAACCTTGGATGCTTGACCCCAAATGCCTGCCAATACCCTGGCGTCCTGTTGATGTGGGCAAGAAGTTGCGATTGGGCGTCATCTGGAACGATGGCATGGTCGTGTAAGACAAGACAACTCGCGGGTTTCGGAAACAAAGCTGATCACAATATCCTAGCCCTACTCCGCCAGTGCGTCGGGCGCTGAAACATGCGGTTGAGAAACTGCAGCAAGCCGGCCATGAGATTGTTGATTGGGAACCGGAATTGCATCAAGAAGCGGTGGATCTACTCGTGAGTGAACGGCTGGCTACAGTGACGGTCTTCAGCTAACACAGATGATAGGGGGAGTTCTTCCTTGCAGACGGAGCCAAGTCGGTCAGAGATATCCTGGCTCCAGTAGACGAGCCGTTCAGAGAAGAGATGCAAGCCTACTCTGAGGCACAAGAGATAGGAGTGCATGCTATGTGGCAGCTTCAAGCACAAAGATCGAAACTGTGCAAAGACTACCTTGACCGATGGACCAAAGCAGGTCTCGACGGAATCTTGTGTAAGTGTAACTGTACGAGCCTGTACTTTGAAACCGACTTGTTGACTCTGATAGGCCCAACGACACCTTTCGCATCTGTAGAACACGGCAAGTTCAAACACGTTGGCTACACGGTATGTTCTTCGAGCCAACAGAGTACAGAAAGAGCGACAGTCACTAAATTTAATACAGGGCGTGTTCAACATCCTAGACTACTCGGCCGTGTCTTTCCCGAGTGGAGTTGCGGCGGACAGGCAACTGGACAAGGCGGAGTCGGGCACGAAGCCGCTGTCGCAGGACGATGCACAGATCCAGGCAGAATGTGAGTGGCTTACAGACAGCATGAGAGTGAAGAAGCTAACTTTGGACCAGATAATGCAGAAGCAGTTCATGGAATGCCGGTGAGTCTGCAGCTCGTCGCCAATAGGCTGGAGGAAGAAAAGGTCGTAGCCATGACGAGGGTGGTGCTGGAAGGGCTTGGAGCGGCGGTATGACGCGTGAAATAATCACAACGCGTGTTCGCAGGTACTTAGCTATCTACGAGCATACCTGAATTCTAGAAAGATAGAGACGTGTCATGACGGCCTCGGTGAAGACTGTAGGGTGTGTGTGGAGGGAGATTGCGAGACAGGATCGAGGCGTGAAGCTCTGGCGAGCAATCAAAGTTTCAAGACACGGTGCAAAGTGGAAAGTGAGAGGAAGGTGTTGTCTTGCCGCAATTTGGCGGGGTGTCAAATTGCCCTCAAAAGTTGGCGTGTTTGCTTGCTCAGTGACGACCCAGACACGCCAACTTCCTTTGCCGTGGTGGTCGTATTTGATGCGCCTGATCGTAGTTTCACTCCTTCCTGTTTCTTCGTGGCTGCAGTCTTTTCTCTTGACAGCCATCGTCGCCAGGAGTGCCAAAAGTCAAAAACATGTTTGCGCTGCGGTCTCGTTCGTCTCCCCGCCAACTTCCAACTTCGTCACCCACTTTCCAGACTCCAGTTCACCGCAGCTAACAATAGCCCTGCACCACAGTTAGCAAATACCTCTTCGGTAACGCCAACAAAGAATCCATCATCGAACTGCCCCAAGGCCAGCTATACATCGTCCGCCCCCGATCGCTCAAAGGCTATTCCGAACTCATCTTCAAAGACGCTGCTGCCTCGATCCGACGAACCGGCCAAGAATACCAGTACCAGCTCGTCATCCAACGTGTCTACGAAGAAGGCGAAGCAGAGCTCGTAGGAGAAGACGGCACACAAGACGACCGACTCGACGGTGTAGCCTCAGACAAGGACGAAAAGACTTTTCTGCTCGACCAGGACCTGCACTTCCGTGTTGACATCAGAGACGACGGCGAAGTTGTCCTCGGTTGGCTCGACCTCAGCGGTGACGACGGCGACTTGTTCGAATTTGTCTGCGACCCTTCGGCAACCCCCGAAACCGCTTCATCCTTTGCTCTCGTAGCTGCCCAGTGCCAGTACGAGCGCAAGTACCGCAAGCCTCGCGACCTCGCTACCGACCAAGAACTGCGCGAGTTCAGCTTCGAGCACGAAGACCCTATACCACAAGCGAGTCCCATCCAGAGCCCCTCACGCTCCCCTATCATATCTCGCTCTCCCACCATCTCTCCACCTCCAACCACGACACGTATGCCATCCCTAAACCAGTCCAACTCCGGCGTCAAGCGTAGTGAAGCCATGCCCAGGACTACCAGATCTGGCAAGGCCCCTCTCCGGACCTACGAGGAGGCTCCGACCATCGCTCCTTCGGCAAACAAGGCTCCTGAGGCTCGCGAAACTCTGGCTGATCAAGATGTCCAACTCCACCTCTTCGACTTCCAGTCCGGCACTTTCGTGCAGCAAGCCGAGAGCGTCAACGCTACCGTCACAGAAATTGGCAACTGGAAATACTGGCTTCAACTGAACAGTGACGACAGAGACTGGCTCGGTCAAGAAGTTGTTCCCGAACTCAACCCCGTCTTCAACTTCGAGTACCTCTCCTTCATCTTCAATCACTACAGCGAAGACGGCAATGCTTACTCGTGGCTTTTGCGCTTCAAGGAGAAAGAATCATTGGAGGAGTTCCAACAAGGTCTGATGCAGGCTCTCTGGGAGCACTCCAACCAGACCAAGTGGCTCAAAGCAAAGGACACCGAGAGAGACTACGTCCTCGATGCCTTCAACGACCTCGTCCTGGAGGATAAGGATGACGAGAGAGAGGCCGAGGCTCGTGAAGAAGACGAACAAGAGGAGGAAGAATACTACGACCAAGAGGAGGACGAAGACGATGGACAAAGAAGCGAGCACTACGACAGTGACGAATCGGAGGATGACGTTATCACAAGAGACGAAGATGGAAACGTCAACTCTCAGCTTGCTGTCGGCTACAAGCACGACCGCTCGTTCGTCGTCAGAGGCTCCAAAATCGGTGTCTTCAAGCACACCCCTGACAACCATCTCGAATTCTCCACCAATATTTCAAAGGTCGAGACACCTGGCGGCAAAGTCTTTAACCCCAAAAAGATCATGCTACACGCCGAGGATCGCAACATGATCATGCAAGATGGTGACAACCCTAACTCTCTCTTCCGCATGGACCTTGAGTATGGCAAGATTGTCGATGAGTGGAAGGTTCACGATGACATTCCTGTCAACACCTTCGCCCCCGAAAAGGTATGCCGATTCTCGTTTATCTCTGCTCGAACCACTTTTACTAACTCGGGTGTAGAAATTCAGTCAGATGACTGGCGAGCAAACCTTCTTGGGATTGTCCAACAATGCTCTGTACCGTATCGATCCTCGTCTGCAAGGCGACAAGCTCGTTGAGTCGGAGCTCAAGCAATACGCCACGAAGAACGGCTTCACCGCTGCGGCCACAACCGACAAGGGATACATTGCCGTCGCTTCAAGCAAGGGTGATATTCGTATGTTTGATCGTCTCGGAATCAACGCAAAGACACACATTCCTGCTCTGGGTGACCCGATCATCGGTCTCGATGTTTCCGCTAATGGCCGTTGGGTTCTTGCTACTACTCGCACTTACCTCTTGCTCATCGACGCACTGCAGAACGATGGCAAGAATGAGGGCAAGCTGGGTTTCGAAAAGTCATTCGCCAAGGACTCAAAGCCTCAGCCGCGTCGTTTGGCTCTTACACCAAGTCACGTCGCTCAGTTCCAGCATGAGACAAAGGTTGCTCTGTCTTTCACACCCGCCAGATTCAACACCGGTCCTGATTCAGACGAGACCACCATCATTACCGCAACCGGACCTTTCATCATCACTTGGAGTCTCAAAAAGGTTCTGGCCGGACGCAAGGATCCTTACAGCATCAAGCGTTATGCCGAAGACGTCAAGGCAGACAACTTCCGCTTCGGCAGTGACAAGAATATCGTGGTGGCTCTTCCCAACGAGGTCAACATGGTAGCCAAGAGAGCACTGCAAAGACCAACTCGCGAGAGCATCATGGCCACTCCTAGAAAGACTGGCCGTGGCAGCTATCTCAGCAGGAATGACATCGTCAACAGCCCTTACTAAGTATGTTTGTAGATCACGACGAAACGATTATTCTTCACTTCTCGGGGATGGAATTTTTGAGAGAGAGAGAGAAAGGTCGTGCTTAGCTAGCTCTTCGATTTTAGATACCATGGATGTTTCCTTCCTGATTCAAATCAAGCCTATGACTCCTTTCCCGATCACTCTGCTATAATCTCGTTGGTGTCGAACTTGATCAGATGTTCGGACCACTCTTCCGAGAAGGAGCTCTCTCCGGTGGGTTGATATTGACTTTGAATGGTCTGTGCACCTAAACGCTTGTTTTGAGCGCCGACGACTTCATTCGCTGGGACCCTCCCAAACAGTCTCTTCTTGATGTCAAAGTTGGAAGGCCGAGTATTGTTTCCAACCGGAATTGGTGACAAGTTACCCTTACAATCCTTTAGCAGCTGCATCTCAGAAGTGGAGGCGCCGGCCCGCGCTTGTTGATGATGATGACGACCACATATGACGAGGATTCCTGCGACTCCTTCCTAGTACATCCCTCTCTGCTCTGGATGTATAGAGTGCAACACTCACTTAGAAATGCACAAACATCTCTGAGTCCAGGGCCTGACCAGAGGGGGCCTGGCACATCTGGCAGTACTGCACTATGCATATATCTTTATGCTTGTGTTGGTAGGACAAAGACTTAGCATCCTGACCGTAGAGGCTGACAACTGCAAACTCTCTAGTTCCTCCGCAACATGAATAAAGCAGTGAAGCGAAGATTGCAGTTGCTTGATGTAAGTGGCCATTGAAGGACGCTCGCAGGCAAGTGCGACCGACTTGGAACAATGATGTGTGGAGCTAGCCCAGAAGGGTTTATTGCTGACCACAGAGCGTATCTCGACGACTTCGCAAGGGTGTTGCGTGAATTTACGTATTCTCAAGCCGACACCGCAGAGGCTTCGAGCTGTGCATGGGAGATTGTGTTGCACAACATACGCACTTCATCACGTGGAGTCCCCGTTTGCTGGAAACCTCTCTGCCTCTTCCCCGAGCGCAGTCTGACCCAACGACCAAGGCTGTGGTGCGAGTGGCACAGCATCCGAAACCGCTCTCCCGTGTCTCTCAACCCCCCTTTCGCGGCTTGCTCGACGATAAAATTCTTCGTGTCCATCAACACGACGGAAGCATGGGCTAAAAAGCTGGCCCACTCCATCAGCAACCAACATCATGGATATAAACCCTACTAGTGCTGCCGACCGATATCCTGGAGGTATACCCAAAGGAGCTGAGGATCGGGAGGCATACATCTTGAACCAGCAGGCAATGTTCGGTGGTGGTACCCATGCTCCTCTGTCCAGACGCCGCAAGACGGTCGTCGGTATTCCCAACTATGGCGAGTTCATTCGCAGCTATGACGATCGAGCCAGCGAACAACGTCGTCGAGCGAGAAAGGATAGTCACCAATCTCCCTACGACGACAAGGACGACCTCTCGCACGACAACGTCCACTTTGGGAACGACTCTCTGCCACCTTCCTTCTCCTCGACCGCGTCCTCCAATGCCGACAAGCGCTCTTCGACTCACGTGCCTCTGTCTAAGAAGCAAATTACGCCGAGTTCAAGACACAGTCGACATGGTTCCACCTCCAGACCCAAGCTACCTGAGTCTTTCATGAGCGCTCCCGATATGCCACCGCCAGACAGCCCCGATACATTCAAGAGGAAGATCCATGAGCACACGGCCCATTTCTACGCTTCGCAGAAGCAACGCAGCCACTCGCGACCGCGTCACAAGTCTCTCCTTAGCTCTTGTCTCTATGAACACCCGCCTCAACCTGCTCAGGTTGCACCTCCTCAGCCTCTGATCGCACCCAATGAACACATGCCTGTCACTGCCTACGCTCTCTGGCGCCAGGACTGCGATGAGCAGTTGAAGGATAAGTCAGCCATGACTCACGTCCCCGTTCCCTCGATCCCAACATGCTCAGAATGTGCCAATGCCTCTATCCTTGGTGGTCAGGCGGCCCAAATTGCCTGCGGTCACAGTCTTGACAAGGTCTTTCGCACTGCCATCACCGAGAGAACCGGTTCATTCGCCTTCAGCAAAACCTATTTCGCCATCCTCAAAGGCGAACGTCAACGCTGGCATACCGACCGCTTTGGAGCTTGCAAGCCTAGCGTCAAGCCTCGAATCGTGGCTGATGCACAGCAGCTGTTCATCCTCATCAACGACCTCTTTGAGCTCGAGAAGCTGCGTATAGTTGAGGCTGCTGAGATGTTGCCTGAGCATGTTCCCGCGCATGAGCCTTATCACACTCCTGATTACTTCAAGTTCAGACCTGATAAGCGTGACGTCTGGTAGTCTTCGCCCAGTTTTCCACGACAAAACAAGTACGTCCATGGAGGCAGGGTTCGAATGATACAGGTACAGGATCAAAGAGACTAGTACAAGAAGGGAGGACTTGGGCGTCTAGAGAAAAAAATAAGCATAGGATAAACATCGCTGGTCGATCGATTCTTCATGCTTGACGGAAGATGCGGGAAGGTCGAGTCTTGCAAACGAGATTTTGTGCTGGCACAATGTCTTTTGTTGACTTTGCGACTCTGCAGCTCCCCCACTGTTCCCGTCTTCGCTTCACTTCTCTTCAAATAATTGCCAAAAGAGACAAAGATAGATAAATACTCCATATCATGCTTATGTTTGAACCTCTCCGAAGTGCCGGTGCATTTTACAGCCGACAAGTCGTTGTACGTCCCATAGAAGGACAGGATTGCAGGTTGCAAGGTGGACGTCTGGAACTTTGGCCATCATTATCGACAAAGCATTTTTCTGTTAACATCGTCTAGCTCCACAGTGTTGCTGACGCGTTGACTGTCGAATTTCATCATCGCTACCAACCGGTCAGATATGCAGATGTTGACTCAACAATCCATCACCATGCGAAGGCTGACACGCCATCGGGTTATTTGTTCCACCGAGCCCTCCGGCATCGTTTCAACTCGAGTCCGCATGTGTGGCATAGCTCGAGGTATCTGTACCAACGCTCGACTTTCACATCTTTCCTTATTGTCTTCCCAAAGAGCAGAAACCATAACCTCGTGTCATCACATCTTGAACGCTACATTTGCTTCATCAAATCCAATACTCACAGATCTCTATACGATATTGAAATCCTGCTTATCGGAATCGAAACATTCTTTCCACGTCTCAACTGGTGTATGACAATACAACCATGTCCTCACCCTTCGAACGCCTGCCCCCAGAGCTGTTCTCTGCAATCTGCTCCACTATTCGCGACTCCCAAGAGTCGCCTCGTGGATACCACACCACCTTCCTCGCTCTCAGCCTCGTCAGTAGAAAATGTCGACTCTACACTGCACCTTACATCTTCATTAGACTTTTCCTCGGAGAATCATGTCTCGGAGACTCTGCAACGAGTCTTGGGAACTGCATCTCCACGCTCGGCCACCTGGATGTACTCGACGATATTGCAGAAATCGATGTGGTCATGCCGGTGGCTGGTGGGAAATGTGCGTGGGAATATGAAAGAGAGAGTGTGGTGAGGTTGTTGCAGAGCTTCCCGAAATTGAAAAAGCTTTACATCCGGACTGGTGAGGAGTTGACCGTGGGGCTTGTTGATGAGGTCCAACAAGTCCTGACGAAACGCTCTGATTCGGGAGGAAACTCATTTGGACATTATTGGTGGTGGTACTCGATGGACAGTCAAAGTGAAGGACGGATATATGGAGATGAGAAATCGGTAACGAGGTCAAACTGTCGAATGGTCAGGTTACTTAGGCGAGGGAAGCGACGACCGCCGTTCGTGTGTTCGTATCAGGATATCCAGGGGCACCATGCAACACGAGGTATCGTGGTGTCGAGTCACCTAACATATCTCTTCGTGCTCGTTTGACGGCTCGACGTTCTCTAGTGTCGTTCAAAAGGGGCAGATAGCAATCAACAGCATTCATCACTTTTTACGTGGCAAACAGCAAACGAAACAGTATTCAGCAAACATCAAAGACCACAAAGGCAAAAAGAAAATGATCACCATGGGTAGGAGTCGAACCTACGACCTCACGATCCTTGAAAGAGTGTGATATCAAAGCGAGCGAAAGTCAAACGATAGTGTCGGATCGGGTGTGCTGACCGCTGCACCACCGTGGTCAGAAGGTAACACAACTAAACTAGTATAACAAGCTTGACAAACAGAGGCATGTGGTTGGTGCTTAGCCATTTGCACTCAGATGCCTACCACCCTCGGAGCCTCGTCGGAAACTCCCTCATACCGTCTCGCCTCCCCACACCTCCCCCTTCTGTTCTGTTGACCTTTATATCTTCTAAACAGTGTGGTCCCGATTCACGTTGTCAGTCTGATCCTGCTTGAGGTCATTGTCATTCGTGTTCTGCAAGCTTTGTTTGGAAGGGCGGAAACAAGTTATTGCTCAGAATGTTGATTACATTTATTCCTTGACCTGGCTTCTTTTTTTCCGGAAGTCCAGTGTCTGGTTATATCTATATGACTACATAATTGTGGGTATATCAAGCCATACCCATCCCTTTCCTCCTTCATGTTTCCGCAACTCAATCTGCCACCAGAAAAAAAAAGATTAGATAACACAAGACTCAAGAAGAGGCCAGTTCTTCTTGCAGCAAGAAAAGTAAAAGTTAAATCTCCTTCCCGAGGAACATTACAAAAAAAAAAAAGGATTGGCAAAAGAGAAATCGTCGCCTGCAACGATGCTGAGAAAGGAAGAAGAAGAAATCAAACACCGCCAACAGTGACCTCGAGCTGCGAAGGCGAAGCCACAGAAAGTAACCCAGCCATGTCAACGCCACCAGTAGGCGTGACATCATCATATGCAAACGCATAGCCCTTGCCATCAACCTCATAGTCATGCACGTACTTGCTATACCAGTTGGCAGCTCTGCCGCTCTTGGTGTAGTAGCCCGACACATCAGACATGGGTTGAACGTTACCTCCACTGAGCAGCAGAGTCGAGCGATGGAAGGCAGCGCAAAGTCTAGGCACCACAGCACGATGGACGTCGTTATCGGAAGCTTGGATGGCAAAGGGACCGCCGTTGCAGCCGAAGATGTCGGCGGCCGAGGGTTTGGCGTAGGGTCTGTTGTCGCCGTCGCAGTAGAGGTAGTCGCCGGTGGTTTTGCAGTTGACCAGGCCGGCAGAGACTTGAGTGTCGATGGTGAGTGAGGTGGTGGCGTAGTGGCTCCACACGTCGTTTACGTAGGAGGTCCAGTAGTCTGAGAAGGCGTTTGGGTATAGTGAAATGTAATCGTAAGGGGCAAGTACGCGCAGGGCATTGGAGTTTGCATCAACGGCGCAGAGGTCAGCCCATGGATATCCATCGATGCAGGTCTGCTCTTCGAGGTCGGCGCAAATGTCTTCGACGGCTTGGGTGTGGACACCTTCTGCTTGCAGGACAGTGCCGTCACACGCAGTCAATTTCTGACCCAGCGGTAGACCCACAAAGTCGACGTAACTGAGGTTGGTGTAGATGGCTGATTCCAGGTAGGTCAACTCGATGAAGCCCCAGTTGACAGCTGACGAAGGATCGGAAGGGTTGACGGCAGACGGCTCGACCAGAGCGACTTGGCCACCAGCATTGACGGTGAAGAACTGCAAGTTGCCATCGGCAAACCAGATGCGGCCAGCGCTGATGTAGCCAGGAAGAGAGATCGACACAGTCGAGCCTTGGGCACCGAGAGGAATAGCAACGTCTTCTGTGATGGGTTGTGGTGTCGTGGCTGATGTAGCTGGAGGATAGTACCAAGTACCGTCGGGATGTAACATGACGAGAGCATTGTTGCTGTCTCTACCTGTAACATATGCCCTGACATTTGAGCTTGCCATCTTGTTGACGAAAGACAGTTCGATATAATCCGAGTCTACAGCGGCGAACATGTTGACCGGAGGACGTGACGCAGCGGCTGTTACTGCGTCTGCTTGTATTGACTCTGTGGTGTTGATGGTGTTGTCGTCTGTAAGAATGACATGGTTGGCATCTCCAGGTGTGATAGCAAATGGTGCAGCCATGGTAGGCACCGCCAGCAGAGCCGTAAAGGCACATGAAAGCGCCGTCGAGAAACGCATGATGTGATAGATTCGAGACAAGAAGCACAGCTATCTTTGTCCCAAATATGTATTGTTGAAGGATGTTTGTCGGGTGGCTGATTAGTAAGAGGACGAGTATGTGAGTGATATTGAGGTGGATGGAAAGTCGGTTAGTTCTGGCCACAAGACATACATACTTATAAGACCTCAATCCCCCACAATATAGGAGAGAAAATCTTATCCTTCTATCCAACGGTATAAAGCCGTTGGAGAGGTTGGCTGGGTGGCGCGGATGATAATACAGGTGCCGAGAGGGGGCTCGTCAACTACTATACTCATTATGCACGTCCATGCGAGCAGGTTGTCCCGAAAGCTGAACTCTTAAGTTCATTCTGAAGTCGCGGCAATCTCAGGCCAGTTCTGCTTCGTGCATGCGTTCCTAGAGACATTCAAATTTGACAAGATCCAGACCCGGCATGTCAAAGCTCCACACGTGGAAGTGGAAAATAGGGAGAAAATAAGGCTGGAAGCCGTTGATTCCCACGCCACGAAAACGGCGAACAACCATATCAAAACGGTAGATAAAATTACGACGAGGCAGAGACCGCGCAATCACTGCAACGCGCATGACGTGGATTCCGTTCTAATCGTTATGCAAAAATACTGGTTGCGATGGCCTACACAAAAAACAGCACAGCTTCTTTTCATCCGCTCAACTCCTTACCAGACCTCCCCTGGTTACTCGATAGTAGATTAGACAGTCAGCCTCAAACCGCTGGCCGGCGCTCCGATGGCGCAGATCTCGCACACTTTGCAGACTGTACCTTTGTACTGTGCTTGGTACTTGATGCCATCATAGGGGCAGCTTACACTTTGCTCTCCGCTGTAGATCGGCGTGTACGATGCACCACAAACGTCGAATTCGGCGAATGAATCGTATTCGATTTCGACCGCATCGCCAGGTTGGCGTTCGCATACAGCCTTGACCTTCTTTGCCTGGAGGGTCATGTTAGCTTGTATTCTGTGCGTGTGATCAGCATACACTTACGTTCTCCTTGAAACGGGCGTTCGTTCCTCTTTCGATCAATGCGTTCGCGAAGTTGAGAGCACTGCTCAGCTGCTTGTTCTTGTGTGCAAAGTTCATGGCAGTGAACAAGGCCAAGGTCTGGTGTTGAGGCTCAATGGCAGGAACCGTGAAGTAAGCCGATAGTTCAAGAGCCCGCTTCTTGTCCTCTTCAGAGAAAGAGCTCAGATCGGTGGTGCCTCCAACAAGCTCTCTACGAGTCAACTCGACTGACATAGCAAGAACGTATTGGGCAGCGGTTTGAATAAGTTCCTTTGCCTGAAAGATGTTAGTCATACAGCTTTGTTGTGCTTCTCAGCTAAACATACCTCGTTGACTTGTGATTGCGATGAGACAGCGTTGACAATCAAGGTCTGCAAGATCTTGCGGAATATTTGAACACCATCTTCGAGCTTGTTCTTTTGCATCGACTGCTTTCCAGCCTGCAGATCAGTAGTGCTTATCGTCTCAAGATCACCGGGAATGAATGGCAGGATCTTCCGTGAGTCGGTATCCTTCAGTGTGCGGCGAACGTAGTTGATAAGTGGCGGCAGCTCAGGGTTCGCTGGCAAGAAAGTGCGCGAAGCAGTGTAAATCTCCTCGAACCTGGCCTCGAGAGGCTTGAAGTTGACTGCGCCTACTTGCCTGTTCAGGAGGTTCATAGCAGACTCGTAAGACCCAGCGGCGACGTGATCAGCGGCAACCGGTGAGTTACGTGCCCAAACTTCTGCCTCGCTGCTGCCAGCACCTGCTTCCACAGTCTCGACGTTGACGAACTCTTCCTCCGCCTCGGCAAAGCTGTCGTCGCCCATGTCCCAACCAGCAGCATCTTCATCATCTTCTTGCTCAATGTCGGCAGTCTCCTCAGGGACTGCAGTCTCGGCCTCAAGGAAGTCGGCATCATAACCATTGGTTGCGGGAGCGACCTCTTCAGCACCACCATCGGCAAGCATGGCCTTCTCAAATGAAGAAGCACCGGAGGACTTGACGGGCCAATTTGACTGGAAGGTTGGAACAATAACGGCAGGAGTCGATAGCGGCTTTCCAGTGTCGGGCATAGTGACTTGGTCTTCTGTGAGGCCAGCGGCTTCAAGAATGTTTTGGCACTCCTCCTCCATGCCGTTGGCTTTGGCGGTCAAGTAGGCAAGAGGGTACTGATCGATCTCCTTGAGCATGTCGATTCTGGTTTGGACATCACCAAGGTAGAGAGAGTTCTGGAAGCGAGAGGTCATATCGCCACGGTGCTCAGCAATCTTGGCCATTCTCTGCAATTTCGACTCATCACCGGTTGACAAGTACAGGAAAGACAGCTTGTCGAAGTTGCGAAGCTTCTGATAGGTCATCTCAACAACTTGGTGGTTACCGTGAGCCAAAGCCTCGGTGCTCAGGCGTTGCCAGAGCTTGGGACGGTCCAATTGCTTAGCCATCTCAACAGCAACCTCGAGGTTTCCACACTCGATAGCCAACTCGAATCTAGTCTGAGGGTCCTGGACGAATTGAAGAGCGATCTCAGGGTATCCCTTCTTCTGCAAATACGAGATAATGCTCTGACCAACAAGACTCGAGTTCTTGATGATGTTCAGCATCTCATCGTAGTGTCTCTTGACAAGGGCCATCTTGAAACGATATTCCGTTGGATCAATAGTCATGACCTTGGGCTTTGCAGCTCTATCAAGGCAGTAGACGCTTCTACCCTTGACACGGACAAGGTAAACAGTCTGATCGAGAGTGCGAACGATTCCATTGTCGCCGTTCATAAGAGTGTACTTGATGTGGTTGAGGGTTGAGTACAGCAAGACACCAGTGTCATCCCACACAGCGCTCTTGATGCGAATGGTCTCGTGCAGCGTGCTGACCTGTTCCAGGGACTTGTTGACGATAGTGACATTGTGCTTGCTAAGCAGGGCGGCATACAGACCGTCAGAGGACCAGACAACATACTTTACGCCGTTGACAGCAAGTTCGGCAAGCTGCTTCTTCTGCTGAATGTCGTAAAGAACAACCGTAGTAGGAGTAATGAGCAGCAAACAGCCAGTGCCGCCAAAGTAGACGTCAACGGTGCCAGGTGGAGGCTTAATCGTCTTGGTGGTCGAGTTTTGAAGATCCTTGATGTCAATCTGCTGGTTAGGCTGGTTAAAAACAGCGAAGCGATTACGGGCGACAAAGACAGCCGAGGTTGCAGTGCCGCGCAGAGAGTTGGTAGGCTCAACAGCACCAGAAGCATCTCTGGGCAAGTTGATCAATTCGTAGCAACCCCCATCGGCAGGCGAAGTGACTAGAACTGCACGCTCTGCGGGATTGTATGAGATGGCACGCGGCGGTACCCAGGGGCTGCCAAGCTTCTTGAGTGAGAGCATTGAAGGGCTCTCAATGTTCTTGGTAAAGTCGTAGGAGCGGACCTGCTTATCCTTTGTGATGTAGAAGAGGTTGTTCTGGTAAACGGCCGAAGCGGGACGCTCACGTTCGAGCTTGAAGACCATAACACCATTGTCATGACCAGCGGCGAAAAGGTTGATCTCGGGGTGAGCAGCAATTGTCCAGAAACGGTCGTTCTCACGCTTAAATGATTGGACCGAGGAACGTTTGTTGAGATCCCAAACGCGCAAAGTCTTGTCCTCGCCGACGGACAGAATCAAGTCCTGGTGAGGATGGAACAGAGCGGCCGAGGCATTCTGGAAGTGACCTCTGCATGTATCAACCTCCCAAGCTTTTGTTTCACTCATTCTCCAGAGCTTGATCAGGCGATCATCACCAGCCGAGACGATAAGGGGTAGGGTGGGATGGAAAGAGACCCAGTTGACACCACGATCGTGGCCCTCGAGCACGAACTTGACAACAGCATCGGTGTTGCCAAACATATCTGCTTGGTTTGCGTTGGCGCGAGCCATCTGATCTTCAAAAGTCATCGAAGTGGGAGCCGAGTGCTTCTTGCGGAGGCCGGAGATGTCCCAGACGCGGACGGACTGATCGAGCGAGGCAGAGACAACGAGGTCTTCTTTAGGGTGGAACTGAGCGCACATGGCGTAGTGGTTGTGGCCAGTCATTGTGCAGACTAGAGAGGATTGTTAGAGAAAAGGGCTTCACGGAGAGAAGTTAATGGCTGACGTACTCAGCGAGCGGTTCTGCCAGTTCCAGATGCGAATGGTCTGATCGTCCGAGGCTGAAATGATCCAGGGGAGCTCGTGGTGGAAGAAGACGGTACGGACATAGTCGAGATGGCCGTTGAGTGTAAAGAGGCAGCGACGAGTCTGGAGCGACCAGACCTTGATCTTGTAGTCGTCACCGCCGGAGACGAAGAGTGGTTGCGTCTTGTGGAAATCGACACCTCGTACGGGGCCATCGTGTTCTTCGAAGCGATCAATCAAGGTACCCATACGGTAGTCCCATAGCTGGATAGTGGAGGAGTGTAGAGAGACGAGGATCCATGGTCTTTACGTGATCAGTATGCTGGCAGGTCTAGATTGTCTGGATTGAATGCGCACCGCTTGGGATGGAAGGCAATGCCCTTTGCTCTCGACGACTTGGACTCGAACTGTGACAGATTAGAATAAAGTCAAGCTGCAGAGGTGAAGAAGCTCGCGGACCTTTGTGAGCATGGTGGGATATGTGTTGGACGACATGTTGATTGTATTTATAGAGCCGAAGCCGCAGCTTCACGCATCGAGGTACGGGCTGTGCGCAATTGCCAGAGGAGTCTTGCCGGATGCGCAGCAGCTGGCGACGACGGAGCGGCGGACGGGGATAGAATTGGTGGAGTTGGTAGAGGATGGAATGGGTTGTTACAGCTAGGTACTGCTTGTCAAGTTGTCCTTACTGCCACGTCTGTTTCGCTCCCTGAATCCATCCCTTCTCCACGCTTGCCAAGCCTACCGCTCCTTCCACCTGTAACCAACCCACCTCTTCCGCTACTGCTCCTGCTTTACTGACCACATATATTCAAATTCTGACCTTGTCGATTCCTATCTGGCAGTTGACCTCTTTCCGTCCACAAACATGTCCTAGCTGTTGATCGACTCCCGGCAGGAAGGAGCTCCACATAGTCGCCCATTCCATCCGAGTCTTTGAGCTTCCCCATCATTCGTCCATGCTCCGTCGGCGTCATATCCCTCTCAAACCAACAATGTATCGCAATCATTCACCTTCGGCCTCTTTCTAGTATCTAAAATCTTGTCTCCTTGTTTGCCATCGAGCATCTGCGACAAACAGCCATTCTATTGCTCCTGCATGATGCCGCCTCCTGTCTCCGGTCCACCACTTTCACCTCTCCCGTCGTATCCTTGATTGAGCCTTCACGCCTCGGACCCTTTACGAGCCTCAGCGGATCGAACAAGATCATGTCATATAGTCTCGCGGCTGATTCGTACCTCCCTTCATCACCTCTCAAATCCGCCGATTCCGGATATGCACCACTCGATGCGACAGACTCCATCGCTATCTGGCAAGCTTCGCCATCCGAACCTGTCTCGACTCCGCAGAAATACTACGATTTCGATATAGAAGAGCTGTCAGAAGACAACGTGGACGATTCCTGTTATGCCCAGGTCCTACATCCGTACGAGCTGGAAGAGGTCGACACTCCTGTCGCGAATCGAAGTCACGTCAACCAATTTATTGAGATCGACGAAGAAGATGGTGGACAGGATACTCCCGAGTCCGGATCTACTGCTCTTGCTCATCGTTTGCGTCGTATACGCTGGCAACCTGCATCTCGACCTTCCGACTCGATACGTTCATCACCTGTCCCATCCAACCCGCGCAAGCGCGTACGGTCAGAGGCCTTAGATACCGACACCGACTCGGATGGTTTCGACAGTTCATACACACGTTCTGAACCCCCGCGAATGCGCCGACGTGTTCATGGGCCTGGAATCGCACCTGCTATGGCCACTCCTTCGGCCGTGAGCGATGCATCTACCCCTCGGGCAACCACGACTACCCCTACGTCCGACGAATTGATGGATGTCGACGAACAAGCCGCCTAGGTATGCGGAAATCCTCTTCCGCTCATGTCCCTTCTTTACGATTTTACGTTTTTGAGCGTCCTTCCGATATACCCGATTTGCGTTATCCTTTTTATCAACGAAATATCAAATACCCTTTCGAACAACATACGACCTTGTTATCCTCGGCGTACTTTTGCAATAAATATTCATCCGTCCTTGTCGTGTCGCTTTGCAGGTCTCTGGTCTTATGCTCGGATGCTCGCGTGATGTTGGTGTCCTGATCGCGTCACGCGTCCATATCTACTTGAACTTGCTCAGTCCACCTCAGTTTTGCACAAACCAGTCACGAATCACACGGACAGCTGATCACTGGTCTTGCTGCCTGCTCCAGAGTAGTCGCTTCGATCTCTCGCTTATGTCAGCCGATGGGCCATCTCCAGCTATAAAAACTCCTCGGACCCTTCATCTGTCTTCTCCTTCGTTCATTCACAGGTAGGTCTTTAGTATGTAGGTATCCCTTTTTTCACTTCATCTATCCGCCATCTATCTGCTTTTCCTTAGTTCTCTTTTCTTCTGTCTGCTATATATCTGCCATTTATCTGCTTTCTCAATGTGAATCGCGGACTTCATTGCTCTCTTGGTCTGCGGACTGGGAAGTGGAGAAGTCTACTTGTTGCTGTGCACCCTACACACATGTTCGTCCATGCTGATTCGAACCTGTCATGTTTATCTCTCACTGTCGTTGTTCGTCGTTTACAACATCGTCAATGTGTAAAGCAATTCTGCCAAGACCTATTGCTGAGAGCACCACCCTGTTACCAACTGATGATGTCTCCGGCGGACACACGTTTGTCTTCTTTGTGTTCTCTAGCTATCCGTTTGTGCTCATATGCTACTCTCTCAGCTTGTACGAGTGGTATATGTGGTAACATCGCTGATTCGGAGACATATTTCGGGGTTACGAGCTGAGTCTTTTTGACGCTGTGATACGCTGCAATATTGATAACGAATCGACGAGTTACCTGGAGCAGGACTTGGAGAGCTCCGGCCCTACCATGCACATTAACTAGTATGTTCTAATAAGCCCTCACTTACAAAAGAGACCTATCGTGAAAGCAAGTTGTCATCAACAGTGTTGTTGCAATGTTGCCTGTAGAGATGTTAGCGATGACGCGCTTGGTGGTCTAGGCGTTGATTGGCCAGATGGTGCAGCAGCACAGCTGTCCCGACTCCCCAGACAATCTAAGTTAGGGAGAGGTGTTGCCATAATACCATATCACTCTATATAACCCGGAGCTGATCACAGTTTATCCCGCCGCAGCATCACGCCGTCGGCCGCAAGCATCAGCAACATGGCCAACCCCCAAGGATACCCTGCGCAGGGCTATTCGCAGGAAGAATACGACCAATCGCAGTCCGGCACCCCCGTGCCTGCTCCCTCCCAAGTCCCAGCAAAGAAGAAGCGAGCCTACGCTGGTCAGGCCTTTGAATTCGGCACCGGCGCCAATGCTGGCCAGCCCGTGACACAGACTGCCCCTCCTGCCGCCGCCTACGGCGCTGCTCAACCCGCTGCTGGCTACGGCTACGGCGCCCCGGTCCAACAGCCCGCTGGCTACCCTGACCCTCAGCAACAACAACCTGCTGCAGGATACGGCGCTCCTGCCCCTGGGTACCAGCCTCCAGATGCCTATGGTGCCGCTCCCGGAGGAGTCCCAGGCATGACACAACAGTTTTCGCAGATGGGCATGGCACCGCAACAACAACAACAGCAACCCGCACAAGCCCCTCAGCAAGCCGCCCCTGCTGCCCAGCGTCTGAACCCTCTTCAGCCCGTCGACATCAGCGTTCAAGGTGCTCCCTTCCATGTCTCGGATCTGGATCTGCCTCCTCCCCCCATTATTCTACCTCCTAACGTACGTCTCGAACCCCGTCGTCAGACTGGCAGTCTGGATAGCTCTGCCCTCGACCCGTCACTAACATGTGCTACAGTCCAGCGTAACCCCCTCTCCCAACGCGAACTGCCCGCCCAAGTACGTTCGCTCGACATTGAACGCCATTCCTTCAACAAACTCGCTCCTCAAGAAGTCCAAGCTTCCCTTCGCCCTTGTTATCCAACCATACGCTACTCTCCACGACGCCGAGGACGACGTGCCTGTCCAGCCCGACCAGGTTATTGCAAGATGTCGCAGATGCCGTACCTACATCAACCCCTTTGCCACTTTCCTCGACCACAGCCACCGATGGCGCTGCAACATGTGCAACCTGACCAACGATGTTCCCCAAGCCTTCGATTGGGACAACATGAAGCAACAAGCCATTGACCGCTGGCAGCGTCCCGAGCTGAACTACTCGGTCATGGAGTTTGTGGCTCCTCAAGAGTACATGGTCAGAGCCCCACAACCTCTGGTATACCTTTTCTTGTTCGACGTCAGTGTCGCGTCGGTCCAGAGTGGTCTCCTTGCCACTGCTGCCCGCTGTGTCGCCGAGTCGCTCGATCGCATTCCCAACGCCGACCGCCGAACTCGCCTTGCTTTCATGGCTGTTGACTCGAGCCTGCACTACTTCACCATCCCTAACGACGCCAGCGGTACCTCGGACTCGAACATGCTGGTTGTGAGTGATCTTGACGAGCCTTTCCTTCCTACACCAGACGGTCTTCTTGTCAGCTTGGCCGATTCGCGTCAAAACATCGAAACCTTCCTGGGCAAGCTTCAGTCCATGTTCCAAAACACTCAGAATGGTCTCTCGGCCATGGGCTCGGCCATGCGTGCTGGACACAAGATGATTTCTCACGTTGGTGGAAAGATGGTTGTTTTGACAGCCTCGCTACCCAACCACGGTTATGGCAAGCTCGACATGAGAGAAGACAAGAAACTTTTGGGCACAAGCAAGGAGAGCTCTCTGCTGCAGACGGCCAACGCCTTTTACAAGAGTTTTGCGGTCGAGTGTTCAAAGACTCAGGTCTCAATCGACATGTTCCTCTTCTCTTCACAGTACCAGGATGTTGCTTCTCTGAGCAACTTGCCCAGATACACTGGAGGCCAGACATACTTCTACCCGGCTTGGAGCGCCGCCCGTACCGAGGATGCCATCAAGTTTGCAACAGAGTTCAGCGACTACCTATCTTCAGAGATTGGCCTCGAGGCCGTGTTGCGTGTCAGAGCCACCACTGGACTACGCCCAAGCACTTTCTACGGAAACTTCTTCAACCGCAGCTCCGACCTCTGCGCTTTCCCTGCCTTCCCTCGCGACCAAGCATACGTCGTCGAGATTGCCATCGATGAGTCAGTCACAAAACAGTTTGTCTGTTTGCAAGCTGGTGTTCTGCACACTACATGTAATGGCGAGCGTCGCATTCGCGTCATGACCCTGTCAATCCCCACTACACAAAACTTGGCAGATGTCTACTCGAGCGCTGATCAACAAGCCATCGCCGTCTACTTCAGTCACAAGGCCGTCGAGAGGGCCTTGTCCAGTGGTCTTGATGCCGCCAGAGATGCTCTTCAAGCCAAGATCATCGAGCTTCTTCAGACATATAAGAAGGAGCTTGCAGGTGGTAACATGGGTGGTGGTGGTCTTCAGTTCCCTGTCAATCTCAGAGGTCTGCCAACTCTGTTTTTGGGTCTCATCAAGAACGTAAGTAAAACCGTTGCAAATTTAGAAGCCACACATACTAACATGACTGCAGCTTGGTCTCCGCAAATCTGCCCAGATTCCTAGTGACCTTCGTTCAGCAGCCTTGTGTCTACTTTCGACACTACCCCTGCCCTTGATGATCCAATACATCTACCCTCGCCTGTACTCGTTGCACGACATGCCCGAGACTGCTGGTCTTCCTGACCCGACGACCGGTGCTATTGCCTTGCCTCCTCCGCTTAACTTGACTTCGGCCAATGTCGTTCCCTTTGGTCTCTACCTCATCGACGACGGTCAGACACAGTTCTTGTGGCTTGGCCGCGACGCAGTTCCAGCACTGGTCATGGACGTTTTCGGTACCGATGATAAGAACGCACTGAAGCAGGGCAAGACTTCATTGCCCATCATAGACAGTGAGATGAACGAGCGTGTACGCGCTGTGGTCGAGAAGAGCCGAGACCATCGTGCCAAGGGCTGCGGTAGCATCGTCGTGCCCTCGCTATATCTCGTTCGCGAGGACGGTGACCCAAGTCTCAGATTGTGGGCTCAAAGCCTTCTCATCGAGGACCGTGCCGACATGGCTGTCAGCTCTGCTCAATTCATTGGCATGTTGAGAGAAAAGGTAAGCACTTTCTAGAGCACAATGATCTCTGGCTCAGATCGCTAACTGGCACAACTACAGGTCATGCAATAAAGTTTTTTGATACCACCAAAGGCAACGGCAAGGACCAGGAAGGTTTACACAGTTGTCTGGACTCTTGACGAAGAGTAGAGCATCCGATGAGCCCATGAGGAGGATTGGAAGCAAGATAGTCGAAATGAAGCAACCCCCAAATATCGCGTGGTAACCCTTTTTAGACCAAAAAACGAAGGAAGAGGCGCTTTACAAACCTATTCGTTTAACCCTGGTACCTATTTCATCCAAAGGCCTTGATGCAGGAACCACATGATCCATGCCACAATCGTAAAGTTTTAGGTTTTGCATGCACAGCTGTAGGTGTTTGGGAGTAAGTAAGGCGTGCGGCTGAAATGAAGACAGCCTTCGGAACGTGATGTCGGGTAGGTAGTTGGATGTAGATAGCTGATATACCGAGCTGAGTGACCAAGCTGACATTTGGACCAGGGCAGGGGCAACGAAACAAGGCAAAATAGGCAAATAGGCTTTTCTCATGGCTCCCTCGTACCTTGGCCACGTACCTTTTTGCAGCCCTTGCCTGGCGAATTGCTGCTTTCCGATCTTGGTCTCCACGTTTGGCCGACGCCCATTCGAGTTATCCGAGACATTATCCTCCTGGTGCCTTGAAGATCTCCTATTTTGGTGGATCACATACGAGAGAGGCGTTTTGCGGTAGAGGTGAGGCGTACCTATTTCGGGTTTTTTGCACAGTGGATCTCATCGTGGGATGTATGGATGAAGGCGTCGGAAGGGCAGAAGAGCATCTGGAAGAGTCTCTGATGTTCACAAGTCACTTTGTTCCCATGTATAAAGTACACGGCAATAGCTGAGAATATGGTTGCACAGAAGGAGGGCGAGATTGCGCGGGTCCATGACCATGAGTTGCAAAGCTCTGGGTCTTGTGAGCAACCGGCCGGTCAAAGCCGGTGCTCTGATCGATTAGAGAGAGTGCAAAGATGATGGGCAGAGTAAGATGTGCGTGTATCTTGTGCGATCGCCGTTTCATGGTTTACTTATTCCCAGACACCATATAACCCCAGCGAAGCAGTCGCATGACGAGAGACAAAATATCCCCAGTACAAAAGAATGTATGTGATCGAGTGTTTGCTTGCGCGAATCCAGACCTGCGCCTACTTTAGATAATCATGTCTTGCCCTTGCAGCAAGCTGCGAAACTCTCGGCATGAAACAATGCCCATGGCTTGACAAGCCCTCAATCCCGGAGGGAAGTGGCACCTTTTGTGGAGAGAGGGGCAGAGGCAAAGATGCCATCTTTCACATGACAAAAAGTCAAATGGGCACACACCGTGCTGGTTGTCCTCGTGGTACCTGGATCTAGAAAGTCCACGCCATTTTCACGTGTACCTGCACTAAGGTTTCGGACTCGAGATGAACGAGGAAGCGAGTGGAGGCAATCAATAAATACATATCTTGTCGAGTGCCCATATGCGGGCAATCCAAGGATCAGCATGATGGAGGTGCGCTTTGTCGGAAACGCTGCTCGTTGTTTATGCAGGTTAGCGGTGCTATCATGAAGAGGGAACTAATTAGCGTCCAGGGCGATAAATCGCGACCTGACGAATCATCCGGCTCCCTAAGACATAATTCATTATTGGCATCATCACCATCATCATCTTCCATAAGAAGCTTGGCTTTGTCCGGCACACCACGCTGAGTCTTTGTACCTTTTTTGTAACCCCTCCTTTTTGCGAAGGCTGATGTAAGAATTAACGGACCTGAAACCCTAGTAGATCTTGGGAGGCAGAACGGGGCAAAGACATGATCTGACACTTTTCCGACAAGAGATGAGCATGAAGGATATGGCAAGAGCAAGGCACAGATGAAACATGATTGAGCAAAAGCAACTCCCCGCACACTCCGAGGGCTGATATCGTGATGGAGCAAATCTACCTATTTGATCACATCGTCATGCTAACGACCCGTTCCATGCCGTTGACTCGCACTGCTGTTCCTCGTTTCCTTCTACCTACCACCCCCCTTCAACGACGCTCACCGTCTTTGTGGCTTGGCGGTGGCCGGGTAGCGGTGCCTTGGCCGGGAATGTTCGCTGCTGAGTGGCTCCCTGTTCAGCACACCGTATATCGTGTGGAAAAGGGTCAAGCCGCCTCGTCCGGATCTCGTCAAGGCAATTGAGACGTAGGTGTGGGTGTGGGTGAGCGTGACCCAAGACTTTCAAGACGCTTGATACGAGCTGGAAGCCGCGGTGGGCGCGTGTTCAGGTGCGGCGGTGTCTTGCAGACCATGGACAAAGTAGAGGGTTTAGCTGGGTACGTGGACGCATTGTCGTGCGTTTGCCGTAGACTGCACGCTGGTTGGTTTGCACCTGAATATGCACCATCATGTACCTTTGCTCTCGTACTGCATGTCGCGCACACCCCACCTCTTGATTAGTGTCGAGGGGTACCTTTTCTCACTCTACGCCTTCACACTCGCGCCCTCGGCTCTGTCCTGCGCAAGCTCCCCTCCCAGGCAGGCATGGTGGTAGCCAGGGCGTTGACGGGTAGGTACATGGTGTGGAGGATGGCGGGTTGGTGCTCGGTCGTCGCGGTCTTGACTCTTGAGCGTCTGTAGATGGTTGGCTGCCCGCCTGTCAGTTGGAAACGTTTGGCTCCAGACTTTCAGCATGGGCAAGCGCCCAGTCGACATGTTCTGTGCCGATCCGGCGCGGTAGACAAAGTTAATGGTGGCGTCCGTGCGTGGGCAGATTTAGATATGCGAGGGGAAGTCATCATCATCTGTTTTGCCTTGTGGATGCTCTCTCGTCCCGCGAGTGGGCGCTCATGCACTCGTTTTTGACTCCATCGCGGCCCTTCTCGGACGCTTGTTCCTGCGCCCTGTCTCGAGCATCGTAACTCTAGTTTTGATCGAGCCCCCAGAAAGAGCAGTTGTCTGACCGTTGGGTTGCCGAGTTGCGCTACCCGTACCTTGGATAGCCAACTCTGATTCTGACGCAGCAGCCTTTGGCAGGATCACCAACGTTGCGTGTGGCGGGTTGGCTGCATCTCGCCGCTCTATCCATTACTACTATTGCTGCACCTGCTGCTTGCTTATCACCCTTGCGACCCGTTTGCCGCTCCGTCAGACGAGTCCTCATCCTCGTCCTCGTCTCCGTGCTCTTTTACGTCTGCTCTACCACGACGGCGTCGACGTCTTGCCTGTCATACTGATCACCCATGTTTCGTCAAGCTGCTCAGCTACATGACATGCTCTAACCTGACCGGTACGCCTTTTACATGCACCTAAGTCGGCAATACTGGGGCCGCTCTTGTGCACCATTACCGACGAATTATTTGCAAGGCTTTGATCAAGAAAGACGGACTGATTCTGAACAAGCCGGTTAGAAATCGATTTCCTCTCAACGCACCTGGCTTATACTCGGTCATGACTTCCCCGACCATCCCGCCAGCCATGTCGAATCCTCAACACCACACCACACGACCGATGCTTGCACCCAGCAGCAGAAAAAGAAGTGGTAGTACTACTGACGACTACCAACCCATGACGCCGCGACTCAGTGCGCGCTTCTCCGATCAACCCGACGAAGAAATCCCCGCCGAAGAGTCGACTTTGAATACGCCGACCAGAGGGACTTTCAAGTTCCCGGCCGACAACTCGAGCGCTTCTGGACAACATGATGCCACCATCGGTGTGAGTCGTGAGAACTCGCGCCGCTCGGTACACTCGCACCAGTCTAGCGATTCGCAGGATATAGACATGGATGATGGCGATGACGACAGCCACGACCTCGCGGGCTCGGATAACGAGAGCGACGAAGACGGAAAGCCGTCCAGGAAGAAGAAGAAGGGCCAAAGATTCTACTGCACCGACTTTCCACCATGCAACCTCAGCTTCACTCGCAGCGAGCATCTGGCCCGGCACATCCGGTAAGCATGAGGCTCAAGTCCGACATGGCGTCTTGTACTAATGCTCGACAGAAAACACACGGGTGAACGCCCCTTCGAGTGCCACTGCTCCCGCCGATTCTCTCGCCTCGATAACCTGCGTCAACATGCGCAGACAGTCCATGTCAACGAAGAGATACCTGGCGACTCTCTGGCAGCGACTGGGACTAGGTTTCAGAGACAGATTCGAACGGACCGCGTACGTCCGCCAAACGTGAGGCCTAGAGCGGCAACCGCTGGTAGCGGCGGCCACAGCGCATACAGCAGAGGCCACAGCAGGAACCTGTCCGCTTCTAGTGTCCTCTCGACTACCTCGAGTCTGGCCATGTCCGATGTTGGGGAGAGTCGTCCGCGTCCCTCCCCTCTGCTGTTGAACGCTGATCCCGTAGCAAGAGCGAGAATGAGTCTGGACACGTTCAATCCGGCCATCCCCAACAACGGCCCTCAGTTTGGCTACTATCACCAGTCGCCTAGTGGCTACAGCTCTCCCACCGCCTCCAACTTCTCTGCTGGCGAAGCCAGCCCTAGGTTCCAAGCCTCTATGCAATCACCGTCTCTGCCCACGAGGTCATCGTTCTACAACGGTACTAGAACACCCTCTCGCCGTCTGTCTGTACCTTCTGGTGTCAGCCCTTACTCGCCGCCGACTGCAACCTATCAGCCAGTCTACTTTGCCCCCCTGTCTTCCGGTCCTGCTGCTCAGTACTCAAACACGAGCGGTATGGTCGCCAGTCCAGCTGCCTCTACCTTCTCACACCACCGCCGTGAGTCTGACGCAGAGCTAGAGTGGAGGAGAAGAACATGGCATCCCAGCACTCACGCAAACTATGCCAGTCGTCCTGCGACCAGTGGCTTGGCTTATAACCAGACTCCCGACGACGCCGCTCCTGCTCTTGCCTCCCAGCCAGCAGCAAGCCAGATCACTAGACTTCCTGGTATTGAAAGTTTCGACCACGCTCCTCCCCCTCCTGCTGCTCCTGCACGCAACATTACCAGCCCCATGCAGATTGACTCTGCCCGTCACCCGTTGACGCATTCAGGTCCGATCGAGGTTTCTACTTCGGCCCCTGGAGACCGCAGAAGTATTGGCTGGGAGCATAATCTTCACCATGGTCTCAACAGGTTGGAGATCGCTCATCCTCCAGTGGATCAGTCCCGCGTACTGCCAAGCCAGAGACTGCCCGCAGCAGCTCGTTCCGAACAGTCTCAGCAGCCTGCTCCTGGATATGCGCTTCCTCAGTTGCAGCCACTCGCTGATCTACGCTCTGCTGCTTCCGATGACCGTGCAAACAAGCGTCAAGCCTGGTACGGTGGCCCGATGGGCCCTCCTCAGGGAAGTCAGCCAATCATGATCGCACACCGCACCTCGCCAGAATCCAGCAGCAGTGAAGGTATCCCTACACCTTCGACCTCTCAGGGCAGAGAACTGCATCCAGCCATCATGCACGCGAATGGAATGGTTGAGTTGCAGCCCCCAGACGCAGTGCTGACTGATGAGCAAAGAGCACTTCAGGCCCACTACCAGGGCAAACCTGAGCCTACGAGAGCAGACTCTGGCTTCCACAGCTACGTGCACATGCCTGGTCAACAGCCCACTGTGTACATGATGCAAGCCGGTCACAACATGCAAGCCCAGTCTCCCGAATGGCGTCCCGCACCTATCAATCCGAGAGCCAATCCTGACATGGGAAGACTTGAAGCACTCGTTGCTGTTGCCACCAGCGAAAACCGTGCTGTCGAACACCGTGGTTGATCTTGATCAGCCCAACCCATCCACGATTACAACATTGAACGAATACACCCCTGCCAATGCCCACCCTTCCACCCTTTTTACAACTAATGTTTCATAATTTGATGAAACGACCCCGAGAAACGACCACGACCTGCGAAACGACCTTGCCACGATTTTCTGTTTTGGAGCGCTGCTTACTTCCTGTTCTGATCTTTCTTGCTTTTCTATTTACGTTCGAGCGTGTTGTTGCTATTCCACTCCCTCACCCATCCCCTCTTCCTCCACATCCCCCAAATACCCCTTTTGACTTTCTTGTTTTCCTATTCTTTGCAAGCATACGATGCGTGCGTGCGTTGTTCTTCCTTCTCTCTTTTTCTTCTTTTTATCTTCCTCTTTTTTGGTTTCTTTGCGGTGGTCTCAGTCAAGTTATTATTTCGATACCCTGATACCCCCCATGTTTTTTCTTTTTCTTTTTTTTGGTTTCTGTCTTGCTCAAATCACACGATGCACGAATTTTTTAGTCTCACTTATTAGCTTTGTGGTGTTGATATCGAACTTCTTCTTCTTCTTTCTCTGCGATCAAAATTGTTCTAGTGTGCCGTCTTCTCGTGTGTGTGTGTGACTGATCTTCCGTCCAAGTGGTTGAGTGTTTTGAGTGAAGACATGAATCTTTCAACTCAAATCATCGTGCTCGAACGAGACTGGGCTGTGTCTGGAACTGGTATTTGAGGACATCTATGTTTAATCCTATGCTAACTTCTACTGCTTTTCCCAATTGGAGAAGGATTTCTCGCATCTCCTTTGACGTGACATTCCACTTCTCCTATGCAATGTCCACACATCGTCGAATGCTAAACAACCCCCTAAGGCTCCAGATGCAAACAAGAGAGAAGAAAAAAAAAACGCCAAAAGCAATGCCACACCAAAAACATGCTTATACACCCCAAAAACGCCAATGCTTTCCTATAGCTCCAAAAGTGTGAAACCCCCCTGATGATCAAAAATGTATTTGGAGAAAACAAACGCATCTTTTGTCTCACACCATGGCAATCAAGCCCTCCCTCATCCTCTCGACACCTTTACTCCCCACTCCCTTGAGTCTGCCCAGCTCGCCTACATGCCTGACTTCATCGTCCATCTCACACAATGCATTTACAATCATTTCCGCCTTTTTTGCGCCTACGCCTTTGAGGAGGCGTATCTGCGCTACATCGCGGCTGTTTATGATGCGCAGAATGTGTTTGGAGCGGGGCGTTTGGTCCGGGCCAGCGTGCATGAGTGAGTGTGCTAATTCGTCTTCAGAGTCCGAGTCGTTGTTGGTTTGGCGCTGCGGCGGTGCTGTGGTGGCTTCGTCGCGGAAAACGCTCAAGTTGCGGCGGATAGGGGGCCGAGTGTTGCGTGCAGATGGTTTTGTGAATACGGATTCGTCTGCGGAGTAGTTGTCGTGGGTATCGGGCACGTAGTCTTCGTCCTCGAGTAACGGTACACCACCACTGCTGGATTTGGGTCTGCGCGATTCTTCCTTGCGAGTGATTTTTTCTTGCAACTTGAGCATTTTCTGCGCTAGCTTTTGGTTGTCGGGAAAGTATGGCAGGGCCAGTTGATACATTTTCAATGCGCTGACTTCTTCTCCGCGGACCGTGTGTTGTTTGGCCATGAGTAGGTATTGAAGTCCTTCTGCACGTGCGGATTCTTGGTCAATGACTCTGCGCTCCAGAGCAATCAATCGTGCTTGTACATCAGGAGAGATTTCGGTGCCGGCGCTTGCGAGAGTTGCTTTTGTGGACGAAAGGGCTTGCTCGGCGAGCTTTTCGGCTACTTTTCTCTCGATGAGCGCTTCGATTGATTGCTGAGACATGGTTTCTGGTTTGGCGGGGACTGTTGGCTTTAGCACTTTGGAGGGTCGGTTGATGGTGGGCACGGCTTCACTACTAGTGCGTTTTTGTGCCTCTGCAGTCCGAGGGTGGCCTTGTCCTGAGAGGTGGCCAGGTCGGGATATGGTTGCTGTTTTGGGCTTATCGGAATAAACGGAGAAAGCCTTGACTGGTTTCTCGATCTTGTCCTTTTCGGCTTGCTCCCTGCTGGGGACAACGTTGTGAGACAGGGCCTTGGGACGCAATGGTTGGCGGTTAGCCAGAGGAATCGAGGGAATGCCGATTCTGGACTCAGGCTTTGGTGCAGTGCGGAAGAAGGGCCTGTTCTCGACCTCGTTTACTTCAATCTTCTTTGTTCGGTTCGCAAAGTTTAGAGAGCTAAGGGTATCAAGGTGGTAGCTTCTGACAGGAGCCAAGTTTAGAATCATGACAGTGAGGCCATTGTTCTGGCCCAGAGACAAGATTCGAGTCATCTTGGACTCGCGGTAGGGAATGCGGTTTTGCTTCTTGCTGATGGCCTCAACACATTGAGCGAGAACGAAGAGCGATTTGTTGATGCTGGCAGATTCGACCATTCTTTCCTTACCGTTGTCGGTGCGGCGGTTATCTTCGGAGCCAGCCAGATCGATGGCACTTGCTGTGCTTACACGGACTTCGTTGCCAGTCACTTGGGTTACCTTGACGCAGAGAACCGCATGAGAGCGCGAGGAATGTGCGTTCAACTGAACAAGGCGTTAGTGATGGTCGGTATTGGTTGTATCAGGGAGAGAGGTACCTTTGTGGCAGAGGTAGAGCGGTTGACGTTGGCCTGGTCGTACAGAGTCTCGAAATCCTTCAACGAGGTGCAAGGTCTTTCGGTCAAGCCAACAACAACCGTCTTGCCGTTGTTGTCACGGATGGGCAGGCCAGCAGGAGTACGCTTCTCCGGAGCCTCAAACAGATCAAAGACGCGGTCGTTGTAGATTTCGTAGTAGCTCATGGCGACATCGACTGTTGTGTCGCCGTCGGAGTCCTTTTCGATCTTGCGACTCCTGCGGTAGATGCTGCTGAGCAATCGTGGAATGACACCTCTTTCTGCCAGTAGTTTACCACCACGCATGGTGTGGGTCTTGCCTGTTCCAGTGACTCCATACGCGAAGATGGTGACGTCGAAGCCCTTGAACAGGTGCTTGACGGTGGGTGCAATCTCGTTGTCGTAGACTTGTTGTTGTGTGGCTACTTGGTCGTAGACGCTGTTGAACTGGAAACTGAAAGCCTCGGCCTCGTTCTTGGGATTCGGGATGCGCACGATCGAGGGAGTGGCCAGTGGTTCGGATGCAGTTGTCGCAGCCTCGACGATTGTGTCCTTCTCCAGCTCCTGCTTGAGCAGTGGTCGGATGCGAGCGACGACTCGCACGCTCATGGCTGGCTGGAGCTCGCGGGGCTGGTTAAAAATGAGGTTGGTGAATGGTCGATGCGCGCCCTGCAGACGTGTCGAACAAGAGAAGAAGAAAGTCAACGCCCTCGTGGGCTGGCGCGTCGGAATGGGCGTGTGCCTCCTGCTCCTGAACTGACGTTAAGCTGCAGGGAGCCGTTCGAGACTTTGCGCTTTTTCCCCACGCAAAGACGCAGAGAGTGTCAACAACACGTCGTTTTTCTCGTCGACCCAGAAACCGTTCGGCTTTCACTTTGTGCTCCTGACTTTCAACTTCTGCTTGACCAACACTCGACTAATTACACCATCAGTTTCGAGACCTTGGTCGCCCTTGTATATCCTGCGCTGTGCGTCTTGATGTTTATGCGCAATCTCGTCAACAAGTTTGATATATTCGATGCCGCTAACAACGTCGATCCCGCCTAATTGTGCCAACAATCGCGACTTCGATAAACCACTCGATAACCCAACTGTACTAACGCTCTCTTGCGAACCAAAATCGGCTTCGGAACGTGCTCATGACGATGCTTGGTCCTACGTCAGATTGTGGGTGTTGCATTTTATGCCGTCCTCCATCATGAACCCTGAACACACGACGATCTTATTGCGGGACCACGACCTCATAGATCGTGCTTTGTGCTGAGATCGCGCCTGTCGTTTCAATCGAGAATGGGAAACCCGATATTAGGCGCTCAAGATATATGTTCGGCGCGTCTTCCGTTCTATCATATATGAAGCTATCAGGTGCATACGTACAACAAGGGCTACCGGCTCCTCCCTCCGACTTCTCAACATGTCGTGGGTTTCTTTGCCTTGACTGGCGCTGGTTTAGCTGCCGTCTTCTGAGGACCTTTCGTGCTCGCAGTCTTACTGCTTGCCGCAGCACCATTGACCACTGCCGGTTTCTTACTCGCACTCGATGCTTGAGCTGGCTGCTTTGTCGCTGTTGACGAGCCTGATGGGTCTGCCTTGCTCGCAACAGGCGTTACCCGTTGCTTCTGCTTGTTCTCGGCAATCTTTTGTACACCTTGTTTGGCTTTCTGCATCGCTAATGTCGATAGAGGCCTTGTGATGGCCGTCTCGACAGGTGTCATCGGTAGTGTTTTGCGGACGTTTGGCGCAGGCTTTGGAGAAGCCGTCTGCGAGGCTCTCAAAAGTCGCCGTCTTGTCTCTTCATGTGCGCTGTCAATCGTGTTCTTCAGCTTAGGGTCCAGATTCCGTCCGGCTGTGGGCTTCTCTGTCTCTGGGAGGGGATGTTTCTTCATGGCTTCTTCCATTTCTCTCTGAGTCTTTGCAGCGTTTCTAGTGATCTTTTCTACTGCGGAGCCTTTGATTGGTTGACCACCTGCTGATTTGGCAGCATATGTCAGAGCTTGCCGCATGTCCTCGGTCGATTTTGGTGCCTTTGGTGCCTTTCCAGTCATTAGCAGGTTCATCTGCTGCTGTTGGGCGACTTTGTTCAATAGTGCGTCAAAGTCGATGTTGCCAGGTGCTATATCACCACTCGAGAGTGCCGTTGCAGCGGCAGTGATAGGAGCAAAGATAGCGAGAAACTCCTCCCATCCGCCTGCCTTGACTTCGGTCGTGATGAACTTGGCAGTCTTGTTTACTGGCTTGATGACTTGCTTCTTTTCTCCGTTACTGTTGCCATTTGCAAGCTTCTGCAGCGCGGCTTCGGCTTGCATGGCTTTGATTGGACATCCAGCAGGGAAAGATCCATGGCGGTAGAAGTGCTCGAGGAGGTAGTCCTTTTCGGTCCAGCGGTTCTTGAGCCATCTCTCAAAAGCCTCGTCGTTGTCGATTGGGATGTCGCTGATCTTGAACCGCCTCCAGTACATGTTGACAGACTTTGGTGGACGACCCTCGAAGAATGAAGAGCGAAGGGTGAAAATGTCCTGTCCGAATTGACCTTCTCTATCATCTTGTCAGCTGAGTTTGATGTGAGTTGGTTGCCGGAAACATACGGAACACCCTCATATGCAATTGTGCAGTCGTATAGCCAGTTTGTCGATTCCTTCAGTCGTTGTAGACAAAATTGCAGTCCAGTTTTGCGAGGCAATAGCTGGTGCTTCATATCGTTGATACCCTGCTTCTCCGCCCAGGCTTTGCTCTTTGCACGAGTAGTCTCGCTCAGGTTTGTGCCTTCCGGGAAGATCAGCAACCACATAGGATCCTTAGGATTGCTTAGTTGGCTCAGATGACGTTGGAAGCGACTCTTGTCTGTTTCCCATTTTCGTGATAGAAAGATAAAGTTGTAGAACTGAGCGCCCCAGCCGAAGATGGGAACATTCTTTAGAGACTCCTTCAATATGATATAGATGCGACCATGCATCTTGTTGGTGTATGCGATCCACCAGAGATATAGCCAGTCAGTGTAAAGCTATTCCTGTCAGTCTGATTACGCCTTTGGTGAAGTTGATGACCAGCAACGTACCTGGTGGTTAGCCATCATGACAAGTCGATGAGGAAAGTTGCATCGAAGACTTCCATCTTCCATCTGGTACAACTGATCCTTCATGCTCTCGTCTCCGGTAACTCTGACAGCAGTAGGCGCCCACCATTGGGTCATAGTCGCGGTAAGGACAGCAAAAGATTCTTTGGTCCATGCCATATATCCGTCGTAGAACTTGGGATCGATGAGCTTCAAAGGAGCACCAATGAATTGGGAAGCGCTTATACTGAGTTGTAGTATGCTGATCAGATACTAGTCCTCAAAACACTTTTACATTTTACTTACGCCAGCACCCCTGAGAGGAACGTTGATGCAGCAGAGAAGGCTCTCTCAGCCTGTCCCATTGTACCATGTTGAGGCGGTCCTGCTGGATGTTGATCTCCGGCTTTGGACTTCAAGAGGTCGAAACCTGCTCCTAACAGGGTGTCGCCGAACGCCTTGGACGCTGCCTCGACTTGCGGTCTCGACATTTTGACTTCTGATAAAATCACGAGGAGTGAGGAAACATCGAACAGCCACAGATCAGCTATTCATTTGACCGAATACGAAGCGAGTGACTTTGAGACGTCCAGACCCTGTCTGCGGCAGTGCAGCATTCCTGCTTTTCGATCACATCCTTTCCATCGACTCGCGTCAGCAAGCGACGTGCGATGAGGCAATGTGGTACCCGCGCTGGAGCCCGATCGAGTTCCGAGCTGCAGGTTCAGCCACGACCAACCTGATCCATCCCACGCCCCGCAAGGAAAAGTAAAATGACGTGGTGGTTCGTGAGCCGCTTTTTCGATGCGAGTCCAGCCACACGAGTGCCTTGCCTAAAGGTGCCTTTTGATCTCGAGATTGCACCCTTCTTTCTTCCAACCACACGTAAATACCACACGACCACCGCGGAGCTTTTACTTGACAACTTTGCTTTGATATCTGGAAACCTACCTGATCGCATACATATACATTCGGAATCAGCATCCATCCGACGACACCACATTTCCTCCCCGAGAACACATCAAGATCCGACATGGCCAACGCTCCTTCGGCAGCTCGTCCTCAACAATCGCGAACCAACGGCGTAGCCAGAACGAACGGAGCAGCTCGAACAAACGGCGCAGCAGCCAACAAAGCAGGCGCATCTCGTCCAGCAGGTGCAGTCCGGCCAGCAGCCAGAGCAAACAGTGTTTCCTCTCAAGGAGACGCTGTGAACGGAGTTGGCTCAGCATACGCCATCATGGCCAACAGAATCGCAAACCGTGTCGCCGAAATGGCCGAGAGCATCACATTCGTCGAGAGGTGTGTTCACGCGACTGAAGCCCATATCATGTTCACATCACTAATCGTAGCATACAGACCCAAGCCGCAACAAAACGGACAGATTCTCAATGAAGAGCCGGCCGAGAAGAAGCGTCCTCGCAAGCTCGAGATGCGCCTCGACACCGGAAACGATGTCAGCTTCAGCGCACCTTTCCTGGACAATACACTCCAGAAGATGCTCGCGCTTCAGAACCGCATGCTCAAGAGCACAGCAGACCTGTCGAAAAACGAATCCGTCGATGAGAAGATTGTCAGAGAAGCAGCTGCTCAGAGCGCAGAGCTGAGTCGCATCATTGCACTCATCTGTGCGGAGAAGGCACGTCAAGGAGCTTAGAGTTTGCTTGCTTGTCGGAGTACGGAGAACGGAGAACAGCACGGCGTCAAATCAATCTCTCCTAATTTTTCTTCTAATTAATGACGAAGGACATGGTTCTTTGGGGCTTGTCATGTAGCCGCCAATGATTTATCTCTTGTATCGATACTACGTATACGGCGTTCTTGTTTTCCATCGCTTCTTTCTGTCCCTTGTCGCAGCCGTGAGTAAGGTTCAGAGAAAGAAGATCTGCCGGCCCCTCTCAGAACTCTGTTCGCTACAGACTTTGACCACTGACCCGTGAGTCGCGTGTTGTTGCACGCGTCCGGGGCGCCGCTACGTAACCTAGACGGCTGTCCAACTGGCCAACGGTCGATTGTCTCAGTCTGCCGTGTGACATTTCGCATGTCGTGCCACCGCTCCGCTTGTTTCGAGTCATCTCTTGCGCCACACTTTACGTCACCCTTGCGCAGTCCTGAGTCCTCACCACGTAAATGTTCCGCTACCCTTGTCAAGCGCCCCAGATCTACCAACCTTGACTGCCAGGTTTGCGGGAAGAGTTGCAGCAAAATGCAAGGGATGGAATATGCACAGTGATGCTGTTTCTGGCCGGAAGAAGATGAGTCTGGATTCTTGGATCGCTCCATCACCTTGGGGAGGTTTGTGCTTTTGCTCTTTTGTCCTTTTGATATCGCATTTTCCCTGGACTTTGCTCTCTTTTGTTGCTCTTTTTGAAGTTGAGATACCTGAAATTGCATATATCCGAAAATGACGGGCTTCATCACGAATTACATCCAAAACACCGCCATGGGCATGCTGTCTAGCGGTATCACCGCTGCCGGAAACGTAGCTGGCAATGCCGTTGGCGGCGTAGGAACCATGATCCAAAGCAGCGGACAAGCAGTCGGAACCGGTATGGGTCTCCCATCAACTCCCCAAATCTGCACAACATCAACTAACACGTAACCTCAAAAGGTATCGAAGGCAGCATCAAGAACTGGGGCGACTACATCAACAGCTACGGCGACCGCGCAATCGCCGCAACAGCACCAAACGTCGGCTCCGGCCCAACAGCAGTGAAGAAGCAAAAAGCTCTCCCGGCACCTGCAAAGGGAGCAGGTGCAATCGCAAAGCAAAAAGCCTTGCCTGCTGCTCCCTCTTCATCTCTCAAAGCCCTTCCTGCTCCTGCCTCCAAGCCAAACACCCTGGGAGCAAACACGCCTTCCTACGCAGGCGCCGTCAAGAAGACAGCCGTATCCGCAGCTTCAAAACCAAAGAGTGCTGTCTCGGGAGTGAGCAGTCCCTCTCCTTCTACAGCTGGTCTGCCCAAACCATCAAAATCTTCTGTGTCAGGTCTACCTCCCGTCAACTCTAAACCTCTGTCTTCTCTGCCTCCCGTCAACCCTAAGCCTCTGGCTGCTTCCACAGCAAACAAAGTCAGAATCAGCGCGGCTAGCAAGCCCAAAACCAGTGGAGGACTGCCCAGAGCACCTGTAGACGGCTTGCCGAAGGCTCCTGGACTGCCCAAGGCCCCTGGTTTGACTGGAGTCACCAAAGCTCCTGCTGCACCTTCAGTGAATGGATTGCCAAAGGTTTCGAGCCTACCACCTGCGAATGTGCCAAAACCCCCTTCGACTAACAAGGTGAGGATTGATCCTGCTAGCAGGCCCAAGAAGTAAGAGGAATCGAGGAAGAAAGGGAAACGAGAAAGAAGATGAGCAAGGATGAGATTTGATTTCTTATGTTTTGACGTCCTCGAGCATCTCTTGACAAAGATCAATCCTATCCGTAACGCGTAATAATGACTCTGTTTTATGAACAACACTTCCTCACTTTCCGTCGTCTTCAATTCTGCTGCATTGTCACAACCGTACCTTTCTCATCTTTCATCAATTTGTTGTTCTCATGCCTATACAATATGTTCCATGTTACAGAGCACCCCTCTCCGAAAACAGGCAACTTTCGGCGATTGAAAAAGCATCCCTCACAGCCTCGGCATCTCCTAAAAACTGCGGAGATACCATCCCACACACCCCCCCACTCCAAGCCAACCACCGCTCTCTGAATTACATCCTTTTACCCCCCTCTATACCAACACACAAAATCCCCAAAGTACCGTTACCAGCCCATCAAACCTTGGCCCGCCCTTCAACCCCCCCACCAAAAAACAAGGTCAAAGAAAAGATAGAGATTTACACGAGCAAAAGGCAATGTCCGCTTCCATCACAGCCGCCCAAGTCAAAGAACACGCAACCCCCGAAAAGGGATTGTACATCATCATCGACAATTCAGTCTACTCGATGGCAGACTTTGCAGACGAGCATCCCGGCGGCAGCAAGATTCTGAAGAGAGTGGGTGGAAAAGGTGAGTTTTTCTCTTTTTGCCTTCGGGGGTCCGTCCCCAGTCTTTCTATGATATGCCAAAGAAGAGGATTCAGTGAGGCTAACGAGGGTGTTGAAACCCAACTACAGATGCGAGTAAACAATTCTGGAAATACCACAATGAAGGTGTGTTGAAGAAGTATCAGGGGAAGTTGAAGGTCGGTGAGCTCAAGGAGGAGGCCAAACTTTGAGAAAAGGGGGCAGAGGGGAGAGAGAGTAATGGAGCTACCAAAATCAGAAGCATCAAAGCTAGAGGGTTGCAGCATTGTAAGCGTAAAGCAAATTGTTCTATTCGATGCAGCCAGTCATCAATGTAGAGGGGGTATTTCTATACTTGTAATCTTTCAGTACCAAGCAGCAGCAGCACCAGCACCAGCAGCAGCAACAGCAGCAACAGCAGACCAACAATAAAACGCGACCAAGACAAGACCACTCTACAGCTCATCATGTCCAGCTGGAGCCGCCGGTCTGCCAGCATCCTTTTGCAAATCAACGCCCTTCTTGCTCCTCCACTTGTCCCACATACTCCAAGCTTCCTTCTCCATGCTCTTGTCCATTTGGTCTGGCAACACAACCACATACTCGACGTGCAAGTTTCCAAATTCTGGGCCTTCTTCGTGGCGCCATACCGGCATGCCTTCGTTTGCGAGTACCTCCACGGCGTTGGGTTGGACCACTTGGCCGCGTTTGCGTGAGAGTTGGACGACATGGCCGTCCAGATGTGTGAGGTTGCGAGTCCAGTCGCCCAACCACGCTTCCCGTAGACTCAACACTTCACGCCAGAACAAATCATTGCCCTTGCGACGGAAGAAGGTGCCATCCGTGCGATCGTGCTTTTCATTCCCGTTGCCCAGTTCCGGCTCTTTTTCAATGACCTGCACGATGAGGTCTCCGGCAATGTAATCCGGGCTCTCGTCGCCTTCGTTTTCGTAGTTGATTCTTGCGCCTTTGGGCATGCCCTTTTCGATGTTGACGGTGAAGATTTCGACTTCTCTGACGTGGCGGGAGCCGCTGCAGGTTTTGCATTTGTGTTGGATGGTGGTGCCTTTTCCTCCGCAGTGATCGCATTGCATTTGCATCTGTTGGAAGATGCCTGGCGCGAGTTGGGCCTTTTGGATGATCATACCGTGGCCCTTGCACTTGTTGCATGTTTCGGTCTTGCCATCTTCGGAGCCCGAGCCCTCGCATTTGGAGCAGATGGCCTGTTTCTCGAGTTGAATCTCATGTTCGGCGCCGTTGTAGAAATCGCGGAGGGGAACCGCGACTCGGACTTCCATGTTGGGGCCTCTGCGTTGACCGGGAGCGTGACCGAAATGGCCACCGCCGCCAAAGAAGCGAGAGAAGAGGTCGAAGGGGTTGCCTCCTTGACGGTGACCTCCTTCCTTGTGTTGTTTGAGGCCTTCGTGGCCGTACTGATCGTAGATTTTGCGGGTTTCGGCTTCGGAGAGGGCTTCGTAGGCTTCGGCGACTTCGACGAATTTCTTTTGTGCTGTCTCGTCACCACTGTGGTGTGCTTGTTAGTTGTGTGTATCTTGTCATGGCAGAGGAGGGCAGATGCGACGGACGGGTTCTTGTCTGGGTGATATTTCTTGCTCAGCGTTCGGTATGCCTTCTTGAGCTCGCGTTCTGATGCATCCCTTTCAATGCCGAGTAGCTATGCAGTCATGTCAGTGCTAGTTCAAACAAGTTTGGCGACTTCTCCAATGGGTGGTTACCTTGTAGTAGTCCTCTGCGCAGAGTGCCACCAGTGGCAGCACGCACAGCAGGAGCCATGCAAATTTGAACAACATATCTGTCGCTCGTCCAGAAAGTTGTGCACTGGACAGATCAGAACAAGTGCTTGTCAACTTTTGGGCGTTCTTGGAATGAGACAGCTGTACAAACCCCAAACTCCGATAGCCCCTTCTCGGGGAATCTCGACGCGAGGAGCGTCATTAACCGCCCTTCTTTCTTTCTTATCCCAACACTCATATTCACATCGAAAAGCGCAAATATGTTGGGATAGAATGTCTGATCCGATGAGTTTCGATGTACTGACACCGAATCACATCGCATATTCAGACGGCCATATCATTGTTGAACTCGTCTTTATACTACACGGTTTACCGCTGTTTAGCTTCGAAGATGCATCTCTCAGACAGCAGCGAGAACGACTAACGATATCGTCTCAGATTTACTACCTAAACGTTCCTGAATTCGAGTCATACCTGTGGGTAAGAGACAGGTGGTCTCATCGAGGTCGATAGCGCGATAACCATGATTCGAACCAAGGACAGGGTGGTACATTCTACGAGTCTGACATGGGTGTAATAACAGGTCAACTGCACTCAAGCGGAAGTCGACCAAGAGTCGAATGATGAACTACCATGTATCCCATTCATCCAGTGGGGCAGGTCATGTACATGCAAACACGAAAGGGAGATAGAACGCTGTGTAATCATTCAGTCGATCTTCGATCGAGTCTTCCGCAGTTCGTGTAGAGGAATTGAAATTTTGCTGTATCCGAGCACCAAGCTCATAAACAAGTCCCTCGCTATAACGCTGTCACACCTCAAACAATCATATCTTTACTCGCTCCACTCAATTCCAGTAGGGTGTTCTGAGGCCGGCGAAAGTCGAGGCTACCGTGCTGGTGATATCTGATCCGCCGTCGTCCTTCTTACGCTGACCAGACAGCTGAATAGTTCGTTAGTCAATATACTTGATGCTTATTAATCTTGTAACGTACCTCCATCTGAATCTGCCTGTGCACGTGCACCAGCCAGTCGACATAGCTCTGCGCATCGCCATTGCGGTCCTCATACAGCAAGCGAGCAAATTCATATTCTGCACCATCCAATCCTTGTCTCGCTAGTTGAATCGTCATTGCCTTTGAGCCCCTTGTGGTTTCCATGTACTGCAGGATATTGCGAACCTGAGCATTAAGATGGGTTTCAAGCACAGGCAGGCTGGAGCTGAATGGATCCAGATGCTTGAGTTCGTTGTAGCCTTCACCGAACAAGTCTTCGAGCAGGTTTGGAGACACCTGAGCGTGCAGCCAGAGTAGACAAATCTGTCCATTGTCGACAATGTACGCTCCACCTTCTTCGATCTGTCCAAACGACGCTCTGATGGCAGGAGGCATGACCAAACGACCGTTCTCGTCCGCAAAACCATCCGTCTGCTCCAGGTTGTGCACAGCAATAATGCGTGGGTATAAATACAAGGACAGCTCCATGGGCCCCATCGATCTGATCATGCGCATGTCGTGGATTCTACGATCGCTGGGCTCGCGACCGCCCTTGAATGCCCTTGACTTGATTAGTCCCAGCATGTACATGCTCAACTCCTTGAGATTCTCGGGCAAGACAAGTTGACCAGGTGGGTGTGAGCCAGAGAAGTTCTTACGATAGCCAGCAAGTATGTCGATCGTCTTTTCGCTCAAAGAATTGCGAATCTCTGTCAATGTTCTCTCCGAGACCCTCGATGCGGCCTCCTTCGAGATAACGCTGACCACAGCATCTTGATCGACAAATTTCATTGCGTCAAGAGCACTCTGACTCACACTGGCGACAGTGTTGGTGCAACGAACTCTACGCTCACCCGTCGCAGTTGTGTAGAGGAGTGCACTTTGGAAGTGCGCATCCAGCTTATCATCCAGCTTGCCGTCGTAGCTGAACATGACTGTGATCGCCTTGTCTGCGTCAATTGCGCCAAATTCAAGATCAGCACCGAAAGTATGCTGAGTGAAGTTGCCATGATACGCAGAGAGCTGCAAACCGTTCGAGCAGCGGACCTTCATGAGAGCCTGGAAACCTGTTTCGCGGGTGACTGTGCGTTTAAGTTCCTTTGCCAGTCGCAAATCGTCACGCGGGCTATGGAAGTTGGGGTAGTAGTACGTCTCGCCTCCAGAAACTGCACAGCAGTGTCCGATAGTCGCAATGTCGAGATAGCCTCCACTGGGTGCGGCCATAAAGAAATCTATGCCAACGCCAGCCTCCACCATCTTTGCAGCTGTACCTTTCCAACCAGGATGCTCGGTGGTATATAGCTTTTTCTCGGCATCCGTGTCACGGCCTTCATTCTTGTCGCGAGGGAAGAGTCTTCCAGGACCGAATGTTGGTAGAGTTGATACTGAGCATACAATCTTGCCACCAGTGGAAGTAAGAGCTGCCAAAGCGGCATTGATAGCAGGAAGGAGCGCAGGTTCTGGACTCTTCACCGAGGAGAACATATCCGGAATCCGGCCAAGAAGCGAAGTGATGGCAGCTTTGGAGGCTTGAGGATCCACAAAGAGATCTTGACTCAAAGGCACAAACGGATCCTCGATGTCAGGCATAACAATCATCTGAGCTTGTTCAAGACCCGGAGTTAAGTTATAGAAGTGCACTTCCCGATCGAATGTGACGAAACCAACCTTGACACCTGCAGGAACATTGTTGGTGCCATCTTCAGCGTAGAGTGCGTGCAGAATGCCTTTGCACATGGCGTCAAGGAAGCCCCTGCTAGAAGCCTCCAGACTGACATCGATGACGAAGAGCCACTGAAGAGGAACAGGATCTCTGGTCCAGTACTCTTTAGGCACCAGGAAGTCAACAGTACCTAACATCAGCTCAGGCCTTTGCGAGCGATCGACTCTGATACCAGTTGGATCGGTAGGAGCAAAGTACTCAGATGGTACGTCATTAGGGTGTGTGCACAAGTTGCAGACAAACTTGTTTCCACCAGAACGGAAAGTCATAAAGGGGTTGATGTAGGTTCTGCAACGCCTGCAACGTGGTGGACCAACGTCTCCAAAGTCGAGAACAGGTACCGGCTGTTCGCCATCTTGTAAGGGGGCTAGCGGTTGCAGCACAAGACCCAGGGGGAGGCCAGTAGTTTGAAGAGCTTCGTTGGAGGTAGGAATGTTATTCAGGGTGAGACGAGCGAATTTGGGAGAACTGTTGCCCTGGTCGAAAGCGACAAAGGGGACGGCGGCAGGTGGTGGGAGATGTTGTTCCATGGTAGGGTAGATGCGCTCCTGATAGTGGCGAGCAGGAATGTCGCGTGACCTCGGTACACTGGGGATCTGGTCCGGGTCGACGCGGCCTGACTGAGAGGAAGCAGGAGCGGACAAGAGCTGATCGCCCTGACGAGCAGCATGTTCCATAGAAGTAGCAGGGTTGGCAGGCGTGAAGGCTGATGCTGCGGCAGGGAACTGCGACATGGCAGGCGTGATCTGCTGCGACATGTACGGGCCAGCGGTTCCAGGCATGGGAGCATTTTGAGTGTTGTAGAACTGCGACGAAGTGGCTCCTGATACACCACTCGCTCCCGGAGTCAAAGGCTGGGCGGCAGTGGGCGTCTCTATGTGGTGGTACGCATGTCTGTCCTTCTTTTTATGCGGTCGTGAGCTTGGTGCAGCAGGAGCGGGTCCTTGACCAGCGAGACCCATTGCGCCCATTTGATTTGATAGACCGTCCATAGCGTGGAATGGTTGTTGTTGTGATGGGGGTTGCTGCTGTGGCGGGACTTGTTGCTGGGCCTGGACAGGGAAGTAACTCGCTTCTGAGCCGGCTTGCTGGTATTCCGAGTAGGGGCTTGGTGCGACTGGCGGACGAAATCTGGGTTCTTTCTGTCTGGAGCCACCCGGGGTTGCCAGTGGCGTCGTCGCCGGCGATCCAGTCATAGAAAACTCCATAATTAACGAATGTGGTGGTGGTCTGGTGTTTCGGCGAAGCTGTAGACAAAGCTACGTGGTCCAACTTGTACTCGTACGCCTGTCGTCACCCAGCTTCTCCTGCGGATCGTGTCGCGGACGGTATTGGGGATGTGTTATTATTGTTCCTCCTCTTGCTCCGCTATATCCGCCCCTCAAAGTTCGATCGACGTAAGGTTGAGTGGTTGGTCTGGAAATAGCAAACAACGAGCCACCATTGCTCTTCGGGAGTCTGTCCAGCGCCAAGCCCGATATGCCCCTGAGGAAGGAGCAGCTACTTCAAACCACAACAACCGATTGGGAGAGAGATAGCAGTAAGAATGTATTCAGGCAGTTGTTGGTAAGCCATTATTGTGTTTTGTCGTAATGTACAGCATGCAAGCTTTTGGTCTGAAGCTATCCCCGCTTCATCATATCCTCCATATCGCAAGCTACCTTATACACCTTGCTACCTGTGGGCCTCTCTCCACCAAACGCCTCAATTTTCCTGCACAATGTTTGCCGCTAGTCAACCGAGACTAGACAATCCGCCCTGCTGTGCGAACTTGAGTTGATACTCACGAAGGTCTGCCCAGTGACGCAACTCAGTCTCCTCGTCGTTGGGATTATGAGGGTCGTCATGTCCAGGATTTACACGCTCCAGTTTGACCAGAATATCGAGGAACGCCGCGAGGTATTCCTCAGCTTGTTGTGCCACCTGACCTTTGCGAGACTTGGGCACTTCGAGCAGAGTGCTTGCTACTACGCGAATCTTTGTTGTCTACCATTCAGGTCAGTAACCTCATACTTATCCTCTTCTAGTTTGAAACTCACAAGGCTGTCCGCGTTCGGCTCCATGTTTACTCTGTCGATACTGCTCAGAACAGACAGCAAGTCTTTGACGATGCTCTCGCGCTCTTCCGACATCTCGCGGTCCAATGCATCAGCAGACGCTCCGTCCGAGAGCAGCCCATCGAGTTCTGCAGCTACTTCGCTCGACAAGCCAGAATCAGCGTTCTCTGCCTGGAGCTTGCTTCTGGCCTGCGCCTCGATCAGAGTAAAGTATTTCTCGACAATGTAGGATCTTGTGCAGAGACCGCTTCCGTGGATGTTAGCCTTTTGGATCTCGTATTGTCGTCTTCTTCGGTCTTCGGGCGTAGCGTCTACTGTGTTGGGATTAAGAGTTGCTGGATCGCGTGCGTATGACGTGTTTGAGAAATCAAGCCCAAGCTCGTTTCCACTGTGATTCGCAAAGGGGTTGTTGTCGGTCGGCCAGATGACAAGTACAGGTGGTAGGTCTCTGATGGCTGATTTGCATCGCTCGAGTGAATCGTGAAGGACTTTCTTCTGGCGATCAATGTCTACCAGGGCATCAACACCCCAAGCCAGCTCCATGGTTGAGAGGGGACTGTAAGACATGAAGATCCTGACATTGGCATTGAAGCCAGCAATCATGGGCACAAGACCAGGAGGCTGCGGCTCGATGTGTCCGGGGAAGATACAGAAGTCATCGACCTCGACAGGAAGGGGAGGATAAGGCATGGAAGGAGTCTCAGGCGGAACGACGAGTTCGCTAAAGGCAGAGCCGCACTGATGAATGGTCTTTGAGCTCACAAACATGGTCCAGAAGATTCTTCTGCCCATTTCAAGGGTAATGTTGTCAAGAACGTCGTCGCGGTTACCTTCGACGTTTGGACCATTTGACCCCATAGCTGCTGGCAGCATTCCCAGGCGCGTGAAGTTCTGCTCGGTAGGCTTGTGCAGACCAAGAGCCCTGATGATGGTCAGACATTCACTCCAGTACAAGCGACATTGGCGCCATCTAAACGTATAGCAGGCCGAGAGACCGAGGAAGTAGCTGGTCGCAGCATCGTGGACACTCAAGTTCTCACTATCGAGATAGCCTGGTCCACGAGCTTCGGCGCACACCTTCTGGCACTTAAGCACAAGGGTCATATGGTTGGGGAATTCGAGCTCTCTGCGTTGTGCCTTGAGGTGCAGTCTGGGCTTTCGCGGGAACGAGGCCACAAGTGCAGCGACCATCGAGGACAGCAAAGCCAGGAAGGCACGGTTGCTGTAATCTTCTCTTCTCTTCCAGGCCTCGCGGAAGCTGGGCTCGTGTGGGAAGGGGCACAGCGGGTGGATGTAGGTAAAGAAGTCATTGACGAGGAGATCTAACGTCTGGATGTCGCAAATGGATTCGGCCGAGATGGGAGGATGAGAGGGATGTGAAGACAGAGCGGCCAAAGCTTGTGCGGCATGAGTAGGCGAAGATGGTGTGGACTGACCACTGATGTTGTGCGGAGACTCCTCGAGACGGCGACGCTTGATTGCTTCTGCATGACGGTTAGGAGGACCACGACGGCGACTAGGACGTTCGAAGGTGCACGGAATGTCTAGAGCGGCGCATGCTCGGCATGGTGGACCGGACTCGTCACACTGTGATGCGACGTTAGTGAATGGATTGAGTATGTCAGCTTGACACGGACGGTGTGTCGTACCTTGACCTTGCGAATACTGCAAGAGTCGCATGCTTTGCGCAGACGATTGGCTTTTTGAGGAGTCTCTCCTTGTGTCTGAGGACCTTGGGGTTGTGCAGTTGGCGGAGGTGGAGGCGGGCCGAGAGGAGGCTGTTGAAGTTGATCGTGGTGCTGATCGTGCTGTTGGAAGGGGGGCTGATGTTGGTGCTGGTGCTGATGCTGATGCTGGTGCTGCGGCTGGGGGTGCGGTGGTTGCTGCTGTAGCTGCTCAATGCGCTGCTCAATGTGATTCGGGGCATTCGGGTCGACCTCAGCCTCGGGCTTTGGGTAGATGGCTTGACCGAGCTGGCCGAGTTGCGAGAACTGCAACTGATCCTGCTGGGCAGGGTCCAACAATTGTTGCTGGCCGGTTGGCGGGTAGAGAGTGTAGTGTTGCTGGCTGTCAGGCTCAGGGTAGCTGGACATTTGATCGTCCATGGTCGCGGATGGGACGCGCTCCAGGCGGCGGCAGAACTGTGGCAGTCAGTATACACCTTTCTGTCTCTACGGACAATCGCCGGGTGACGACGCGTGCCCAAGGTCCAACTTGAATGCGCCGGGAAAGAGTCTTACCGTTCAGTAGAATCTGCACACTCGACGACTGATCAACGACGCGACGGTAGCGACTCGGTTGATTGCTACGCCTCGGAGAGATCGTCAAGACTCGACCGGGAATATGTAGAGCGCGTCGATGGAGAGATCGCGCAGGACGTCAGTGAGATACAACTGAGAAGAGACGCTATGACCACCCTGCTCTGCCCGACCATATCACCTCGTCACTTCCACAATCACCAAGCGACCTCAAGGAAACTCATTCAACATGCTCACCATGGTCATATCCAACGCATTTTACCCTTGAGCCACAAGATATACTGACGATATACTGATGATAAAAAAGATGACGCGTAAAATGTACAAACTTGAGGAGATTAAGCACAGCAGCACGGTAAGGCGCAAGATAAGACGGCAAGCACCTGGATCGCAACAGCATGTGAGACTAGAGATGGATGTATAGGGTAGACTTACATGCACCTACAAAAGATGTATACCATGCTATCTTGTGGGAGGGGAGCAGGGAGAATAGCGTTTCAGGCTCTCATCGTTGCGGGCCGCGTCCAAGTGGAGTCGATGGATCCGGGCGCGTGGGATGCGCATCCGATCCCTCATCGACTTTTGTTGCTCTAGACACTGATTGCACTCTTCTCCTCGCCATGCCCCTCTTTCCACGTCAATGAGCACATCGTATCAGTCGCCCAACACAGCAGATTCAACTATCCCAAAAACTGTCTATACCTCTTCCCGGATCATGCTTCTCTGAAGGCATATGGAGGCTTCACCGTGGTACAACGCTGTAAACACAGCAAACACGACCACATCCTACGCGTCTCTACCCAGTGGATCCTGCAATTTTCGTCCACTCAGTAGCGGCCCCAAAGCTCCAACATGTGGTTGTCGTAGATTCTGGCTCGACAAGCCCGTAGATAGTCAGAATGCACCCTCCATGCTCTGCGCATGTGGCCACCACGCTTGTTTCCACGATGCTACAACCGACGCTACCCCACCTGCCAACCTGATGCGACACAGCAGCGCTCCCTCTGTACCATCGAATCATCATGGCGGCCGCAATACCAGTCTACACATTGGTCCTCTCATCCAGCCACCCACTGTTCCCACACAAGACAATAGCAGACATGATCGGATAGAGCGTTCAAGAGTTGCACCATTGTCCAACGACATCTGGGGACGCTTGAACAACTTTGCGCGATGGCAGCAAGATCCAAACTGGATCCCCTCTACTGCGCCTGCTAGCGTCTTATCTTATGAACCGCAACCAGAACCACAGCACACATCGACTGAACCATCGCCGGTAAAGAGCTCAACGTCCAACGAACGGCGATATGCGTCACTATTCCCGAATATGGATGGCTTGATGGCTAGTCCTACTGTTCAAGGAACACCCTTAGCCGATTATGTACCCGATTCTCTACGGATGGACGGGCCTCCAGATGCTCACGAAAATCAAAAAGACACGTCTTCTGCACACGACCAGCCTTCAAAGCCTGAAAATGCTGACCTCGAAACTCATGAGCCTTCAGACGCCAAACCATGTCTAGAGATCACGAAATTCGTCGACAACAAACCACAAGAAGCACCAAGCACTCCAACCAAAGCCGTAACGCCAGATGTTCAAAACATCCTTCAGAGCTGTGTACGGCGACTAGAAACACTGGAGACCTACTCATTCTCACACGTCCCTCTCGATGAAGTGCAAGAGAAGTTTGAGCTCTTCGATGGCCGCTTGCTGGAAATGGAGTACTGGAGGAAAGACATCGATGCTCGTCTTGAGAAGTCACAACTGGCACTTGAGGGAACCGACTCGCAAGCAACGACATCTTTCCAGGATCTCAAGACATATGCTGGCAGCAAGGCACTTCTCTCTCGTGTGTTTGATGTTGAGGATCGCCTAGCGGATCTGGAGGGTGCACAACCTTCGTACGCCAACCCATGGGAGATCGAGGTTGTCCTTCTCCCTTTCGGCCGCACTCTGAAAGGAGTCTGGCATGAATCCACCGACTCTGACCCAAATGCATGCCCGAGCACACCTGTCGCGCAATGCGATCAAGCAGGATCATCTTCTGGTAGTTTGCTTGCCCACACTGGGAATAAAGGACCTGCTTGGACCGCGGATACGATTGAAGAATGGGCGAACACTATTAATCCATGGCTCTGGCCAAAAGCACCAGGTCTAACCAGCAACCTGTTCAAACGTCTTCAAAGCCGAGGGCTTGTTCGCAATGTCAGCATCGTTGATACTGGCGCACGTGGCGTCTGGGAGTCAATCAAAGATGCCTTTGCAGACTTTGTCGAATCGCAGCCATACCATCGTAAGAACAACCAACAGCAACCATACGAAGCACTAAAAGAGCCATTCGTGCCGCTACGGAAAATCAAAAAATCTTCCTGGCTCCGCTACATGGAACCACACGAGTTGATCACACCCGCCACATGGGACATCTCATTCCTAGATTCAGGCGTCTTCATGAATGGCAAAGGTGGCCGCAAACGCCTCTACATGACAACTGCCGACGGCTACATCCAGCCAGGAAAAACCGGTTGGACATGGCAGCAGATCCGCGATCTACCACGCTACGAGAACGCCATGGCCAGATCCGGCATGTTATTCGGCAGCGAAGTACCTTCCGAGCCCTTCTGGGCACACATGGCCGCCCTCGACGACGCACCCATCTTCTCCTCTTTTATATCGCAAATATCTCAACACAGCAGCACTTCCCTAGGTAAACGCCGCAGTTCGGGCGTCACTTTCGAAGATCCAGACCTTGAAAGCCTATCGGGCAAATCATACACCTCAGACTCCTCTGCCGACACCATCACCCCACGTTTCTCTGAATCCTTCCCTATCATTACAAAACGTGCTTCTCAGACCAAACGCCGCACCAGTCCCTCATGCACACCCATCGCCTACCAAAAACGGCGTCGCACTTCCGGGTCGCCGAGTAGATACAGAGGCGGCCTTGAAGAACTGACGCCGCGATGGTCGCACGAACCTCCCACACCCATGTTGGAGAATGCATGGGAGACACGGAGTCATTGTCGAGCGGGCTCCAGCAGAAAAAGACTCAGTACACCTACCGCTTATGCTACACCGCATAGCCACAATGTTGCCAATGTTGTTGATTTGGCCATGGCTGATGGAGGTGATACGGAGATTGAATCTGTGGGGTCTGGGGCTGCTGATGACGAGTGGGCGGGCCTCGATGAAGATGGTGATGTTAGTGGCATGTCACAGTTGAGCCAATCTAGCTGTTCTGCTAGTGAGTGGATCGCAGATGAAGACGAGTCTTTTGATCAAGGAGGGCAGGAGAACGAAGATGATTATAGTCTCTACGAACCATGAGGAGTTTTCTTTTGGGGAGTTGTTGTTGAATACTTTTCTTTGGTACACACACATAGCAATGAGTGGAGTTTCTGATTTCTAGGGCTACGGCAAAGGTTGAGTATCATATCTTGGAGCCTGCATTACATAGTGATCGTATATTGAAATTTTTATCTTGATGCTTCTCGATGTGTTCATTGTAACTATGGTCAACGAGAATCACAGTTGTCCTTTCCTCCCACACGGAACACCGTCGACTGCAATTAGAGAAAGGCGCATACATATCCTATTTACATAATCCAACATATCTCGTGAGATTACTGCACTTCATGACTAGTCCCCGGTATACCCATCCATATTCCTGATCAACTCGTAGTAAAACTTGATCCCACCCAAATGGGCCTGAACATCAATCCTCTCATCAACCGTATGCGCTCCCTTCGCCGTCTCCTCCGACACCGGCGAAAAACGATACACGTTCCTCGTCAGTTTCAAGTAGTGCGCTGTATCTGTGTTACCCACCGAGATCGTGCCCACGGGAACGACTTTCTTACTCGAGAGCCTCTCAGATGTGTTTTCAAAGACTTGGCGGATGGTGCCGGCGAACAGATTCCAGATGGCTATGGAGGGCCCGGTGGGTGAGATGGGAGATGGAGGCAGGGGGTTCAGAGTGGATACGTTGAGGATGCCGGAGCCACGGTCGAGTTGAGTGTAGCCGGGTGCTTGGACTGCGATGCTCAGGTTGTTTGCAAGGGGGGTGAGGAGATCGGCTACGGCTTTTACGACGCCGTCGATTGTGTCGCTGGGTAAGACGCGGTAGTTGATGATAGATTGGCTCATCTCTGGCAGTTGATTGTCTTTAATGCCACCGTTGATGATGTCTACCGCTTGTGAGGTTTGCACGAACCAGCGGACGACTGAATCGCCGCGTGATGAGATGAGCTTTTCTGCAAAGTCTTCCTTATTCTCAAGGGCTTCTCGCAGCCAGGGTTCTGTTGTCTTGGGAGAGTTTTCGACTTCGCATTTTAGGTGGTTCCAGAATGGGTTGTGCTCATCGATGTGGGGAGTAAAAGGGTGATCCTCGACAGCTGCGATGAGCCTCGACATTATGCCAATGTTTGTGTGCTTTGGTGGTGCTGAACTGTGACCTCCGGGTGTGTTCAAGGTCAAGACAATGTCGAGAAAGCCCTTCTCGGCGATCGCTGGTAGAGCGTACATTACGTCGTCGACTTTGCGCATACCACCTCCTTCATCGACAATCATTTCCATACTGTCCTCACCGTACTTTTCTGTCAGATGAGCGGCCAGGTGTTTGGCACCTCTAGAGCCGCCAGTCTCTTCATCGAATCCGAATGACAGGACGATGGTTCGTTTGTTCTTGAAGTCCTGCTCCAGAAGACGTTCCATAGCACTGTAAATACCAATGAGAGTGTTTTTGCAGTCAACAGCACCTCTTCCCCATAGCCACTGTCCATCAAAGTATGCTTCGAATGGAGGGTGGCTCCATTTTGTCGGATCTGGTATCGGTACGACATCTTGATGAGCCATGATGAGAAGTGGCTTCAGATCTTGAGAGCTTCCGGTTATTGTATAAAGCAGACCATAATTATTCACTAGCTCGAGATTCATCTTCTCATGCCTATTTCGAAGTTCAGCGTATATTCTTGAGTATTTGTGAAGTGTACATACACTTGTGGAAATTGAGTTTTCAAAACCTCGTGCAAAGTCACAAAGGCATGCCATCTCGGGTCTTTGTCCACATCATCGTTATCGTCATAAGATATCGTCGGCACATTGACCGCAGCACTGAGCCGTGCAACCTGCTGTTTCACCAAGTCTTTGCTGTTTCCAAAGTTGGCCGAGGAAGTCAAATTGTCTAGTGGTGGAGCCGGAAGTGACGACACTGGACACCATGTACTGACCACTCCATCTTCTTGCGGCTTCTCATTGCCAGGATGACCGTTCGCTGGAAGATCAAAAATCTCTTTCCTTCTCATCAAAGAGCTCACGGTTGTCATAAGGACAAACACGATAACCATGAATGCGACCAGACGTGGCCAAGCCATTTTGTCCTTCCATCCTTCGGTGATAGCCATGGCGTATTGTAATGTCGTTCAAAAGACGATTTGATTCAAAATATCAAAGGTAACATGAGTTTGGAAAATGATGTAGCTCGCATGGTCGAGTGATAAGATCAAGGTTGATTGCGCTCGGCCCGGGGACGTGCTTTCCGAGTTCTCCACGAAACTCGGGTGCACTTTCCTTCTTCACTACCATATCTAGACGACATCGCACAAGAAGTATACAAAGGTGGATATACGGACAGCAATACTGGGATGCACTGAGGTATCTGCTGACGAAAACGATTCGACTTTGTACACAAACCGTACTAATTTTCGCCTCTCAAGGATTTGTCTCCATGGTGAGTGCAATATTTACATCGAACTGTAAGCACCAACCAGACGAGGCGATCGACCGTTGGGCCGTATAGTCACAGCATTCGAGACAACAAGATATACGTCTCTTCGATCCTCGCTGTTGGCCCTGGTCATGATTGTTCGAGAAAAAAGAGCAGGCCACACGAAAGGTGTAGCATGGGCCAAGAATCTCAGGTAAAGCTAGGCTTTAACGTTTTCCCAGAAGTCGACAATGGACCGCACCAGCCATAGAGATCGCAACGACATTGTTCATAGTTAGGACAGCTTGAAGAATACATGTTAGCAACAGGTCAGAGAAGCCGTCGGTGCAAACTCACTTTGTGGCATCCATTCCGAATATGATGTCCCACAGTTTCTCAAATACCCAGCCCACTCCAAAGTCCCCCTCGTGAGTATGGTCAGCCCACCTCAGCATCCTTTCGTAGTCCTGTTCACGCTAACCGGACCTCCAGGAAACAGCGAACAGCGAAGATTGACAAAACCGGTAGCGTTGATATGTTGGAAGCGAAGAGACTTGAGCACATCTGCTGTTCTACTGCCCACATCATTATGCCATTGCTCGTGTTTGGCATGGACGAATACGGAGTATTCCGGTAACGCGTCGTAGTTGTCGATCAGATAAGACAGATACGTTGCAGTTTCCCTGCCCCTTGTTGATCGAGGAACTATGCAACCAGGCTCCGCAGACCGATCTGAAGAGTAGATATAAGGCCGAAAAGACATATCTTCGTAGAGTTCCAGCAACCAGTTGACATTTTCAGGTCGAGTCTTTGTCGGTATACAAGGTGCCCACAAGAGGGTGCCATAACCGGTGAATAGGTCTACTCATCAAAGATAGTCTGGCAGCAATTATGCCGTGGTGACCGATGAAAGCATCATAGAGCTCGACAATCCTTCGCAAGTCGTGTTTGGAGAGTGTCCTATCTTCTCTTAGTCCCTTCAAGCCTTCCTCTTTCTCTCTCGTCCAGTTCGGCAGCGCCCGTGGTATATCCGGTCAGTCTGAAAAGGAGATCTCCTTCCTGATGCGGCAAAATCATATTCGTAGAGTGACAGCTTGCTGCAAGCAAGCAAGCTGGGAAAGAGGGGTTGATCCAAAGCAGAACCAGCGAAGGATATCGTGTACGCGTTGGCGAAGTGGTTGCGTCTTCACCAACGTGTCATAGCTTGAATCATGGCTCGGATTATGGCTCGTGTCAAGACGTTAACATCGGAATGGCCCCTATTCGGTCTCCCAGTTGAGCACCGGACCAACGACCAGGGAAGACGCTCTTGTACATCTGATAAAGAGATGTTTGACGATGAATGCTTCGAGAACCAGAGAGATAAGATCTCGGGGAGTCGGCACACTCGCTAAAGTTAGGCCGGCGAGTGCGGTGACCGACTTCCGACGCTCTCCGAAGTCAAGCTCGCCCAAAAGAGGAAGGCTTGCGAGGCTTCAGTAAGACTTTCCACGAAGACATCGATGAAGTAACATCCTTGGAAAAATCCTCAACTGCCGTATCCTGTTCTCCTGTTCATCCAGACAGCAACTGTTGTATAGTCTTACGGGACCCAAGGTGCGATTCTTCATACGTCTCCTGTCTATTTGTGTATATTGCCATCACCAGCTTCGACCAATAAGCATGGTGTACGGGGGGTAAGGCAGACAAACAAAAAACAACACAAAGACAAAAGCGAATTAGCTAACTTCTACAAGAAAGCCGAGTCGAGGTTGCGCCACGTGCAAAAAGCGAAAGATAAAAGTAGGTAAGTGCATGATTTCTGTCGACAAGCCACTAACAGTCTAAAGTGCGATGAAGGTCGACCGACATGCACGCAATGTGAGAAGAGCTCGCGAGTTTGCCTGGGTTACAAGGATGAATCAGACTATATCTTTCGGAACCAAACCGAAAAGGTGACCAACAAGATTACAAAAACACGAAAGCCGCGAGCATCCAGGTCTCCTGATTCGACACTGTGAGTACTATTCGCAAGTATGTACGATTCAGGACTAACACAGTTCCCTAAAGCAGCAAAGATACCGTGATAACACACCCGAAGGCTGTTACGTCCAATGCGCTGATGGACGTGACGGTCGCCTCAAAGAACCCTCAGTCAAAATCTTGCACGTATGACAACATGGCGCTCATTCAGAGGCCTTTGCAAGGCAACTTAGCAGCCTCAACAACCATCTGTCAGCAACCCACTTTCTCGATCGAGGAAGAAGTCGTCGATGTATACTTCAGAAACTTTGCTCGTTTGTACAAAAGTCAAGACACCGTCCGTGGATTTCTTCCATTCCTGGCTCCTATGTACGGCACTTCCTCTAAGGGATCGTTGTTACGTACTGCGACTCATGCGGCAGCTCTCTGTGCTATATCACAACTACCCGATCAGAAGCACTTACAGTTCCGTGCAGCCGATACTTATGGAAAGGCTATGCGTATCGCTGCTGGCGCTCTCCAGGATCCGATACAAGCAACATCGGACGAGACTTTACAAGCGACTTTGTTGTTGTGTACGTACGAGGTAAGTATAGCTAGCGCACGGTCGCTGACCCACCACTTACTGATCGATTTCTGCAGTCAATAAAAGCTACAGACAACTCCATCGAGGCGTGGTCAAATCACGTCGATGGTGCAAGTGCGATCGTCCAAGGTAGGGGGATGCAACAACTCGAGAGCGAGCAAAGCCTGGCACTTTTTCGCGCAGCAAGAACGCACATGCTCATCAACTGCATAAGACAAGGCAAGCCGACCAAACAGCTCGAAGCAGGAATGAACTGGCTATGTGATACCACCGAAGACGACCCACTTGCCTATCTCACTCACTGCACCATCGAACTCCCGTCATTGATGGAAAAGTCACGACGCGTCTTCGAGCGACAACGCAACGCGGAAAGCATGGCGGCCATGGAGGTGTTGATAGAACGAGCATGCCATCTGGAAGCCAGGATGCAGAATTGGGCTGCTTCACTGTCTGATGAGTGGCTGCCATACACGACCGCCTACATACCAGAGAAGCCAGCGAACCCCCTTGACGCGGAAGCATGGGTAGGTCCCGTGCACGCCTTTGTCGACGCGCACAAAGCCAGCGTTCTGAACAAGTTACACTCATGCCACATGCTTTCTGCTGCGGTGATTCTCAACGGATTAGAATGGCTTCGACCACACGACTATCCTATGGACGATCGCTACATACACACACTGTGGATTGAACAACGCACCGTCGACGAAATCTGCTCGAGTGTGCCATTCTTTCTGGGCATAGGAAAACAGAGAGCGCGCACACCAGATCAGATCGATACGATCGCTGATCTGATTGGTGGTTACTCGCTCATTTGGCCTCTTCATGCGGCCGCGAGCTGCCCTCGTATTTCAAAAGATCAGTGGCTGTACATCTATGGTCGTCTGGCCAAGATAGCGAAAGATTGTGGGTTGGAGCAAGCTCTTATCATCCCCTTGGACAGAAAGGAACAGTTCGTTCCTGGAGTGTGAACAGGGCCTGGCCTTTCGGGTTTGACAACCCACGAAATTATGTTGGAGTAGTTTATACAAAGAGCTGTATGTGTACTGCTTCGAGGGTGCAATTCGAGGGACACTCTCTCATCCTCGTTCCTTTCCTAAGCCTCACTCGAAAGGTTATGAAGGCTGCTCTGCAGACCCCGAGCACGGTACAGCAGTAGGACGACTTTCCGGGACATAAGTCAGGTGTACACTCATTGCCGACAACAGGAGGAGCATGACCTACCATTTGGTCAATACGAAGGAACCACCGCAAACCAGCAACGTCCACGTTGGTTCAGCCCATCAGAGCTCTCGCTACAGCACAAGAGCTGACGCACACTCACCGTCGAGAACTATTGCGCCAAACAGTCAATAGAGAGCATCGTGGCTTCAGACCAAGTAGAGCTTATACGTAAAAGACAGAAGAGGAGCAAGCACCCGACCATGGCTGACTCCCAAGCTGAAGTACTTTCAGCTCACGCTCAGGACGCCCACGCAGCCTTGGTAACCGTCGTGACAAGGGTCAGACTGTTGTTCGATCGTTATCTCGTACAGCTCGTGTTTGATCGAGCCATCGTGATGGGTCTTTATAGTATAGCAAATATAGCTGAACGCTTCGAACAGCCTTTTCTATCATATCGATGTCATAGCGTGAAGAGTCGAGATTACAAGAATAATTAACTGTACATTTATGCATCTCCAATGATCTGCCCGCGTGCACGTCCCTGGTGTTTGCTGCGTCTGAGCTCTTCCACTTGCACGAATCGCGTCGTTCTGAGTACGAACATTACGCACGACACAACCCTGGTGGATTGTTTCAATCTAAGAATACGAAGAAGAATTATTGCGACGCGCAACTGCTAGGCTCTAAGTTCTTCTTCACTCTCTACACTTCTCGCGGCAACGACCTCGACTGCGACTGCGACTGTGCCTACGCCGTTATCATCGCCCTCCGCTGGCCGCCTATACACACACCTCACGAGAGCCACCCACGCGACATCCAACACACACACGACGCACAACCGCAATCATGGGTGCCCTCTCAAATCTGATCCCTCTAATCATCCTCCTCGTCGCCGTCAGCGGTTTCGCATTCGTGGGATACCAGGTCCGCCAGCCAAACCCTGCCATCACCACACAAACGGCAAATGACTAACACATGGCTTCTGCACGCAAACAGATGTACCTCTGGACCAACGATCTGGCCAACAAGGGCAAACAAACCATGGAAAAGAAAAACGTCAGTTTCACAAAGGATGGCATGAAAGTCGGTGTAAAGCAGATGAGCGACGAGGAATATGCGGATAGGACGCAGAGGTGTGTGATTCCTTTTTGCCCTTTCTTCTGCTGCGGCCTCCTCCTCAAGGTCTTGTGTGGCATGTCTACCGGATGCTGCTGCCAGTGATCAGAGGTGGTTTAGGAAGACAGAATTGCTGACTTTGAACACAGCGTGCTGGTTAACACGTGGAACCAGAGTTCTTTCCCGGCATACAAATCCAGGCTTTGGAACAAGGAAGAGCAGGCAAAGAACAAGGCTGCTTCGTCGGGAAGGGCATAAGAGAAGGTCAGGGAGAACTAGAGGGAGATCACACATGACGCGGCCTTTCTGTTTAATGATCAACACCTATATCCGAAATCTGCTATATTGCACCCGGCAGGTATCACTGTACTGCTGAACTCTTCCTTTGTCCATTTATACTCAACGATCCCTGATATTTGTAGACTAGCCTTGACATCTATACGTATGCGGTGAGAGAAGATCTGACGCCTGGAGATGTGGTGGTCGTCATGTCAATAGGTAGAGCTGACATGCAGACAATTGCTCAATCAAGTATAACCCTCCGGCAAACACGGAGCTCGTACAGTATCGCCTCCACATCCCGAGCAATTGACCCTCCAGGCTGCAGCATTATTGTTCTCCGAAAACCCGCGCAAAATGCAGCGTAACGTTCAACCACCTACTCCACGATCGCCGAAGAAGAAAAAGGCCTTCGCGTACGACGCATGCAACACCAAACGAGTATCTTCAGCTCGTACGACGAAATGAAAAGGCCCTCGAGCGACTGTCCCAAAGGGGTACCCTCGATGACGGTACTTTTTTTTCCACTACCCAAAGCCCTAAACGTCTGGGCTTGGGTTATCCCTGCCGTGCGCCTGTGCGATCGGGGATTTATGCTTGAAAAGAACGTTCTCGGCTAGGGAGTTCAGGAGGGGCCCCAAAAAGATACGAGTGGTGTTGTACTGTGTCACACGGAGAAATACGTACCGGTACTCTGCGAGGCTCTCGTCCATCAAGTTCGCGTGTAGACAGGTGTACTGCACGGCCTTGTATTTTGAAAGTGTGGCCCATGGACATTGAAGTTGGATCCATCTGATAGGCAGCAGCGTCGAAAAGCTCATACCCCTGAAGAGTAGACGGCGTTTGCTGGCAGGCCGTTATTTTGTTGCTTCGTGTTCCCATCACACGACAAGAAGCATACGGTGACGGGAGAAAGCTACACGACGCGGCCAGGCTCTCCCGACATACAGCTCTGCCCTCTGATCATGGCGGTGGTATATGCGAACATCGCAACTGCTCGCATGTCGTCATATCGGAACAAACGGTTGAAGCAGTCAATACTTCTCAGCCCTCCGCTGAATCGATACCGTGGGAATGGGCAAGCCAAACTCTGAGACCCGTTCAAAGCATATCGCTGTATATCATCACTTTCGGTGCAAAGGCAGGGGTGCGTGGTAAGACTTGCCCGTTTGCTTAGCTATCATGTGGGCTGGCTGGGTGTTTGGTGGCGCTTAGGGTTCAAGACTAGCTCGACCTTCCCATGCGCAGAGCCAAGCTTTGTCCCGTCCTCGTGGACGGATTCCTTAATTTCGACTCTATCCTTGATAACCGTAGAGCAGGCCACAAACCCAAAATCGACTTCATACGACACATGACGCGAATCCAGCCCGGACGGTGGACCGTCAACTGTAGCTGAAGACAAGAGATTTTGCGAGGTCTCGTCAGCCTTTGTAACTCACTCCGGTGATGGCGCCTGAGCGAAGGATGCATTCGGAAGAAGCAGGAAAGCCAACCACTAAAGTGTGCAATGTGTATGCACAAGATAAGGATGCCGAGATCTAGTGGATCTTGTGCAGGCTTGGGGGCGGGGACTTTGTCGGGAAGTGACAATATGACATGGCTGTTTAGGGTTTCTTTTGGCTGTCAATCGATCATAAGATCAGAGGCTCTTCAGCAAATCGATTGTGTGTGAATGACCGTGGAGAAAGCTGGTGAAGGGGGGCTTACGTGGCCAAGGCGACGTCCTTACCTTGCGATTTTGAACGAGAGAACAGTCTTGTCTACTTGTGAACCGGGAGGACGGGGGCGACGTTTGATTTGACGACGATCGGACGCAGGAAAAGGCGAACCCCTAGTGCGGTGCCACAAAGGACGCCTCCAAACTCTTAAATCTGGGCATGGCATGACGGGTATGCATGGCGACATTCAGTTGTCGAGTGCTTGAGCCAAATTGAGATATGGTCGTGTCGTTTGAGTGGAGACGGTGCTTGGCCTGTCTTGTGCACTTTCTTGTCGCTCTTGCACAGCCATCCTTGGCCTCTTCCTTAGCTGTCTCGTCGGGATCGGCGCCAGGGCGCGCTATGATCGAGACAGGCCGCCAAGCGCGAGGTCAAGAATGCTTGGCCTACCTAGAACGAGGTGGATGGCTGCAGTAGGTGGCATCGGGGAACCAGAGAGTAGCAAGCGAGACTGCGGGTTTAGATGGCGGTTCAAGAGGCAGCGATCAACTCGGCCTCTGTGATACAGCGAGCCGATGACGATTAGAGGAATAGCGAATCTTTGGGAAGGAACGACTGGGTGCGCCCCTTGTGGATTTCGCTTAAACATGTCGACACGAGTCGATCCACCATTTTAACGTTAATTTTAAGTACATTGCTAGTCCGAACGTTACCCACGCAGGGCAGGCTACTGTAGCCGGCGAGCCCGAGCATGCAGTCTTTGGACGGGGTCTGAAGAGACGGACTTGCCATGGCTGTGATGGAAGAGCGGGAGGGGTGGTTCTTGAGCAGAAGATACAGTCGTGTGCTGCGGATGGCAAGCAGCGAAAGAAGGATGGAGCGGACGGAGAGTTCTCGCTCGCGGATGTCGAGGCTCAGGCCAGGCCGAAACTGGGGTAGGAAAGAGGGTTTAGCATGTGGCCTTAGCAATTCTTGGTGTCTTGGTTCACCAAAGCGAAGCTAGTCCTTGGGCCAGTAAGCGCATGCGCAGGGCATTCCTTCGTGTTCGCAGCTGCTCGCCAATCCATTTTGTTCTTGCTCTTCCTGCCTGCTGTTGCTTCTTCCTCTCCCTCCAATCTCTCCCGACCTCTTTCCATCGCTACCAACTAACATTTGCACACGTGTCTGCCTGCAACTTGTGCTCGGATAATTTCACACTGCCCCACACTCGTCAGCCACTGCCAACAACTTCTCCTCACAACTAATCTTTGTCTCGGCCTCGACAGGCAGCGCTCTTTGTCGACCATGGAAACATATTACGGGCACGTACGAACGCCAGGAGATGCCATTCTTCTCTTCGAGGCATGCAGGATCGGTCTGTTGCCTAGAGTACAGCGCCGACTCTCTGAAAAGGAAAGGCTCTCGATCAAGTCTGGCTCGGTCTTCGTTTGGGACGAGCGTGAGGCTGGTATGAGACGCTGGACAGACGGAAAATCATGGAGCGCCAGTCGCGTGTCAGGCAGCTTCCTAACATACCGCGAGATGGAGGGCAAGCGTGGTGGCAGCACCTTCGGCGCCGCTCCCAAAGCGCCTGCTGCTAAAGACCACGACGGCTCAGACGATGGCCCCGACGGTTACCGCTACAAGCCCGATGGTCTGATCAAGCAATCGTTTAGCATCACTACCTCCAACGGCCAGCACCTACATCTCATTAGCTACTTCGCCCGCTCTACCGCCGTCTCGCAAAACCTGCAACAGCCTTCCAGCGATCCTCAGCTGCGTCACATCCGACCCGAGAAGGGCATGTATCCCGAGTCGACAGTTCACGAGCAGAACGCCATCCCCGCCGTCACAAGAGGTCCTATGACCAGTCCGGCCTTTACAAATGCTCCTCACCAGTCTCCTGGCATTGGCGCTCCCCACTACCCTCCGAGACCGCAATACACTCATGGTCCCATGTCTTATGGTCCCCCCGGCTGGGCTCCTCCAAGCCCCATGCACACTCCCCCGCCGCACTACTCACCATACGGCTACCACCACTCGCCCATGCACCACCTCCACCCTGGCCAATATCCTCCTCAACATGCTCCGCAACACTACCCTCCTCCGCTCACTGCTTTCGACCGCGCACCTGCTCCGCTATCAAACAACTCGTTGCCTGCCCCGCCAGGCCACCATCAGCACCCGCAGCTCACTCCCATCCACAACCACATTCCTCCCCCGCTGCCTCCTCCTCGCCCGTCTCTGCTAGACCACTCGCCGCGTCCTTCTAGCCACGGCCACCCCTCGATCGATCCCGCTCTTGCCAACGACTCAAGGAAGGCCCCTCCTCCTTCTCTTCCCAGTCCTAGATCCCTGGGAGATGCTGCTGCAGGTGCTGCTCCCACAGAGTCTGCTAAACTGCCTCCGGCTACTCTTCCTCCAGTGACTGGTGGTACTACTATCCCCAGTATCAGCTCTCTGATCCACGAGACAAGCAACCCATCATCTCTCAACTCCGGCCGTCCTGCCAGCCGCAGCCCGATCGGTGGTCGTCCTCAAGACATTCCCATGCACAAGATGGGTTATGATGCTGCACGTGATGTTCAGGCACTGAGACATCTGGACAAGGCTACCCTGAGATTCTGAGCTGTCAATTTGTACCAATGTTTCAATTCTGTGTTTATAGCAAGCGAAGAGCGTGAGATATACTCTGCTGGGATGGGAATGGCGTTCCGGGTCGAGGGGTCTACACGCAGGGACGATTGCATGAAACGGCGTTATCGGGTGATTATCGTGTAGTCGTACAAGCAATGGGTTTGCTCGTGTACTGTTCGTTATTATCGATTGGCTCAGACCAAAGAAGAATTCTTGCTACTGTATCTGAACACGACACTTCGTGACTACTATGCTGCCTCACTTGACAGTGTGATCGACTATTCACAAATCCTGCACCAGAAAGCGAATGATACAGTATGTCTTTGTAAGCCGTCTCCAGAACTAGCTCGGCCTACATACGATGACCGGGATCGAGACGGAAGATCTGATCGAGAATTTGGAACCAGGAAGGAACCGCCTGATACAAAGGTCGAGTAAGTACCGTACTCAAAAGATCAAGACAGGAAAGACTCGAGCAGCAGTCGGGTATGTTGAGCAATGGAAATTTGAAACACAACATGACTGTCTTTGAAAAGCATTGTATGATTCTGCTCTAGGCACCCAAAAACAAACATCCACTTTCTATGCTATCAGACTTGATTCCATGGTCCACACCGATACAAATTGCTCGAACATCCTTCCTGACCCTACACCTTTACTCTAGGCTCGAGAAGCAATTGCCCAGCAGGACCACTCTTCTCAACAAACCCTTGCTCACGAGTATGAATCTTGCGGCCACGCAACCAAGTCTCCTTGACCACACCTCTCAGCGTCTTATCCTGATACGGACTGCACTTGTTCCTGAACAGCATAGTGTTGGGCTGAACGATGAATTCTGCTTCGTCATCAAACACCGCAATATCTGCATCCAGACCGACTGCAATATCTCCCTTGAGGTGCGAGAGGCCCACTTGAGCGGCAGTGTTGATGCAGCACCAACGCACCACATCTTCGATGGTGAAGTTGCGGGTGGAAGCCTCTGTCCAGAGGACGCTGAGACCGAGCCCGACGCTGCTGATGCCGCCCCAGGCCGAGAAGAAATCGCCCTCTCCTTGTTTGCTGGTGGTTTCGATGGCGCCGGGCACGTTGGCGGGTAAGAGCTTCAGGTTGGGTGTGCAGGGTGAGTGGTCCGAAACGACGGTCTTGATTACACTGTCGTCTGGTCTGCACATTTCGCTCCACAAGCCATCTTGATTGCTTTGACTGCGGATGGGTGGACAGCATTTGTGTCTCGTATCTCCGTTCTTGATCGCCTCTGCCGCCAAGGACAGGTAATGAAAACACGTTTCCGCTGTAATGTTGACGCCCTTTGCTCTTGCCTCTCTCAACATGGGGATAGCTTCCACAGCACTCAAATGCACGATGTGCAACGGCAGTTGCGGGGCCAAATGCGCAAGACTCAGAATCTCGAGGATGGCGTACGTTTCGAAGGTCGAGGGGCGTGAGTCCAGGAAGGTTTGGTATACGTCCAGGGGGCCGGAAGGGGCCATGGGTGGTTCGGAGGCTTGGACGTCGTCGCCCACGGATTGGGTGACTGGTGGGATCATTTCGGCGTGGAACATGACTGTTGTGGGTTCGTCTGCAAGTTCGCCGAAGACTTTGGCAATGTCCTCGGACGAGACGGCTGGGAACTCGTCGACCTAGGGATGAAATGTCAGTTTTTGTGTTGTGGTCGGAGCATTCCATATGCTACACATACTCCGCTGTCAATGAGGAACCCCTTGAAGCCTCTCACTCCCATCTTGACCAAAGGCTTGAGCTCCTCAACATTACCAGGCACAATGCCGCCATAGAAGCCAACATCTACCCAACACTTGCCCTGTGCAGCCTCAATCTTCTCCTTGAAGCCTGCCACAGTCGTCGTGGGAGGAATAGCATTCAGAGGCATGTCCACCACCGTCGTGACACCACCAAATGCAGCCGCTCGCGTGCCAGTCCAAAAACCCTCCCATTCTGTTCTTCCAGGCTCGTTCAAGTGCACGTGTGCGTCTACCAATCCAGGCATCAGGATGTGTGGAGAGTGGTCGACATAGGGAGTGCCGGCAGGGAACGACGAGGCGGGCAGCACTGACTCCCAGATTGACAGGATCTTGCCTGTTGCGGTGGATATGGCGATTGTTGCTGCTGTCTCACGGCCTTTGATCACTGCCCGAGAGGATGCGAGGACGGTGAGGTCGGACTGTGCTTGTGTAGAGGATGGCGAGGCGGCCTCGGAGCGAACGGCAGGGGAGAGGGCGTGAGGTGCCATTTCTTCTAGGTATGGAGTTGGGCTCCAGACTCGAAGAGACTTCCTTGTACGATTGCTCTGCGGGTGTCTTGTGGTGTGCTCAGTACTCAGAGAACTCTGTGACTCGGCGAGACGGAGGAAGAGCAGAGGAGGAGTTGCAGAAAATGTTGTATTGAGGGAAGGACGAGGGGTTAGAAGGACAGAGGGATGTCAGAATGCAAAACAGATCTGGGGTAGGACGCCTCTTATTGTATGGGGTACATAAATGTGTTTCAAGGGCAGCCGTTCACCGACCCGACTTAGCCATGACATGCCTCTGCTCTACAGTAATGGCACGGGAAAAGGCTAGAAAAGTCAACAAGCAAAACGGCCTTCGGCGAGGCAAGGAGCCAAATGCTCAACAAAACCGGCCATTGACTTGCCTTTCGAGGTGAACACATGTCAATGAACCGAGAGGATTACTCGATGAAAACTACAAGCCAAGGTAGCGGTCAAAAGGCGCTTGCAACGTTACGCGGGCGTTGCTGCTGGCCGCGCTGATAAGCAAGGTCGAGCCCGGGAGAATATCGGAGCCGACCGCCAATGGTTTTTGAGTTTGGCATTCTGACCGAAGATAAGAGATAATGCTATGTTAGGAAGACGATAAGGCGAGATATATGTATCCAGGTGGCCGTGTCTGGCTGCTGTCTAGCAAGTGTGCTTAAGATCACAACTTTGATCTCAACAGGTGACTCGTTATACCGTCGTCATCACGGTAAGACTGAGGTGCGGAGATGGCCGGAAAAGCTTCTGTCGACCTGTCTGTTTAGCTTTTGTTGCTGATCCCAAGATCGCCTAGGCTCTGTATGTGTTACTCGATATTTATTCGATTGCATTACTCGATCAAAGGAGTATGTCAACCACAGCTGCCGCATGCGAAATCCTTGCCTACAGCCGGTGACGGAGCGGTCATGTAGTGTACGAAGGACCGATATTGGATTTTCTGAGAATTCTATACAGCTGAGGTAGCAAAGGTCATTTTAACCAGTACAAAGCGCGGTACGGTAATGCCGTATGCCTAGCTTCAATCAGCCTCAGTCAACATTGCGCTCGAAGGACTCAGCAATGGTATTTGCGCAGGCGCGCTAGCTGTCTACAGCGCTTTGAGCGTCGCACAAGCTCGAACGTGCCTTTTGCGGTGCATTGCTAGGAAAAAGAGGAGCTGGCTTGTTTCGTAAGTGTATTTGCATTGCAAGGGTATGTAGTCATAGCGATAGGTATAGTATGAAACCCTGGAGCAGACAAAGCACTCTCAAACGGATAACAACAAGCGTCGATCTTTGATGGTTCATGTCTTCCTCTTCTTGTGGTCGCCAAGCATAGTGGTCAAGGTCTGTTGCTTTCTCTTCGCTGGAACACCTACAGTAGCCTTGCCTTTGACAGTCTTCGAGACACTCATGATGTCTTTGCTGGAATACAGACTCGCTTTGAGGCCATACGCGTTCATGGAGTCCAGGCCGAGGTAGGTATATGCATCGGCTTTGTAATAAACTGCACGGTCTGCAGCGTTACGCGGAGCAAGGCCGAGTTCAATCAGCTCTTCGAGCACTCTCTTCACATCCTCGAGATCGGAAAAGTCTCTGGTGTACACACAGATGAGGTGACTTGACTGCTTCTTGGGGGCGGCAACGAAGGGATTTGGCGGATCTGCTGGAGCGACTTTGGCGGTATCGCCCAACCTGCCATCGATAACTGCTTCAGCGACAAGTCTCCATACTTTGTTAACATCTTCCGGACTCGGAAAGAGCATCCACTAGAGTTTACGTCAGCGATTGAACACACAGTAAGTCACAGCAACGTGTTTACCTTGCCACTCGTCACTCCACAAGACACTGCAACATCGAGAATCTCTTCTTTCAGCTGCTCTCGCAAAGGTCCCAACTTTCTAGTGATAGTTGACTGGGCTGAGTTTGGATTGGCGCTGGTAACTCTCTCCTCGGCAACGAATTGGCTCAGCAAAGCATTGGCACGGTCTATCATTCCTTCTGGAGATTCTTCTACTTCCGGATTATGACGGAGTTCTGCTGTCTTACCCTTACCTTTGAGTATGGGACATGTGACCCAAGTCCATGATGCATTGACAGTGGTGCTTGAGGGAAGACGTTTGAGAAACTCGTCGACGGTCTCAGTCAGTTGTCGAGCTGTGGAGAGACCTTCGAGTCTGTTGTAGAGTGTCTGTGGCACGGTTCCTGATGGCGTGATAGCGAGAGGCGCGACGGGATGTGCTGCTTGGTCTTTGGTCCATTGCTGAATGAGTTGGTTTGTGCTGGTCTTGTCGCTACGTGCTTGGAGCTTTTTGCGGACTCTAGCTGTACCTGCATGTCATGATGAGCATTCACGGTCGTGGGATCGGAGAGGATTCAACACACCGTAGAAGTCCGAGTCATCACTGATATAGCCTGCGAAGGGCACAAGATCCAGGTTTGCCATGCAAGAAGTCACAGAGTGGAACACTTATCTTGATTGATGAGGTGGAGGACGGAAGACGGAAGACACAAATGGAAGTGGGTGTAGCACGTGTGAGATATTGGTAAACGCGGGACGAGGCCAACGTACCATGCAATAGGAAGGAAAGCGCGCCCTGCAAACACAGTACTCGGGGAGGAAGCAGCGACAAGGAGACAGCTTCGGGGCTGCATTACCTGAATCTCAAGACTCTGCTGAAAGGCCAACACAAGATAAGACGTCCTGCCACTCATCAGCTCGGTACAGCGAAGAAAGAGCGTTATGCTATCACGGGCTTTCTTTCTATTGGGAGTGAGCTTGGTGAGACGTGTTGGAAAAGTGTTGGTTGCACGATATCGATGTCTTTTTGCATATCTAGTTGTGCGCGAGTTGTGCACCGAAGCCACTCAAACGCGTGGCGCGTCTTCCGCGTGTCGAGCGTGTCATCAACAATCGAGATGATTTGTATCAACACCATTTACTCAAGATATACACCACAGTATACCAGATTACAAGATGCCGCACGCTGAATCGCCAAATCCTCCGTCTTCGCCGCCTGTCGACGACACGGTCATGGAAGACACTGTCTCCGGCGCCTTCGACGAACAAGCGGAATCTCAGAATGAGACGACTCAATCATCACCAGCACCTGCAGTCAACGAAGTCGAGAAGGCATCCCTAGAAGATATGTTTGACGACGACGATATGGACGAAGATGACGAGTTCTCCTCAAGTGCTCAAACAAAGACTCAAGCCTCCTCACAGCCAGCACCGTAGGTCAAGACCCATCAACAGTCAGTTCTGATCTAACACTGTACAGGGGGCCGGCTGCTACCAACGCCAACAAAGATGCCGAGGTCTTGCGTGCTTTCTACCAGCGACTATTCCCCTTCAAATATTTGTTCCAATGGCTCAACCACTCCCCGACCACAACAACTGATTTCAGCAACCGTGAACTGGCCTTTGTCCTGCCCAACGATGCATACATCCGTTATCAATCATTCAACTCGGCTGAAGAGTTGCGCAAGCAGTGCATCCAGCTCACACCCACTCGTTTCGAGATCGGTCCTGTATACTCTGCCAACCCCCGAGACAGGAAAACACTACGCAATGCAAGTGCTTTCCGCCCACTGGCCAAAGAGCTCGTCTTCGATATCGATATGACCGATTATGATGAGATCAGAACCTGCTGTTCTGGAGCAAGCATCTGCCAGAAGTGTTGGCAGTTTATAACTATGGCCATCAAGGTCATAGACAAGGCATTGAGGGACGACTTTGGTTTCAAGCACATCATGTGGGTCTACTCCGGTAGACGTGGTGCTCACGCCTGGATCAGTGACAAGCGAGCAAGAGAGATGGACGACAACAAGCGTAGGTCAATCGCCGGCTACCTTGAGCTTCTTAAGGGAGGTGATAAAACCGGTAAGAAGGTGAACCTGAGGAGACCTCTGCACCCACACATCGAGTAAGTCGCACCTACGCAGTTTCTACGCAAACCGCCACTAACACTGTGCTTAGTCGCAGCTTGAAGATCTTGAATGGTTATTTCCAGACAGATGTGCTGCTAGAGCAGGACCCGTGGGCATCTCCCGACAAGGCAGCACACTTGCTGCAGCTCATACCAGACAAGAATCTCACGGCTGCATTGCAAAGAAAATGGGACAGCACGCCGCATCGCAGCAGTACTCAAAAATGGGCCGATATTGACGCCGTCGCATCTGTCTCCGGATCCCTTTCCAGCCTCACGCCTGAGACATTGGTACACGCCAAACAAGACATTCGCCTAGAATACACGTACCCACGTCTTGATGCCGAGGTCTCAAAGAAGCTCAACCATTTGCTCAAGAGTCCGTTCGTTATCCATCCAGGCACAGGCAGAGTGTGCGTTCCGATCGACATCCGACGGTTTGAAGAGTTTGAGCCGGAGAAGGTCCCGACTGTACAGCAGCTGCTAGCCGAGATTGACTCGTGGCAGGGGACTGATGACAAGATACAAGATTGGCAAAAGACTAGCCTCAAGCCTTACATTGAGCTGTTCAGGGATCATGTGAACGCGGTCATGAAGGACGAGCGAGCTGCTGAGAAGCGAGGGCGCGAGGAGAATGGAGAAGGAGTGGATTTCTAGACCAGAACGTGACTGCTGTGAAGGTGGCGCGGCTGCAAGGATGGGTTTGAGGGCGTTCATGGGTATGGGCTTATAGTGCGGGATTTCTTGATGGGAGCTGGCGGAGAAAGGTGCGTCGGAGCTTTCTCCACTGCATGTAAGCTGTCACGGGAGTTCTGGTCGTGCCGCGGGCTCAGGTCCCGATTCAGGATGGGAGACCGAGATCTGATGAATTCGGTGCCATTTGCATGGCCAAATTGGAAGCGGTAAAGCGGTTCAACGCTTGAGACTGTGGCGCGAAACAAAGGCTCAGCGGAGCGGCCTCCCCCTCGACGGGAATCAGCAATTCACGCGTTTGTAGCATGCTAATTAGCTACCACATTTCAGAATGCCATGATGATGATGTTCCTCTTATCTCATTCTTGCTAATTTCCCGGTCTTCCTGCTCAGAGACTATATCAGGAGTTGGCTGCCGTGTCCTTGTCCTATTCAGTGCCCCAAATCGCAGCTTGTGGAAACTTGGACGGTACGAGCAAATTCCATCTTTCGGCGGCTCGCAGTCCCGGAACTTCGCGCAATCAAAACACTTCTGTTGTTGGGTTCGAATCCCCATCGTTCGACTGGACGGTTTCTTGACAAGCTTCAACGCGACCTTGGTTGTTGTCCAGGTCTCGGGCCCAGCTCTGTCGCCGGCTCTCTTGCACACAGCTTGTCGAGATGGACGAGGGCTTTCGGGGCAAGGCCGCAAGCTTGAGAGGGAGTTCGGGATCGGCCAAAGAAGACTCCCCGACCAGGAGCAAAGCCAAGCGACATCAGATAGCTGTTGCTTGCAATGCTTGTCGCCGCAGAAAGACAAAGGTATGTTCCAGGTTGGCCTACCAAGAACGAGCCTCCTTCTCAGCATCTGTGGACTGACCTTGCTGTCTAGTGCGACGGCCATCGTCCAGTCTGCACCGTCTGCGTGTCCAAGAATTCCGAATGTACCTGGTCAGCGGATCCGGATGCCACGCCCATGGTCGCCATCAAGCGCAAATACCAAAATCTCGAACTCGAGTCGCGCGATTCTCACGACTTGATTAGCATGCTGATGAACCGCTCACGTCAAGAAGCCATCTCCATCCTCGACCACATGCGCAGAACTCGAGATGCATCGTCTACGCTTGCTTTCATCAAGGACGGAGACCTACTCAGTTGGGGTCGAAGTACTCGTGACACAAATTTTTCGGATCATGGCACTACCGATCTCGGTGCTGTTGGCGACATTACGCCCAGAGTCAATGCCACGAACGATAAAGACGATGACCTGAGCGTTGGCAGTAACGAGAGTGTTCCTGAGCCGTCCAACTCACCAAAGAGACGCCTCGCCATCTCGGACCTGGTCAACGACTGAGCTGCCCCGATTTGCCTACAGTCAGTCAAATCTCGTTCTGCGCCTTTCCGGCCAACGTCAAGCTTGACCAACACATTCATCTCGACTGAGCTGACGTCGTCCTCAACAAGATGCCATCGAGGCACATCATCTATTCGACATGTGTCGATAGGTGCTGCTTGGCCGGCTCATCGGAGCATCAGCTGTTCGCTTCCTTGGCTGTGCTTGAGCATAAATATTCGACTCGGGCAGAGGTCAACGTACACATGATATCGTTTCCACTCGTTGGGATGCATGGATCACACTCTACCATGCTTGTGTCTGGAGAAGGGCTCCGACATTTCAAGAGTTACACGGTATTGGTTCGAACATGTACCAGGAGCGTACGTGTGGCGTCGATAGCACTCGGTCAGGTGGGGTTGCCAATCGATTGCACCGGACATTGTCCAGCCTAGGTCGACTAGCGGGCTGTCGGTCGTCTCTATGCCTCCGTTATGTGTCGCCATATGACTTTGCGTATCCAAGGCGCCCATCAGGACAGACGCTGTCGAGCACACACCAAAGGCCGCATATCAGTGTTTCCTTTCATACCTAGTCTTCGGCAGGCAACCCGAGTCCGAAGAAGTACGTATACATTAGATACTGTCAGTCTCTCACCTTTGCTCTCCGCCTCCTTGACTGTGCAAACACTGGCAGGTACCTGTATCCATTGACACAGGTGCCTGCACTCATGGCCAGTGCCCATCGTCCTCCTTGATCTTACCCTACAGCGCACCACTGTACTCAATCGGGGACTCACTGGATAGTCCTGCGCTGCTAGGGCATCCCACTCCAAGCCCACCAAGGCGCTTCCTCGTTTCTTGCAGCAATGCATGCCGTCTTTCCGGACTCGCCCGCAATTGTCATTGTTGATACACATCAAGTTGATGGCAATTAGGCCACTTGAAGCGCGGAGAAAAAAGTAATTAGGAGTGAGGTTTGGTGGCGGAGTGCAGTCCGCTGATGACGCGCTTTGCTGTTTTTCCAATCTGCCCCTCGTGCCTCCTTCTGTGCTACTGTGCTTCCATTCGCGTAACAAGCAATGCATCTCCGGTTTTGCTTCACGGGACAAATCAGGTTCCGTGATCAAAGGATCTGATCGCGTGCAATTCGATACGGCCAGCGTCGCCTTTGCCGGCCTTTTGCACACACCCAATATCCAATTGCCTGTTCTTTCACGCTTACGCATTGTATCATTATGTGTAACGTATGAGCCTGGCGACTGTATAATGGTGGAGCCAATGAGTGGAGCCGCAGCCGTCCATGAAGAATCTAACTAGCCACCTTGCTCGGAACATTTCTTATCAGGATTTGGAGAGCAGACCAACGTCGGCTCGCACGCGAAGACTATAACTTTCTGGCATTCCACTCAATAGCTCCATTCGGCGAGCGCAAAGAATGTATACATCTCCTCTTCACCAATGTTCACCGACGTCGCACCTCAATGGAAGCCTCTAATCAAGCTTAACCCTAAACTCCACATCTGCCTTCTGCTCTCAATCAAGAACAGCCCCTCATACAATTACCCACAAATCATGTGTTGTATTCCTCCTTCCTCTAGCAGCTCTTCATATCACAAGCCAAGGTGCTCCTCAACACATTTCAATCCCCTGTCTCTGCACCCCCATCAGCCACAGCAAAACAATATCGCATCATATTGCACCAATGGCAATCATGGACAATCACAATCCTCCAGATGCAAAGCTTGCGGGAAATCCATTGCCGTCTAAGCAGCCAGCGGACCCATCTCCTGCGCGGCGATTGGAGGGCCCAGACAACCCCATGCACCGGATCCACATTGGCATGCCATGCCACCTCATGCCCAGCCACATGTTGTTCCCTGCAAAGCACATATCCAACTCATGCACGACAAGTCCAGCACATATGCGGCTCAGATTAAAGATACGGGAAGGGCCAAAGTCTCCGTAGTTCCTTGACCTTGTCAAGTCTCGAGCCTCCCAAGCCCCAAGACTGTGGTTCCCCCATCGGAAAGCAATACCGGAGCAAATGTCAGACTGCCTCTCGTGACGCGATCAGCAATACATTTGTCTTCTGCAGTGGCTTACCTACAGTACAGACTCGTTTCCCGTCTCACCGTTAGCGTGGCGTGGCGCAGAAGGTCCACCATTCTGCACTACAAGGGTTATGCAACCAATGGCAATACTGACCAAAACTGGTTATAAGCAATGTTCTCAAAGCTCACATTGACCGTCAGGGACGTAAGAAACAGTTTGTATGTTTGAAGCAGCAAGTTAGCCTGCCACCAACCATCTACGGCAATCACTAGCCTCTCCATTTCTCGATGTTTCCACGCAAAACAAAGCACCGTATTTTGCATGCCAACTCCATGCCACCACAATGAAGCCCGACGGAATTCACCCTCGTGCAGTGTGCCCTTGCGCCACACTTTTCGCGGTACGGTACACTGCAGTCGCTAGACTGTGCTTTTTGACGGAGATCACCAGTGCATTGCATAATTACGGTAGCTTTTAGCTCTAGTTTGCCCGCCACGGTAGCCGAGCTAGTGTAGCCTCCATCACACACCCATGGCAGTAGGTCCGCAGCCCCGTTTGCTGTCATACAAGGAAAAAAGAGTCTGCGGCTCTCTGTCATGTTGACGAATTCTCAGCTTTGTACTTCTCCAATTCAGTCCGCAAATGCTTGGGGGGGTTTTGGGTTGAGCTAACTCGGCTTGCAATCACATCTTTTTTGCGGTAGTAGGTCCGCAACTAGCCCCCCCCCCCCTTTCGCAGGTCATACAAACATCACCATTTGTAGATCTTTCCAAGCCTTTGCCTAATCCTTTCTATCAGCGAGCAAGCTAATAAGCGGTGCAAGTTTTCCTTCACCGTGGAATTACTCTCTCTTCCGCAAAGGAATGACAAAGATATGCAAACTCCGTTGCGGCTCATATTGGATCTCTTACAGTGGTGTGCAGTGGAGTTTGATCCGTTTTGTTGTTTTTATATCCTTGCAAAATAGAAAAAAGAAAAAAGACATTTTCGAGCGTGCGTTCCTTATTTGAGCCTCTTTGTTTTTTTCGTGGTTGCATCTTTGCTGATGACCATCGCCTGGAGAGGGAAGGTGCGTGATATTCTCCCTGGCTGCTTTTCTTCCAGTGCTTGTTCGACTTTCCTTCTCTTTCCTCAAGGAAACATCAAAGGATACCATAGACTCACAGCCAGAAAGGATTTTTATGGAGTCAAGGGAACTGACTGATTAGTACAATATACCTTTTGGAGTTTCATTGATAAGCACAAACACAAAGAATTTGAGTGCGTGTTCTGATGACCCATGATCTTACAGGCAGAAGACGTAGAGGGAAACATTCCCAATATAACGATGGCTAATTACTCGACGAAGATATTCAAGTAAAAAGCAGTATTGATCGTTAAACTACTAGAACCTGTTTAACTATAATAAGCGTAAAGCTAATCTTTAGCTAAAGCTAAAAGGGAAGCAAGATAAAATCTAGACCTAGCTTTATATCTATTAAAGTAGTTAATTAACAATAAAAGGGAAAGAAACTTATAACTTCACCTTGAAGGTGTCGTAGATAAACCTATAAACACCTTTTCGGGCTGGTGTATCGATCACAAGCCATGAGGCTGACAATGCTCAACGTGCATTATTGTCCAAGATGGTGGAAAGGATCCTGTGTCTACGCAACTGTTGATGGGAGCACATTGGTGATGTTGAAAAGAGATAAGAGGTGTGAACACACGCATTGATTGTGACGGGATTTCAAGATTTCGGCTTGTACTTAGTTTCGTATCCGGATATAACCACTAAATGATCGTGAAACTGCTCGCTATCTCAGATTCCTTGTATCGTCTCCTTCGGTCCCTCTGATTAGATCATAGCTCCTTGCTTTGTTGATTAGTGTACGGTCCGGTGGGTAGTATACGCCAAGGGAGCATGAGTTGTAGCTAAGATATATACCAAATGTCTTGGGGAATATCCTGACTAGCTTGCTTCATGTTTCTACATGCACGAAGGAGGGAATCTTACTCTCAGCGATGTATGATGATTTTAACACGGTGGAAAAACACAATCAGTCTGATTCTGTGTTCATCCGCTCAATTCTGAGAGTCGTTCTAGTGCCCGTTGATCTGCTTCCGCAGTAAACACCGCATTTTCGTAGATCCATTTGGGCACCGACGGCGGAGTCTGGGTACCAATCTTTCCGGCATACCCGAAGTCGATGAGTACTATGGCTCCATGTTTGTTCTTCATCACGTTGCTCTGACTCAGGTCACCACGAGAGAAACCGGCTTCGTGCAACTGATTCACGGCTTCCCTGACCTCAGGCAGACGTTGTAGAAGCTCGTTTGCCTCGAGGCAGAACAGGTATTCTAGACAATAACCAAACATGCCCTGGTCGTCGAGCAGTGGGCGACCGTCCACCTTTGGTATTGGTAGTGACCGAGCAATCGAAGTCATGTCCTGTATGATCTTGAACTCATGCTGCACTCGAGAACGGAATTCCTCTCCCAGGTGGGCAAGCTTGGCTACAGGATATGGGCCTGTATGAGAGCATCGCAGCACAGCATCAGCCCCGTAGTTGATGAACATGGACTCGCGCCAAATATTGGACATTTCGAAGCCTAGCTCGATTTGCTCGATTTCGAATCTGGCCTATCGTGGAGTTGGGTGATGTCAGGGTATTTTGCTGAGCCGCTCCAGATGAGGGAGTAGGGCTTGTTGTGATGTTCGATGATACATGTGTAATAGCCAGTCTTCTCGGCTCTTGACGGGGGCGAAACAAATGTGACTGTTACATCTGGAGGATTAGTGCTGCAAGGTTTGACTGGACCTTCCCAAGGGGTACAGCCGCACATGGACCATCGATGAACTTCTCGCTCACACATTCTACGCCAATGTTTAGAGATGTGATTCACGTTTCAAAGATTCTGCTGACTGACTTGCTGATGTCCGACTGGATAATCGTCTGACCAATGGAGGTGAGGCTCTGACTGTGTTGAATGACTGATGGCAGTTGCAGGCGTGGACAAATCCTGCAGACGAAGGCAGTTTGGATGATAGTCAAGGACACAAGATCGTGGCACCTAAGGGATTGAACTTATATGCTTCCTCTGTCAGTGCCTTTATCAAGGATCAATCTGTGGACCTGTCGGATTGTATGGAACAAAGCGAAGTAGTGTTTAGCCGCTCGGTTTGCGCGCTAAACATCTCCTCAAACAATGTGATACAAGGTCAATTTGTGAGGACGCTTCCTTCCGTCTGGTCCCCAAGCGAGACCCAGTTCATGCACTCTCCGATACAGCGCCTCGTAAGTGCAAGGAACTTGGCAACTGCGTCCCCGTTGCTTGGCAGTGGATGTAGTTTAGACAGGACGTCCCATCCAGGCTGTGATGAGTATACGTTCTTACCCCACTTCTCTTAATTTCCACCTCTGCCCCAGAATCTCTTTCAACTATTACAAGTCTTACAATAACCACGGAACCATTCGACGAAGTTCATACAGGATGCAAAGTACACCGGATCCGCTATCATCGTCTCAAAGTCCTAGAGATTGGTAACCACTATTTTACCAACTACGTTACTACCAACAGCCTTTGACGATCTCGAGCTGCTCGAAGAAAAAAAATGTTGACCACGATGCTTTGGAAGATCTCTGGCGTCCCTCTGACTGCCTGTAAGGAATTTGCAACTGGCCCAGAATGTCCTGAAGGTATCCAGAATCTAAACTTTGGTTTCAAAAGATTAAAGGAAAGCCTTTCTCCCGCCGTGATGCAGAACCACATTTACTTGGTTCGCCTGACTTTCTACTCCGTCTTCTTATGACAGTCAATTGTCAAGATGCGCTGTCTCTGATGCAATGATCAGCGCCGTGACTGAACAGCATCAGAAAGGCTCTCGGAGGAGGAGTCATCACAGACAGTGACGATGGCTACCATGGAGATCGTGGAAAATGGCTTCATCTGAAGCAAAGAGCAAAACTCATGTGCTTTGCGATTATCTCATCTCAATCGCTTTCTACCTCCACTCAAGCTGCCAGGCTGAATTCACTCTTCGCCAGGCCTAAGAGCAAAGATAGCACCGTGCTCCCCTATAGTGGGGAACACCTCAAGCGCGCGTTTCGAGAAAGTCCAATTCGTGGGTTCGCAAACGTGGTCTTCGAATTGTTTTGTAAAGCGCAGGCATCCGGCGACTGGATCGTGACAGACGGCCTTGTCTAGTTGGTAAGGCCAGTTTACTATAGGTGCTGCTGTAATTTGATTTTCTGGTGTCAACCATTCTGTGTTGAAGGCGGACATTAGGACGCCGCGGATTGCTGGGCTGGAGTGGGATTGTTAGTTGATGGCTCGAAGTGGAAGGAGATGATCAATGTAGAGCTTACTGAGGCGCGAGATCGAGAGCCGGACTGTGCGGTATGAATCTCTGACTGGGTAAAGGTCGCATGAGTGCTGGTATCCTTCGATAATGCTCTGATGTGGGGAACAAGATCCACTGTATCCTGTTAGTCCTCGCAAATGATGAGGAAGTGCGATTATTACTTACTCTCATCAAAGGTCCTAGCAAGACTACAGTAGCCAGTTTTGCGTAGAGATCCGGGTTTGCAAGACTTTTCAATATTTCGCAGACAAAGGTATCGACCGAGTGACCATCCGTGGGCACGCGGTCGCGGAAGAAGAGGTCCAGGTTGACGTAATCTGGCGATCCGAGGACATCGCGGGCGTTCATCCCATCAGCTATCATCTGCAACGTCGCGTCCCTGAAGCTCAGATATGCCTTGCCGAGGAGTGCGTCGTGTTCGTTCGAATGAAGTGGTAGCATGCTGTATTCAGCAGAGGTACTAAGGTTCTGTAATTGCTGATGTTGGATGTGGGCCGGGTAGCCATTAGCCTTGATGGCACTCGAAAACGGTAAGTTGCCAAAGTCGGATATGAAGCCCACGCTCGCTTGTCCAGCATGTTTATTTGGGCAGCTAGACATTTTCCGTGAGTGTGTTAATGCGGTCCCGTTCGTTTGGATTTCTGGCGGGCTCTGTCTGGCAGTATTGGATGATTGCGGCTGCAGTACTGTCAGTGGTGGTATCCTCAATACGAAGCATCTCAATCGCCGTACAGTACTGTATCCACCAGTATGTGCTGGTGAAATATTCGACCAACTTGTTGAATCTTGGGCATCGTTCTCCAGTTTCGGTACAATTGACCCTGGGTCGTCATAATCCGCAAAGTCAAAGCTGGTATTCGTCTTGTCGTCCAAATTGAAAAGATCACGAGCGAAAGCAGAAAACTCGGTGGTGTTCTGTGCCAACTGTCTGATCTGAGCAAACGCAGCCGTCGACGTCGAATCCCCGCCTTCGAGTTTCTTCAGCACGCGAAACACTTTGGATAAGGCCTTTTCGGCATTTCGTAGCTCTCTGTTGCGTTCTTGTGCGTCTTTACGTCCATCGAAGACGCACTCATTGCCTTCTGCTTCGCAACGTGAGCATGGCGCCGTGCCCGTACACTACATGGAGATGTCAGTCAGGCTGAGCCCCAAATTTCGCAAATGCCTTAGGGCAAGGTGACACGATGCCGTTGGTGATGTATTTACCTTTGATCTTCGCTTCCGACACGGCTGACACGCGACATTGACCTGTTTTCGTGGCTTCCTGGGACGGTATTGTGGCGGTAGTTTGACGGGTTTGCTCAGAGGTTGCGATACAATGGGCACAACAGGTCGATTCAGAGGCTGAATGGCGTGCGATGCGTGATAGGCAGCAGCAGAGGCGCCCGCGCCGCTGCCTCCCCCATGGCCTGCAGAGTAATCTACCTGTCGAATCATCTTCGTTGCGTTATTAGGGTGACTTGATGTCGATTGTGCGATTGTCGCAGTTCTGGGCACTCATGGAGAAAGACTCCGGGAAAAAGATGGTTCGCCGATTTTGAGCTGACCAAGTCTAGAAGACCCGCCAGGGCCCGATGCTTGGTCAATCGACGATCATGTTGGACGGTCAGGGTCTAGATTCGTTATGGAATGCTTGAGCCGCACGCTTAGTCCTGACCGCTAGAGTAGCGGCGGTAGTACATCCTTCTCCGAACCGGCTCTAGCATCCATGACAATTCCTTGACATCATCTTTAAACACTTGGTGTGATTGCTGTCGGTCTGCTTCACATGGTTAAGCTTAACCTCAGTAAAGCTGGAAGGTTCTTTAGCTTTACACGACCACCGCTTGTGCATGCGGAGTCAGCATAACCGCATACGAACCATCCGACGTCCCGAAGGCGTATCTGGCAGACTTTGGGGCAGAATGGCTTAGGGCTGAGACAAGGTGCGAAGATCTGTCAAGCAGCCGCTGACACGCTTGTGACACCTTTGCGAAACGAACGACAGGACACTTCCTCGGAGAATCGCACACATTTGTATCGACATGACTCTGCCGACTGTCCATGGACGTAATTCTGATGTTCTGGCGGCGTGTAGCCGAACAGTCGGCAAACCGGGTGAACAACAGATTCTTTCAACGTACGCATATCAGACTGTGATATTGAAACTCAGATGTTGACATAGCGCTACGATGTTTCATTACACATGCTATGTGCATCTTGACAGCCGCCACACCCCTTGAGTGGCAACCTGTCACAGTCTGGGCTGGAGGAGTGAGAACCGTAGTGTCATTGTGCCATTGCTATCGTCTATGTGCGAAAGCAACCATTAACTCCTGTATATGCATAATGCTTGCTATGAATGCTGTCTCAAAGTGTCTCCCAACCTCCAGTGTTCATATCACCTTCGAGTCTTCTCGAGATCACACTAGGAATGCCGTGGTTAAGCCATGCCTCTCTGAGCAGCTTGTCATATCTCTTCTGGTTGAGGAACAGCTGATGATGGCGACGCAGAGTAGGGTCGACCTCGCCGTGACGGTCCAGATAAGGCGCATGATACCAGCTGCCATGGCTGTGATGCAGGAACAATACCATGCACTTGCGGATGTTGATAAATATGCCAATGCTTCCGCTACACCTGTGTTCTTGTTAGCAGCATTCTAGTATCGTAAAATTGAGACGACTTACTTCTCGCGATGCTGGAAGCAACCGCCTTTGTTGCGATCCGTCATGCAGCAACTAGCTTGACTGCAGAAGATCTCTCCGCAGAACAGACAGATGGCGGGATCAGTGACTTCCTTGCCAGTAGTAGGACAACGTCTTTTGATGGCTTCTTCCGTCAAGGTGTCGTAATGCTTTGGTAAGCCAATGAGCTCGAAAATTGTTGGGTGGCTGAGGAACTGTGCATCTGTTCGCAGTCTCTCTTTCGTGGCAGTACTAACGATCACGCTATTCACCCATTTCGCAGCAGTCATCTGGAACTGCTCATCGTGGCCAAGTCGCACCACTATCTCTTGAGGCGCGGGAAGACGAAGAATCTTGGCCAGGCGCTGTAGCTCCGACAACTCCAGGTTCTCGTCGGACCCGGTAAAGTCAACACCAAAGTGTACATGAGTCAAAAGTAAAGCCTTCCTGAGGAATGTAAGAGCGTATGTATCGATCAGCTTACTCAAGGCTGGTGCATTCCACTCTAGGTCACAGAACCCATGCTGGCAGAGACGCACTGATGAGATGTGCGGGCTGAACTCGATGGCGCCGTGTTCCTTGCACCAATTCTGGAACAGCTTGATACCTGACAAATCCCAGCTGGACGATCGAGAGTCTTGCTGGATCTCTTGGAGCGAGTCGCGGCACATGAATGTGACGATTACTTTGACCATCTCTGCAGAGTAACAGAGTCTCAGAATATGGTGCATGTTCTGACCCATAGGTACTTCGTGGACTGCACAATTGGCAAAGAAGGTGAACAGATCGTGGCCGAGCAACGAAGCATAAGGAAGTGCGGGATCTTCGCCAGGGTCATCTCCAAGAACCTTCTTCAGCTGAGCGGTCCATGAGCTGTGTACTCTGGTTCTACCTAGGTACTCAGACATGCCGCCCTTGACTGCAGCTGTAGCTGTTGCGGTGCGAACGGTCTCGGACAGGATACGCAGCGTCTTCATGCTCTGTTCTGAGATAGCGTCGAGGAACGTGCCGGTCTCGCCGTCTAGAGGATTCGCGACTCCTCGGTACGAGATCTCAGTACTCGAGACGGTAAAGGCCAAGACGTTGCAAAGGGTCTCGGCGAGTCGGATTGTAGAAGATTGTGTGCCGGGTTCGAGTCCAATAGTATTAGATTTCAAGGCGCCAATTGGGCTCAGACTCTCTTCAATGCGATTGTATGCTCTCTTGAGTTCCGAAGATGGTGTAGCAGGTCTGTTCCGAGTATCGAATCTGCTAGCTAGATTGGTCAAACTCTCCAGTCTTGGCGTCAAGTTGACCAGCGTTTCTAGTCCAGGCAAGCCAGTTGCGTTCAAATCGAATTGATCGGCCACTCTGCGAACCATTTCTGGTAGAACCGATCTCGACTCTCCCTCGGAGCTTTGCGTATCTGAATCTGGATCTGCAGAACGGGCTTCTACAGCTTGCGCGAAAAGAGACGGTGGAAAAGCAGTTGCTAGCGTAGGGACCAAAGCCTTCTGCATGTACTCTATGTGAGCCTCACGCACAGAAACGTTTGACGACAATTGGCTCATCTCGTCGGCATTTCGATATGCTTCTTGATCGAGTAGCCACTGATCGAAGTTTTTGTACTGCTGATCGAGAGTGGACGATGAATGGTAGTGCTTGTCTTTCCAGATGATTGGCAAGAATGTGTTTCCGATTGCCTTACAAAGAGGACAGATGAACTCGACAGTATCGGGTCGCTCTGGGTGGTTTCGTGAGATATGCTGCGTATGTCTTCTTCTTGTTGCTACAAGATATTGCTCAAAACAGCCGAAGTGCATGATGTGACCGCAACTGTTGAGGACAGGACCTTGGAATGCGCTGTCGTGGGGGAAGCCTTTACCAAGACCACGTTTCTCCTGTTTGCCTTTGGTGCCATCTGTGTTGACCTTCTCAACAGTCTCTGTTGCAAATTTGGCGACACCAAATGGTCTGATGGCATCCGCAGATTGGTCGAGGTTCTCCGGAGTGTCCAAAACCTCTTTGACAAAGTCTTTGTCATCCAGGGGAGTCTTCCTGAGTATTCTGCTCGGTGCGATGAAAGCAAATGTGCCATAGATTCTGTTGTCGTCGGTGTCTTCTTGACAAAGAATGCACGGTTCCTTGGGGAAAGGGCAGACCTTGGTCTCGACGACCTTCTCAATCAATTCGCCATCTTGCTCCAAATCACTGTAATCTTCTGCTTCCCAATCTAGGCCCTGATTTTCCATGAATGACGTTTGCTGAGCTTTGAACTGTGCCATGACACGTGCCTGACGCTCCAAGGCAGCTTTTTTCTTGGCTTCTTTATCCTCAGACGGCGTAGAAGTGGTCTCCGAGCTTTGCTCCTTATCGTCAGGTAACAGCCTCGCTTTGGCGTTGGCAAATTCTTCAGGCCACTTCTCCGACATTCTTTTCAGGATATGCAGAACCTTGGGTGTACATGATGCAAATGACTTGACCTTCGACAGGCGAAAAAGAGACTCAACGATTGTCTTGTCTGAGCTCTCTTCGCTGTGCGAAACCGCTAGTGCCAGTCTCACAAAACTGTCTTCAGCCGCCATCGGTCTTGGTCCACTTGGAGCAGCGTCTTCCATTACGGCCAGAAGTGTGAGGTGGAGGATGACATGCAGCATCGTCTCGATCCTGGTGATCTGTGCATTGTCGACTGCCTCGTCATGGCGCAAACAGAACTCGAGAGCCCAGTAGACTATCTCACTGAAGAATGTAGTCTGTGTGAACGCACCAAGGTTCTTGAAGAGTCCGGAGTTAATAGCTTGCAGTTGAGGTTCAAAGACGATGTCTGCGGCAGATTGCTTTGTCTTCTTGGCCGTGTACTCTCTGTAGACAGTCTCGGCCTCTTCGCGCTGGTTGCGGTTGTAGTAGGCGTAGTACGGATCAATGAGCTCGATGAAGCGAGGATGCAACTCGAAAGTACCCGAATCATTCAGACCCTCAGGTGCACGGAAAGTTGTCATGCTCTCGAGTATTGCGTCAAACTCTTCCGAGTCTGCTACCCTATCAGTCAAGCGGTTGGAAATGTCTGAGAATGACAGAGGCTTGAAACAGAGAACGTGTGCAATGTCGCGCTGCAAGAGCTTGACGTGCTGGCTTGGCTTATCCTGGCCAGGCAAGAGATTCTGTCGTTCGCTGAGCAGAATGATAAGCAGGTGGAAGAACTCCTCCGTAACATCAAGCCTCTGCTGTTCATCGTAGCCTGGGTACAAATCAAAGACGCCATTGACAAACCCGGACAGATCAAATCGGTCAGCAATTTGAGCCAGGAATCTCTCGCCCAGTGATTCTTCGGGGTTTCCACACAGCACGAGACCTGCTTGAAGCATGAATATATCGCGTTGGTAGGAGACGTCTCGCTGACTTGTTCCACGGTACTGGTGCATCTGATGACGAAGGGTGACACCGTTGCGGACCCACATACCAGCGCGCATCTGGGCGAGCCAGGCGCAAACACGTAGAGGATGCTCAAAAAGCATAGCTATGATTTCCGGCGAATCGTAGTTCGTGGCTTGGGGGGCTGTTTTCCAACTTGTCTGCCAGGGGTCTTTGAAGTCCGCATGAGTGAAGTGCAATACTTTGAGCATCTCCTCGCGTGTAACGTTTACACCTGCTTCCAGCAACCATGACAAAAGGTAATGCATAGGGTGATGGAAACTCATCGAGCCAGTGGCTACATCAAACTGAGGTAGACTGTAGCTTCCATCGCGACACGTCGCCTCACGGCCAATCGCCTCGATGTACTTCGGTCTCTTCTTGTTAAGCAGACGCAGGAACGTTTGAGCCTCTTTGGTCTCGGCACTTGGGTATCTGTTTCGCTCAAGACCGAACGCATTTATGAACGTAGCTTGTGCGGCATATCTGATGGCTCTCTGTACTGGAGCTGTGTCTCCATCATCGGACCTCTTGAAGGCTTCTGCCACTTGACGACAAAGTCTGTTGATTTCTTTGATGATCAACGTAGCACTGATCCATGCGTCTGCCTCGTATTCGACGTGTTCGCCCACGGCTCGAACGTTGGGACAAATGCCTTGATGGAGCTTGACCAGATCCAGGAACTGCATCAAATATCGAGGTTCGTTACGAACCTTCTCCTGTACGAAGGCAGACTGGAACATGTAACGTGTATCTAGAAAGAAATGGAACATGCGTCTGTTGGTGACGGCGCCCGCATCGAATGCTAGGGTCGCGTTTGGGTTGACGTCTTTTGGGAACCCAACTTGACGGGTGGTGAGGAATGTATAGAGGATGGCAAGGAGATTGGTAAGGAAGTTTCCTCGCTCCACTACTTCCGCCGTGATAGATGGGGTTGTAAGCATCTGGACTGACAGATTTATGATGGAGTGATCCGGCTCGCGATCGGCGATAAGATAGAGTTGAGCAAGCATCGTGTACAGGCCAGCGAATCTCAGTCCCAGTATGCGCTTAAATTGAGGAACGGTGACAACAGTACTAATGTAAAGATGGCGGAGGTCGATACGGAGGGTCTTCCACATTCTCAGGTCGTACAGTATAAGATAGTCAAGGCGCACTCTTTGCCAAAGATCTTCTGCCGGAGTAGATGTTGACTGCGATCTGTATTCTTCTGGTGTCTCGAGCCAATAACGAGCAGGGCGAACGGGGCGATTTGACCTGACTCTGACCTTCGGTGTTTTTGGGAGATTGGAGAAGGGAGCCGAGGGTTGAGAGGGTGGATCGGGTCTTGACGACGGATGCTGTTCTCCGTCATCAGATTCGTTGACAGTCGCGGATCTTGTTCGACGGCGAGTGGTGGGTGGTGGAGGTGGAGGTGCAGGATATCCAGCGAGAGTTGCCTCAAAGTTCTCAGCAGGGCCCTCTGTGTCAATATCGACAAGGTCCAGATCCATGTCATTTTCTGCTAGAGCCAAAGCCAGGGGATCAACGGTTTCCGGATCCAGGTCCATGGTGTCTTCGACGCCAAGTTCTTCAGATTCTGCCATGAGGAACTCCTCGATAGTCATGTCGTTCTCGTCGTCTTCGTCCTCATCATCGTCAATCTCTTCGTTGTCATCATCGTCGTTCTCAACATTGATTCTGACCACATTGATACCGGCTAGCGGACGGAACCATCTGGCTTCCTCTCTTCGATTCTTGACATTCTCCTCATGCTCGTGATCGTCGATGCCACCCTCTCCTATGGTAGCGTTGGTGGCTTCGCTTCCCATACGCCAGGGTCGTAGCAACTCTTCACAGATTGTGTTGCGGAGGACATGGGGGTCTGAAGCGATCGAGCAACCTGAGATGTCCGAGATCCAGTCGACCATAGAGCTGCACATTTGCTCGCGGAAAGTATCTCTGGCGGACCGGACGGTCACAGTGACCTTGAGTTGTTCTATGATTGCAGCCATGCGTAGGAGTTCAGCAAGGTCATGTGAGTAGTGTATGATGCTTCGGCCAATATCGTTGACTTCCATGGCCTTCTGCAACCCAAAGCTCTTGGGCTTCCTGCAGGCTTTGGCTACTTGATTCTGGACGTCGGTGACGGTGTGTTTCTCGTCGTTCCACAATACCAAAGCGTACTCTTCGTCCGACTCATCAACTTCGGCACCGCCGTAGAGATGTGATGTAAGACGTGATAGCAACTCGTCTCTTCGAACAGTACCCTCAGTTTTTGTCAGGCGCAGTTGCTCCGGTGAGCAAGAGAAGACATCGCACATGTAATCGAAGGCTTTTGCAATCGTCGTACGGACAGGAATGAGCAGCTCGTCGGGCAGGGTTGGAGTCTGGCTTGTCTTTCCAGCAGCCTTCTGGCCTGGCGCATCGTCAGCGCTGTGGATGGTGCAGTGGACGGGGCGAACCCAGGCCTCGTCGTCGGCACAGTCGCAGCAGCCACTGTTCCCCGGAGAAACACTGATATAGACCATATGGCCTTCGTGATCTGACTCGGCGAAACACCTGGCACAGAGAACGCAGGTATCGTCGGCAGCACATGTCTTGCAATGGTATGTTGATTCGCCGGCCTTGAAAATGTGGCCGCAGGGATGGCCCTTTGCGGCAGGTGTATATTCTGCACCATCTACAGCACCCTGAGCGTCGCGCAGCACCCACTGGTCTTCTTCTGGTACACCGTCGGGGAACAAAAGAGTCAACCTGGACTCATCGTCGGCGACGAGAGCTCGGAAGAGGCGAGCGCGGAGGACTGAATCTGCTTCTGCGGTGTACCGATTGTTGAATTCTCGAGGCAGGTCTCTAAGGAAGACTCCCAGGCTCCTTTCCAGGTCTGAGATGGCCATGTTGCACCAGGGTGTTTTATGCGCCTAAAAAGAACATGCCGCGGTGGTGCGGGCGCGGGGCGGAGGTGAGGTGCTGTGTTTTGCTAGTGATGGACTCGCGGTCGGTTTGCCGGTTATGGTTGTACGGATGATGCGAGAGGCGGTAGTAGATGCTAGGCGGCTTTGGATTGGTAGGAGTCCAGTGAGTCGTTCCAACGGGTCGTGTTAATTGCTTGATGTCGCGAAGTGCAAGAGCATCGACTGCGGAAGTGACGTTTGTCGCGACCCGCAAAGCCTCGCAACTGCCTCGCCTGCAGCTGCCTTGACCACGCTTCGACATTGCCACAATGACAGGATTTCACAACAACAGTGACAGGAAAGTGATCTTCATCTTAAAGTCGGTTCTTTATGACTGCTCTTCCAGTCGGAAGTCATTGTGGCTATCATCTATACATGTCCTAGTGTTGGAACACGGGGGAGTGGAAGATCTAAACTGTAGTACGCAGAGCAGCGTTGGTCACGCTATCACGTATTCGATGGAGTCGGAAATAGTTGCTTCATCTGCCATCAAAGTGGTCTGTATGATTACATTGGTAAGTCATCAAGCACCAGCCATAGAACGCCGAGCCCGCTATGCATCCACGGCCAAGCCTGCCCCCATCTAGTTCAGGTCGGCTGTGACGTTGGAGAACTCGCCCTTCTCGAGCTTGGTCTTCCAGAAGATGGGGTTGGTGTCGTTGAAGCCGTGCTTGACCCAGCCCTCCTCCTTGACGTGATACAGGTTGATGTAACCACCTGAGTAAGCATCTCTGTGTGTGGCTGCCAGGATACTGCGGCGACCGAGCTCGAGAGCGTCCTCGTCTGACAAGTCGTAGCTGTACTCAGCGTCGAGCACACCGTAGGCAAATGTTTGACCGGAACCAACACAGAAGAGATTGCCAGCGAGGCGTGTGCCGTCACTGTCGATGTAGTAGAGAGCGGGTCCTTCTTGCGGTGTGACACCGGCGCACATGGTGCCCTGTCATGTAGAGTCAGTCTTTTTGTTCGGCGCGCTAGAAGCAGCGGCAACATACCATGCTCAGACCCATGCCCTTGTATTGGTAGACCAGGTTGGCCAGAATCTTGGAGGCGGCGGCGACTGAGATGCGACGCTTGTGACGGAGCTCGTGAAGACGACATTGCATACCGAGGTAGGCCAGCCAGTACTGGCAGTCGGCGGCGCCACCTGCCATAGTACCCAACAGCTGGGGGTTGATCTCAATGACCTTCTTGACCGTTTGACTGGCAATCCAGTTGCCTGCAGTTGCTCTTGAATCTGTCGCCACGATGATGCCGCCCTTGAATCTGAAGGCCAGAGTGGTTGTTCCGTGAGCGAGCTTGATGGGGCAGTTGGGGTTCGAGTGGTCGTCAGTCATTGCGCGGAGCCATGATTGCGCCTGTGGAATGATTAGTCGCGGTTTTCAAGGAGATGATAGACTCTAGCTCACTTGTGCGACAGGAGGAAGTGCAAACTTGAGATCGATGGCAGTGGGCATGGCATCGACTAGGTCCAGCTGATCCTGCTCTTGGTAGCCCTCGTCCTTGAAGGCTGGTCTGCTGTACTGCGCCACCAAGCTGTCCATCTTGTGCTGCGGTTCTGTGTGTCTGGTTTATTGAAGGTGAATGATGTCGCGCGATGAGTCGGAAATAGAGAGAGCTGTGCAGATGACGGCGCGCGAAATGCTTGGTGCAGGTGATGGTTGATGGAGTGTATAGCAGCTGTCGGAGAGAGCTCACCCACGCACGTCACGTCCTCCGAGCCGGCGGCGGCGGCGGCGTTTCCCAAGCTTGGACACCGAAGCCACCCTGTCTCTAGTTCTCACCAACCATAACAACTCGATCAAATCAATATTTTATAGGTCATTAACCTGTAACAATCATCTATAATAGTCTCTTTGGCAATGAACGCTAGTCCACCGACCGATCTCTCACCTATATCGACGCTGATACATTTATGTGCCCAAAAGTGTGAACACCACTTGCCACGACATCGCGGCATGGGAAAACACAGTCATTCCTGACTACTGTGGCGGTCAGAGATACACGGTGATCGAGACAAACAAGAGAAGGAAGAGGCACACAAGATATAGATGCTGTCATCTTGGATTCAACAGCGACTATCAAATGCTACCCGAAATTTCCATCGCGATCCATATCTCTTCGCGCTTTCATTACGTCCAGACCTTGTCCTTCTGTCATTCAATCCCTCTTCAAACCACTTATAGATCTGCTATACACCGAAGCCGATACAGCCATAGATGACCTCCCACTATGCACCAACCCGGAATCGGCAGTAGAATCCGTGTTCTCCTTCCATTCCAAATATCCCTCCTCACTAGTTTCCCAAGACCTCTGAACCTCGGGTCCCAACCTTCGGTCACCGCAACCAGAGTCCTCGCTGCGTGATCTCATACGTCCACGTTCGATTCTTTGGCGATCTAGAGTGTTACCAGTGGTGATGGCGGGCCACCAATCCCCACTGAGACTCCACTCGCGACGCTTGAAAGAATGGTCTGGTTGTTGTTGGGCGTGGTTGGTGATGATATATGATTTTGATCTCGGCGATGGCGGAGTTGACCTTCTTGATGATGTGCTCGATCGTGGTACGCTGCGCAACGTGTTTGTGGATGCAGTGCTGCTTGTTGGCGATTTTCTCCAGCTTATTTTGCCAAATGTGATAGGAGAGTGTTGTGTGTTTTGGTGATCGCCGGTGATGGAGCTTTCGGCGTAGACCGAATCCATTGAGCTTCTTGTGTCGACGGATCTGATGGATATCTTTCTCGTTGCTTGAGGTGACCTTTTGACAAGAGTGCGAACTCTGGCAGCCAGTTTTGATGTAGTGGCTGGAATCCAGCTGGTCTTTGAGATGATATCAGGGCGTTGAGTGACCTTCTTCTCTGAAGTAGTGCAGGGCATGGAGGCACGCAAACTTTCTGTGACTTTCTTTGCCGCATTTTGCGAGAGATCGCTAGCTCGAGAGCTGAGACTGCTTTTGCTGGATGGACTCTTTGTGCTTGTGGTGGTGTTCTGTTGTCTCAACTTTTGATGAACAACGTCGATGGTGGCAATCAACTCTGCTTTCAAGTTTGCAAGTTTTTCGCATGTTTGTTCGCCGAGTTTGCCAGTCAACTTCCGCCTGTACGCTCTTAACTGTTGGAAGAGGTGTTTTGTCGAAGGCGCAATGTTGCCAAAACTTCTGATGCGGAATTTGGTCTTCTGCGACGAAGTCTTGAGTGATTCTTGCTCGTGTTGGTGATGCTTGACCATTCGCTCTTTGTAGAGACAGATTGAGTCTCGGACTTGTTCCGAAGAGAGAGGTTGATTGTCTGGTAGAGGGAAGGGACCATCTTGATGGATTGCCAGATACTCTTCTTTGTCTTTTTGGATAGACCACTTCTCGAGATCGTTTTTGCATACACTTTCGAGGCAAATGGGATCCATGACTTGGAACCAAGGTTTTGAGGTAGATACCTCGTCTGTTCTGAGATCTGTGATGTGATCCATGGCTTTTGATGTGTTTGATGGTGTTTGGATTGTTGATATGGCTTTGGAGCAGTAAGTTGTAGCTGGGCTGTGAGAAAGCTGGGAAGAAGAAACTTGAGTTGAGCGACCGTCAGATATCCCAGACAGCACCGGAGAGCAGATTTTTCCAATTGTGCGCGCGTCGTAATGTGCTCATGAATGACTGGACCTGGCGGCACGGTATAAGCAGAATATGAAGAGTTTTTACGATGCGATCGCAAACTCCCTCAATCGTGTCGAATTGCACCAACACCAACCAGTCATACCGTACGAGTACATAGTACTCAGTTTCCCACTCTGCCATGCGACTGTCCGACTTCTTCTCGATATCGCCGAAGTTCTGTCAAGATGGATATCGACCATTTCGCCAATTTGCCTATGTGGTTGGTGCTTGAAATATGCCGAGCTCTTCCTTCGGGAAGCATAGTATGTCTGGCTCTGAGCAAGAAAGCTCTCTATGAATCTCAAAACTTGCGAACGATTTGGCAGCCGCGAATGAATACGGACCAACCAAATATCACTTATCCCAAAGTTTATGCAGCACGCAACCTCGGACCAGGACAGGCAGAACGAGAAATGCTCCACCTCCGGAGAGACATCCTCAACTATGAGTTCTTATGCACTCTTGAAATACTGCATCACGATCTGCCAGATCACTGGTTTTGTGATATATGCTTGAAGCTACACAAGCGAGTCGCTTACACAGGAGATGGCCGTGCATACGCTCCTTGTGACGAGAGTCAAAGGCAAGGATTGTTTTACCGCCTGCCGACATGAAACTATGAGTTCTCCTTTGAACACGCTCAGCAGGTTGTGAAGCAGCATACACTAGGAGGACCTCATGGAAGCCCTCTAGCCATTCTTCGGCGAAACCAAGAGTGGGAGGCCATTAGCGACTGGCCAACTCAGCAGGTCTCCAGCCTTGAGCAGCCATTTTTGGTCTGGTATAGACATCTGAAGGTCACACCTGAGATCTCCGAGAAGGACAAAGGCCCGGTGTTGAATTTGTGGACAGAGCAACGCCTCTATTTCCCAAGGGACTACATGGTCATTCTTCGAGCGAGGTCGCGCGAAGTTCACCTCTCAGTCTGCTGTCACCAGCGTGGTACTGGTGAGAACATTGCTGATTTGTTGGAAAGGCTGAGCATCTAATTCCAAACAAATTCGGGGTCGAGGCGTTGCGAAATGTGCTTGACTGAGTATGCCATCTTTATCCGGGAAGGTGGTTGCGACGGCTCCATCCCAATCGTCTTGTCAACGTGGGTCACGCTGGGATCCTGCAGGTACTCCTTTTCACCTGCATGGCTAGCTAGCTCATGGTTCTCCAGAAGACACAACTGATTCTTGGATCCGACCGCGCACAGGCCCCCAGACCCATTCGATGACGATTACAGCGCGTTCTAATCCGAGAGAACTATAATACGGGCTATCGAACTGAAAAGAGAAAGTGTTGTTCGACCTTCTGACACAGTTTGGCACTTGAATCCCTCATTGTTCGACGAGCCTGCACAAGTGTATAGTTGGACATGGACGGAGGTAATGATTGACACGACCCATAGCGAGCGGATCCACTCGGAGACAAGGTGGCAAATATGGTGGTATGAGAGGTTACAGATATGGTGGCGAGCATGGTGGTATGGAAAGTGACAGAGTGGAAGCACTGACCCAAAGTATCCGAGCACAAGTCGAGAACCAAGTAAATCCTGACAGTGGAGGATATGTCCTGCGAGTCCAGATCAAGCAGAATTGGCGAACAAGCATACGCAAGAACATAGAGAGAGGCTGGAACGTAGCCAAGGAGAGCTTTCTCCGAGCGGGGTGAGAGGGTAGTCCGTTCGGTCGTATATCATCGTGCAAATTCAGTATCATCTCGTCCTTCGAGTCAACCTTCGTCGTCTGATCTCTGCCATGCGACATCTTTGCTGCCGCTCGTATTCAGAGTCGTAGTCGGCTTCGTCTGAGTTGTCGACGGGAGAGTTGGGACGTGACAATCTGAAGTAAGGCATGTGTGTGTAGTGCTGCTGGGCTGAGGCAATCTCTCCTGACGAAGCCCTCTGTGTGATGTCCTTGGTGGCCACCATCTGTGCGATAGGTTCTTCAGCCCCTAGCACCTCAGCGATGATGCTTCGCGGTATGGCTTGTTCAAACTTCATCCTCCTTCTCTCTTGCGCCTCTCGAAGCTCTTGCAACATCTTGACACACTTGGCTTCCTCCTGATCGAGCAGATAGAGAATCCGGTTGTCATCGACGACTCCCCTATCCTCGGCCTGCTTTTTGTAGATCTCAGCTCTCTTGTAATGAATCTCTCTTTCATTGTGCAAGATCTCATTCAACATGTCTTCGAGCTCGGCCTCATCTTCTGACTGTTCAGGTGAAGGTCCTGCCTCAATCTTCATTTGGCGGTCGTGTTCTCTGTGAATGTAATCCTCCATCACAATCAACATGTCCCCGAATAGAAGGTTGACGGCTTTGCACGAAGGAGGCCTCGTCTCGTCGAGCCGGATGGCTAATTCGAAAGCCCGACGACCGATCAGACCAGCAAGTTCGGGGAAGCCATAGAACCCTCTACTCAGCCAGAACACAAATTGCTCATCCCAGAGTAAGAGGATGTCTCGATTTGTCTGAGCAATTTTGATGACATCCCGTTTGTATTGGTCGAATTCTTGCAGACCAATGGCTTTAAGTCTTGGAGGTTCGTTGTCGTGGAAGAATTCTCGGAGCCTTTGCTTGCGTGCAATCTCCTCTGGTTGTGCGTCGACGTAGCTTGCCACAATCGCTAAGAACTCAGAATACTTGATGCCTCCGCGGCTGAGACACTCTTTTTCGACTCTGGTGCGGAAGCTCTTTGGCACGCTGCCATTGGAACAGAGCCATGCTATGAATTGATTCATTGTGAGCGAGTTGTATTCCAGTGGGCGTAGGCAGTAGTTGTACAGGATGTCGTAGACCTCCAGCTCCCATTGTCCGACTTCGATGGGTTTGAATGATCTCAGTACTGGAGGACGCCACTTCCATTCATGAGCGAAGATGGTAAAAGCATCTTCCGAATCTTCTGTGTACCGCCTGGATAGAGCCTCAAAGTCGTCGATAGTCAGATTGATCCCCACGACGGCATTCAATGGAAACCCTTCGCGCACTCCGTCGGGTTGAGTATCATCAGAAGCCCAGTCCATTAGTAGCTGTGCAACTCCTACCGCCCGGAGATCTCGATTAGACATCAATCGATGGCCATAGACGGACAGGTGTTTGTCTTTGAATTCGGCATTCACATCTGGATTGAACACGGTCCCTTGTGGCGGATCTGGATAAGATGTCCTTCGCGCGGCTGCCGCCGCCGAGTTGGACTTTGCATTGAATTTCGACCTTGGAAGTTTTGCTCGCTTCCCCATGTTGGCGTATTGAGTGTTTCGAAAGCAGTTGAGAAATTGAACAGCTGCAGATTGGAGGCGGGTGCGACCTAGTATGTCCGGCGACGGCCTGGACAATGTTGCTCGAGAATATGTATACTAATGCTGTGTTTGATTAGGTTCACGCCAGACGGTGACGTTCCCAGAATCATCTCATGGTCATGACAAACGGGAGCAAAGTAGAGGTTCTGCCGTATAGGTAGGTCACTCGGCAGATGTTGCTCCGTCATGGAAAATTCGCGTTGACCAGCCAACATCAGACCGCGGCTTCCATATTAAATCTCAGAAACGACAGCCTCGAGAGTACCACCGATTACTTCGGTCGTGCGTACGAAATTCTTACTTTAATGTTGAGATCAGCTTGCAGTCAGTAATGAGAAATTTGATGACTTGGCCGGAACAACAGCATCTGGATTGCGCTTCACATCCGAGGGTGTCTTCAACGCGAACGCGTCAAGGCTTGGGCTTCCATACTGGCGTTCATCATTCTACCCATCCATCTGTGAACAAACACTCATGCATCACCATGAACCCAGACACCTGTCTCGAACGCGAACCATTGGTATCACAACGTTGTCTTTGCAGCGTTGGAACACACGCGCTTTGTGGCCGAACATGCTGGGAACCAACACGCTTTCTGCCTGTTGCTGCCTTGATTTTCAAGCCGATTTCCCCAAACTAGGTAAGCACAAGGCAGAACTTCGTCTCAGCCTCCGTCAACTCCCCCAAGACGCCATGAATCTCAGGCTGCAACCTCGCCTCCCGAGTCGCAGACAAGGCGGTGTTTTAAACATATATTAGAAGGCCAGATAAGTCGAGCTGTAAGTTTTGTCTACCAGCAACACGAATTACCCATCTTCCAGCAAGAATACACTATCCTTCAACACCTATCCACGACTCCAACACCATCAAAGTATGCCGTTCTGTCAAGCTACATTGGCAGGTCTCAGTCCGTCAGAGAAGGAGCAAGTCATGAACATGTACACGTCTACCCAGTGTCCAACCACAGCCCAAAATTTCGCTTGGTCGCTGCTCGGCCACAAGAGAAAGCACAATGACTCCGAAGACAATCATTCTACCATCGAGGAATCAACCACCGAACTCGGACCAGCGTTGCTTACCACAAGACTCCGAAAGCGCGCCCGAGTCTCTTACCTGGAAGTCGCCGAGTCCGACATCGAAAGCGACGCAGACTCAGGCTACAATTCTGATTCCTCTGCCGAATGGGGCTCTCACTCTAAAAGACAACCCAAGGCCAACCGACTGCGCAAAAAAGACCCAGTCAAGCCCTTCCCTTTCCTGTCTCTACCCAGCGAACTACGCAATAAAATCTACTCTCTGGCACTCGAGGACCCTGATGGCATGGTAATGGGCGAAGGCTGGCGAGCCCATCGCCGCGTTCCCAAACGCTGCCAACACAATAGATATGGCGCAGATCGCTACGCAGGACTCAACAACCTCTGTCATTCAATGTTAGCACACTCTGATGTGTACAAGCCATTAACTCTGGTGCCATCTCTGCTGGCCACGAACAAGCAAATCTATGCCGAAGCTGCAGCGATGCTCTACTCCCAACCTCTGCATTTCACCTGCACGACAGCCCTCCACAGTTTTCTCGCACCTTTGAGCAACACCACCGCATCTCTGATCACCAGCATAATCCTCCACTCCTACGAGACCTGGGGCCGCGGCGTCCGCAAAGCAATGAATGTGTCCGCATTGACTCTCCTCCCCAAATGCGTCAACCTCACACTCCTACGCATCGAAGGTTTCGGTCACCACCATTACAACAGAGGAAGCTGGAACACTCCTACCGTGCAGCAGAGAGGTGAGCATGAAGGAAAAGGCATAGCACAGCAAATGTATCGTGACGCCGCCTTCTGGTTCGATATCATCGGTGCCGAAAAGGCATTGCAAGTGTTGGAAATTGCAGGTCTGCAGAGAAAGACATGCAGTGATGATGCCAAGGAGACGTTGAGGATTGCAAACGAGGTGTTTGCGCAGGAGTTGACTTTGTTGGTGAAGAGGGCAGGTAGGAGTGTGAAGAAGGGAAGGAAGACTACGACTGTTCGTACCAGCGTCTGAGAATGTGCAGATATACTGTGTTCTTCACGCAACAAAGATTGAACGGTATTTGCATATACGATTCATCCTACAATATGATCTGAAACTTTGCCCTTCGCATGTCGCTGCATGAACACGTAGATGATCAGAAAACAACATGATCGAAAAGATCACACATCTAGCAGACAAGACGGCGAGAACAGTGATCATGGATGGAAGAAAACTCTCTCGATTGCATATCTCACACAAAACGATAAGACAGAGGTGTATCATTGAGAACACAAGATCAACTCCTGAACATCGCGGTTCGAACATTGCCTTTTGGCTTTCCTAGATCCGGTGATCGCCCTCAATAACGTCCAGAAAGCATCCATGAATCATAAAAACGCCATTTGCCTGTAGTGCGACCGATCGCACTTGCCCGAAAACTCCAAATGCCATGATGCATTGTCAAAGATATAAAAAGTGAACAGAATGTGACGCCAGCCCAAATCGAAACGAAGAGAAGAAAAGAAGGAGATACGAAATTGGGCTCTTTGACTGGCGAGTCTGAAGGGGGACTTTGGACTGCCGAATGTCATGAAGTATAGAGCCGCGAGCCTTTCATGCTGATGATGAGGGACTTCGCTATGCAGATGCGCTGTTGACTTGTCGCCGCGGATGCAGAGTTGAGAAGCACGCTGGATGCTGGTATAGCGTTGGGTGACAGATGCTATGCAGTAAGAAAAGAGCACGCTATGGTTGATGAAAAGAATCGAGTGGAAACCTGGTATCAGATGCTCCTCGTTCATGAAGCGCGGGTGCGAGGAACGTTGGCGCCCACGCTGCCGACACGACCACTTGTTTTGCGGACGCTGGTCTTGCCTTCGGTGCTGCGACGTGATGGTGAGCTACGCTTGCCAATGCTGATGTCGCCCTTGCCAGATCTAGTCGAAGGGGTCTTGGGCTTGCGAGGGCTTGCCGAGTCTTCGTGAATCTCTGCGAGACGATTCTCTACGTCGCTCTCGTCCACACCCCACTTTGTTGTCGTGGTGGTCGTCGTGGTGCAGCTAACCGCCCGACGCTTGCCGCTGCGGCTGATGGGAGATTGTGATGCTTTTCGTGATGAGGTCAATGCACGCAGTGCCTGGTCTTCCTCGCTTTCGCTCTCACCCATGCTTGTGCGCTGCATGCTGACAATCTCGGTATCTGGTCTGATCTCAAAGGGCTCGTTCTCCGTTCTCGTGACCTTGCGTCCGGTGACATGGCCATAAACCTTGCTAGTTTTACGAGGTTGACCGGGTGTGGGTGCTGGCAGATTCTCGTCGTTGACAGCGTACTTGTTGGTGCTGCTGGCGAAAGATGCAGGCTCTTGCTCGTTGATGTGGCTGATTTCACCAAGAGCCGCGCGTTTGGTGCTGCCATTGGGAGGAGTAAAGGTCTGTCCATTGCTGGCAAGGCGTCTGCTGTTTCCAGAAGTAGCCTTGGTGGGAGTTGCGGGGACCATGGAAGCAGCGATCTTCTCTCTCATGGTGTCCTCGAACCACCACTCTCGGAAAGTGCCCTGGTTGAGATGAAGCCAGTGTTGCTGAGGGCCAACAACCATTCCGGGGCGCATGAAGCGCATGTATGCGATAATCTCGTTGGCAGTGAAGCCATGCTTGTAGATCAGATATGCGCCAATGAGGCAGCCGGTTCTTCCAAGACCAGCCTTGCAATGGACAGCGATTCCCTTGCGCTTCACTGTAATCATCTCGTGTGCGAGGTTGACAAACTTGCGAACCAAACTCAAAGGAGGGCAGGTGCCGTCGTCAAAGATCATGTCCAGGTGCTTGATGCCCAGAGCTTGGAAGTACGAGGGTGAGTACAGCTCCGAGTTGAGACGCACGACGAGACCAATGCCGCGCTCGACGAAGTGTGAGAGAACGTTCTTGAAAGGTTGGGGCACGGAGGTCGAACGGCTAAGAGCAGAAAGGGAGCGAGGAAGAGTGGCCCATTCGGGGTCAGTGGGAGCGATGACGCGAGTGGGTTGATGTTGAGGAGATGCAAAGGCCAAGAAGGAAGGAGAAATCCAGTTGAAGTCACCCATGTCGACTCTTTCGTACTTCTCGTATCTGCATACATGTCAGTTGTCTATTCCCAACTTCGAGTGCTTTTGCGAAACTCACTCTTCGAGGCTGAAGTCCTTGAGGCCACAGAGACCTTCCTCCTTTGCCTTCCACACACCATAGACGACATCTTGGACGGTCAAACCATAATCAGCTTGACTGTAGCCGGCATCACGGAAAGGCATGCATGGAGGGTCCATCTGGGCGATGGGGGCCAGGGCAAGATGTGGCGGCCAGTTCTGGATCAAGATCATGTAGCAAGCAAGAATGCACGCAGCATTTGCGCGACCTGGACGAGCAGTCAGTAACAAAAGTCACCAAGAGTCAAGTCGATGTATGCGTACTCCTTGAGTCGGCGTTGCACCAGAAGACAACCGGTCTTCCCTCGTTCTCGGGATCTCCAAGCACCTCATGCAGCATAACAGCGAAGCGGTAGAGATGACCAATGTGCAGCGGGCCAAAGTCTGCGTGGAATGCATTGTAAAGCAGGTGCTTGTCGACTGAGAAGTATACGGGAGGCAGCGAAGGGGTGGCTGCGGTTGTGGTTGATTGGGATCTGGCGGAGCGCTTGGACGGCGACTTGCTGGACGACTTATTCGTGTAAGGAAATGGCGTTTGAGCGTTGGGTTTGTGGGTGTATGAAGCCAAGTAGAGGCGGTCTGCTGCTGTTAGACTAAAGTTGGAGCTTGGTATGGCGGATGCGACACGGACCTTGGATGTACTCGATGACCTGACCATAGCTTGTGGCGGCCGAAGGGCTGTCGGATCGAGGCATTGCGGAAAGGGGTTATGAATATGAAATGCTCTATAGTCGAAGGCGAGGGCCAAGGGAGTGCGACAACGAGACAGCGGATGCGCCTCGGGTTGGGCGGCGAGGGTGGTATGGAGCGGCGGGGTGAAGAAGAAGAAGAAGTTGCTACTGTGGCGCAGACAGCATCAAGAAAAGAATAGCTGGAGTTGATGGGTGTTGTGGTCGAGTAAAGATGTGTTGCGAATAGAACCGGGACCAACACCTTTGAAGAAGAAGCTCTCGACTGTGAAATGTTGTTGTTTATCCGCATGTCAACAACTGCGCTGTGCCAAGCCACCTCCGAGCTTTGGCCCCTTCCCATTCGAGACGCTCCCAACCTACGCAACCCTCGCCTTCTACCTTTCCCATCGCTGGCTCGAGACATGTATCCAAACGCTACTCACCTACATTGCCACACTTGGTCGAGCTTGTGTCTCGAGTCGTGCACCCTCATAGTATCGCGTGCTGACAGCAACGCTGCTCTCGAGTCCCGTTCCAGCTTGTCGTGCATCCACCGGGGGTGTGGCTAGCGCACGGGCTCCGTCACCGTTCGTCGTTCGACTCTGGTTGTCGGGTGCAACCCTCGAGCCTGGCGACCATTCGTGCTTTTGCTGCTACATACCAACAACAATCTCCGTGTACGTCACCATCGACCTCCTGAATGCTCTCCAGTCATGATTCGCGACGGTAAACAACGAGGCTGGCTGTCTCTGCCTGTCGACTCTCTGCCTGTATGGGCTGCCTTCAATTCTGTTTCGTTTGACGGCGTCGATATCGGTCCATTGCCAGGCAAAGAAGATCGTGGCTCGACTGTCATTGCAAATCGCTCTCTCAAAGGCCGGCATGAATCACCTCTTATAACGATACCCAGAGATTTGATCCTCTCACTCGAGAGAATCCATGAGCATGCAAAATTTGATTCTGACTTTCGTGCTGTCCTCGAAGGTCTCGATGATTTTGGTAGGGTAGGTGCTTCTTTGATCGTTTCTTCTTCCATCTCATTATGCGTCCTTCTCCCTCTAGAGTGCATGCTCTTCCTACGTCACTTTCAACAATGATTTTCTCCTGTCCCGCCTAGTAGGATACAATATCAGGATCATCTCATCACGATCTTTCCTTACACACTGCATCCCTTCTTTCCAACAACAGCTGACCTTGTGTCAGACTGCTAGAGGCGCCATCCTGGCTTTCCTGCTTATGCAATCCTTCACTGCATGCCCTTCTGTCGTGAAAAAGAAGGGTGTATCGGGTCCTTTTACCGAGTATGTCAAGTACCTGCCTATGGAACTGCTTCCCACCTTCTGGTCATCTGCCGAGTGCGAACTGTTGACGGGTACCACACTTGCTCCTGCACTCACCGCAAAGTTGAACTCGCTCCACCGCGAATTCGACCAAATTCAAGATGCGACATCAAACATCCCGTGGTGTGCCGAACAGTGGTGGGACGAAGTCGATGGAATCATTGAATTCGATGATTGGCTGCAAGTTGATGCCTTCTACCGTTCGAGAGCTCTCGAGTATCCTGGAGTAGGTGACTGCATGGTCCCTTGTATCGACATGGCCAACCACACTTCCGGTACCGGCACTGCTGCTATCTATGAAGTGGACGATCAAGGCAACGCGGTGTTGCTATTACGCGATGACAAAGACATTGAGGAAAACGGCGAGATAACCATCACCTATGGAGATAACAAGGGCGCTTGCGAGATGCTTTTCTCGTATGGCTTCATCGAGGAGGACATGCAATCTGCTCGTGAGCTATTTCTTGACCTATCGATCCCAGGAGACGACCCACTGGGAAGAGCTAAGGCGGCAGTTGCAAACTGTGCTCCAGGCCTCAAGATCGTCGACGCTGTGAAAGGCGTGATTTGGGATGGTGCCTACATCTGGCTCATCTGCGTCAACGAGGAGGATGGACTGTCGTTTCAAATCCAGCAGACCGTTGAAGGTACTCGCGAGCTGATCGCCACATGGCAAGATGAACCGGTGCACGGATTTGAAGGGTTCCGGTCTATCCTGGAGAAGGACCCGTTGTGGGATGTCTACCATCTCCGCGCTGTTAGCATATTACAGGAACGAGTAGCGAGTCAATTACGCGACCTCTACGGGTCAGATGACCGAGTTGATGCCGCGAAACACGGCGATGGCACCGACATCAGGGACAGACCTTGGCATCTAGCCAAACGACTCAGATTGCTGGAGAGTGAGCTATTGGAAAAAGCTTACAGCCATTACGAAGATCAGGTGAGTCGAAAACACTGAGTCCTTTCGAAGATCTGCACATCAGTCTGGTCGGCTTTCGGCAGCACCACGGAGAACATTGATCTTGCTCCACACGCTGACTGCTTTGCTTTGCAGAAACTTCAACTCATGCAAAGTGAGACTGTGTTGAGATATCTATCGGGGCCAAACGTTGAGCAAGAGGAAGACTTTTCTTGAGTCCAACTGACCAGGTACCGAGAAGATACGGCGATATGTATATACGACCCATGGTGGTGAGATTAATGCTATGTGATCGATGAACACGCACTTACCACGCGACCCCACGCCTGGGTACTCCTCTATCTCCACGAGGCAGCGTCCTTAAATTGGGGAAGTCCATGACCCCTTTTGCGTTGCACGGTCGCCCAGACTTTGGGATGGCTCATGACAGCTTCCCGAGCGGTACGAGCCTCGGACTGCTCGACCGTCGTAAGGTAAGTCATCTACGCCCGTAATCCATAAAAGCAGCCCGCCGTCCATCAAGGGATCTACATCAACAGTCATCGCAAGCTTCGAGAAATGTGAGAGATGATGCGAATTGACGCAAACCCGCGCAGCAAGAAAATAGCGCTACGGTGTACGAGACGATGAAATGGCTTAGGTTTGGTAGCAATGACTCGAGTCTTGGAAGCCTGACTGCCGAGTCCATGCGACCTCCACACTTTCGGTCACATCGTGGTAGTCATTCTCTGCACTTGCCACAATCAAGCTCATGTCCGATTGGTATACATGCCCGAGTACTCGGCTCTGGGGACTTTGCTTGTAGATCGTATCTCACCGAATTTGACAAATCTGGTCTTACAACGTACGTTGAGCTTATATACAGATGATTAAAAATCGACTCGGAGAAGCCCTTCCCCGGTTTCTTCGATGACCCAAAGCCTGGGTCTCGACCGTTTCGAAATTCTGACAATACGCGTTTTCGTCAGCCCGCTCGTGCCGGCTTCGCAAGTCAGCAACCCAGCAACATTTTCACGACCCCTGACCAGTGACCACTGATAAGGACTCACGAGTAGTCACAGCCATCTTGATAACCTGCATGGACGAAGCAAACATGGTCGGGGGTTCACGGAGTGACTACGAAGCAGCGCCGCATCAAACTCGGCGCTATCATTAACGTTATGCTTTATGATCGTCCAACGCTCACAGCTCTCCCCCGCAAAGACCAAGAGAACTGGTCATGTCAGGGTTGTCAATCATGCTTGGTAGACCAATCACAGAGCCTCTGAACGAACCGCCGACACTGGTCCGAGGCTTTTGTCTACCTTTTGGGCATAGTACGGTCTCTCCAAGAGGCTTGAGTGGGATCTGGCGTCTGGGGGATGCCGCTGTTGTGTGTGGCTCCCCAGACTCGGATTGCGTTTCGAGTCCCGCACAGTCCGTACTGGTTCGATTTGAGCATCCGTCCTTGTTTCTTCGTCACGACAAGACCTCCACACTTCGATCTGTACGTACTTAGGTAACCATAAATCACGTCTCTTTGCACAACCTACTTCTTGGACCCGATCCCCTTCGCATGCACCAGTCCTCCGGTATCCCCAACTTGAACACCGCTTATCTCGTGCCCACCTACAACCGATCGCCCCAACCATTATTCAACCTACACCCACACAAGACCGGAATAACCACACACCCCACCAACACATACCGGCACAATGCCAGGAATCTTGCCTATGAAGGTCATCAAGGTTGGGTCAAGCGCCCAATCTCGCATCGCACAAGCCTGCGATAGGTACGTCTATCGAAGCCGCTCTTTTACGCGTGTACTTATGCGACTGGTAGATGTCGAAGCAAGAAAATCAGATGCGATGGAATCCGACCAAGTTGTTCGCAATGCACCAGCGTTGGCTTCGAGTGCAAGACCAGCGACAAGCTCAGCCGGCGCGCCTTCCCCAGAGGATACACAGAGTCGCTAGAAGAAAGAGTTCGGAGTCTAGAAGCCGAGGTCAGAGAGTTGAAGGAATTGCTTGATGAGAAGGACGAGAAGATTGATATGCTGTCAAAACTGCACTCGTCGTCTGCACAATCGGCCTTTCAAAACTCGCCACGGCGGCCATCAGTCTCCCCAGCAGCCCCTTCACCACACACAAATAGCGACGACGTTTTTCACGTTCAACAGACACTCCAGCTTGATGGAAACGGCTCAAATGCCCACTTCGCAGGCACATCAAGTGGAAAGACCTTCTACGGTACGCCAGCCTGTCAATCGAAATCAATCTCGTCGCTGACCTTAGACAGATGCCTTCTCAAGACGAGTACAGGAACTCGGCCGCGCAGCACCAGCTATCAACGTGCAGAACCTGTTACCCGGAAGCACACACATCGCACATCGCGATCCCCTCTCAGACCCCATTGTCTGGAGAGCACCTGCCAGACTCGAATCAGATCAATTGATTGGCATCTTCTTCCAAGAGTGGGCACCGCTCTTCCCCATTCTCCATCGTCCTACCTTCCTAGAGCTCTATCAGTCTTACATGTCTGCTCCTGAGAATGTCACAGATAACTGTAGCCACGCTCAACTGAACCTTGTTTTCGGAATCGCTGCCTTGTCCAGTGGTGTAAGTGCTGTGGCCGATTGACATCTAAACACGACTGACATTGTCTAGTCACGCGACACATCCGAGCTGCAATCATTCGAGAGACAATGGCAAGCAGCTATCGACACGATACTCTCCGATCACAGCATGCCTACTTTGCAGTGCTTGGTCTTGGCACAGCTATATTGCATGCAACGTGGCGATTATGACAGGCTTCTAACATACAAGGCACTTGCTGTCACACTTTCTTCTCGACTGGGCCTGCACCAATCGCAGAAGCGTTTCGCTCTTGGTGCCTCCACTAGCGAGATGAGAAAGAAGGTCTTCTGGTCGTTGTACACAATCGATTGGTAGGTTTCCGAGATTGGCGATCTTATCAGAAACAAACACTGATGCATACCAGCTTCTCTGCTGTCACTCTTGGTCTACCCAAACAACTCAAAGACGAGGATGTCCACTGCGAGGAGCCTCGTGACGCCGATGAGGAGTACGTTGACGAGAACGGCTTCAAGGCGCCTTGCCCTGGCGAGTACACTAGAGTGTCTAGTGCACTCGCACTCTTCCGCGCTGCTCGAATCCTCTCTCGTGTTCTGGAAGAAATCTATCCCGCACGTTCTTCGTACGATCTCTCTTTGCAACAGCTCTCGGCCTTGTCGGAAGAACTCGACGCGTGGCACAACGCCCTCGCACCACACTTGCGCCTTCCATTTGCAAACGACAAGCCGACCACCGGAACCGTCAGCAGCCGATCTCCTTTACTGGTATGTCACTCGGGCGTCACGTCAAAAATATTGGCTAATTTTCACAGTCGTTGACCTACCACTTTATTCGTGCTCTTATCCATCGCCCAGCTGTATGCGCCTCGCTTGGTCCAAAGGCTTCTTCGTCATTACTTGCAGTCGCTGGATCGTCCAAGCACATCATTCAGATCGTCGAATTGCTGAGCGAGAGAGCGCTGAGTTTCTCATTCTGCATCAACAAGGATGAACTCGTCGTCTTGTCTGGACTGGGTCTCCTCTTCCAAAGCCTGGATCTCGGAGAAAACAGCAAGCTCGTCAAGGATAACCAAAAAATGACATCCACTGTCATTCAGATTCTCACCAAGACCAAGGCCCCATCAGCAGCAGAGTTCCAAAAGCTCACCCCTTCGATCCCAATCGTTCCAACACAGCCGACAGCCAAACATCAACATCCGACCTTGTCACGCCACAATTCTGATGGCGCTGTTCATCCAGTCAGCTTAGCCCACCATGGAAGCGCCTCGCCAACAGAAAAGAACCGCTTCAAGGCAGCCGCTCAAAGGCTGATGGCCAAGAATCCTTTCGATCGCAATGACCAGAGACGAGCCACCTTCCCGAACATCTCCTTGCACCACGCTGCAATGCAGACGCAGAGTCAGCCAAACATACCCCACGTCGCGACCTCCGAACCCGCATACAGCCCCGCGAATCCTTCTCCCCCCGCACCGCTGCCCGCTTCCGCCCGACCATCTGCGGCGCCACAAACCCTAAGACCTGTACGATCCTTCCCTCAGCAACAACAGCTCAATCTGGATTACCTGTCTTTCAGCAACGTCCCTACCCGTACACACTCACCTGACGCTCACTTGTCTATCAAGCAGGAGCCTTCGGATTGGGAACGCCTGCTCGGCTCGCTGGACAACGGTCAAACTAACATCTTCGACAACATATATGGCGGTCCTCCTGTCGACTTCTTGGACACACACCATCACCAGCATCACCATCACCATCAACAGAATGTAAAGCATATGGTGCCTCCCATGGCGTCGAGCTTACCCAATCCAGCCACCCAATGGAATTGGAGCGTTACAAACTCCGACATCAACGCCATGAACTGCAGCATGGCTGGCAGTGTCGCACATCCCGAAAGCGTGTTTAGTATTTCCACCGATGATGATGGTGCTGCAGGTGCCAACGACGAGATCTTTGGCAATGACTGGGGCAGCACGAGCAGCACTAACGGTAGCGAGGCTTATGCTGGCATCGTGATGCCGCAATTGACTCCTGATGAGCACAGTCTGTTGAGCAGCATGTGGGGAGAAAACACTGCTGTTCTCCAGGCCTCGTGAGGAAGGAACGATGTAATGACTCTTGCTATGTGGTTTGTTTCAGGAGTTTGTTATTGTTGTTAATACCCCCCAAACCACTATCTTTGTCTGATCATTTTTGTTTATATCTGTCCACATTGGTGTTTTCAGAGCTATATCAGTTGGCGCATATCTATTCAACCTCCTTCTAATCACTTGTCCCCTCGACACCTGTGAAATATCCTTTGAGAAACTCATCGTTCAGGTCATCGCTCAAGTCTTGCATGAGCCATGGCCCATGGTCTGCAGTCTACTCCTTACTCAGAGCTTGCCCCTTACTTGTCATCCGCTCCTTCCCCCCACCACTCTTCTCAAAACAATCTAAGTTATGCAGCTCTGGACTCTCGGAAGAGAATGACTCGGGATCCTCAAAAGGTCTCGTGTCTAGCATCAACTGCAGCAAAAAGATACATTATTGTGATGCATGTCAGGTACGCATGTGATTTGATCCTCTGTCCTCTTTCGGGGCCTTGGTCCGGTGGTCCGGTGGTCCGGCCGAGAGATTTATCATTGAGCGTTTATTACACTTTCTTTTCCTTGCCGCGCCCACTTTAAACTTTTTCGATGGCTAGGTGCCGTGGGAAGTTTTGCTTTAAGGGTAGATGGGGTAGAGGTTGATTGGTGCGGAGTTGGGTACGAGGCTTTTTTTGCTCACTTTTTGAGTTTTCGTTCAGTTGGCGAGGTGGAAGTGTGAAGTTGTGATGCAGAGTCGAGAGTGTGTATAGGAATAGAAATGTCTGATGATGGGATATGATGGGGATAGGAGGACGTGGTTGTTCGGTTTGACGTTTCAGATGGGGGGGGAAAACATCACGAACCGTGCAGGTCATCGGTATCATACGCTATACAGACGTATGGGCTCTACATTCGTGCCGACAGGATTTAACTATCTAAGTTTGCACAAGCTCCAGCAAGGGCTATAAGAAGGCAACAGAGAATGCTTGACAGAGATCTCGTATAGCCATAGAATGCGTTAGACTTGGAAAATCGCGTTCCTAGCTAAGGACTGTCTTCTTAGAGCGGCATTGTAATGACGTCTGCTGCCTGATGGATAGATTGAATAGATGGGTTATAAGTCAGGCATGGATCCATCAAAACTTGTTGTTTCGGGAGAAAATCGTGCCTAGTTAACACCTGTTGGATGGGGTTCGTTGATACTGGCTCCATCTGATTCAGTCGACACGGCATACCCATTGTTGACATCGGAATCGTCGAGGAATGGAGCCATGCCTCCATCTATCTTTCTCTTGTCGGAATGGATCAGACCAAAAGCGGCGAGTCCACCGACTAAGAGAAAGACAAGGCCGAACGTGATGCCTATGCCACACTGCGTCTTGTTGACGTCCCTGTCGTTCGCACTCAGCGGACAGACCCCTGCAGCAAGTACCCAGAAAGCTGCCGATGCAACACCAGTAGCCAAGACAAAGACAGGGCTGTGAAAGGCTATTTCATCGTTGGAAAGCGATGATATTGGTCTTTCAGAAGAGGAGAGAGATGCAGAGGGCTTCTTGTTGAGCTTATCGGGAATCATTGGACGTTTCCCAGAGGTTTCGAGGACAGTGGAGGATTGCATGGTGCTGCGTTCGATCTCCTGGTCAGATCCGGGCCTGGAGACTTGTGAGCAAAGTGGCTAAGAGCGACACTTATTGACACGTAACTTGAGACGTCCCACAAGAGAAAGCTCTGCCACCTGAAGTATCAGTTATTCAGTCGGTCAGATTAATGACTTTACGTCTGGGAGGGTAGATGTAAGGACTTTGCGAATTGAGTTAGTTGTGAGGGAATCATCGGCGGAAAAAACATCACTGCACGTCCGGAAACTCGGAGGATTTTATGGCACATAAGATCTTACAATGTAGGTTGCAACTGTGTCTTGCAGTTCATACGTATTGGTCACCCGGAAGTAGGAGGTTGAAAGTCATCGCTCAAGTGCTTGGTGCCGGGAGCCGAGACCTTATCCCCGCGCGGGTTTATCTCTTCGATCAGCAACTCTTCTTAAATGTTTCGTATACAGATGCAAGGCGCAAGATATAAGACAAGTAGCCAGGTCGCCTGATTTACCTACATCGTCTTTGCTCATTCCGACATCCGTTCGGTCCTGATCACACACGAGGAGGTTCGAAGATCAAAATCCGATATTTGTGATTGTGCTTGGTCTTTGATCACTCAAACAAGCAGTGATAGACGTATACATGAAAGTATGATCCTGTGTATCTGTCTCGAGGTGCTTTGACTAGATTTGAAGGTCCTTGTGATCGTAAGTATCGATTGTGTTTGAAGAAAATGTTGCAAGGGGGACAACCCTGGTCTCTGGTCCAGAAGACTCGATGGATCAAGCCTCTTGCCCAAAACTCCTGGACCAATTTGCCTCGATCAAAGGATCGCAGAAATTGAATGTAACGAACCAGATATATCGGCGAACCATTTCATCTTTACATCCCCTCATTCATATTCCCATGCTCTTGCCACGTCCTTTCTTCCTTCTTTTATCACCTATCTCTCACTCTTTGTGATGCTCAACAGGCAAATTCATACCCACCCTCCTCGCCGACAATCTGACCCTCTCCTCATCACTCATGTCCATACCAGGGTTATATCTTTCCACCAGAGTGACATACGTCCTTTGCGCCTTCAAATAGGCCGCAAGCTGTTCAGCCTCTTGCACTTGTTGCAGTGCTGTCTTCGTGGCTCCTGCAGCATCCAAACCTGAGAAGTCGGTAATGGTAGAAGATGTGGATGTAGAGTCGGCAAGGTTGGCGGTGGTGAGGGAAGACGTAGGTGTTGTGGCGGGGGTAGAGGCGAAGGTGGTGCGCAGGTGGGTGGCTAAAGGCGAGGGTGTGCGAGAGGTGCGCGGGGGAAGTTCGCGGAGGAGGGAGCGGTAGAGGCTGCGCAGGGTTGTGGGTGTGGGTGTTGACATTGTGATATTGGTCGATCGAAAGGTTGTGGACGTGGTGTGCGCTTTTTATTGTTGGTGGTTGAGTCAAGTCGTGGCGAGGTTGATGTTGACGGATGAGTGAATTCAATTGAGACGTCGAGAGTCGATTGCGCTGATTGATCTGAGATGAGAGATGAAAATGTGCTTGTGGATGCGATGGTTGATGGAGCGTGAGAGTGCTCGAATGACCTGCGGCGAAAGATGGATGCTTCGGCAGTGCTTAGACCACCTCCTCCGTGCCTACACCCATTCCGACCCTCTGTTTCTGTCACGGCACTATCTTCCTCTGGTTTCAGCAGTGAACACAAAAACAACGGCTTGTCATGTTTCATTTCTGTCAATATCCACTGCAATCATGGCTAAGAGTTCCAAACTTATAGGCTGCAAAGCTTCATTCTTTGTTCTACGAACCCTCTGGTATCACTCGACCATCCCCGTCCCTCTACGACTTGTTGCCGAACAACGCCTCGTAGGTATCGTACGTGTACTTCAGGTCTAAATGCCAGTAATTCGGAGGGTCAACTTTCGTGATCGACCAGGCTTCATCAAGGGCCTTGACCACTTCCTCAGGCAAAGGTCCCTTTTCGACATCCTTGAGGTTGCCCTCGAGCTGTTCCTGTTTACTAACGCCGATGATGATACCATCATTGCCACCATCCTTGATGTTCAATCCACTGTGATGCACCATCCAGCGCAGTGCCGTCTCGATCAAGGTCAAATTGTGCTTTTCAACGACTGGCTCGATGACACGCAGGGCATCGAAGGTGGCGTCTCTAAAGTATCGCTTGCGGTACATACCACCCATCTTACCAACCGAGTCGCTGTAACGGCCTTCGGTAGGCACCTCGCTGGTCTTGTACTTGCCAGAGAAGATACCTCCAGCAACAGGGTTGTAGACGACAATGTCCAGACCGTAGCGACGGCAGACGGGGATCAACTCTTGCTCGATGCTGCGAGTAATGGCATTGTACATTCCTTGGTAGATGGTAGGTCGGACCCAGTTGTTGTACTTGCAGTGCATGACAATCTCGGCCACCTCGAATGCAGTGTAATTGGACAGACCCAGCTGGACAAACTTGCCCTGCTTATGGGCTCTGTTAACAGCCTCGAGAGTCTCGGTGAAGGGGACAGAGCGGTCTGGTGCGTGCAGATAGAAGATGTCGACGCAATCAGTTCCTAGCTCGGCCAAACTCTTGTCGAGCGAGGCGAGGATGCTGTCTGCCTTGTGCATACCAGGCTCGTGAGGGTAGCACTTGGTGGCCAGGGTCAGACCACGGTCCTTCCAGTGGGCATCCTTGGTCCATGCTTCCTGCTTTCCGCCAACGTAAGTGCGAGCAGTATCGATTTCATTGTAGCCCTGGGATTGTAAATAGTCCAAGGCTTTGTTGTAGTCGGCAAGATCGGTTTGACGAGCACCTGAATCGGTATCGGGACCCTGATAACGTTAGCAAATCAGGAAGATAGATGTATTGCAAGCTTACAAAGGTCATGGTCCCGAGGATGACTCGCGGCTTGCCGGTTCCTGTGAGCAACATTCTGGATGGGTGTTGTAGGAAACGATGTGTACTTTTGGATGCGATGTTTCTCAAGACAGGTCTGAACGGAGAAAGAAAGTTCTTGAACATGGACAGAGAGTTATAAAGTGGATTGAAGACGAGCATCGAGGACCCCTCATCGGCAGTGACGAAAGAGGCAGCTACGAATCTGGAGATAAGCCTAAAGGCCGGCCGAAAAGGCTATTCCAGCCGACTTCCTGCGGCAGTCGCTCGCTGGCTTGTGATGATGGGCATGATGAAGTTTTGAGAAGTTGCACCGCTTGACCATTACATCGTTCTGGATCAGATACATCCACGGAACAGACTTGTGGCCTAGTGTTTGGAAATCGCCCAGCGCAGCTGACGCAGGAGCAAGACGAAACCCCCCAAACGCCCGGAGCGCATCGTGGTGGAGACAGTAAGGAGCTTCCTCAGCCTCGTAATCACGCAAGCAGATCACGTTGCACCCTTTCTACCACCGAACCCTTATCTCGTCAAATCAGACACCACCCCCCAGTGCTACCGCGTGCATGAATCCAAACAACCTTGGTGTCAAGCCGTCTAGCGCCCATTCGTCGTCTGCCACCAGTCCTGTACATATTTCTAGGGACACATCGCCCTTTATCGATCTGCCCCACCCTGATGCCTTAGAACTCGACGACTACAAGACGACCCAGACAGATCAGGACGACGACGACTTTGCTTGGGACGACAACTACGACGACGACGACGATAGAGGCATGCCGTCAGACCTACGCTCAGCGGCAGAGAGCAGGTCGCATGCTGCTCCATTGCTTTCCCCAGAGAACAAGCACCGCGACTACGCCTCCCCTCCTGGCAGTGCTGCCCTCCGAGAACGTCGCTCACGCCTACGAGAACGCGACCCTGATGTCGCCGCTGCCCAAGCCACAAAGCAGAAATACACATATGCTGCCGCCTTCCTGGTGCTCAGCTTGATCTCCTTCACCATACAAACAGAAACCGCTGTATATATCCAACACTCGTTGCATTGGAACAAGGCATACTGCATGCTCTACTTTACCCACGGCAGCTGGATCCTGCTATGGCCCACACAACTAGCCATCCTGCGGTTGCAAAAGCTGAACATGCCCTGGGAATCCTTCTGGCGCAGACACAAAGCCATTCTACGGAGCACAGCTCAGATGGTCGAGCACCAAAGATTGGATATCCCACACCACATGCAGAAGCAATCGCCCATCCCATACTTCATCAAGATGACCTCGATGGTCACTTGCGCACTCACTGTTGCTGGCGGCAGTTGGTACGTTGCCGTCGACCTGACCACTGCCTCGGATTTGACCGCCATCTACAACTGCTCCGCCTTCTTCGCCTACGCCTTTGCCATCCCCTTGCTGGGCGAACACTTCAAATGGAACAAAGTCTTCGCCGTTGGCGTCGCCATCATCGGCGTCTTGGTAGTCGCATACGGCGACGTCTCTCCCAGCAAACACGGCAGCAAATCTGGCGGCGGCGCAGGCGGTCCCACTGCCCCTGAGCCAGAAGAAGCCTCCAACCGCGCGCTCGGCAACCTCGTCATTGGCGTGGGCAGCGTACTCTACGGCTTCTACGAAGTGCTATACAAGAAACTCGCTTGCCCACCCGAGGGCTGCTCGCCAGGCCGCGGCATGATCTTTGCAAACACCTTCGGGTCGCTGATCGGTCTGTTCACACTTACCGTCCTCTGGATCCCCATCCCCATCCTCCACTACACCGGCATCGAAACCTTTGAACTCCCCACGGGGGAAGCAGCATGGATGCTGCTCATCTCCGTAATGGCAAACGCCACATTCTCTGGCTCTTTCCTGGTCCTCATCTCTTTGACATCGCCAGTATTGAGTTCTGTAGCTGCATTGCTGACGATATTTTTGGTGGCTGTGGTGGATCAGTTGTTGCCGCCGCCCCTGAACCAGCCGCTTACTGGTGCTGCTGTGGCGGGTGGATTGCTGATTATTGTTGCGTTTTTGCTCTTGTCATGGGCGACGTATAGGGAGATGGCTGAGGAGAGGCGGAAAAAGGAATCAGAGGTCGAGATTGAAAGTGATGTCGAGAGTGTCATGTAGAGAACAGAAAAATGGTCTGGGATCATTTTTCCTTGGCATGTTTGGTTTTTTTTATAGACAGACACCCTTTTTCTCCCTCATAGCATGGGGAGTATGGTAGTTTTTGGCATCTTCTTGTGCATATAGGTACATTTTAAAAATATACGCACGCTGCATTGGGTCAGGTGTTTTTATCTTTTTCTGACATCTGAAAGCACAACTTTGTCACAAATGGTTAAGATGAAGCCCCGGTAAAGTCTAGGTGGAAGAACATTTCATATCCTTACCCTTATGGAGAAAACGAGACTGAACAAAGGAGATCTATCTATACCCATAGCAGCCATATCATTTGCGTGTCTTGCATTCCATTCATCTGTCATTTCAACTACTTGCTCCCCTTTCCCTTTCCTCCCTCCATCTCTCCTTGTCCATTTCCCTTTCCTTCCCCCCCATACTATCTCCCAAAACTCAATTCTTCACCACTACTCTCATCTCCACTGCTATCCTCAGGGCTCTCGAATGGATCGGATATTGTCCTCTGCACTCGAGGCCTGTGTTGCTCATCCTCCTCTCCGTCATCGATAGGAACTCTCTTCTTAGCTTCCGTGGTGCTAGGGCGGCGTTTGACCCCCACAGTTCCTTCCCCTCCAATATCGTTGCTTGGAATCACCGGGTCTTCGTCTTCATCCGAGGACGCAGAGTCCAATGAAGACGACGAAGAAGAGTATGCAGACACCACTCTGCCTTGCTCTCCCGACGCACCAGTGTTGCCGATGAGCTCATTAATCTGTCGTTCCGTGACGGCTGAGAGATCGAGATCAGGCAAGTCACTCAGAGGCTCCACAGGCATCTCAAAAGCTTGCTGCACAGCCGCTGCATCCGCACTATCCGGATCTGAAGCTTGTAGAGTGGCGCTTTCTTCTTCGGCGGCTTCTTTGGCGCGCAAGGCAAGGCGTTCGGCGAATTTGTTGCGGGCCCGGCTGGGTGTGAGGTTCAAAGGCGCTGGCGAATTCACAGAGTCTGGCGAGGCTGGGGTTTGCTGTTGGAGAGGAAGATAGGTTAGCAAGTGTTTCATGCAATGGTTTGGGAGTAGAGGGACATTGTGCTTTGTTGTGCTAAAAAGTGTGCGTACCTGGCAATGAACATGTGTGGTGTGGATTGGTATAGGAAGAGGCCTGCTTCATAAAGAATGCATGTGGGAGAGAAGACAGGATAGGAGGGAGAAGGGTGAAGGGTAGAAAAAATCTTGTATAGTACAGATGAGATTCATCGACTCGAGAGAGGGACATGAGATGCATGAATCCCCCTCCGAGGCTGCAAATCTCGTCATCAAATCGTTATAGCCAAAATCTCATTACAGAAGACGCCGCTCAGAGATGTTTGGGACTGGAATTGCCCACCTCTTGCTCTGCTCCGATGCAATACACAACAAAAAATGCGGACAACAGGGTAAAGGGAACTGGGGAGGGAGACTGCTCGTGTATCTTTCAAATGTGCAAAAAGTGTGTGTGTGTGTGTGTGTGTGCTGTGTAGAAGTGTGCATGCAAAAGTAGCATTTATCGGAAGTGGTTGATGTCGACATCGTCAAACGAGAGTTCACCGACCTGCTCATCATCGTCGACCGCCTTCTCCCTCTTCTCTCCGCTTATCGACTCCTCAAGATCGTCATCGTCGTCATCTCCGTTGCCAAAGCCACTGAGCAGGCCGGCGGATCCTGTATCGTAATTGCTGGCATCTCCTTGCTCTTGCAGCGCCATACTGTCGGCTGGCACGGATAGGACGCTCGAGTTGTTGCCGCCCGAAAAGTTGCTCTGACTGAGCATGCTGTTGGCACCCATGCCCACTTGTCGAGCACCAAATCCTTGGTCAGGCTTGACGCCACCTAGAACAGCATTATCGCGATCTCTGGTTTCGGAAAGTGTGGTTTCCAGATATTGAATCCATTCATCGCGGGTGATGCGTTCCATGATCTGTTCACCAAGTACCTCCGGGGGCTGACGATCCTGCAACTTCAATACTTCTTCGGCAATCAACGTGAGATGTCCCATGTAACCAAGGCGCATGCCCTTCTCCTTCTGAGCATTATCGGAAGCGGTTTGTCCATCCAAGATACGCTGGGTAACGTCGGCCTGAGAAGCCAAGTCGGTGCAGTTGGAATGGCAGAACAGGTCGATAGCAAGAGTGCGGTTGTAGCCACGCTCGAAGCTACCATTGAAGACTTGCTGTACGACATCGTACACCACGTTGTGCAGGAAGTTGTTCCAGGGGAAGCGGAAGAAGAAATCCTAGAAAATAAGTATAACATACAATTTCGGTAGCGGAAAGCAGACTCACAAGGATAGTAGGGACAACTTGATGCTCGACGAACATGATCTTCAGCAAATCTCCAACAACGGGCGAACCGTCCACGTCGGCCTCCCAGAGTCCGTTGTCGCCTTCGGTGGTATGCGCATCGGGCTGCAGCGTCGCCGTACTATGGCTAGGGTCTTCTTCGTTGGAGCTTGGCGCTGACTGGCTGTTCTTACTGGGGCTAGTGAACAAAGGTGCCGGCCTGTCCTCGGGGTGCATGTCGACGTCTTCTTGGGCGGTCCTGGGCTGATCTGATGAAAAGTTGAGCTCAGATTCTTGTATATGTTGTTGAAGCTGCTGAGTCAACAGTGAGACGCGGCGCTTACCCTCAGACTGAGGTTCATCGCCCTCTTGCTCAGGACTGTCGATGTGTAATTGGCTGATTTCTTCTGTAAGGACGGTCGTACCGTCTTGAGAGGACTCGTTCGGGACGTGGTGGATACTCGAAGGGTCGTCCTGTTTTGTTAGAGGTGGCAAGCTTGCGTCTCCCGCAATTTCGTTGAACTCGTCAGCTTCCGAAACAGCGACCTTCTCGAAGCCATCTTCTTCGGACGCATTTTGCACTTCAAGTCTTTTGATCTCTTCGGGCGAGCCGCTGAGGTCGTCCTCGGGTCGTTGTGCGTGGTGGAATCCGTGGCTGTCAACACTGCTTGCGAAGGGCTCGTGCTCGTCGTACGAAGAACCTTCGATCTGCTGCCCTGTCAGACGTCCTTCAAGCTTGAGCTTTTCTCTCTCCTCATCCCTGTGCTTGATCTGAGCATCACTTCCGCGTTCGTTCAGGAGAGCCATGTTACTGCAGTGCAAAAGTTCAGCCATGAGCTCGCATGTTTTGAACCGGTCAAAACCTAGAGGCTGAATCTCCTTGCCGAATGCAGTTTTGAGACCAGGCTTTTTAGCTCCAGCACTTCTAATTAGATGCATAAAGTCGGGGACATGTGTCGCAAACTGGCGAAGCAGACTGCCGAGGTAAATCGGGTCGGTTGTTCTGGGCTCGGGACCGACTTGGTTGTCGAGATCGTAGTCCGAGTTGTTCTTGCGGATGACTTCGATGATGATTCCAACTCCGACGGTCAGGGCATTGCCTCCTGAGAGCATATTGTTGATCAGGATGGTGGTGCATTCATCAGAAACGAGCTGTCGGGTCAATTCGTTAGGGCCAATGACGGTCTGATCCTGGGTGGTAGCATTCGCAGAAATGGTGATTATTGCCTTCAAGAAGTCACCCGCGGCTGTCTGAGTTGAAGCGCTGTTGTCAGGACCAAGGTAGGACAAGAGTACAGGGATGAGATCCTGTGTTTGTAGCCACTTTTGGGCCACTGTCAGCAATTCGAAAGTACAGAAGGAGCGACTCGACTCACATCGACGATTCCTTGGCCTCCTGGAGCCTTTTCCAGACTGATGATTTTCAATAGGAGATCCATAATCATTGGACAGTCGACATGTTGCAGCATGTCAGGAACGATGTGATCGAGGGTTTTGAAGAAGGCTAGCATTTCATCCGTCTTCTTGTCCAGCAAAGACTCGTTGACCTTTGTGAAGTAGCCAGCTTGCAAGGGGTCGAGGGGAGCGGGACGACTGACATAGTGCCAGAAGTCGCGAAGATAGTTCTGATACTCCAGGACGGCCTCTGTGATTGACCAGACGTCCGAGGAAAGGACCTCGCACGCGACATAGGCGTATTTTTTGCGCAAGGCTTCACCCTTGTCTTCGTCGTCGGCGGCTTCATTCGTATCGCCGCCGGCATCGGACTTGTTGACAGACTTTGAACGCGAGCGCGAGGCAGACTTCTTGAAGAAGCTGATGGGAGAGGATCGATCGGGCTCTTCATCCTTGACCGAAGCCTTATCGGAGCGCGGAGGCTTGTCGGCAACGACGTATTCCAACAAGGTCTGAAGGGTGTTTTCCTCCCTAAGGAACTCGATGAGTTTGGAGTTGTTCTGCTTGAGCTCCTGGATCAGGTCGCTCTCGTCGAGCAGCTCTTCAAGCGAGACATTGGGCTTCTCGAGGATGGAGTCGATTGAGGAGATGTTGGCATAGCCGCCGAAACGCCAGAACATTGTGGATCAAGTGATGGGTGCGTCCAAGACGGAGCAAGGACGTGGGTCGGGGAGGGGCTCGGGAAGAGCTTCGAGACAGAGATTGACGTAGGCTGGCGTGGGCATGCCAGGGTTCCGGGTGCCGGGTGGCGGAGGCCGGGTCTTATGCGCGGGGAGTGTTGGATGTGTCGGCGAGGGACATGCAGATGAGTGGGCGTGTTGGCGCTTGCTTTGGCAATAATGCGCAGTTGTAGGTCAAGTGGCAGCAGACATGTCCCAGCCAGCCCTCGTGCCCTGAGCGTCTGAGCGCGGCCACCGCCCGGCGAGGCTCGTCCATCTGCCGTCCGAGTGTCTAACGTGGGGAAGCCCGTACCATTGTGCATGCCACTTGCTTTCAACTATTCATCAACACAAACACACCGTCACGACTGCACATCGACTCACACCACTTCTGTCACCATGAATCGCCTCTTCGGTGGACGCAACACGGGCCCAAAGCCCACTCTGAACGATGCCATCGGCAATGTTGGTGCCTGCCGCCGTCTACCCATGCTCGTCATACTGATCAGCCAACAGATGCAGACCCGTCTCGACACCATCGACGTCAACATTGCAAAGATCAACGGCGAGTTGACCACCTACCAGCAGAAGCTGTCCCGTATGCGTGATGGTCCTGGCAAGAACGCCATCCGCCAACGCGCAAAGGCCTGTCTCGAGCGCCGTCGCATGTACGAGAGCCAGAAGGACCAGCTCATGAGCCAGCAATGGAATATGGAGCAAGCAACAATGATGCAAGACAATCTGCGCAACACCATGACCACCGTAGACGCCATGAAGACCACTACAAAAGAACTCAAAAAGCAGTACGGCAAGATCGACATTGACAAGATCGACAAGCTGCAGGACGAGATGGCAGACCTCATGGACATTGGCAACGAGATCCAGGAAAGCATCAGTCGCAGCTACGACGTACCCGAGGACGTCGATGAGGCTGAGTTGGACGCTGAGCTCGAGGCTCTGGGTGAGGAGGTCGATCTTGGAGAGGCTTCCTACGAGGGTGCAGACTCCATGCCTGCCTTCATGATGGACCAAAGTGCTCCCCCGCAGTTCATCGACGAGCCTCCGGAGAACAACAAGGTCAAGGAGGCTGCCGGCTAAGCTCCTTATATCAAGGTCCGAACACCTTTTTGCTTTTATGAATCATGACGCTCCGCTGGATACCCAATACCGCTTCCGAACAACCGCTGTACACATATCTGCTTCCACTCTGTAAGACAAGAATGCATACGATCGCTGGCTTGCCGAAGCTCTCGATCATCATCTCCATGCCCAACGCTCGTCAATCAAACCTGCTGTGTTTCTCACCAAAAAGTGCTAACGTATTGACATCCGAGGTTTGTGAGCGGCTTCCATCCTTTCTCCATTACCTCTGTCTTTCCGTGATTCTCTTTCCTTATCTCTGACCTTCCTGGGTTGTTGGATTTTATTACGCACGTAGTCTTCGGTTTTCGCTACGGTGCCTCGCTTGGCTCTTGACGCATATGATGGATATCAAGAATTAAGAGTTATGGTCTATCAAACCTCCGAGCACGCGCTGTCTATCGATTGGACATCTAGGGTTGAAACCAGCAACCAGCGAATCAGACTGGGGAAGCAGCCAACGCAGCTGATTGATCGACCACCTGCAGCCTTGGCCTTTTGACGATCCAACAACACTCCAACCTTTTTGTATAACGATATGCAGGTCCACGGGGTTGACCGCCTCTTGGCGGAGTTTGCGCCGTGCTTGAATGGGAAGGTCGCATGGTGTTTCAGCGTGGATATGCACACGTGGTGATGACGGTTGGGTATCTTGACCATGCTGCTGCACAAGACCAACTGCGATATAGGCGACCGCCGAGTAACAGCAACTTGTGCTCTCGGAAGAATGTCTTTCTTGCACGGGAGAGTCATCTTGGAGTTGGGCTATGCAAGCTACTCGACCTCCATTTAAACTCCTCGACTGCCTCTCGAAAGTCCGCCCATCTTCATCTCGCACCATTCTCCCCTCAGGACTTGTCCCGAATCAAAGACAACCATGGTATCCTCGTCCACCCTCCTCCTCGCCGCAACCGCCGGACTCGCCGCAGCGGCACCTATCCAGCGTCGCGGCAACCTCCCCGAACCCGTCTCGGCCGCAACAGCAATCCAATACCTGTCCTCCATCAAAGTAGCCGCCGAATCCAACTCTCCAGCCTACGACCGTGATCTCTTTAAACATTGGATCACCATCTCTGGCGAGTGCAACACCCGCGAAACCGTGCTCAAGCGTGATGGCACCGGTGTGGTGACTTCCTCGGCGTGTGCTGCCACCTCCGGCTCTTGGTACTCTGACTACGATGGCAAGACGTGGAGTGCAGCCGCAGATGTGGATATCGATCACTTGGTCCCGCTGAAAGAAGCATGGGTGTCCGGAGCAAAAGACTGGACGAACGACAGACGGCAGCAATTTGCTAACGAGTGAGTTCTCTTCTGTCTTCATCTATCATTCTCGATATTCGTCTGTCTCGAGGAAGAGAAAGGAGGACATGGCACGCATTGTACTTTGACTAACACGCGTGTTCCACCAGTCTTACCCGCCCTCAACTTCTGGCCGTCACGGATAGTCTGAACCAGGCAAAGGGCGACCAGGATCTCGCAGAGTGGCTGCCTCCCCGTGTGTCATATCAGTGCGAGTACGTACGTGCTTGGGTGCAGGTCAAGTATTACTATGGCTTGAGCATGGATAGTGCAGAGAAGGCTGCTGCTAGCAAAGTGCTTACTGGCTGTTAAGAAAAGCAATGCATAATTCACAGATTCCCCTAAAATGATCTTGTGCAAGTGTGAGGTTTGAAGGGAACAACAGGTTTGATCAGAGATTCTATCTTCGATACTTGATGTAGATATGTGAGTTTCGAGTTATGAAAATCTCTCAAGATCCCGATTCTGATTCAGCCAAATCTGATGGGTTGAAGATACATGTGTGCCTGGAAAACGTCATGGTTGAGACTTCCTGTTCCTCTACGAGGCTGGTGGGCGGCTCGCGAGCTCATTGTCATGTGTTTGATCTTTGCTCATGGCCGCAGCATTTGTGCGTTGACACATGTTGTCGAAGCGTGTTCGTGCGTGGTTTCCGGACGGCTCGGTATCGTCTGTCCGATGACGACAGAGATGCGCTCACAGCGGAATACGACTTGTAGACCTTCTCGGTCTGTCATCTTTGTGGCGTGAGCGGGATGTAGTGTATTGTGGCCTGTGTGTCCTGGCTCTTTCAACCATCAACAGTGATGACCGTCTTTGGCCTGTTCTTGTTCAAGCCCTCGAGCAGCATACACGCCTTGCAGATAGCCTGCGAAGACATGTACCCACACCTCTCACACTTTCCAAGCGTCTGCTTTGCATTCGCCGGTGGAGTAGGTCCTTTTGTTTTCTTTGGTCGCAACGGCACACTCATCTGTTTCTTTGCCGTTGGAAGCTTGATCTCCGTCTCTGTTCCCTCCTCTTCAGCGGCTTCATTTGCCTGTAGTGTTTTTTCCATGTCTCCCATTTCGCCGCCTGTGCCTCTGCCGTTTCCACTACCGCAACCACCGGCGCCGTCGTCGTCTTCGTCTGGTTGCATACTAGTTGTGGTTGGTTGTGTTTGTGTCTTACTGGACCCACAGGCGCCTTTGCAGCGTCCATCTGCGTCTGGAACCAACATGGCCATATCGATGCCGCTGCGCACGACATCAAGGATGCTCTCTGGACGTATGCGTTCGAGGTTTTTGATCAGTGTGCGAGCGCTGCCACGGAAGGCTTCGGGCGAGTATAGACATTCGGTGGAGAAGTAATCGAGTTTGTTGTGGTGAGCGTAGAGGACGATTTCCTTTTCGTAGGCGTACATGAGCGGTTTCGAGCGCTTGACGTTTGTGATGGCGACTTCTCCTTCTTTGGGAATTGCTTCGGGATCGGCGGTGGAGTCGTTGGCTTTGTTGTCGGTTACGATGCTGGTGGCGCGACTGAGGCGCGGGAGGTCGCCTCTCAGGAGGTTCATGAGGACTGTTTCTGCTACGTCGTCGGCGTTGTGGCCGGTGACGACGTGCTTGACTCCCAGTTGTGCGGCTCCCCTGTCTAGTGCTTGTCGTCTGAAGACACCACAATATGTGCAGTTTCCCTTCTTTCCAATCTGCGCAACCACCTGATCCATGCTCCAGCCGTACAGTTCCTCATAACTCACAATCTTGAGCGGGAGCTGCAGAAAGTCTGCATTCCTCCTCACCGCATCTAGACTGTGATCGCGGTAACCTTTGATGCCTTCGTCCACTGATAGCAAGATCAGGTCTAAACCCCAGTTGCGTCTTTCGTTCAGTGTTTTGAGTACGGCAGCTAGCACGCAAGAGTCCTTTCCTCCGCTGGCACCGATGGCTACGCGTTCGCCTGGGTAGAAGAGGTTTGTGGATTCGACGGCTTCGGCGACTTCTTTTTCGAAGACGGCGGTGAAGCAGGTGGCGCAGAGGCGGCGGTGGTTCTTGGGTCGGAGAATCTGTGCTCGCTTTTCGTTGCACGCCGAGCACAACCGTGAAGCCATGGCTGGCTGCTCTGGGACGTTGGTGGTGGTCTGCGAAGAAGTGTGGGTCTAAGGAACTAGGTGTGTTGATCCAGAAGTCGGTGCGGTTTCTTCAAGAGGCCGGAGATGCTCGTTGGTCGATCGCAAGGCTTGTGTGTGATTCTCAGGCAATCCACGTAGAGTCAAGCATCGCTCGAGAAAGATTGATCGTCAAAATCTCGGCTGTTCTGTTGTTTCGGCTGGGCGAGGCGGTCGTGGCAAGAAAATATTCGAGCTCACCTTCTCCAGACCGAGCACGACCGAGATGCGAATCTGGAGGGAAAAAGCAAAGGCCTTCTAGAAGATGGAAGCTTTGCCGAGCTCCGAGCCATCTGCTCCCCCCCGTCTCTCCCGTGGTCATCGTCTGCGCGAGGGATTGCTGCAGTATGCAACACCACAAGGAATGTGGTTTGTCTCCCTTACCTTTGCAGCTCCATCCAGCTCAGCTCTAGATATCTGCCTTATCGCTGCTGTCATGCAAAGTCTAAATGTCGCAACCTCCGATTGTTACGCGGTGCACCACAGGGAGGGACGGCGAGCCCGAGCGAGAAACATCGTTGACAAGGGAATCCTTCAGCTCCTCCGTGTCTCTGCGTGCAAATCTCCGTTTATTCCAGCAGACAAGATTAAAGATCAACAGGCACTGTTTTTCTTTGCTCAGTAGTTGATGCCACCGTGCTTGCAGCATGCCAGCAACAGCAGTATTGCGAGTCAAGTGCTTTCTCTCGGCCGAGCTTTTGCAACCCAGATATACTTCGATATGTGATAACTCCACCAATATATCAAATACATGACTCTCTCTGACTCTTCTTGAATCATGAGATACACGCAGCACATTGTCTTCTCTTTCCCTGGCTCGGTACATGTAGTCGTTGGACTCTAAGGCTCATTATTGTGACAATTTCCCGAGTCCGTGGCAGTTGCGCGATTGTGTTTGTCGTAGAAACCGGTCAATAAAAAGCCGTTGGTCTGGTTCCCCTGGAGGGGAGAGCAATCCAGCCAGCCACCTACTAGGGAAAACTATCGACCAACCCCCTGCATGACGCTACTAACTGGTCAAGCTGGTACCTGATGATCCTGAGGAAATGAACATGTGCAGCGAAATGTATGGTCTTTGGTGTGTGATGAATGCGAAAGCTCTATTGCGAGTTTCGATGTGAATTATTAGTTTGTGCTACCTAAGTACTATCTAGTTGTATGCACCAATTGTCGTAAAGTCGTGCTGATGCTGAACGCTGAATCTTTCCTTGCTTCAAAAAAAATGCTCCTTGCTGTCTTCCCAGAGACGCCTTCGCAATGCAATGTGTGGATGTGGTAATCCTACACGAGAAATGAAAACCCCGAACCATTGACAAGACCTCGAACCCGCAAAGCTTGTATTTGAACCTCCCTCTCTATTCACCCAGCAAATTTCTAATGAGCGTGGGTGGTGGAGAGAAACCTCGAGAAGATGTTGTTCGATCTGTGCTTCTTGGCTGAGGGCTGTTCGTAGTGGTCAAGATTGAGCTTGGGTTGTTGAATCTCAACCATCGAAGGGCAGTCACTGTTGTATCTCTGGATTCTGACGGGCACATCTTCGTATGTCGCGTCCATCGATGACATGATGGAGTTGGGAGAGTCGACAGAAGAGGCAGCAGAGACAACAGACTGAGTGCGGCTAGGCGGCGAGAGAGATGGCATGCGAGATGATCTGCGAGAGCTTGCGAGGCTCATGGGTGTGTCGCAAAGGTTTTGGCGAAGATCGGTGCGAGAGGCTCTGCGCATGTGCTCGGCAGTGATGGAGAGATGGCGTTGCTGTTGCATCATCTCCTCGCGGAGCTGAGCACGCTTGGCCTTCTCGGCTTGACGAGTCTGCCATAGTCTGATGGGAGCAAGGAAAGGCTCGAGGTGGAAGTAGAGGTCATCCTCACGGACGATCAGGTCCCAGTTGAGGAGGTTGAGGAGTTGCTTCTCCATGAGGTTGACCTCGACAAGGTTGAAGCCGAAGCCCTCGTATCCCTTGACAGCAGTGTAGCGAGCCCAGTGCTTGTTCTTGGGAGACGAGTCGTTAAGTGACTTGGCAGCGAGAATGAGAGCGGCAAGGAAGATGCGGTGGGTTGTGCAGCGCATACCCTTGGCGACAGGAGGAAGACGTTCTTGCAGACGACCGAGGTAGACGAGGGTAGTCATGAGAGTAGGAACCTGGACCGAAGATCTGTCGACAAGGGATTGAATGAATTGCTCGACCGAAGGAAGAGCAGGCTCCTGAGAGAGGTTGAAGCCTTGCTCGGTAGGAGAGATCGGTGGTGTAGGCGGAAGGTCAGTGTTGTGGATAGGAGTGTTGTCACAACGAATGACTTGAGAGGCCTTGAGTGCCAAGTAAGAGACCATGTCCTTGGAGACAGGCAGGTAGATGAAGTGGTTGAGAGCTTCGGCATTTTGCTCAGGAGTTGCCATGGTGTGAGACATTTTGATAGAAGTAAGAAGATGGTATCCTGAAAAGAGCTTGACAAAGATGGCAAAGATCAAACGAGGAAGAGTTGGAGTTGGTGATATTCGCAAATATCAATCCTCTGACAATAGGTTGGACCAGAATGGGTTTGGACAATGTTGAGGTTGACAATAGAAGAATAGCAAAAAGCGATTGGAGTGACGAAGCTTATTCGAGTTGCTGCCGGAGAATGGTCGAATAAAAAGTCGCTATTGTTGGAAGAAACTCAAAGAATAGAGAGTATTATTAGATTGAAGATGCAGAAAGATGGTATGAGAAAAGAATCGAAGTCGTAGGACGGCGGTTTTTCTTTATGTATAGCTTTCCAGGAGCAGGAATTAAGACTTTCCGGCCAGCGGACAGGTCGAATTGAGGCAGGACCGTTAAGTGAAAACGGGGGGCAGTAGGAGTTGAACGTTGTAGTCGAGCCGCGTTGTTGCTGGTTCGATCGAGAAGCACCAAGAAAAGTAAGACAGCGTGTAGACGTTGGAAATAAACGTGCGTGACGAAGGGTAAAGAGAGAAGGGAGTGTAGCACGCCGTTGGTTGTATTGGGCGACTGAAATGAAAAGATGGGCCATCGTGACCGTCGGCAGCGAGGGCAGATACTTATCTCCTCTTGAAAATGTACGCGGCAACGCAAGGTAAGCATGGCTATGGACACGAGGGCCGTTTTTGGCAGCAAGTTTGAGAATGCAGGCGGTTGGACGTGAGGTGGGCGTGTATGAACGCGCTCTGGCATGTAGAATCTTCACCTGCCGCAGGAATCGCGACAATGTTGCCTGCTAGCATACAGCAAGTTTCCAGGCCCGTACAGCCACGCGCTGTCTCAGACAATCTACAAGAATCACCAGAGCTGCAATCCGTTTCAAGATGCTTGCTCGTAACGTCTGCCGCCCAAAGGCCTTGTTGGTAAAGAGAAGGGCAAGAATCCAATAGGCGCCGCGGTGGGGTTACGCCAGTCCCTTTGCAGCCGTCCGGCTACACTACCGAGCCCTACGAGAGACTATTCTTTTCCTAGCTGTGACACAGTCGAGGGCGAGGCCACTCCCATCCTGGACATGGAAAGACATCATCGGTATTCAAAGTTGACGTGGATTACTGTTTCGGGGTGGAGGATATCGTGGCTGGGAGCCCGGCCACCTATCGCATTTATCTCAACGTGCGATATGATATTCTTGGCAGTGGAATCGTCGAACTGGTGACGCTTTCGAACTGTTCTCTGGCAACTCGTGGAATGTTCAATCCAGCTCAGCCACTGTGGATTGCAACGGGATGCTCCACCAAGCGCCTGCTCCTGTACCTAAGATATTCTGTGGGGGGATCAATGGCCGAGAGTATACTCCTATTATAGTCGGCGAAGGGGGTTCGCATACACAGGAGGTGATTTGAAGTCCTTCCGGCCGCTAGAATCTCAGGAGAGCGGCAAGCGAAGACATATTCACCCTGAATGTACCCGCTTAGCTCATCTCTAGCTACAGATGATCGATCTTGTCTGACTCTTACTTGCATATGAATGTGTATTTCGAGAGCGACGCCCATGCCGACCACGCATCTCGCATGATCACTTGAAGAAGCAGCGTCTCATCAGGCGCTGAGCGTGGTGCTACAACAGGAATAGTGTTTCTGCGCAGCGAAGGATGGAGGTGTGTCTCACATGTGAAAACCCGGTCTTGGTGTACAACAAAACACAATGCTGTGTTCTGCTAAACAGAAGGTTGTCCACATCACCTTGATCTTGCGAAAGAACCAACTTGCAAGCGTCAACAGAGAAAGTGCTTGCGCAAGCAGCCAAGAACAATAGATTAAATACGACCATTTTCTCCCTTCTTCCAAGGACAAATGGTGGCTCTAAACCATGAAATTATCTGACCCCTCACAAGAGCTACGACGATGACGACCGTTACCACTCTTTCGAGCAAATTTTCGATCAGAAGGGCAGCAGACCAGGACAAGACTTCGGAGACACACGGGATACGACACGACCATCCCAGATCATGATATCTAAGGGACAGAGACAAAGGGACGTCAGTGCCAGTTTGGGAGTAGATTGGTGGCCTAGCCCTAGCAAATGTTCCGAGATCTCCGGCTTTAGCAGTGCTTCTTAGCAAGTCGTCGTTTGTGCTCTGGGCAAGAACGCTTTGATCCGGCTCCTCCCGTATTACTTCACGATCCAGCTACCGTGATGGCCGAGGTCGAGGTCAGACTACGACGACTTGACTTCCTTCGTGTCGCTTAGAATCATAATCAGCACTTTGTATCTTCTCATCCAACCCACCACAGTCATCGTTGTTGCAATTCTCTCTCTCTTCCACGTACATATAAAGGATTTTCCGCTTCTGACTAAAGACACGCGACACTCGGGCAACCACAATGAATCGACCATCACACGAAGACGACGGCTGGGACCATCCGGAGTGGAACCAGAATCCGCCTGCTCTGGCCGGAGACTTGACGACAAACAACGACCTGAATGGTGTTGTCAACTCCAGACGAAACCGTGACCGGAGAATTGATGACGACGACTTGAATCGCATCCATCCAGAGCCATACGAACTCGCGGATGTCAATCGCAAAGGCAAAGCATTGCCTCGGGTCACGGAAGACCCGTACCCTGGCCCGAGTGGCCACCATCCGGGGCGCTCGTCGTCGTCTGCGTCGACGTTGCGCTCCGCCGAGATGCCTGTGTCCGGTGGCAGGCGTCTCGGCAACCGCATCAGGTACGTCCTGGCCAAGTACGCAAAGTTCGTCGGCCCAGGCGTCATGATCTCAGTCGCCTATATCGATCCCGGAAACTATTCTACTGCTGTTGCAGCTGGCTCTACTTTTCGGTTTAGGCTTCTTTTCATAGTCTTCTTGTCCAACATCTTTGCAGTCTACCTGCAATGCTTGTGTGTCAAGCTAGGCTCAGTTACTGGTATGAATCTCGCAGAGATGATCAGGGCCCATTGTCCTCGATGGCTTAACTGGATTCTCTATCTTTTCGGAGAAGCAGCGATCATCTGCACTGATATTGCAGAAGTAATTGGTACTGCTATTGCTTTGAATCTCCTTTTCCATGTTCCCTTGGTAGCTGGTTGCGCCATCTCCATTGTGGACGTCCTTGTAATCCTACTGTTCTACAATCCATCTGGCAGCGTTCGAGGTGTTAGAATTTTCGAAGGCTTTGTCGCTTTATTGGTCATTGGTGTCGTGGTTTGCTTTTGCTACCAACTCTCCTTGATCACAAACACATCAGTTGGTGATGTCTTCCGTGGCTATCTCCCATCCTCGGCTATTGTCAAATCTAAGGGGTGTGTACAGCAGTCCACACTCATGTCAATACGGCCCCGCTAATTCGTTCCTAGTCTATATCAGTCGTGTGGAATCTTGGGTGCAACTGTCATGCCTCACTCGCTTTATCTGGGCTCTGGAATCGTGCAGCCACGTCTCAAGGAATATGACATGGAACACGACAACATCCCTGCCGCTTCTGACGATGATAGCGGTCCGGTTAAGTACCGCCCCAGTGTGGCAGCTGTTCGCTCTTGCATGAAGTATTCCATCGTAGAGCTTTCGACCTCACTCTTCATCTTCGCCCTATTCGTCAACAGCGCCATCCTAATCGTCGCAGGAGCTTCTCTCTACAATTCTGATGCTGCTAGTGCCGATCTCTTCGGCATCCACAAACTGCTAGCTCACCAGCTTGCCCCTGTCGCAGGAACCATCTTTGCTCTGGCTTTGCTTCTCTCCGGTATTTCAGCTGGTATCGTCTGCACGATCGCTGGTCAAATGATCTGCGAGGGACAATTGACATGGCAAGTCAAGCCTTGGGTGCGCCGTCTGATGACACGCTCGATTTCCATTACGCCTTCCATCATCATTGCCGGTGCTGTGGGTCGGGATGGGCTTTCTGCTGCGCTGGACGGCTCGCAGGTTGCTCTCAGTGTCATCCTGCCATTCGTCAGTGCACCTTTGATCTATTTCACTTGCCGTGAGAGATACATGACCATGTCTGCTAGCAATGGCGACCTGATCAGTATGCACAATCATTGGTTTACTGCGATCATTGCCATTTTGATTTGGACCATAATTGTGGTCATGAATGTCGCGCTCTTGGTCCTGCTCGGCTTAGGTGTTGATTAGGCTATGGAGTCTCAGTTGGACGAAACCTGAGATAGAAAGGTTGCTGCGATCTCGTGCCTAAACAGTTGCCGCATACTGGATATATAATGCTTGTGCTTGGATGGCGTTCTGTCTTACTGTAGATAATCCTTAATTCAAACAACCTGTCATATGCAAATCAACAAACATTTTCCAAAATACATCAAGTAATCTTTAGAGCTTGGCTTTAGCAGTCTCCCAATCCTTGACTCTTTGCCTCGCCTTTCTCTCCAACTCCTCATCCTGCCTCTTGACCCTCTCCTTGTACTCTCCTTCCTCATCAGGCGCGTCCAAGAATGCCACAGTCTCCCTCCACATCTCACTCTTCAATTTACCATAAACTCCCTTATCAGTCTTACTCACCAACTTGAACTCCTCCACAAACGCCACCACCTCATCCAAACCACCCACTCCATCAATAACGCCCGCCTCCAGCGCCTCCAAAGCTTTGTAGCGTTTACCTTCCAACACCAAGGTGCGATAGGTCTGGGGCGACGTCTTTTGGCGGAAGATTGAGGACATGGCTGCTTTGAGGGGTACGCCGAGTTCGACTTCGTTGAGGCAGATGTAGCCGCGGTGGGGGTTCATGATGCGGTAGTCGTGCATCATTGCCGTCATTAGGGCGCCGGCGAAGCCGTGGCCGTTGATCAGGGCGATGGTTGGCATTGGGTAGCTGTGTTGTGAATTTTAGTCAGGGATGGACAGGGTGATGCCAGTTTTTTGAGGATGAAGTTGCAAAAACGACGACGACGAAGGTATAGATGCGTCCTCTGCTTTGGAAGTCTCCATAGTCTCCTCAAGGTAAAGGTCTAGAAGTCACCACACCGCAGACACAACGAAGAACAAAGAACTGAATAAGTAGACAACAACTTACGTCAACAACCTCTTCCAGAGCGCAAATAGCGAATTCTTGGTAAATCCCGGGTTGGAATTCGCGTGCTCAAGATCCAGTCCATTGCTATAGAACTTGCTGATCCCAGAGGTTGTAATCACAACGCCGTGAGGATACTTGAGCGCCAGGATGTCCAGTGCAGTATGTACAGCATTGCAGAATGACTGAAGATTTGGTGAATATCAGTGATCGTGTGATAATCCGATGAGAGGTAGGGTAGAGAGGAAGGTCGTACAGTAGTGAGTCGGTTATCTGGTGCAGAGTTCCACATGATCATGTAGACTCGCTCGGCCAGTCGCGTGACGACGACCTTGCCGGCGTTGGCGATAGGCACCTCGAACAGTTTTCCTGACTTGTATCCCATCTCCCCGACTGTTGAGTATATAGTCGATTGAGATGTGAGAAGTAATGAATGGATGTCGCTGCTGATCAATCAGAGAGAATGTGGAAAGCCTTCACATGCATGGTTAATCCTACCTCGGCTCTAAGTTTTAGGCGTTTGGGTCGATGACATCTTCCGCAACAAAGAGCCAAGCAATAACGGAATACGCTCATTGAAGAGAACACTCTTTAACATGGTTTGGAAGTCACATACTTGCGACATTGTTGTCTGAAATGAGATAGTATGCCATTTTGTATAAAGATCAGAGTGAGAAAAACAGATGCAATGCGCAGCTAGATCTGCTACTACCGTAACCATGATGATGTGATGGGAATAAAAGCAATGGAAAGAGAAAACAGAGACTGAAAAGTAGATAACAGCAAAGATAGAAAAAAACACATCTCTGGCCCATGCTAACCATCAAATATAAAAAAGAGAGAGGAAAATGAAGTCGTCCCGGTCATAAAGCCATCATAGTCTCGCGTCCGTCTACCTCTCCCTGTTGGGGAGTGAGGTTGAAGGAAGGAGAAAGAAAAACAGCAAAGGTATAGAAAGTAGATGCGAGAAATAATGAGCCTGGAAAGTGCACCAAACTCCTTGGTACACCGAGAGGCCATGAACGCCGATGTGTCCTTTAACACCAGCAATGCGGCATTGCTCATTGGATGTGATGATATATGTTGATTTATTGGCAGAAGAGCTCGATCTCTCCCATACCTCCGACAGTCTCGCCACGCTGTTCACGCCAAGTTTCGAAGGCTGACTGTACATCTTCATCGCTCTGAATGCTGACATAGTCATCCTCGTCAAGGTACTTCAGCTTGACTTGGTTTGGTGAGCGATCACTCAGACTGATATTGGTGCTGCGAGACAGCTTGGCGTCAATGCGATCTCTCAGTGAATGGTACGAGATGTTCAAAGGCACGACAAGGGTCAAGACAGTACTCGAGGCGTGCACTTTGATCTTGAGCTGTGACAGACCAAATTCGGAGCTAGAGGACAGAGGAGGTGATATAGGAGAGTCGTAGCCGCCAGGTGGTCCTGAGGTAGGCGTGTTGGCGCGGGAGGATGCAACATAAGCCAAGCCAGGATTAACTCTGAGAGCAGGTGGACCATCATGAGGATATGGTGCATCTGCGTTCGAGCGAGTTGATGATCGTTCGCGCTGTTGTGGCGACTGCACAGGAGGGTAGGCCAGACTAGGTGAGTTGCTCTGGCTTCTGGGAGCTGAACTGTTGACAGAGTATTGAGCAGGGAAAGGCGGAACAGGAACATCAGGCACTGGCGGTCTTGATCCATTGGCAGCCCTGCGCGATACGTGGTTGATATCGGGACTGCTGGCAGATCTGTTTCTTGAAGGTGGGACCTGCTGAGTACTGTGCATGCCAACCAATCCAGGTCTGGGACCAGAAGTGCGCTGGCTGGCCGCGTAATTCGAGGGAGCGGCATTGTTGTCGCGCGAAGCAGTACGGCTCATAGCTGGGGCAGTGTAGCGCGTTTGATTGTCGTGGAATTGAGTCGGGAAGTACGACATGCTCGACGAACCACTGGTTCTCTGCGAAGGCAGCGGCGTCTCGACAGGCGAGAAGTACGAGTCTTTTTCCATCGAGGGTGATTGTGCGTAAGGCAACTGCTGGGTTCTCAGACTCAATGAAGGATGACGACCATCAGCTGCGTTGGCTGGGAGTCGTGGTGGAGGCATACGACCTCCCAGACTCAACGGAGGACCACTCTCGCCGGTCGTAGATCTTGAGCGCAGACTGGTCATCGATGCATTTCTGCTACTCATGGTAGAAGATTCAAAAGAGGAGTGCGGAGCGTATGGAGGGAATGGCGATGGCGGGACGACTGTGTCCTCTTCATCCTCTTCGTCGGCCTCTTTGTAAGGATTCACAAGATCTTCCTGATTCTGTTGGATGTAGGTGAAGTCAGTGGTCGAGGTACCTCCAGAAGGCCTGTGAGAAGCCGTAGTACTGTCGCTACGTCTTGCAAGATCGTTGCAAACAGCCTTCTGTTCTAGCAGCTTGGCGTACCATTTGCTCATGGTGTCTTCGGTTGGGAAGCGAACGACAAAGTTTTCGATGCCTGGATCACCCTTCCAGAAGATTTGACAAGTGTAGGAGCCGGGCTTTGATGCCTTGACGACATCTGTGACGTTCTGCATGAAGATACGACCTTTCAGCTGCATCTTCGGTCTGCCTTTCTTGTCAACCATCGAACGTGTGGACATTTTGTTCTTTGGCTTGTTGCGGTCGATATCCTTGCAACACAACAGAATCGATTCGAAGAAGTAGACGTGGTACTCTCGTTCCTGATCCTTTCCTGGTGCACTGTCGCTCTTTATAACAGTGTAGCTGCCGAATAGAAGAAGACTACCGAAGCCTGTGACCCGATGGCCCTTCCAGTCTTCAACACGACTCTTCAGGTCTTCCAGGGCTTCGAGTCTGTCTTCATTTTCGATGGCAGTGTTTGTGCGGGTCAGAACAGTTGTTGCACACTCCTTGCCCTTGAAGAGATCAGCCTTGATCTCCTCGCTGTAGTCACCCTTCTGGTACAAGGAATCAAGCAACAGTGGATACTTGGACAGTCTCTGGAAAGGCTTCATCAGAAAGCCGTACAGGGTTGGAGGAGATTCGACAAGCTGGCGCATGTCAATAGTGCCACCAGCTTCCTTGAGCTTGGCAAATTCTCTCATGACAACCTCTTCACAGAGCTTCTGGTTGGCGATATATGGTTCGTACACCATGAAACCCTCGTTTTGCTGGATGAAGATCTTCCCCCAGTTTTGCTCGTCCTCTGGCATAGCGTTGGTCTGCTCGACCTTGATAAGGAAACGACGTTGGAAGTTGAGAAGTTTGTCAAGGTTGTGGAAGATCTGATGGCTCACATCGCCCGAAACGACACCTTTGCTTTCGCAGAGCTGCTTGAAAGCCTGTAAGAGTTCAAGATGCTGCACGTATGTTCTTTCGGTTTGAACCAGTTCTTCGACAATGTGTTGTCGCTGACTGCGTTTGCCAGAGTGTGCGGCAATTTGATCCGGGCGAAGGTCTTCAATGATGTGTTGCTGTACCATTATATCGAGCAATCTTGAAACCATTCTTACGACCTGAACAAATTAGAAAGAACAATATATGTTGGGATAAGAGAGTGTTTACCTTGACAAAGCCACCAATGTCATCCTGGTAGAGATCGTAGAGAATGAAACAGTCTTCTACTGAAAAGTTGAGACCGTTGATGCAACCGCGCAAGAAACTCGATGTGAGGGCCTTTCCTTGTTTGGCAACGCTGATTTTGGAGACATCGACTTCAACAGGTTGATCGGGTCGCAGGATGTTGTATAGGGAGACGAGCGGATAGCCAAGCTGGAAGGTCTTCCAGATCAGCTGAACAACGTCGAGATCGTCATGCTGTTGTTCTGTTTCCAAGAAGTAGTCATCGAAGCCAGGGACCGCCAGGAGACGTTGGCGCAAGGTGATGCACATTTGGAACAGGGAAGCATCCTTGTCGGCAACCTTGTTCATGACATTGCCAGACGGCTCGACATTTCCCGGGACGGTAGAAGGAGCGGGTGAAAGCGAAGGCGTCGGCGGCACGTTGAATAGGGTGGACGTCGATGTGCCTTGAGTAGTGTCCGAGTTCCTAGACAGAACCGAGTGTATAGAATGCGAGGAGTGGGTATGGTTCTGAGACTGGACCAGCGGCGAGGTTGCGGAAGGCATTTTGTTGTAGAAAGCCTGGGGCGCGGTATGTGTTCGGGTCATTCCAGCATGAGAGGCAACCTGCATGATTGGGGAAGAGATCCGGGCGCGCGCGCAGACGTGGTATACAACGGAAAGCACACGTGGGCGTATGTGTCGAGGTTAGAAACAGGTTTGAAGCGATGGCAGGATGCAGGTCGTCAGAGTTCACAGACGCGTGCCGTGCGCGGTCGGAAGGTATGAGAGCACGATGCAGATGCAAGGATCTACAAGGGCATGTGTGTGAAGAAAGGCCGACTCTTGCTCAGGTGACAGTCCCTCCTTCCTTGAGCTGGGCGTGGACAAGGAGTGAGTGAGTGAGTGATTGCAGCGGTGGGGCCCGTGTGGAAGCCACTTTCTGGCCGTGGCTTTGGCTTGTATATGTCTTGTTTGTGAGTGAAGGAGCGACTACGACTCTAGCGGCGACGGTTGGACACGACACTTTCCCGGCGGACTGGGCTGGAGAATCTTCACTGTTGCAGCGGCGACGACGACTTGGGACAGAGAGGTGAACAATGAAAGACAGACGGACACAGGCTCACACAAGGAATAGCGAGCACAGGCGGGCGGCCCTTCTCAAAGGACCCTGCTCTTTCTGGCGGCTCTTTCCTTTATGAAACGCGCATGGGCCCCCCTTCCACATATACCCTACCACTGGTCCACCACCATGCACACGCTCCCAGTAGATCAGCCTCTGTTGTTACAAGACCTGCCGTCTGCATCGTGACTCTTCCGGCTCTGCCTTATGTTCCTCGACTTGTTCAACCTTGTTCTGCGTGATCTGTGACTGTCTTTGCTCCTTGACCACCTTGGAATAACCACAAGCGGCGGCAAGCTCATCAGGTAGTCCTGTAGAGCGCCTTGTCACTGGAGGCTGCGGCGATCACGCGAGGGCCACCGTCTTCTCCTCGCTTTCCTCGCCAAAGCAATCCGGACTGACGATCGTCCGTCCCGCCCGCCCAGTGGACTGAAAGTCGTTCCTGACTCTTAGCACCAGGCAAAGATCACTAAAGTCGTCGCCGGAGAAGCAAACTCTGTTGATTGGCCCACGAGGGTGCTGACTCTGCGGGCAAGTCTTGATGCCAACTCCCTGACACACAGCAGAGTCAAAGAGAAGCGCCGCTCACTGGAGTCTGATCGCGCCTTCCGTCCCGACATTTAGCCCGATCATCATCTTGTTTACAATACCAAACTTGTCTTGCCTTGGCCACCAAAACACTCGTGCGAGCAGACGCCTGAAATGGCCCAAGAAGAAATGAAGGTCGACGAGGGCTACTCAGGAGGCTCCGAGGAAACGAGAAGTCTATCCGACAGCGATTCTACCATGCACATCGATCCCGTCGACGGTCATGTTTCAAAGTCATCCACACCCAACTTCGAGTCGATGCTTTCGGGCGTCCTAGGCCTGCCCCCGGCCCAAAGATCAGCCTTCATAGCCTCTCTGCTGCAACTGCTACCAGAGTCTGAGCGATATGGTATTTGCATAACTCGGTCATATACACGCAGCACCCATCTGACCTGTGGTAGAAACCGCCTACACAGCTCTGCGCTCGCTGCGCACTTCGTCCATCGCATCCATAGTCGAGCGCCTCAATCCCCTCCTTCATCTTGATCCAGTAGTCTTCCTACCGCCCGAAATTACCTCCCAAATCTTCCTCCACCTCTCGCCCTCCGATCTCCTCCGATGCTCGACCGCTTCCCGGCTCTGGCGCGAACGGGTCTTGGACAGCACTCTGTGGAGGACCTTCTTCGCCCGCGAAGGATGGATGCCAGATCTTGCAGAAGTCAGGAGTGGCGAAGCTGCTGAAGCCAGACGCCGCGTCCTGTCGCGCAGCACTCCCCAAAAGCCTCCTAGAAGGAAACCTGATGGTGAACTCGAGAGAAGTGGTAGCATCAAAAGAGCAAAGGAAACCGTCAACGGATGGAATGAACAACACAGTACTCTCGAGGCCGACGAGGATGCTATTTTGCAGGATCCAGAAGATGGTGCTGCTTCACTGTCTGCCATGAGCCTCGCTTCCGAAGCCGATTACCTTGACATCATACCCGGAACGGACCTCTCTTCAAACTTGCTTCCCCAACTCTCCCCATCGCTCTATAACACATACGCTTCTGCGCCACGCATCAACTGGTTATACCTCTACAAGCAGCGGCGCCGGCTAGAAGACAATTGGAACAAGGGGCGATACACGACATTCCAGCTGCCACATCCTGATCATCCCGACGAAGCTCATGATGAGTGCGTCTACACGATACAGCACTCGCGTGACTGGCTAGTAAGTGGTAGTCGCGACAAGACCATTGCCATTTGGGATCTGGAAACTCAGAGGCGTGTGAGGACTCTCTCGGGAGCTCATATTGCGTCTGTGCTGTGTCTGCAGTTCGATGAGCGTCCGGACCAAGATATTGTGGTTTCAGGCGGAAGTGACTCCTTTGTTGTCATCTGGCGCTTCTCGACTGGTCGCATCATTCGCAAGATGGATGAAGCACATACTGAATCCGTACTCAACCTACGTTTCGATGACGACCTGCTGATAACCTGCTCCAAGGATAAGACCATCAAGATCTGGAATCGTAGAGAACTCTTTTTGGATAACGATCTCGTTCCGGCGGTCGCGAAACGTCAGCTTGAAATCGGCCATCCTATGAACCCTATCAAGGAGTACTCACTGCTACTCACACTCCTCGGCCATGGTGCAGCAGTCAATGCAATTCAAATGCACCAAGGTCAGATTGTTTCCGCTTCCGGAGATCGAACCATCAAGCAATGGGACATCAACACTGGTATATGCACAAGGACGTTTACCGGTCACACCAAAGGCATTGCCTGTGTGCAGTACGATGGTCGCCGCATCGTGAGTGGCAGCAGCGACAACACTGTCCGTATTTTTGACGCAGCTACGTCTGCAGAAGTTGCTTGTCTACCCGGCCACAGTAACTTGGTGCGTACTGTCCAGGCTCGCTTTGGTGATATGGCTATCTCATCGGAGGAGCTCGAAGCCGATGCACGTGCTGTCGATGAGAGATTCCATGACGCTCGCATGAATGGTTTGAACCCTGATCAGAATAGAGTCCGGGGCCAGCGCAACGCTGGCTCGAGCAACCCCAACGAGGTATGTGCCGTTGGTGCGAAGATTCCGCCGGGAGGTGGTGGTAATGCCTGGAGCCGCATCGTATCAGGCTCCTACGATGAGACGGTCATCATTTGGAAGAAGGACTCTGACGGTAAGTGGGTTCCGAGCAGAAGATTGCGGCAAGACGAGATTCTTCAAAATAGACGGAGGTCTCGGGTGCAAGCTGCAGCTGCTGTCCAGCAGGTAACGCAACAGCCACGCCAGAACAGTGCAGACGAGCAAGATACAAATGTACAGCCAGCTCAGTCCACTCTCTCGGTCTCGGCGCCGGTCCAAGATGCACAGCTTCAACAAGACCTCCAACAGCTGGCCCAAATAAACATGCAGCAACAAGCCCAACAGCATGCACAGAACCACGCCGGCCCGGCTGCTCCACCTGCTAATCACCACCATCATCATCACGGTCACCACGGAGCTGCTGGACACCACGGCCGTCATCGTGTCAGAGAAGACAGCAACCGTGTTTTCAAGCTTCAATTCGACAGTCGACGTATCGTGTGTTGTTCGCAGAACAGAGTCATTGTAGGCTGGGACTTTGCTGCTGGCGATACCGATCTCGAACAAGCGAGTCGTTTCTTTGGCGAGACGGATTAGATCATGGCAGTCATGTTGGTCTAAGTTTCGATTGAATTGTTGCATGCCTTGAGAGCTATGGTCGTCTTGACCAGTCCTTGAGCATCTTTCCTGGCGAAGGTTGTACTTTTAAGAGTCACGAAGCTCTTGACGAGCAAAGACATAATGAATTGATTGTATCCAATGTATCACACATTGTCCACCTATCCAGTCTCGTCGAAGCGCCATGACCCTGACCCGCGCGATGCTCGTAGTAGAATCGGGATTATTCTTGGAAATGCAAACATCAGGTGATGTTTGTCGGACGAAGATTTACTCGACTGTTTACGTACGCGCAAGATACGAGCCTCAAGGGTGTAGATATAAAGAGCATGCAGGAGTCACAGAATGAGTGCTTCCCTGCTCATCCCCATCTCAAGCCGGTCCCCGCCATGCCCCCACGTGCATGTCGAGTCGTTTGCGTTCAGACCAGCTGCAATGCACAGCGTGCGTTGCTACCAGAGCTTCGGTTAAGCAGTCAGCGCTATTGATTTAGATGCAGATCTACTCTGATGGTCAAAGAAAAGACAGCCGCAGCTCTGTGACATGTCGCAGACAGCCAAAGGGGTAGGAGCAAGCACAGAGGCGCAGTGTTGAGCTGCAAGCGCTTCACAGCTCGCGAGGCGGTCTGCAGATTGGCATACTTGCGGCACGTCTTGTGTGTAGCGATAAGAGTGTCGAACAAGGCGGGATCCAAGACATCGCTGTTGATCGAGAGACAAAGCGGTCATCTGGGCAAAGTTTTGGCCAGCGAAGCGCCGGCAACGGTATCCGTCAGTGCGCCGGAGAAGATGATGGTGGCAGCTTCCCAACAGCTCGCAAGCCGAGAGGAGAGCCAGTTCTTTCCATTATTTGATAAGACCCGCGACACTCTTGCAGTTGACAAACGCTCATCGCTCATCACTACCTTCTAATCGATAGCCAAACGACGCAGGCCACCCATTTCTTCCGAGCAAAAACACCAGCCTCTCCAAGCCATGTCAGAGAACACCGGTCCTAAGGGTACGTGAGTCAACAGCTCTATCGTTGCTTTCCCGTCATCGGCCCAGCTTCTTGTCTTTTTGTCCTTCTCTCCTTCACACCCAACACCATGCGGCCTCTTGCTCAATTCGCTGTACGAGCTTCTCGCTCTGGCAGAGCATTGCGTGCATTCAAGCCCACACCCACTTGCTATTTCCACACGTCACCACGCTCGCTGTGTCCGGACTCACAGAACGAGAACGACGATGACTACCGTACCATTGCCCACACGACAACACCTCTAACAATGCTGACCATCTATCTGTACAGGCGGCTTCGCCCACACCCTCGCCGAGCGCGTTGAGCAATGGAGCACCAGCATGGAGAAGTCCGACCCCGACTTCTTCCCCAAGTCAGCAAAGGGCCAGTCCCCCAAGATTCTCTGGATTGGATGCGCCGACTCTCGTATTCCCGAATCGACCATTCTGGGCCTGAAGCCTGGCGAGGTCTTCGTCCACCGCAACATTGCCAACATCATCACACCCACCGACATCAACTCGCTTTCCGTCATTGAGTTCGCCGTTGCTCACCTCAAGGTCGAACACATTCTCGTCTGCGGCCACACCAGCTGTGGTGGTGTCAATGCCGCCCTTGGAAACACCAGACTTGGTCTTCTCGACGTTTGGCTGCAGCCCATGCGCCAGTTGAGAATGGAGCACACAGAAGAGCTGGAGAAGATGGGATCTCAGGCTGAGAAGACCCACAGACTCAGTCAGTTCAACATTTTGCGCAGTCTCGACACTCTGAGAATGAACCCTACCGTCATCGACGCCATGGCCGAGCGCAACTTGGAGCTGCACGGTGTCATCTACCACGTCGAGAACGGCAAGCTTGAGGTTGTCGAGTCCACCGAGGAGGAGAACAGATTGAAGAAGCGTCTTGCTGCCTTCACCACAAAGACTGCATAAGTGCAATGTGTACATTTTTGAAAGGGCCCTCTCGAGGTCCGTGGAGTAATTCTGGAGTAGGCATTGGCAAACACTCAAGTATGGCCTATTACGATAAACGGGAGGTGGGAACTATTGGAAGAGGCTAGCTATACAGGTTGAACGCGTTCAATTGCGGCGACACATAATCAACATCGAAATCACATCAATCGACTTTGCTCATACATGGCCAATCTTCCAAATACTTCGTGAGTCAGTGTATCCACTTTGTGGAGCCACTGCGATGCCGGATGTTCGGACATAGCGGCATAGCTCCATGCTCATGGAATAAGTTGTTTCGCTTTCACCTTTGGTTCTTCCAAACAAAAGTGACCTGGCAAAACGAAATGCACGAACTAGCAGCGTATGCCAAACCGCAAGAGTCCAAGATGAAGTACCAGTAGTGAGTTCCATACCCTTCACTGACATGGCCCATCCATATCCTGACTCTCGATCTAATCCAGCTTGGGACAATCCGGACTCAAGGTCTCTCAGATCATCCTGGGAGCCATGTCCTACGGTTCTTCCTAATGGCAGGACTGGGTGTTAGACGAGGAGCAAGCATTGTGAGCATACACCCACTCAAAAAGAGTAAGAAGCAGCAATTAACTAACTCCTTTTCCAAGGCCTCTACTCAAATATGCCTACGACCGCGGCATCAATACTTGGGATACTGTTCGTCTCCCCCTTTTCTCACTCCTCCTTCTCGCCATAACCCGACTAATTACGACTCCACAGGCAGACGTTTACTCTAACGGCCGCAGCGAAGAAATCATCGGCAAGGCAATCACAGAATACAAAATTCCTCGCCATCGCCTCGTGCTGCTGACAAAATGCTACTTTGGCGTCACCGACGACGACAACAATGTTCACCAACCCACGATTCCTGAAATGATGACCAATGACGGGGACTTGGTGAACCGCGTGGGATTATCGAGAAAGCATATCTTTGATGCAGTGGAAGCTAGTGTGAAGAGATTGGGTACTTATATCGATGTGTAAGTTTTTTTCTTGGAAATCGTGTTTCTGTTGCTTTTCCTCGTGTAGCAGAGGGAGAAATTTGCTGATGAGAAATGCGAAAACGTACAGATTGCAAATCCACAGGCTGGACAGAGGAGCCCCGAAAAAGGAAATCATGAAGGCGTTGAACGATGTCGTTGAAAAGGGCTGGGTGCGCTATATCGGTGCTTCTTCAATGGCAGCTTGGGAATTCCAACAACTGCAGGTAAGTTCTACTCTCTTCCATCTTTCTTCCAATCGCACGAAACCAAGGCAAAGCAAAAGAGGAGAAAGGACTGACGAAAAGGATTCATCATCAAAAAGAACATTGCAGAAACAAACAACTACCACAAATTCATCAGCATGCAAAACTACCACAACCTCCTCTACCGCGAAGAAGAGCGCGAGATGATACCCTATTGCAAAGCCACCGGCGTGGGCTTGATCCCTTGGTCCCCCATGGCCCGCGGCATCCTCGCCCGCCCTTGGTCCTCTCGCACATCAACTCGCGAGTCCTCTGACAACACACTCAAAGCTTTGATCCGCAACAAAGAAACCTCCGCCGACGAAAAGATTGTCAAGAAAGTTGAGGAAATGGCAGAGAGAAAAGGGATAAGTATGGCGGGTGTGGCGGTGGGGTGGAGTGTCGCCAAAGGCGATATCCCGATTTTGGGGTTGAGCAGCAAAGAGAGGATTGATGAGGCGTGTGCGAATTGTAGGGTGGAGTTGAGTCAAAGGGAGATTGCCGAGTTGGAGGAGTTGTACGTGCCTAAGGCTGTTAGTGGGTTCTAGAGGATCTTTCGGATGGTTTGAAGGAACCACAGAGATTATAGGTCAGATGATGAATGCATAATAGACATTGAACTATCTCGTTGCCAAAACAAGCGAACAGCTGTATGGTCTGATCCACCTTTTTTCCAATACCTCTGACTTTTGACACGGGAGCGAGCTCTAATAAGTACCAGCCTTGCCAGCACAACCCATATGATCGATCCAATACTCGCATTGCTTCTTGATCAAATCCGTGCCCGTCTCCAGTTGCTCGGTCAAAGGCACTTTACCGGTCTTCTCGGCCGTGTAAGCAAAGTAATCAGACAGCACCATTTTGTTGACGTTGACGCGTGTGACGCCTCTTTCGATGCATTTGGATAGGATTTCGGGGATGAACTCGTTGGTGCCGTGTAGCACGATCTGGACTCTGTCGTCTACTTTTTTCTGGATAGCTTCGAGACTGTTGTTTCGGTTGTTAGTAAAGGGTTGCTGGATGGGAGGTTTGGGTCGAGGGAGAGAGAGAGAGAGAGGGCCAATAAGCTTACCGGTCGTAATCCAAATGGATGTTTTCCACGCCGTGGTAATCACCATGTACGTTTCCGAACGCAGGAGCCAGGAAATCAATCCCGGTAGCGATGAAATCGTCGACTTCTTCTGCTGTGGTCATCATACCCTCCAATTCTGCAGTATCCTTGACACCGTCTTCGCCTCCCTCGATACGTCCCGGCTCGGCTTCCGTAGCAATACCCTTGGAATGGCACAACTTCACCAGCTCAGTGGTTTTGGCAAGGTTCTCCTCTTTCTCATAGTGTGACATGTCTACCATGATGGAATCAAACATGGGTGTGCCATCATGTTTCTTGAGGTCTGCAGCCCGCTTGATGACTTCCGGGTCTTGGGCGTGGTCCATGTGTAGAGTTACGGGCACAGAGGCGGCTGCACAGGCTTCGGCGGCGGCAGACACAAAGGAAGGTGAATAGTGCAGCGCCCAAGGGAAGAGCAGGATTTGTAGAGGTGCTTTCTTTGCTTCGGCGGCGCGGATGGCGCCGATGATGGTTTCAAGGTTGTAGGATACGACTCCCAGGACGCCGTATTTGCCTTTAGCTGCTGCGTTGAGCATGCGTACGGCTGGGTTGTTGGTGAGTTTTTGGAGTGCCATTGTTGCTGGTTGTGATAGGCTTCAGAGGTTTATGCTATTGTGTCGACTGGACTGTATTTCTATCCTTGAAACAGCAGAATAGGTCGAATTGAATGACCAAGGGATTTTCTAGAAAAAGACAAAACTATCGCGCCGCCCATGTTCGAGGATATATAAACAACCGGTAAGGTCATTGCCCCGCTACCTCTACCCCACCGGTCTTCTCGCCGAATTTGTGTCCCGCGTTGCCCACCCACCCTGGGCTTCCGAAGCATTCTGCCTAGCGGAGAAGAGTGGAGGATCCTCGGAGGATGCACGGCGTGGTCATCGGTCGTTTTGCCGAAGAGGCTATTCGGTGTGATATGTGCCGATGCCGGAAGTCGGGTAGCGATTGCGAATGATGATGCATTCTTGTATATATTCAGTCTATGAAGGTCTGCTTAGTTCTCAGGTTGCAGCCAAAGGCCGCGTCGCTTTGACGAGAAGATGCCAGAAAGAGAGTCTGGACAGGAACAATGAAACAAGAAATGAGAATAGTTCAAAAAGAAGATGCTTTTCCACACGTACTCGTAACTTCGTTCATGTATTGGGCAGCGAGGCATTAATCATTACAAACCGAGCAGATGTCGAGCGATAGGCCTGCAAAGCCTCCTCCAACAGTTTCCGAGAAACAGGCGTATCGAACCGTGTCGGCAGGTGGCATGCATGAATACTGACCTAACAACCTTGTGCAGACCAACAAGCGTATGCATAGTACCGGACGATACTAGTATGGCGGCTCACAGGGTGTATCCGTCTCGTAAGACATACTGTCGTGTATGCCTTCATCTCCGAGTGTCCTTTGGAGATACATCACGGGTGTCGACGTTGCTCATAGGATCCATCCAACCATGAGTGGTTTGAGGTTTGAGAAATTCGGAAATGCTTTATCCTAGTTGGCATGTCCGTTCGTAGGCACATCCTCCTCTACTTCGACGTACTTGGCACACGCAAAGTAGCCTTTGTTCTCGACCACACCACGGTTCCTGACGACAGCCGTGTACTTGATGACCCATTGAGGGATGACCTGGCCGTCCATCTTTTGACCGTTCTCTTGACGCTTTCTCTTCTCTCCAATCTTCTCCGAGGCTTGCGACAGGACACCAGCACCTTCGTGATCGAGAAGTCCCCTGATGGTACCACGAGGCATGATATTGACCGAGTCATTGTTGACGAGCAGTTCAACATTCTTGCTCTTGGCCAGGCTAGATAGCGGCTGGGGTACGCTACAGCAGTCACGCAGACTGATCTGGTTGACCGAAGGCTGAACACTTGCCTTCTCGAGGAAAGGTTGCAGGCGGTTTGCGCCAAACTCGGATACGCCTAGTCTTCGTACCAGTCCGTCTTTGTGCAGCTTTTCGACCAGCTTCCAAGTTTCCAACTGGTTGTCCACAGGCTCAGGAGAAGACTCTTTGGTTCCTCTGCTCTTGATCTTGTCCGGACAGCACTCACTCTCCTCGTCAAAGTAGACACCAGGGAATGAAACAATCAAAAGGTCGACATTAGGCATGTGCAGCTCCTTCTGAACCAGATCAATCGCTTGACGAAGATGCTCCCCTCTTGCAGAAGTGTCTTCATCGGAAAGGAAGAAGATCTTTGCGGTTATGTCATATTGGTCTCTCTCTTCGTGTAGGGAACTGTTGGTGAAGTCGAGTCGTGGGATGTACAGGGTTTTGGCGTCGTCCGAGTACGAGACCCAATCCGCATGCTGAGAAGTGCCATTCTGCTTGGGCTCTTGTGAGAGTTCTTTGGCCTCCTGTTGTGCGCCCTCGAAACTGTCGCGTAGGCTCCATGTGAGTTCGGTATGGGAATTGTCGGCGGCATTGACGCCTTGTTGAAGCATGGTATTGCTAAGAGATATGAGCACAAGCCGGCATGACGCAGTATAACAAGCATTACCCGGTGGATAGAATAATGGTTTCGGCCGTCATGATTGTTGAGGTGGATTTCTAAGCGGAAAAAGTAGGAGATGATTAGGACGCTCAAAAAATGCGAGAGATGTACAAAAAAGCAAAAGGCAGCAGGATGCAATGCGAGTGCGACGATTGGAACAGCAGAGAGCAGGCAGGTGTCGTGTGAGTGGCGGTAGGAATACTTGAGAAAAGGTAGAGGAGTGGGATGGTGGGATGGGATTGTATGATTTGGGGCTGACTTGAGGAAAGCGCTATCGCCGAGGTTGGCCGAGAGCCAAAAAGGCAGTTGCGGCGCGGAGGGACAGAGTCTGGAGCAGGTGCCAGGTGTGAGGGCTGCGACTGTGACAGGCTGGCTGTTGGCATCGTACACTCAGGAGGGGCATTGTTTCTCGACGCAACAAGCTTCTCTCTACTTTCAACAACCAAGATGCCCATCAAGTAGGCCGCTCCCTCTGTTCGGGAGTGCTTGCCCTTGCTAATGCGCTCGCTAGATATCTGATTCTGCTGTCAAGGCAGGGCAAAGTGGTGAGCGCAGCAGCGTGCAAGCTGCAGAGAGGCAGGAGCTAACGCAACCAACACAGCGCCTCGCAAAGTGGTTCACAACACTGTCGCCCAAGGACAAGGCAAAGATCATCAAGGATGTATCGCAGCTAGTCCTCGCCCGCCGCACGCGCATGTGCAACTTCCTCGAGTACAAGGGTCGGTCGCATCGTGTCCCCCACCTACGCACCAATCCACAAGCTGACGGATTGTGTCAAAGATTCGAAAGTCGTCTACCGCCGCTACGCTTCCCTCTTTTTCATCGCCGGTTGCGCCTCCGACGACAATGAGCTCATCACACTAGAGATTGTCCACCGCTATGTCGAGCAGATGGACAAGTACTACGGCAATGTCTGCGAGCTCGACATTATCTTCAATTTCCAAAAAGCATACTTTATCCTCGACGAGCTACTGCTAGCCGGAGAGATGCAAGAGAGCAGCAAGAAGAATGTCCTCAGGTGTATCGGCCAGCAAGACAGTCTTGAGGACATGGAGGTACGCAATCCCATCTCTACACACTCGCTGTCGCTTCCCGCAATTCCTGCACACGCTGCTATTGCTTCATGAATTCGACGCGGCTTTCTATCCCAGCCAACACCACTTTCATCCATCTGGCATCTGCCAACACGTACTCACACTGATCCAGGTCGAAGACGAGGCCGTCACGCGCATCATGTAGAGGCAGTCTTTCAACAATGCCGCCGTCGACATGACCGCTTCTCATACTTCCCAGCACTCGCAGCATTTTATGGCGTTACATCGGAAAACAGGAGTTACTGGTGGTTCTGTGATTTGCATTTGGACAACGATACCACAACATGTGCACTACTAGCAATACAAACGAGTGTCCCTCGCCTTAGGCAGGGCTTCCGGGTCTTAGGCCTGCTGCTCAATCATAATGACCATCCAACGATGCCCTTTTTGGTTCAGGCTCTTGGTGTGACTCTGCTGCGTTTGCTCTTGCTATCTGTCCCTCTGTTCTTCGCTTCCTGTTCTCATCGAGATCTGCTGGCTGTCTTGGTCGTTGACCTCGTTGTGGTGTATTGACTTTGTCTTTGTCTAGGTGCTTGTCTCGACTCAAGACGTCCCTCTCTTGGACACCTGTGTCATGGATGTCATCAACAACAACAACAAAGCAAATCACAACAAGCGGCCACGTTCTCGACATGTTGGTTGATACATCAAACCGAGACGGTTGTTTTGGCAGACAGATGTTTAGGTCCGGGCTTATGATTGGCTTTGCCAAACCGCGCATGCGTCACCAAAGCCCCAAACCGCCGAGCGTCGAGAGAGGGACCGCATTCGGCCACAGCCAGTCTCGCGATCCAACGGTCCCCTCGGCCGCTCGTAATACACCACAGCACAGCTATCACCACCACTCATCCTTGCTCTCTTCCGTCCCCCAGCGATTTATTATTCGACCCAGCACCATTAACCATATCTGCGACCGAGTGCGACACTCATATACCCGGTCGACCGCTTATCAGCAGCCGTTCGACTCCTCCTTGCGCACTACCGCCAGTCGTCGCATCTCGTCACGCGTCTACAAACGCATCTTACACACATCCTTCACTCGCCCAGCAAACATCTGGACGAATCTCTACCACTCTATACCGACAACTATCCTTATCGTATCACGTAACACCCGCCTAGCAACGGCGCATCAACCTGCACCATGAAGGTGAGCTCATTTCCGACGCGACATCGTCTGCAGCCTGCTAATCTATCTTCAGTACGTTCCTCTTCGCGACTTCCAAGTCATCACAGATGCCCTCAACTTCTCGACCACCGACCTGCACGTCATTGGCAGCTGCGACCTTTACACAACGAAAGCTGCTGGTAGCGACAAGAAGCTGTACAAGAACATTGAAAACTCGCTTGAAAAGGAACACGGAAACCTGTTGCGCTTGGCCGCATCGCTATCGCCCCCATCAATTCCCATCGACAGCAGGAAGAAAGAGCGCAAGCCATCAGTCCACATGCCCGAGATCAATCTTTCCCGCGACAGCCCTTTCGGTTCTTTTAACCAGATCAGCGCAAGACGAACATTCGCCTATCTTATCGCGACCCTGAACGCATCACACCCTGACTACGACTTCTCACATATCCTCCGTCCTACCGACTTCCGCAAGACAACAGGCACAGCAATCAGGAGAAGCGTCGATAGCACCCTCATGAACATGCGCCCTCGTCGCATGTCCACTCTTCTGTCACCTCATGCCAAATCGTCTCTGAGTGCTGGTTCACCTCAAGGCATCACTTCACCAAATGCAGAGTTTGTATGGGGCGAGCATATGTGGAAGCTGATGGACAAGGAGATGGACCTCAAGGCCTGTGAGAAGTACACATGGGATCCTGAGGACGATCCCTTTGAAGGCGAAAGCGCTTTGTGGAGTCAACACTACTTCTTCTTCAACAAGGACAAGAAGAGAGTCTGCTACCTCAATTTCCGCTCGTTCAGTGTCTTGTCACACTCACCCGCCAACGGTATGCATCCGCGCACCGTCCCCATTACCAATCCTGGAGTTGGTGAGGGAGCAGGAAAGAGAGCCCAGTACTGGCTTGGCCACAGTGTCGATGACGACGATGTCGACAACTGGAGAGAGGACGACGATCTCGAGTTTGATGACTCGATGAGCATCGACAACGACAGCAATGAAGGCGAGTACAGGAATGACCTTGACGATGTCCGCGACAAGCTCGAGGACGGCTACTACGCCTGGGCTGATGGCACTGTTGATTCGACCGATGCCTCTGGTTGGGATCCTCGTCGCATGCACCGTGGCTCTAGTGAGGGTCCGGCTGATGCCATGGAGATCTGATCTGCTGAGCAAGATATCACATCTCGGTGGTCGTCACGGCCACCACTATTCACGAACGCTGGACGTTAATTTCTTGTTCATACTAAGTTCTAATCTGGGCATCGGAGTGGTTCATGGCAGGGCTGGCAATGGCGTTTGAGATTATTTCTCTTTCTTCTGTTTTTATGACTATACCAGGCGCTGGGTTCTTGGAGTGGGAGATAGCCAAGCGACTCGGCCTGGATGGATGTGTTAATAGCGCCTATATCGTGTTTTACCTGAGAACAAACGACGTTCGGAATGATTACAACGAGATTCTCTGCATCTTGTGCCAGTCTTGTTATGATATAATGCAACACCTTGATGATCACAGCATAATGCACATGTGGATCACAGCAATATCAGAGCCGCGCCACCCGAGATCGATCAGATTGAGATCAGACCAAGAGGGTGCAGGAGTATGAATCCGGCAAATTGTGGTACGATAAGAATCGAAACAGACATGGGAAATTGAGGCAAAGGTTCAACCGAAATCGTCAAACTCGTGTATCGTCATCTCATCTCCCCGAAATTCCGTGAATACCATCATCCCAAGTTCTCCACACATGACAAGAAAGTTGGACATCACAACACAAAGATGGAAGGTTCAGACGACGAGCAACAGTCAGTCTACACCGTGCTAGTCACCGGCGCAAACAGGTAAACTCGCGACAGAGAGATACGAACCCCCAAAGACAAATGACTGACATGCAACAAACAGCGGTCTAGGCTTCTCGACCTGCTGCCGCCTCATCGACGAATTCCTCTTTACGCGCCCACAAACGCAATCGCTCCACCTCCTCATCACCACCCGCTCCGCCTCAAAAAACAAAGACACACAATCGCGACTGCAGCAGCACCTGCAAAAGACACTCCACAAAGCCGACAAGAGCACCCCCGGCATCTCCAAAGTTTTGGCCTCGCGCATAGCCATCTCAGGCGAACAAGTGGATTTGTGCAACCTGCGCAGTGTCAAAGAGCTTGGAGAAAGATTGGTGAACAAGGGACAAAGACTAGATGTGCTTATCTGCAATGCGGGCATCGGAGGGTGGAAGGGCTTGAACTGGCCTTCTGCCATTTGGTCAATGATGACGGATTGGAAACATTCGTGCACGTATCCAACCTACAAACTGGGCTTTGTGGGCAGCGTAGCGCCCCAAGGAAATGAAGACAAGCAACAGCAGTTGGGAGAGGTTTTTACGGCGAATGTGTTTGGGCATTACTTGCTTGCTCATTGGCTTGCGCCGCTGATGAAGGCGGATGTGTCAAACGACCCTGGCCGCATCATCTGGATATCGAGTATCGAGGCTTATGCGCATGCTTTTGATGCAGACGACTTGCAAGCGCTGACTTCAGATGCGGCATACGAGTCTTCGAAACGCCTCACTGATTTGCTGGTCTTGACTTCTGAGTTGCCATCTACTGCAACTTCCACCGCTGCCTTCCTCGACGAAAGCGATGACGGCCAGAAACCGAAAATGTACTTGGCACACCCGGGTGTTTGTGCGACGAGTATTGCAGACTTGCCTTTGGTCTTGTGGTATGCAATGCTGTTTGCTCAATACGTTGCTCGTTGGTTGGGTTCGCCCTGGCATCCTGTCTCTTCATATCTGGGCGCTGTATCCAGTGTGTGGCTATCACTGGCACCCTTCTCCACCCTCTCCAACCAAGAAACCACTGATGGAAAAGCAAAATGGGCGAGTTCTACAGACGTGTTTGGCAATGAACGCGTTGTAAGAACTGAAGTGGGTGGATGGGGATGGGGAGGCAAGGTAGGAGAGAAAGCGGATGGAAAGATGAGATTGAGTGCAAATAGGTGGAGAGGCCAAGAGGACGTCACTAAAGAGTCGAGAGAGGAGTTTGAAGTGTTAGGGCAGAGAGTCTGGAGGGAAATGGAGGATTTGAGGAGGACTTGGGAGAAGAGGTTGCGAGTTTAATATGCAACTCACCATTCGCACCACCTAACCACTCTGTAAACGTCACAAAACAACATTTACACCTTGTGAGAGTCTACCTACCTCTCCCTCTATCACCATGTCCTTCACCTCCCCCTCTTCCTGTTGGAAAAAAGGCCAAAAAGTCGACCGTTACCACCCTCCAATTCGAACCCACAACCCCCTCCCTTCCGCTCCTCTCACCCAACAAGGCAATATCCTTCTAACCTCTACACAAAAAGAAGGTCTCGATGTCGAGACATTCGGTGAAGTTCCAAAGATTTGAGTAGGCACTGTCTTTGCTCTCCATCCCTGTTTGAATTGGTAAAAGGCAAATTCGAAGTCAGAATAATGGAAGAGCAGTGCTAACTGGAGCTGAATTGCGATGAAATATAAACTCTTCAGAAAGCAACATGGTCTGTGCATGAATCGGACGGCTGGTGAACCCTGGTCACAAACTCATCGTAATCACTTTCGCTCTTCTCATGCTCTTTTCACAGACAATCTGGACGAGTCTATATCTTGTGTCGAAGGGTGTATGGGGTGGAGATTGAAACTGGTTGCTAGGTTGCTCATATGTTGTGCTAAAGCCTACCTATGTTTCTAACATCTCAAACGCGACAACACATCCATTCACTAATCCAGTTGAGCCACTTGTACCTGCGCCGTCTCCCACCAAGCACCATCACACAAGAAAGACAACCTGTTCCGATCCATTGTTCGCCCGATGCCTCAAGCTCTACACCCAGATCAGCAAACAAGCGGTCAAATCACCAGACACCGTGAAAGGAGGGCAGAGGCCTTGGTATCGCTGCAAGATCCACTCGACGTCCACTATCCCTGCACATCCACATCCGCTCGACCACCGCTCCTCCTGATTCACAAGCTGTCTTGACGTTCTCACTTGTCTGCGTGATCGTCAATAGATAGAGAGGAGTAAATGATAAGAAATGATCGACGAGCGACTGATATGAATAGGAGAGCATGGAAACACGGACCGTTTGCTGTTCGGCAAAGTGGACAATGTTGATCATGATTAGCCCGAGGGAGGCTCGGAGTGGGTCTGATTGGTGTAGGAAGAACATCACATGGCAAAGTAGAAGATTGTCGTGGCTGATAACAAGCAGATAGTGTGGTTAGATGGCACCCACAATGGCCTAAACATGATGTATGGTAAGAATCAATACGATGAGAATAACGTCTGGGGATGAGATAGATGCATAGAGCAAAATTTAGATTTGTCTTTTTGAGAAGGACGTTTCGTCCTTAGTATAGATATATGCAAAACATGATAAGAACACCGAGATATGCTAGCGAGTGTATGTGATGATGCTCTAAAGTGTATGAGACAAGAAAACAGAAAAAGGACGAGAATGGTAAAATCTACGCAGCTTCCCTCGACTCATTCGGAGGACAAGGCGGATCGAAATATGGTATCTTAGAAAATGTTTTTATGCAGGAGAAAGGAGGACCAGAAAATACTGGGAGACGCCGGACGCTGTGCAGGATTTTGAACAAGGAGAATCGTTTTTTTGTTGTTTTGAGGCATGTTTTTGTTGCTTGAGTTAGATCATGGATCGATATTTCCCATGGCGGCGTCTAGATCCGTGCTGCGGCGGACTTCTTGCTCGATGAGTTTGTCGACAAGATCCGAGTGCTGAGCTGAGAGTTGGGCGGCTGCTTCCTGTGCAGCGGCGGCGTGGGCAGCGGCAGACGATGCGTGAGTAGCGCCTGCCGATAGATAACCGTCCTGGCCTTCGAGCTCAAGTGGCGTTACAGGACCAGGACTACCCAGTGGTGCAAGGCGTGGGCTCAAGGGCTTCTCGAAGCGGAGTGATGGCGGCCTTGATGATCCTGCATTCACCGCGGCAGTGACGGCAGCCTGAGCAGCCAGAGTCTCCCGGTGGTAAAGATAGAGTTGCTTCTGAGCTTCCGAGTAGAGCCTCTGCTGAGCCTTGGGACTGACTGGAGGGTTGGAAGGCGACAGAGGACCGGTGCTGGGAGTGCTTGCAACCGAGGATGATTGTGACGAAGGAAAGTTTGCCGGATGGAAACGGGGCAGACCAGGTAGCTTGAGTGTATTGGCAGTAGAGGCGTTGCGATGGCGCATTTGCGAACTTGTGGCGGCAGAGCGAGGATGGAGACCGCGAGGTGACGGAGGCTGCAATTCGTAGCGTGGAGTGGGCTCAAAGCGGGAAGACATGGGCGATGAAGGCCTCAGAGCAGGCGAGGCGCGAGGAGAAGGCATGGAAGGAAGACAGCGGGTGTCAGGATTGGTTGTTAGAGTTGAAGGGTGCTGGGGATGTTGGAGCATCATTGGAAGAGCCAGAAACTTAGGAGGGCGATTGTGGGATTTGTCGGATCCAGAAGATCAGCTCCTTCGATTGCAATATATCCGAATTCTTCAGGCAAGCGAGTCGTGTTTGCTGGGGGGTGGTGCGAGGAAAGCACGAACAAACGTTGATCTTGTCGTTCGGGGTTTGAAGCAGAAAGAGCGAGTATGGCCCGATCTCTCTTAGGGTTGGCCTTGTTATATTCAAATGGGATTATCGCGGAGGAGCAGCAGGGGGGATAAAGAGGAGTTGATGGAAAGTGAGACGCTTTTTTTCTCGACGATACGAAGCCCCAAAACATGGGCTCGGGTCACAAAACGGTGGGTCCTCCATGGCATTATTATATCGCGATGTCCGTAACTGCTCGATACGCGATCGAAAATGAGGGCCCAAACCACCGACCAAGCCTTCCCCTCACCAAGAGCACCACTTCTGCGTCATGCAACAAAGCACGTCCGCTTAGGCCCGTCGACAGGTCCTCGCGCCTTCACACGGCTAATCCTGACCTCTGATCAAGCACGCCATGTCAAGGTTTCAGAGGAGCCAAACCCTCGCATTTTGCGGGTGCCTTGTCGCCGTGTCGCAGCTTTCCGCGTATCAAACCTTTTCCAAATCCTGGTCTTCCCATTCGCATCAAAGCACTCCAGAGGCTCAAGTCGAAGCCAAAATTCCACACACGACATAGCCGTTTGATGATCCACGTGTAACGTCTTTTCCAATTGGTCGCGCAAGATGACTGCACAAAATGATCATGATGCCGAATGCTGCCATTCTACATGGGAATCAAGCCCGTGTGTAGCTTGGTATTTTTTTCCGATCATGCTTGCTTCGAGCATGTCACCACCCAGCAGTGACCTGCTGCGCTTTTGCAGGTGTCGTCTTCATGACCCCCTCGCTTCTAATGTCCATTCTTCCTATCTATCTGCGCACGCTGTCATACTAAACTTTGGCGCTGTCTCTGCTGCTGCAGCAGCAAGCTGGACGGTTATCGGCACTTGGTTCCAATCCATGTCAAGTTACGCGCTGCACCGTCATCTCTTTTGTCGTCTACAACTCTATGCATGACTCTTGGCTTCACCAGCCTTGAATCTCCGAGTGGCTGAGATTAGCTAAAGGATCGAAAACACACCTGCAGCGGCGGGTCACTAAGCCAAGTATTGTGCCAATTGCACTTGTCACATCATCCAGTTGGCACCAAGAGATTGCCCGGGACGTCGTGAAAAGAAATTGAGACCAAGCGAATCCCTTCCTACTCTGTCCACACTGCCGGACCTGCATCCCGTGACGGGTGTGGCTTTCCCTCGCCTTTCCTTCTTCTTTCTCTTGACCGTACACTCACGTGATGCGCACCATGAGTCTCTGACACGTCCACTATCCTCCGAAGCTGTCATCAGAAGAGACAGGGCGATTGCGGAAAACTCAGGCGCGATCTCGGGCAAAGGAGACACTCCCCGACCACTCTTCCTCTTTTCTCCGGCCAAGTGTTTTCCCGACGGTGCTGCGGGAATCGCAGTGATGATCTCTTACCACATTTGCAGCCCGCGGTGACCGGTCCTTCTTTGGCCGCTTCGCTTTGGTGACTACGACATCCTTCTGAGGAGGGAAGACGGAGAAGGTTGGGCTATGCGTGCTCGAGGACGCGACTCCGACTCGTGATAATGATAGACATGCACGGTAGGACGAGGATCAGTTTCCACTCCGAACAACGTGGTGGAGCATGAGAAAAAGATCGTCCTTGTCGAAGAGGACCAAGATCGAAGGAAAGTCGATGCGCAGCAACCGCATCTCAGGAAACTGTATCTTGTCGCTCTGCTCTCGATTGTCGCGCACACATTCTCTCCCACTCACACTACCACACACTCGCACTGACACATAGAGACTGCCCGCGTCTCGATCGGATTCTCTATGCTATGTGTGGCCTAGAAATCTTCGCTATGTGGTTTGCGTGCCTCTCTCTTTCACTGTTGCAGTGCCATACATGTCTTCGCCTATCTTACCCTTCAGACTTTAAGTGTTCATCGGCGATGAATGCAGACTGGTTTGCGAGAAAGACTTGTCGTAGTCATCACTCTCCGCGGTTCAGCTGTTCTGAACAAAACTTGCAGGCATTCTTAGACGATGAACAGTGTACAAACAAAAAGTCAATTGCGCTAGGCACCAACTTAAGTGACCTTGAATTTCTTCAATTCGTTCGCAAGCCGCACCTGCATTGCAACATCTAGACCTCGAGAACTGCAGTACGTAAACGTGGTGCAATCAGAAGCCAAAATTCCCTCTCTCTCTCTCTCTCTCTCTCTCTCTCTCTCTCGCAACCTACATCCCGCGACTCTGCATGTCTGGATCGCACAACATGGTGCATTCTGAAGTCAAAGTTGCTCAGGCCGTTCCACTGCCGGAAGAATGCGCGTGAAGATGAACACAAATACAGACGTACATCACCGAGACCAACCTTCGCTTGTGAGGATGTTGTTCAGCATGTGCTAATGCAACCAACAGCCAAGTGATTGGCGAACTTGCTATGCACAAGCACGGATTAGGATTTATACTGTATAGCTATAGGCGGGGCAAGTAGGAGAATAATAAGGGACACGAGCTGTGATACATCGTTTCTCCAATCTAAGAGCCTGCCTATTAGGGCAGCCGGAATCCTTCTGTGATGTGTCAGCTACTAACGATACTGACAGCGCACGAGTCCCTCTTTTGTCCACGGATTCGGATCACCTCTGATGATATGCGTGAGCTTTGGAACCACGATAAGCAGTTTCATTGGTGGAATGCCTTTATTATGCGATTGATTGGACTCCCATGCTAGCCGTGGGTTGCGATGTGAGTCTGTACGACCGGGATGTCGATTTGGAATGGTCCATCATATTTACTACTTGCCCGTTCAAGTCCGAGAATAATGGTCGAGGTGGTGAAAGATGCAGGACATATGACATAGAAAACACAGGACAGTAAGTGTACATTTTTGATCAAATCGAAGTGACTGGTTTTACAATTGATGCTAGTCGAGCCTTCAAGATGTTTCGCAGAGAAAAGAGAAAAGAGGAACCCCCTCGAATGTAATCTATACGTTTACTCCTCGTCGTCGGCGTGCTCCAGGCGACCCTGCTTGGAGTTGAGGTACTCGTTGCTGCGATGAGTGTCAGTCTCGTTTCAAAGCTGGATGCTGTAGGCGTGCGGTTCAGATGGATAAAAAAGTGAGAGAAGACAGCAAGCCAGCTTCGGTGTCAAGACACGTCTTGGACCGGACCCGACTTTGCTCATCTGTCTCTTGGTGTTGTATCTTTGGCAAGAAAAAGCTGCTTACTTCTCGGTGGCCCAGTTCATGAGCTCGTATCCGATGAGCATAGGGACGGCCCAGTAGAGGATTTGACCCTTGGTTCTGCGGTAGGTGTTGAAGACGGCGGCGTGTGCGGTACCAGCGAGAGCACGCTGGCGGTTCTGGGCCATCGAGTAGGTGATAATGCCGCGCTGCGGCGGGGAGCCTGAGCGGAGAGAGAGAGAGGTTAGCGTACGCTCGGTGGAAACAGGCGGTGGTTGGGGGTCGATGGCGAAAGTGTCGTGTCGCGATTGCAGATCGAGGGTTCGTCGTGCGGCGTGTGGATTGGAGACAGATGTCAGGAAAGAGGCATACCGAGGCTACCCCACCATCCCATGTACCTGGAGAGTTGTTAGTCATGCGCCGTGGTATGTCGAGGGTCCTTGATTGCGCCGGAAGTGGTGGACGCTGCAGGACGGTCGTGGGTTCGAGGCGACTCACTGGCCAGGCTTCTTTTCTCCGCCACCACCCATTGTGATAGACTACGTGTAGATTGGAAAGGGGAAGAGGGAGACGAGTCGTGTGGAACAGTATCCGGCTTGCAGTCTGGTCGTCTTAACGTGTTGGCAGGCTCGAAGTTCGAACTGGTCAGCAACGCCGCTCGGGCCTTCTGGAGCGCCAAGAGAGTCGGGAGCGCAGGCGTCGTCTGGGCCGACCATGCAAAGCGTCACCATCTGAAGGCTGCACCGAAGCTCTCTACAGCTACGCGCCACTGCAAATCAACATAGCACAACCATGGCCGCCAACGCTCTCGGTGCCATCTACAAGTGGGCTGTTCCCGCTGCCCTCGGTCTGTCTCTCGCCAATGCGTCCATGTACGATGTCAAGGGCGGCACTCGCGCCGTCATCTTCGACCGTCTGTCCGGTGTCAAGGAAGGCGTTATGAGCGAGGGAACCCATTTTCTGATCCCCTGGCTGCAAAAGAGCATCATCTACGACGTCCGCACAAAGCCTCGCAACATCTCCACTACCACCGGTTCCAAGGATTTGCAGATGGTCAGCTTGACTCTCAGAGTCCTGCACCGTCCCGAAGTCAAGGCCCTCCCCAAGATTTACCAGGTAACTTTGCCTCCTGCCCCAAACTCGGTCGCATAAGCTTACCGTTCTCGTCTAGAACCTCGGTCAAGATTACGATGAGCGTGTCCTCCCCTCGATCGGAAACGAAGTCCTCAAGGCCATCGTCGCCCAGTTCGATGCCGCCGAACTCATCACCCAGCGTGAAGCCGTCTCCAACCGCATCCGCACCGACCTCCTCCGCCGTGCTGCCGAGTTCAACATTGCCCTCGAGGATGTCTCCATCACCCACATGACCTTCGGCAAGGAGTTCACTAGAGCCGTCGAGGACAAGCAGATCGCACAGCAGGAAGCCGAGCGTGCACGCTTCATCGTCGAGAAGGCCGAGCAGGAGCGCCAGGCCAACGTCATCCGCGCAGAGGGTGAAGCCGAGTCAGCCGACACCATTTCCAAGGCTGTGGCCAAGTCTGGTGACGGTCTCGTCCAGATCAGAAGAATCGAGACGCAAAAGGAGATTGCCCAGATGATGGCCAACAACCCCAACGTCACCTACCTTCCCGGTGGCAGCAACGGCAATGGCCAGAACGGTGGTCAGGGTGGCAACTTCTTGCTCGGTCTGAGATCGTAGGAAGAACAAGTGTAAAAAGAATCTACTATACCTTTGGGGCTTGTTTATTAACCACACGGCGTTTGAAATGCGGCATGGCAGGCATGGGCATGAGCAAAAACTAACCTCTTCTCTTATCTTCTTGTATACCTATATACGTACGCAACGATTAGCGCTTCTCTTTGCTCTTTTCCCAAACATGCTCTCACCCTGCTGAAACGCCTTCGCTAATGAAACATCTGAAACCCAACACACAAGAAACATCTCATTCTCCGTTCCACATCAGCGTCTGAGTATAGAAACGCACCAAAGCCTCATAACCCAGCTGATCACCCTGACGCAACAGCTGTGCAGCATCAATATTCAGCGGACTATCAGGCTCAGCAGAAGTAAGCAGCTGCTGCACAGCTTCCAGCGTCTGTCTGATCGAATACACCGGACTCCAACTTGACTTCAACAAATCCAGACATATCTCCCCGGTCTTGAAATGCACATTTGGGTGGCAGATGGGCGTTACAAAAGTGATTGTAGGGGGTTTGTTGGGATAGGTGTCTGGAATGATAATGTTGAGTTTCCAGAGGCCATCTGTTGTGAGGAGGATTTGGTTAGCAGAGAGGAGGGGTGATGCAAGAAGGGGCAGGTCTACTTTGGTATGCGGTGTCTGGGAGGCCTTTGAGTACGGCGGTCCAGTGGGTCAACTCTTGATCGTTGATGGGGCCGAGGTGGAGTAGTGCATCACTTGGATCCTTTTCATAGGAGCGCAACTCGTGTAGTAATCTCTTTGTCACCTGCTTCGAAGCCATTTTTGTATCTGTTGATGTGCAGAGGACATTGATATTCGGAACATGTCCTTTGGGCTGACCGTGGAAAGTGCGGGGAGGAGGAAGGTCGATGTCGTCGATGATGCAAGCTTGGCAATATCATTTGTTCGCGAATTTCCTTGAGCCCTTTGTCGCATTCTGGATATAGTCCACAATCAACATAAAGACAACATGACGGTTCCTTCAGCAGATGTATCGGTTCTCCACAGAGCAGATGGCTCAGCACAGTACTCGGCAGCTGGCTACACGGTCGTGGCGGCCGTCAATGGTCCCATCGAAGTAATGCGCCGCGATGAGCTGCCTCAGCATGCTGCTCTCGAAGTAAACGTGCGTCCTTCTGTCGGTGTCGGCAGTAAGTCACCGTCCTCTTGATATCCGCCTCAACCAACCTCCAACATCTCTCCTCACAGGTCCCAAGGAACGCCATCTCGAATCCCTCATCCATGCAACTCTTCGCGACATCGTTCTCACCCACATGCACCCTCGCACTCTGATCCAATTGACTCTCCAAATCGTCAACACCCCCGAGCAAGAAAACACTCTTCCTGCCTCATTCGTACGTTGCCGCTATACTGTCTACACCATCCCACTTGGATCTCTAACATAGACACCACAGGCACTCTCACCCCTCCCAGCCCTCCTCAACGCCGCCATCCTCGCCTTCCTCAGCGCCAGTATCCCTTTAACCAGCACATTTACCTCCGTCCTGCTTGCCACTCAATCCTCTGGCGCCATCTCCATTGATCCTGCGCCAAAACTTATTCTTTCCGCCTCTTCAACCCACGTCTTTGCCTTTTCGTCCACTGGAAACTTGATTTTGGATCTGAGCGAAGGCGAATTCGATATCGATACTTGGGAAAAGGCACACGACAAGGCAAAGGAAGAGTGCTGTAAAGAACAACTTGAGGATAGTGATGCCATGGAAGAGGGTAAACCTAGTTTACAGGGTTTCGTGGAGAGAGTGGTGGAGGCGAGAGTTGACAAGGAGAGAGCCTGGAAGAACGGATAGATGCTTGCATCACAGGAACACCCCGAGGACACGAAGAAGAAACACCTGGACCGGATCCGGATTGCAAGCAGCCAGACCACGGGAAAGGTTCGAGGCGACCCGGATTCACGATGCCTGCCTGCATGGCATGGAAAGTCATCGTAGGAATCGCAATCAACGAGTTCAAGAAGAGCTCGTCAACAACACTCTACGCCTGGATCCTGCACGTCTCCTTTCTATCTCACAGGATGGCGTCAAGAAAGCACCATGTGTGCAAGGAAATGCCTTCTGCCAGACCTGACAACTTCGAAACTCCTAAACTCCCTTTCGGAAAGAGTGGCCAAACAGGCGACAACTTCACTGCACAAGGTGTTATAAGAGACACTACTTCAATGTAGACCTGGCTCGGAGGACCAGTCAGACGCGAAGTATGCAAGCTTTCGGATATCGCGCAATAGACACGTCAACATGGCCATTCGGTTTGCCAGTCAGACACTCCATATTTGATAGACGAACTCCTGAGCAGCTAGAAACATAAGCGTTGACTTTTCTTTAACCATTTCTCTTCCCATTCAAACAGTGGTATGCAACGTCAAACATAAACAGCATAGGTAGGTTGTCCTAGCATTCGTTCAAACACAGGTATACATGGCAGACACCCCCCCTGCCTATGCAGAATAATTCAAACCTCCATCATAGCAAAGTCAAGGTCATATTCCCATCTTCTCATCTTTCCTGTTTTCCCCCTTCACACCTTTTCTCACACCCTCTTGAACCCTTCCCTAGTATCCTCCTTGCTCCAATCGATAACAACACCCTTCTCATTCTCCTTGTAAAGCACATCACAAGCCTTGACCAGCCTGTCCAGCACACTGTCGTATCGTCTCTCACACTCCTTGCACACCATGGCCACCATCTGCCTCGATAGCACTTCTTCATCGGCATCTCCGAAATGCTTTTCAATGCGTTTGCGCAGCGCGTCGATGCCGCTGCGAATGGCTTTGGAGTCGTGCGAGGCGAGAAGCTTTTTGGTATTGTGGCGTGAGTACAAGGGCCGCGAGGAAATGGTGGGGCCGGAGAGATTTTGGGAGAGCAGGGTTTCGGCGCCTTCGACGAAGTCCTGAGGAGAGGAGTGTTAGCATATCACTTCGATATAGAGGGTGGGTAGGGAGTTGGAAGGAGCGATAAACTTACGATGATCTTGCCCAGAGGCCTTCGGACCACGCGACCCACGTATTCTTCCATGTGCTCTGCGCGATCCATCAAGGCCTTTGCTTTCCACTCGGCCAGCACTGAGCCCTCCACGCCTCCGTCGTCCACTTCCTCGATGTAGTGATTCATGTTCTCGATCAACAGAATGTGGTAGTTGAGGATCTCCTTGTCTTCGTACTCGAGGCCATGTGCTGTGGTGGCAGATGCTGCGGCGCCGGTAGCAGTGGGTGACTCTCTAGCAATGACCTTTAGAGAATCCCACATTGCCCGATTGATGCGGATGTATGCATCGTCAACCAATTGACGTGCACCGAGCACTGCTGCATGGCCATCGTGATCTCTGGCAGCCGACAAATATGTACTCTCGACAGCATTCGAGAACAAGGGGAAGATCTTCATGAAAGCGATGACACCCTTGCGCTTCTTGATCTTGACCTTTGTGTCTTCAATTGCATGAATTTGCTCATCGACAAACTTCTGGAAAAGCGTCTGCAAGCGTGAAGAGATCTCGTTGAGGTTGTGAAGCAAGAACTCCTGTGATGTTTCCTGCAGACGGTACGCATGCAGAGCCAGGACAGTAAGGACTCCAACACCCTGGATAGGGTCACCAGCGTTAGCCCACTCCATCAGGGCTCTCAACTCATCCTTCCAGAATCCAAAAGTCTCTTCCATGGTATCCGAGACGCGTCTCGCCATGGCTCGGTCAGGCTCCATCAAGCGTCTTGTAGTGAGATCAGAGCCCATGCGTGCTTCGGGGACGTTAGCCACCACGGCATCTGCAAAGTCAATATTCTCGAGACTGGTAGCGTGGAAGAGGTCCACAATGAAGTTTTGCTCCATAGATATCAGTGGCACCTGCTCTTCGAGCACGCCATTGAAGACTTCGAACGGTGCCATACGACCAGGTTGTGCTCTATCGACAGCTGTTGGCTTGTCACCGCCGGTGCCAGCCGAACGGAAAGATTTGGCCAGGGTTTGAGATCGCTTCACCGTAAGCTTGCGAGCGGTACTGGTGAGGCCTTCGGGCGTTTCCTTCTCGACCGAGGTGAACAGCAGCTCAGTCGCTTCGCTGCCAGCCGTACGAGCTCCTCTCTTCCAATTACTTGTGTTGTCTCGGAAGACATCAGTGTACAATGGGCGGGCTTTGGTCTGGTACGTGCGAAGGGTGCTTTGCCAGGCAGGCAAGTTCGTCTCCTTCGTGAAGAGAAGCAATGGACTGAACTGCCAAAGGTTGGCACGAGCCAGGTTGAAGCCTGACCCATTGAGTTTCATCGTGGCATTGCCAATGCCACCTGGATGTTGCATGAGCGAGGGTTTCGCTGCGGCAAGTGCCGATGCGAAAGTGTTATCCAAGTAACGCATCAGCCGTTGGCAAAACTCGGCACTCTCACGCATGTATGCGTTACGTTTCTCTTGCAGGGCTTTCATATTACCGACGTCGCTGGCATCGAGACCAGGACCAGGTCGACTCAGAGCGTTTGTTGAGCGTACAGAAGGATCAATGGTAGCCATAGCCTTGTAAAGAAGAAGCAGCGATGACTCGACTGACATAAGAGCTTCTGGGTTGCTGAAGTCTCCATGTCTAAGCGGCTCTAGCTGACGAGGCGAGATTGAGATGGTGTCAACCAACTTCTGCAACTCGGTGTGTAGAATTTTCTGGTTGGCGGTTTGTACCTGTAGACCCTGTGATTGCGCCTCGATGAAAGAGATGTCTTCATTGAGAGTGCTCAACTCTGCAGAGTAGATCGTTAAAAGTCCGTCAAGCTCATCACACTCGGCGATCGCTCGATCGAGCATCTGGTCAACTACGTCGACTCGATCATCTTTCTGTTCGAGATGTCCCAGCCAGCTGCCAGCCTCGACACGACCTAGCTCGCGCTTCAAATCAGCCTCAAGATCTTCCAGCTGCCTTCCTTTCAGCAGACCGGAGCCCCAACCAAAGTCGGAGAGAATGGACTCAAACTGGATTCCGCGGCCGTCAAGCAACCTTGGGTCAATGTTGAGGGAGCGAAGGTGATTCTCTTGCTGCGCCGATCTACGTTTTGGCCGTCTAGGTTCCGGTGCTGGCACAGGTACTTGCGGTTCTTCAGGCTGTGCCTCTGGTTCTGGTTGGGGGAAGTAGCCTTCGACAGCTGCACCATCGATCGGCGTGTGAGCTTGCCTTGTCTCGTTCGATACTTTAGGGAGCAACTCGTTTTCAGTGCTTCGGGTTTCTGATTCGTGTGCAGCTTCAGACACAGATTGAGGGAAGTCGGGCTTCAAAGGAGACACGGGCAACTCTGATCTATCGATATCCACGCTCTGCTTTCGCAAAGGAGCCGGGACAACACCATTGATGCCGTCAGGTCCCTGCCCCTTGTTAGCAGCCTCTGCGAGGGCTCTCATGCGCTCGGCAGCACCTCCGGCACGAGGCTTGAACGCGCCCTGAGCTGCTGCTGCTTTCCTAAGCGCATCTGCGAGTTTAGGTCCGGGCTTCTTTTTGATCATAGGGCCAAGTCCAGGGCGATGCTCTTCCTCGTCTGACAACACATCTCTCTGTTCGAGCACTGCAGGTTGCGATTCTTCTGGCTGTACAAAGGGAAGACTTGAGGCCTGTAGAGGTTCTGGCTCTCTGGTTTCGGGCTGCGGAACATCTAACGGAGCGTGAGATGACACATCGGCGCTTGAAGCAGTCGGTGTGTCGTAGAAAGCACCAGATGCATTATCAGAAGTAGATTGTTGAGGCAGGAACTTTTCGATTCCCAGGCCACGGGGACTCGACGGTCGACCGACAGTAGCAACAGTACTAATGTTTGTGCTAGCACCGGACACGTTTCTGCTCGTCGAAAGTGGAGGCGGACGTAATGCTTCTGAATCTGGATCGGTTGGTCCTGCGCTGTATGTTCGGCCTCCTGCCATAAACGGGCGCTTGCGCTCAGGAGGCACTTGGATATCAGCGGGGCCTCGATCAGGTGGAGTAATTGACGGTTCTATATCTCGCTGGCCTACAGTACCGGGCTGTCGCTGGTTCTTCAAGGTTTCGAAGACTGATGGTCGAGGCTCGGACTGTTCAACAGTAGTAATGTGAGGTTTCCTAGGAGAAGGTTGTCTCATAGGCGAGGCTTCGCGCGAAGGAGGTTTCCACTGATTGAGCGTCGATGTAAACATACTAACTTCAGTCGGTGCTGCAGTGGACTCATGACTGCGTTGACTCTGAATGCTTCGCTCACTCCGTACACTTTGGTAACTATGCTGACGTCCCTCGGCACGGGCAGGAGCCAGGCTTCCAGGCTGCTCAATCGCTTGATTGAAATGCGGCGGAGGTTGGTCGGACACCATAGGATTGGATCTAATGGACGACGCGAAGGAGGCATTGGGCGAATCAGTAGTCATGGTCGACTGTTGTAGCTCCGCCCTCGAAGACTTGGGGGTCAGCCGAGGTCGAGCGCCGGGTGGAGGACCATTGTTCAGTGGTGGTGGAGCTGCACCACGTTGTGCAGGCTCTCGACTCTGAGCACGGCCAGGGTCACGGCTTGGAGCTCGCATTGGCTCACGACTAGGAGCACGCATGGGTTCGCGACTCGGAGCACGCATACGCTCTCGGCTAGGCCTTTGTCGCATACCTTTGTCCTGGGAAGGCCGAGGCTGCGGTTGTAGACCCCCTGGCGGTAGAGGTTCGCCATTCTCAGGGGTTGGTCGGAAGCGTGGGCGGGAATCCTGGGAAGATGGGCGATGTTGTTCGGCAAAAGGTGGACGAGGAGGAGGGGTGTTCTGAGGAGTCTGGCGATCCTGGACAGCAGGCGAACTACGTGGGGCTTGTTGCTGGCCGGGAGCCAGCCCTAGCATCTGTTCTACATCGCGAGGATCAAAGCCACGAAGATCCGGAACCTGACCTTTTGTGTACTTTCGGTAGATTTTGACCAGACTAGCAACGAAGAAGTCCTTCTCTTTTGACGTGGCAGCGGCCCAGTAGTAGGGTTTTGAGATGGTGACAACGAAACCGACGCTGCCAGCCCACTGATAGTGGTTCTGCTTGGGTGGAGGGGCATTGGGATCGGGGTGAGCAAAGGACTCAATGGCGGACAGATCCTCGAGGTTCCAGGTCTTGCCAATGGAGAAAGAGCCGTTGTTGTTCTCACGAGCCTTGTGCATGCGGACACGGCCAGTGCTACGGACGGCGACGACGACGATACGGGGCTTCTTGTTGTCGGGAGCCGAGGTGGGGGGAGGAGGAGTTGAGGGATGGGCGGCATCCTCAGTTATGCGAATATGCGTAATGTACGACTCGGCGACTGGTTTTAGATGTTAGCGGGGCAGCTTGGAGCAAGTCGAGACAGCGATGCGACACACGCTGTCCATTCTGGTCGAGCTTGGAGAAGCAGCTCTCGACCATGCGTCGCTTCTCATCCTCGAAGCGTTCGGCGCGGGTCATTGTGTTGTTGGCGGAAGATTGGCCTTGTGGCAGCGAGGGCTTCCTGCCTCGGGCGTCATGCATGACCGAGTCGGACGGGTTGCGCGACTGCGAGCCATTCATGCTGTCGATGGGACTACGCTACTCTGCGACTGCACTGCATCTGGAGACCGGCCACGTTCACTAGAGCTGGCAGACAGCAGAAAGGCCAAGTGCGAATCGTGGCTGGGACAGTTAGAGACGCGTAGGAAAGATGACGGATAGATTGCTGGCCAGCCGTTCGACTTCCGACGCAGCAGGCAGCCTCACCAAAACCTACACCACAAGCCTCAGACTCCTCCTTGCCAGCGTTCCTTCCGCGAGCTGCAAGTCTTGGCAGCGCCCGAGGTGAAACCCGCTCTTATCGACGTCGTCTCTGCCCTAAACGCCGTCGGCAGCGCGGACCGAGCGGTCTACCGAACCTTCGACTTTTTTCTGTGTCGCGACTGCCTTTTCGCGACGCCCTCCACATTTTCTCCCTATACAAACTATCCATATCATGTCTGCATCAGCTCCGTCACCCGAGCTTCTTGCTCTCGTCAACGACTTCCTGGCCAGCAATGGCTTCGACAAGGCTGCAAAGGCCCTCTCCAAGCAAGCAAAGGACCAGAGCATCACCCTTGCCGCCAACACCAACACCACCTTGACTGCTCTGTTCGACGCTCGCCCCAAGGAAGCCGCTGCCACCGCCGACGACTCCTCGGATGCTAGCGACAGCAGTGACGACGAGTCATCCGACTCCGACTCCGACTCCGACTCCGAGAGCGAGGACGAGAAGAAGCCCGTCAAGAAGACCGCAACCAAGACCCGCAAGGTCACTCCACCTTCTTCCAGCTCATCCGACTCCGAATCCTCCGAAGACGAGAAGCCCGCCGTAAAGAAGACCAAGGCCGCAAAGAAGGCCGACACTTCCTCCGATTCCTCTTCTGCTTCATCCTCCTCTGAGAGCGAGAGCAGCGACTCCTCCGACTCCAGCGACAGCGACTCTTCCGACTCTGACTCTTCTTCCTCGTCATCATCCTCCGGCTCCGACTCTGACAGCTCTAGCTCCTCCTCGGACTCCGACAGCTCATCATCCTCAGACAGTGACTCTGGCGACTCCGAGTCTGAGAGCGAGAAGAAGAAGAAGTCTGCAAAGGCTGCCAAGGCCGAGAAGCCCGCGAAGAAGGAAAAGGCCGACAAGAAGAAGGAGAAGAAGCCCGCCGCTAAGTCTGAGTCCTCGTCCGACTCTGCTGCTTCAAGCGTCACTCTCGCCGATGCTCCCGCTCCCCTCAAGGCCGTGGTCGACACTATCATGGTCCCTGCCAGCTCGGCTCTCGGTCAGGCCGAAGGCACTGCCGCCCCATCCAACGACGCAGAAGAGCACATGCACCCTAGTCGCAAGCGTAAGCTCGGAGGCGCTTTCGGTGAGGCTGAGCAGCAAGTCGCAGTGCTCGCCACCGACGAGAACATCAAGCGCGCAAAGAAGGAAAACGTGCCTTTCAGCCGTATCCCCAAGGATCAATGGGTTGACCCCCGTCTTGTGAGCAACGCCTTCGTACCTTACGACTATGCTCAGAAGGCCCACGAGGCTCTGATTGTCACAAAGGGCAAGGCTTTCACCAAGGCCAAGAACAAGGGCAAGCGTGGCAGCTACAGAGGTGGCATAATCGACCAGACTCCCAAGGGTATTCAGTTCGAGGATTAGAGGTCTCAAAAAGGACAGGGAATTGAGGAATAGACTATACAAAAGTCCAAGCGTGGAGTTTCTTTGTTGCGCAAATCAAGGTTCGGGATTTTTCTTGCTCGGGTGTTTTTTCTTATTGGATAGAGTACTATATTTTTCCGGACCAGACATGGCTCGCTCTCTGTTGCCAGAGCCAAAATACTACAAACACTTCAATCAAGGGACCCTTTTCCTACACTAACCATTGGTGTTTTCTATTCGCGAACGGAAAGTCTTCTATCAAGATGCATCTGCCAGCTGCATACGATAGCTCGGCACAGCGGCTTCCGCTCCTGGAAATACAATCGACACCCTGCAGTAACTAGCAACATGGAGGATCTCTCAGCACTGATTGAACGACACCGACCAGGCTGACAAGATAAAATCACTTGTCATAAGCTCTTGACCACGAGCCCTTTTTGAATCGCCTCACTTGCGAGCTTAGCGACCTATCACTCAAACGTCCCCAGAGGAAATGGAGACACGACATATATCTCCTTCGATCCTCCAGACTGTACTCGCGAGACCAATGACGACTAGCAAGCTGTAGAAATAACAAAGTCTGGTGTGCGTACCTAGGTTTCAATGTCCTTGCTCACATTCTCGCATCTCGCGATCGATAGAAGCCTACTAAGCTTTCTTCGAGTAAGTTTGTATCGATCGACCAGGCACGTGGGAAAGAGTCAGATGTCTGAGCTGATCGAGTAGAAAATGGTCGGCTCGCTACATCTACCCATCCTTTCTCTTTCCAATATCTTTACACTAGGAAGGCAATCTTACCACAAACGAGCAAGAAGTATCAACTACCATCAAGATGAAATTCACAGCTACGGCCCTCGCCTTCATCAGCGCTACCTCTCTGGTCACCGCCGCTCCTGTCAACGTCACCTCCACGAAGCTCCCCATCATGCCCAAATGTGACCCCTGGACAGACAGCCACTGCTATATGCACGAGCAGTACGTATCTCGTTTCTCCTGGCCCGGCAACGGGGTATTCTCTATACCTCATATGTCTTCTCCAGCTGACGGCAGTCGAAACTATCAGCCCTCTTCATAGCGATCCAGATCCCATCGCACAATACATCCAGTGCTGCCACCAACACAACTGCGAGCCAGCTTGGCACAGTCTTCTTCTGTCTCCCTCCATTCCTCCTCCACCACCTCCACCTCCTGCAGCCATGGCTGACATCGCAGCCTGCGATACCGCAGAAAGCATGCAACCCCGCTGTGGACGGTACAGAAGGTTCGGTTGCACCGTTAAAGCCGAGTGAGTAGCTCTCACTCCCTCTGTCTTTTGTTCTTCTTCTTTTCACCACTAGCGTTTCCTTTGTCTGCGACTGCTGACGTTCTTTGCGTGCAGGTGGACAGGACCAGGAGTCAACATCACGGAAGCTTACAGAGATTGTATGTGGAGCCATGGATGTGATCCTGATGAAGGGCCTCGTCTTGAGCTTGACATCAATGTCGAGTAAAGTGCGTTCTTGGGGTGAGATCTTTGCTGTGAGAGACAAGCCCGGGAGGAATCACGATGGAGTTTTGCTTATGACAAACAGGAAAAGGGGCGTTCGTGGGTCGAAAAGCTGGATTTAATGGGAGAGCATCCACGAGGATCGACTCTTTCTCAATAAGAGATGCTGAAATGTAGAAAAGTCATTCGTGATTTGCTTTGCTCTTGTCAGACTCAGTCTCCAGAACTCCAAGCTCCATGAGGTCTACTAACGTCCACACACAAGCATACGACCTACCGTTATGGTTGTTTCCCTTGGTCGGGACACCACATTGGCCATGTTCTAGAGTGTGTCGAGAGCACGATATGTTATTGAAGCATTTATTCAAGGCATCCGGCACTTGCAAAATTTGAGACACCTCTGTTGAGCCTGAACATTTCTCTGGCAAAGGGTCCGGGGTATGGAACATAGTGGAGTCCTTCATGTCAAGCACTAAACTTCGTCTAGAAGCATGTCACGTTTCAGGACGCTCTTCGAAAGTGGGACTGGCGAAATGGAAGTCAAAACACCCTTGGAGCACACAAGGCAAGCTCTGACAAGGCGAAGAAAGGGGGCGTTTGGAGGAAAGCCAGTACCTTTAGTCGTTTTGAGGGTAAGGAACACGTTACGAGCAGGGCTGAAAATTAACGTCCGCATGCAATATGCTAGGACGTTTCGTGTACAGAGCGTGTGTGCAAGATGACAATCGTGAAGTCTTTGGTGGCGGCACGAGCGGAACCATAGTGCATACTGGATATTTTCAGGGCTGAGAGTAGCTGGTCAATCGTACCGAGTACCTGGTTGGCGTGAAGATTATATGCCTGACCGTTGGGCGGTGGCTGGCGTCATCTTCGCTTTGACATATGCAGGAGTTGGAACATCAGGTCGCCTCATCGTGGACAGTGCGAACACCGAGTAATCCGAGCGGAATAGTATTTGTAAGGCAAGTGAATATTGTAGATATAAGGAGAGAGAAAGAAAAAGGGGGGTATCTAGATGGTGCTTGGTAACGAAGGATAAGGAAAGATATAACAAGGGAGAAAGAGGGCAACAACACCGCACCGTAAGTGATAGAAGAAAGAACAAGCACACTGGGGGTTTTGATAATACAGCAAGAAGAAAGATGGAAGAGAAATGAAAAGGAACGAAAAAACAATCCGAGAAAGAATTGCGCCATCTGGGTTGCCCCATTTTCCTCCTGTTCAGCCAGTGTAAGAGAGTTGTACAAAAGCCCTACAGCCCTTTTCCCGTAGCACGCCGAATGCTGTAAGAGCGTTTCTATCTGCATTGCATGTGCATTGCAGTGAAAGACGCGAAGGAAGAAAAGGATCCGAGGAGATAACGCCAGTGTAAGTTCGACCGAGGAGAAAGAAAGGAACAGATAAGCCTATCTCTGGAGGCCTTTTCCTCCTTTCAACGCCAGTCAATATTGAAAGAAGAGCAGTCGCATTTTTTTGTGATCGGATTTTTTGATTTAATGTGTTGATTGCTCTCCAGAAGTGGAAGTTGTTCCTCCGAATGTGGAGAAGGAGAGAAAGAAGGTAAGGCCAAGAAAACGATGCGCGGGCCAGTGTAAGATTGATCATGAAACAAAAGCCGTTGATGCCGAGATGAAACCGTCAGATGGGGTATATTATGCGAAAAGAGAACTCCAGAAACCAGATAAGCGAAAGACGATGAGGCAGAACTTGATCAGAGGTGTGTGTATGCGAATGTGTAGCGAGAACGACAGATCACTCTGTGCCCTGCAGCGAACAGAGTGGTTGCGGTGTTGGTTGTGGTTCGAGAGAGAGTCTGGAAAGTGCGGGTTAGCGGAGGTCCACTTCAAACAGTCCGGGCGTCCCGCGCCGGACCAGAGCTTGAGGACGAACTAACCTTTGCGGAAGCAAGTATAGAACAACGCCAGCGCCTGTTTCCTTTGATTGCTGTATCTATTCTTTTCCTCTTCCGGCCGCAAGGTTGAGGGAAGAGGAATGATAGTGGCAGCTCATGATATTGCTCGTGTCAGGCGGGACCACAAGATTATCGAGGCTTTGGTGGCGGAGGCTGGCCAGGCTTCAGAGTGCCTGTCGTGTCGTATGCTCCTCGGCCCATGTTGATTGTGACGACGTTGCTATTCCTTCGGATCATATGGAAGGGAGGCTGCTCTCGAAGAGATGGGCTGGATGTGCAGTGCAAACTATAGCGGACCTCGATGTCAGTATACCATTTTATCTTTGTCGCATTTGTCACGCCCGGGTGATACAGTCAGGCAAGGAGGGCAAGGCTTACAATGAGTAACGGTAATCAGGTCGAATGTCCTCGTGAAGAAAACCACGAGAGCCAAAGACTTCGTCTGATGGAAGGCGGCCGGGATCTGGCTTTGTAGCGAGGGCGGATCGAGTCTTTTTTCGATACCAGGGGACTTTGCTTCCCAAGAGAATGTGTGTGGAATGCTGGTCTCACCAAGGAACCGACAACCAAGAATTATAAGGGAAAAAATGTATACGCCTTGCCGCAGGGAGAAGAAGGTATGCGAAGATGAACAAGGGAAAATAAAAGGAACAAAAAAGGTGACATACCCATGGCGAAGGCGATACGGGTTATATCTATCTTGACTCTCGCGTCACCACGCATTGCCCTCTCTATGAGTGCAACCCCTTTCCCTTGGGGGTGTCTCGCTTGGTAGGCCCCAGGGAGATTGAAACTGACGTGCACCCATTACTTTTTTTTCAGTCGAGCGCTGACTGACGCAGACGGGGCAGCCGTGCGCCTGAGCTTTTTCTGTTTGGCTGTTTCAAATCCGATTTGATGTGCGCAGCAAGGGCGGCCGATCTTGCAGCTTTGATTGATTGACATGCCCAGCAACGGTACCAACAGTCAGCCCCCCGGCAGCGGCGCGGCGACTTGAAGCGCAGGGGGCGATTTTGGCAGAAAGGATGAAGCGCCAACGAGCAGCAGTCAGAACAAGATCAGTTTCCGAGCCACTCTCTCCGTCCCGCCGGGAACGAGGCCAAACCCTGTCAATCGATTGCCATCTAATGCAGGCACTCCCGCGCCAAAGCATTCGCGCATCTGCTTGGAGCCTACAGCCGCTGCACGCACCTTTGTTGGTCTTGCGTTGCTGGCGGACGTCAAAGACACTGTGCAGGAAAAGTGGTTCAGATTCAGGTTTACTGGCCGTCTCAAGTCTTGGCTCATATGTATATTGCAGAAGTGAGAGCACTGCATGTTTTGTTCCTCGTCCTGCTCCAACACGATCGACCAATCTCCCGCTTCTTGCTTCGAACAGACGCTACTGAAGCATCAGACGATGGTCCCGGATTCCGATATACTACGAGAAGACCGACATGACATAAAACACGAGGCGGCTTCGTGGGAGGTATCAAACTAGAAAGCCGCTAGAACCAGCGCCTCATCTCCGGGGCCTTCGGGACAACGGTCTTACCGCGAGCTTAGAAGAGATATATGCTTTCCTTCTCCAATCTGTTCCTGCATGCGATTGAATGGAGAGCCGAGCTTATCATGGCCTGGTTGACTCGTCGTCGTTCCTGGTTACTTGTCCGTGGTTGTCCAACTCCATGGGACGGACCCGCAGGTGCCATTCTTTCGGATCTCGCGGCGAAACGGATGCAAGCTTGTACATCCCGCTGCAGGCTGTCGGATCTGCTCTGTGCCTCGACCTTTGATACGTCAAGTGTATTGACTCTGCCTACATCTTGCATGATCAAACAAGAAAACGCTCTGCCCCTTTCGCTCGTTTTCTTTGTTCCTATCTTCAGCTGCCCAGCCCTTACTCTTTCCTTCTTGCCGAGAGGACCATGCTTCCTGAACTATGTTTGTGAGCAAAAACGAGGATTGACCCTGATCAGCCGTGGCCCATGTCAAAGCCACCGAAATTGTCGTTTCTGCCCGAAGCCGTGGACAAAGCAAATTAAGATTGTGACAGCAAGGAATCCTTGCATCCTCTCGTAGCACTGTTCTGGAAGAACCGGGTCCTCGGCATGTCGAGCTATGCCCTACTCACACGACCTTGCTTCAACTTAAGTTGGTGTAAGCGCTTAACATCTTCTGATATCTGACATCAGATAAAGGGAACGTCAACAGGCAAACATTCTCCATGCAATGTCCTTTAGCATGTTTGATGCAGGACAAAGCGGAAGACCAATCTCTAGGACCGGCACGGGATGGGCTTCGCAAACAAACTCTCGCCAACCCTAGCAAGCCACCAAACAGCACAGAAGACGAGAGAGCCGCCGCCGGACGCGGCAAACCCACAGTTCCCTGTACATATCAATCGAATGTCGATTGTCTCGCAAACCTGTGCATCATCTTTCTTCATGCACCAAGCCGGTGAGAGGCTGTGCGACGCAAAAGCCGGGATCCGATGCAGCAGTTCGCAGACGATTGTCTATTGGTGTAACACTGCAGCAAACCAGTTAAAGATGGTTCATCCAACGGAAAATTTGCCACTAAGAAACAAGTCGTGTCTGGTGGCTGGGACTGGGGACTTTGTGATGAACGACAAACAGCAACACAATCGATCCTTGCATGATGAATGCCGCATTGACTGACGCTCCTGACGAGTTTGCTGTGAAGCTGATCTCTGTAGCAAGTCAGTTGTTCCCAAAAGGGCCTGGCAACGTAACCTTGACGATGATATTGAACCCTGTTGTCTAGGAGAAATTTGGCAATGGCAAGTCAGGTTGCTTGCGATCAACAGGCAAGATGAACCCAACGCTCGCTTTCGGTCAGCGATTACCAAGGACCAGAAACACGACAAGTATCATGGATATTGGACTTGAATATTCCGTCAGTGTTCCACGCAGAAACTTCTCCCGCTTCTGCTATATTAATTGAATGACGTTCGGTTCGAGAAGTTCGGCAGACCAGGGCTGCCGATATTGGCAAGCCGTGTCCGCGTACTGACACAAGCGGTTCCTTTGATATCAACAAGGTCCATGATGGGCAGCCGAGTGTGTACTAGATTCAGGTAGATGGCTTGCTCTGGAGGCGGCGAGAGAGACTTGGCCAGACCAGGGAGTGATCAAGGGTGGTACGGACTTGACTCCTTCTAGGTTGACAGGCATCATAGTCAGCCGAGATGAGGTCCAGCGGCGAGAGAATTTCTGGGGCAGCGCCAATGGTTTTGGGGAGGGAGGCTCAACTCAGCGAGGAGTGAGTGAGACGGGGAAGGCGGTGTGTCGCTGCAAGCCACTGATCTGGCAGCAAGACGGATCAGGTGCACCACCAGTATTCTGCTTCTGATGTTTGGGACTGGACACAGTGAAGACCAAGACTTTGTGCATAAAAGTGCATGTTGCTATGTGCAAGATGATGATCTTGGTTATTGACCGTTGGCAACGTAGACAAGGGCTTCTCAATGCTGGTCTTGGCTTGCGCAACAGGGTTTCGGTCATGGCCAGTAAACGCGCGCCTGTCGACGACATCGTCGTCGTCGTCGCCTCGGTCGTTGTCATTATCACGGAAATCTGCCTCTAGCATCATCGAGATCGACCAACATCAATACTATAACCCTGTCGCATCTGAGATCCACATCGCACAATGAGTGACGCATCAACACCAAAGCCCAGCAGCAGCGTCAAGCTGGTCCTGCTGGGAGAGGCTGCAGTCGGAAAGGTACAACAACCCAAATCGCAATCAGGCACCAGCCACACTCACTGACACCATGTTAGTCATCACTGGTCCTGCGCTTTGTAAACAACGACTTCCAACCCAACAAGGAACCCACCATCGGCGCCGCCTTCCTCACAAAGAAGATCTCGCTACCCGCCCGCACCATCAAGTTCGAGATCTGGGATACCGCAGGCCAGGAGCGTTTCGCCTCGCTCGCCCCCATGTACTACCGCAATGCTCAAGCCGCCCTTGTCGTCTACGATTTGACCAAGCCTTCTTCGTTGGTCAAGGCCCGTCACTGGGTTGCCGAGCTGCAGCGCCAGGCCTCGCCAGGCATCGTCATTGCTCTTGTCGGAAACAAGTTCGATCTGTGTGGTGAGGAAGGAGAAGACGCTGAGGAAGATGCTGCAGCCGCTGCCGAGACTGCCACAGGCGAGGATGAGGATGGTGCAGATGCCAGGAAAGTGAGCACGCGCGAGGCCAAGTCATATGCAGACGAGGAGAACCTGTTGTTCTTTGAGACTTCTGCAAAGAACGGCACCAACGTCACCGAGGTCTTCACTGCCATTGCCAATGGCATTCCCGAGACAAGCCTCAAGGGTCCCAGAGGAGGTGCTGCTGCTGCAAGAGCTGGTGCCGGTGATGCCGCTGCTCAAGGTCAGGAGTCAAGGGTCAACCTGAACAGCATCAGGGAAGCTGGCGCAAAGGAGGGCTGCGCGTGTTAGTTTGCTTATGACTATCTCCGCTGGTGTTTTTTATTGGGCAAATCTTGGATGCTGGTAAGCCACCGCTGTGTTGGTTCTATATCTGCGACCAACCGTTAAGAGAGCGCCTGCATCCATGCTTTGGAGGTTCTGATATTTCCCTCGTTGGCGTTTTCCTTCCCAATCTGTTGCGGCACCAGATCGTTCTTCCTTCTTTTTTGCTTCGTCTTGTTGATATCCACTTCGAGTCTTGTCAGGGGGTTGTTCTTTGTCCCCCTATCTACCCAGTTATGCCTCTTCAAATCATTCTCATCTTCAAAGTCGACTTGTGTCACATGGACTACGAGTGAAATGAATCTTGTTCCTTCTAACATGCTAAGGTTGTGCAAATGGCGCGACAGCTTCATGTGTCTTCATGCCCCTCTAAGTGTCGTCTGCAACTCATCTTGCTCGCATATAGCTCAAGGCTCAAGGCTCAAGGCTGAATGAAGGATACTCGTAACGAATCCTCATTCAGAGATAAGTAGTCCTCTGATGGATCATCCTCCTCTTATGCACAGGTCGCGACGCCTAGAGCATGATTGAAGACTTAGTTTATGTTCAACGACCTCTGTGTGAAGTCCACGTATCGTGTTGGGTCGAAGGTGTGAGACGATGGATGGATCAAAGTGAAAATTCGGAACCATCAACTCGGAAAATGCTCGATAATTGGATGTTTAAGAAACTTGATGTCAAGTGCGATATCTGGTGTTTTCGTCTGGTTGATAGGTTTGACTGTCTCTACTGGAATACTATACATTGAACGCGTGTCTCGTGGAGACTGGAGTGATTCAACAACGTTGACTTCAAAACCAGAACGTAACAAAGGATGATGTAAGTCATCCGCATACTGTGCTCTTTCCATGTCGCTTACTATACACCAGGCATTCCCAAGAGACTCCTGACAGCAGGCACACCACGAGGGACGAAGTACACAGCATAGATGACGCTGAAAGCGACAAGGAAGCCAGTAAACTTCTCCAGCCAAGTGTGGAAGTACGCAGCAGTCATCAGCAACATCCACCAACTCAGACCCGCAATGCACAGAGCAACTCTAACGCCCAAACCCAACTCGCTGGGGACATGAACATTGCCCTTGTTGTCCTGAGTTTCCACAGCAGCAGTCTTGACAGCACCGTCATGCATACGGATGCGACGGTCTTCGCGCAAACCGCTGTTCCTGAGCACGTCGGGCAAAATTTCGAGCCAGAGCATAGCAGAACCGAGGATAAGGATAAAGACATGGCCACTGATATCGTGGCCGCCTCTCCAGGAGCCACCGGCGACCTTGCAGGCAGCATGAGTGAAGATTTCTCTGGCGTCGCTCATTTGGTCCTGCTTGTAATTGTTGATTGGGTCGTCCGAGTAGATGATTTCGCATTGGCCGCCGGTCAGTCTAAAGCCGCGGTCGATGATGGGTGGGCCGAAGAACCATTGGGTGACCGCGCACCACACGGCTGTCACGGCGGTGTAGCGGATGATGGCGCGAATGCGGCGAGCGGTGAGAGTAGGTTGGAAACGGGGACCCAGAGAGCTGTGGGTGAAGCAGAAGAGGAAGAAGGCGCCTGTGATCCAGACCCAGCCAATCTTGACAAAGTAGACGTTGAAGACATTGGACTTGAGAGCAAAGTACGAGGGTGCGATGGATGGAGGGTGCGACTGGAGGACGCCGCTGTAGGGGGTGTTGCGGGTCGTGCTGTTCAAGACGCTGAACAAGGATCCCAGGACTAGAGTGAAGGGGTAGATGGCCAGCAGGATGCTCTCGAGAAAGGTGGGATACCACGGTGACGAAGGCGCCTTCTTGAGGCTATTCATGTTGCCGTTCGGGGACGAGGGCGATGAAGCTTGGGATAGTGAAGATACCGGCACCTCTGCCTTGAAGCGATTTCGGGTCGACATGACGCGTAAGATGTGTATGGGTAGAAGGATGCGTAGGTTTAGAGCGTTGTTGTCGCGAGAAAGAGAACTTGGGTCCACGTTTTGCGCGTGTGCCAGCTACGTCATGTTTATCCATCATCACTACCAACATTTACGTCTTGCTTGTCTCATACCTGTCCTTTGCGATTCAGAAACATGAGAAGAGCTTACACATGACGTCTCACCTAGTACGACCGTCTCAGAACGAAGATACCGCGTGTTATGCTGATTGTCTATACTGAATCGTGGTCGGACACTTGTTGTTATGCTGCTTTGGAGGCTGTCCAGTATAACGCTCTCAGCGAGAGCTCCCGTCCACTTCTCGTCCTCACATAGCTGACTGCTGGCGATGTAGCTTGCGCATCCAGAGAGAATGTTTGGTAGAAGTAGTAAATTCTGTATCATGGCCAGCAGTCATCTCATACCTTCCAAGACATAAAAAAGCTTGTCATTGGGAGCACCCTGGCTATATCTGGTAACACCCTTCTCTAGATGCAAACAATCAGAACCATGAGTTTTCCAAGGCCAATTCAAGACTTCTCGGTAGCTTGAAGCATAGATACATTCCTCTGTACACCTGGTTGTGTGACCGCAGACAGTGACCGCAGACATAGAGTCGATCGTCTTCCAATCTGTCTGAACTGTTGGAATCTGCAGAATACTGCCGAGCGATCTTGGCCAACAACATGCATCCGCATTTTGATAACGTAGTGAACGTGCACATCCCAGTAGATGAAGGTAACAATAGCTAGTCTCCCTTTTTTGATATATGATGGATACATGGTCGTGAGAACCCGTCCGCAAATGCCTTCGTAGCTTCCACCTCACGGGTGCTGAAGAAGCGCGTCATTGGAAGGTATCATTGATCGCCATGTACTATCGAATCTATAAGGACTTCAAGTGTGGCTTGCTGAGGGGGAGTGAGAAAAGGTCACCATTCAAGAGCTGTCTGGATGTCACGGCTTCGAAGCAGCAGATCTCAAGTGTGGCTCAGTCGCGCAATCTACAGCTTTGACTTTCACTACCTTTGCGTGGTCCGCAAAGGTGGATTGAGTTCAAGATAAGTGTCGAGTTCGCATATGCAGGGAGGCTTACGAACCTGCCAATCGTGGATCTTTTTTGTAGTATCAGTCAGTCCTGACGATCGGTAATTGTTCCGAGGAGGCATTTGTTTCTGAGGACGGGTTCACAAATTTCTCAAAGGGAACAAAATATCGCATCCTACCTTGTCATACATTCCGTAATCGGAGATACTCATACTTATAGTGACTCGATCATGGCTCGTAGTCAGCTTCGTATGAGACAACGTGCAAGCTACGAACCGCGTGACCTTGGTTTAGAAGACGTGTCTGGACGTCCCCCTGAGGTTCCTGGCTACCAGACGAGACAATGCAACGTTCAGTACCATGAACACCAAGCTGGAACCGTGATGCGCTGTTAGTCACCGAGATAGGCAGCGTCCTAATGCAAGGCAGCTGAGTATTGATTTGAAAAAAGTAGCCAGATGTTGCAATCCAGGCTCAGGCAAACAGTCACGGCACTTTGAACTTTGTGCGACGAACATTTGGCTTCTTCCGGCTTCGCCGAAGGAATCCTGAGGCCTCAATCGCCAAAGTTTAACCCCGCTCGTCAGAACCGCCAGTGGTAACGTAAGCCAAAGTTCTCTTAACCGGCAGCCGAACGACTCTGTTGATGATCGCGGAGTGCTATCCCGAGATCGCGAGGCAGCGAGAAGATGGAAGAATAGTTGCCCAAAATCGCAAAAGGCAGCGATCACGGATCCACCGTGCGCAGCTCAGAGTGACGTGAGTGACCGAGTGGGTTCGTGCGTTGTGTTATCTTTACGGGGAGAGAGGCGTTGGATGGAGATATTGTCGGCGGGGAGCTCGGGGCAAGTGTTTACAAAAAATCACTCGATCGCGATGGAGGCTGACGCAAGATTGCGATATCGCCGGCACTGTGCACCCAAATTCGGACCCTGTAATACGACCAAGATCGAGAACAACTCCTCGCAACAGTTGGCAGCAAAAAGGGCGTGTACTCCATGAGGCTGCGGTCTGGCGATTGTTATCGAGAGATCGGCTCGGGATAAGGATGACGCTCTTCGGGAGTGGGGTTCTCGGGGAGCGGATGTGGTGATTTAACACGGACTAAACTCGAAGCGGAAAGATCGGAGACATGTGCTGTGCCTGAATTCGCGATGGCGACTCACGAGGCTTCGCCGTTCAGCGGCCACGGGTGAACAAGTGGGAAAGCAAGCAGAGCAGTGCTCGTTCAGTCTGCTGGAGAACAGCTGTCTAGAAGAAGGGTCTCGGTAGCCAGGGGACGGGAAAGTTGTTGGCAAGTACTCTTGTACACGGGGTTATCATGAGACTTGTCGTGTCTGGACTCGACAAGGGAATTTAGGAGGGAGGGATGCGCCCTAGATTTGCTAGGCGGAGCGGGAATCAATGAACGAGGCGTTTCCTAGCCGCAGGTCCCACACTGCCACAGGAAGGCGCGTTGCGTGCCTCGAATCCCTGTGTGAGTGTTTTTTGTTCGTGAAGCAACAGGAGAGAAACGGGATCAGAGCAAGACAACGGACGTGTTTATTGTCAAATAACGGAGAACAAAAGGGAAAGCACAGGGGGAAAAGCAGGCACAAAGGAAGAGGAGTCGTGGTGAGATAAGATCAGGAAGGCACGTTTCGGAGGCTTTGTCTGGTTAGGAAGTAGCTGTGATTGGGCTGGCCGGTCGCTCCACCCTCCAAGCGGGGGATCCGCTAGCACCTTCGGCCTCTTGACCAACTTGTTACCACCTTGTGTCTCTCTACTGCTTTCCTCCGCCTGACTCTGACTCTCTTCAACGTTCTCTCATCACCAATCCGTCTCCCTCCCCATTGAAGCCTGCCTGACACGCTCACACCAACCGACCCCGACGTCCTCCGCACTCGCAATCACACCTCCCACGATCCCATTCCTGCCGCCTTGCCGATCCACCGTCGCTCCTTGTTGTTGAGGCTGTGCAACCGACAATCTCCAAAAAAAAGTCTCGGGAGAACAACAGCTATCCACCTCAAGCAGTATACCATTACTGCACATCAAATCACTCCACAATGACTGTCGCAAGGGTACGTCTGCCGCTCGAGCATCGAGTAGCCGCCCGCTGACTCGCAATCCTACAGGAAACACCGCACCGAGCCTCCGTCTCTGGCAGTCTGCCGTCACGCAACTCGTACTCTCGCTCTCACAACACTCCATCCATGCTTGGTTCTTCCTACAACCCCACTCACCGTGTCACCCGCCGTAAGAGCACCACCCTGAGCGCTGCCTCCTCCGCCCAAGCAATTTCCCAAGCCATCAACATCGACCAATCCAATGCTGCCCGCAAGTCCATCTCTTCACGCAATGCTCTTGGTTCCGTCAGCCAAGCCAGCTACCCTTCTCCTCCTAGCAGCTTGCCTCAGGGCGATAAGATGACCGATGACAAGAAGATCAAAGCTCGTCGCGGCAGCGATGGTTCCGTCTTGACCAAGAAGAAGTCGGCTGCTGGTGAGCTCAAGTGCGAAACTTGCGGCAAGGGCTACAAGCACAGCAGTTGTCTGACGAAACACCTGTGAGTTTTGCTGCACTACTCACCTGTACTGCAAGCCCCTGACTAATCGCTCTTGCAGCTGGGAACACACTCCAGAATGGCAGTACACCTCCAAACTCCTCATTTCCAAGCATCAACAAGTTCAGCTTCTAGAGGCCGCTTCGGTCCTCGTCGCCATGAACGGAGATGCCACTCCTGGAGATAGCAAACTTAGCGACAGCGACAACTCTTCTGCCTCACCCGCCGCTTCAGGATCCGATTCTCGAGAAGACGACATCAGCTCGACCGAGACGACGCCCCCTCCTCACGGCGAGCATCCCTTTGGACACAACAAGCGCCACAGCAATGCCAGCAGCTTTGTGTCGCGCTCATACCAGTCTGAATTCTCCGCTCGTCCTGAATCTTCTCATGTCCGCCACTGGAGTACTTCTAGCAGCAGACCCATTACCGCTGCCACCTCTCTTGCCCAGAGCTACCCCGACGAGGATCAGGCAGACCTCGCCGCTGCAGTCGGCTTACTCAGCTGCAGTTACGGCACCCCTACTTATGGCCCCACCAGCTTAGGCCAAAACGTGCCCCCAGTACCCCCTCTTCCTGCGAGATACCAGAACTCGTACCAGCCAAGCTCCTTGGCAAATGCTCATCAATTCCGCGAGGACGTCGACATGGAAGAGGAATCCTACTCGGATGATGATGACGAAACCAGCAGAGTCGATGAAGCTGACGACGGCGTGTTTGGTACAATGGAAGAGTGATCTTAACACACCTCTTCTTCTTTTTGTTACTCTGCAGAGTTTCGAGCCCAAGGTCAAATTCTGGATCCTCGGGTATCCAGGAAAAGACACAATCCATTTTGCTGCCAATTTTAGCGTTTTATCTTTCCAATTCGGCCCAAACCTCCGCAAGGCCGCTCCTATGGTACCGATGAGTGGGAGTCAAGACGTCCCACGAGGTTGAAGTCATTCGAGCCTAAGAATCCTTTGTGCGTTTGAGACGGCCTACCATTTTATCCGCCTCCACACTCGCTTTGATCTTGGAACCCTCCTGTCAACTTTTTTCTGCTAATGCCTTCATGTCTCTTGTACTTCTTCTTGTCCCTTCATCCAACCCACAGAAGGGGTGGCTGCAGGTCTTTTCTTTGTCACCATGAGCATCTTTTTCTTATCTTTACTTTGTCATTTCTCTCCTTGAAACGACATGAACACGGCACGAAAAGAATCGAGAAAGGACGTCCATCGTAGCAGCAGCAAGCATCGGCGGGAATTGTTGTGCGATAGGCAAATATGACGATATCCAAGAAAACCAGAATCTGTTCTGAAACCAATGCTCATTCATCCAATATCGTGACAAGTCTGTGGGAAATGATGGTCAACACCAGTATTGTGTTGGGAATGAGATAGAGGAAGGAAGGACCCAGGGCTAGGGGAACAAGCTCTCATTTAGCTGCCCTTGAGCTCTCGACCTGATCAAGCCCGATCTGATCCAAAAAGCAAAGAGCTCTCAGCTATCAAAAGAAAACCGTGATGAAGTTGATCGTCATGACCAGCACGGGCCTTTGCGATTGTCCATTTCTCTCCGCATCTCCAGTTCTGTCAAGCATTGTGGCTCCCGCAAAAAGCAAGCATGCAGAAGCAGAGCCTCACCGATCAACTTCAGTGGGTCAATCTAAGCGATCTACATTCTTCTTGAACCTCTTCTCGTAAATCATACGAAGTCATCGTTTTGTATCGTGTTCTTAGTCATCTGAACACTTCAACTTTCATCGCTAAAACGTCAGTGTCATTTGCCGAGGACTTTCGGGAAGGAAAGGAACAAGTTCTGTTGCAAAACCTACATTACTTTATCTGTCTCACTATCAAAGCACTCCAGAGTATGCCTCCATCAAGGCGTGTTCGAGCTAGTGCACCCATCGACAAATACTTTCCTAGCGACAGTTTGGTGATAGGTAAGAATTTATTCTCTACAATCTTACCCATCTTGAGCAACACATATCAATTTGATATTTCCAATCATCGCACCCCAAGACAGCGAAACTCTGCTCAAAAAGGAACTTCCACTAACAACTCCCACAGGTGCAGGAGTTACAATCTTTCACCTCGCCACCTCCCGCATCGTAATATGTAAAGACACACGTAGTGGTGTCTACTTCCTCCCCAAAGGCCGCAAAGACGCAAGTGAAGAAATGACTACCACAGCAATCAGAGAAGGATATGAGGAATCAGGGTACAGGTGTCGGTTATTACCTTTACCTTTGCCACACTTGCAACCTAGCCCTGCAACACTGCATAGTAGAAATGGGGAAGAAGGTGGCATGGACCAAAGTAAATGGGTGATAGAGCCCCTTGCAACACGAATGATGCCAGTGGCGAGGGAATACCAGTATTTGCTTTTTTGGTATGCTGCAGAGACTTTAGCTGAAGAGGATGAGGAGGCTTTGAATGATGTTTCTGAACAGGGGTTTGTTAAGCCAGAAGCGTTTCCTGAGAATCTGACATTAAAGCAGAGGGAAGCATTAGATAGTAGAGAAGAGGGTATTTATGAGCCAAAAAGGCATGAGGGTACTGGAGTTGATGAGGACGAGGCCTTCTACGTGGGTATGCTTGTGGGGGTTGGGGAGGCGGTAAGGTTATTGGGTGGTACTAGTGCTGATGTTGTTAGTAGGGCTTGGGAGGGAATCTGTTTGAGGAGGGAGATGGAGGAGAAGATGGCTGTGTGATAAGTTGGAAAGAACGGGTTCATCGTTAGCAGGAGGAACAGTTGAGATGCTAAACCAGGCGAGCATTACGACTCAATTCTTCATATATCCATGCTGTATTTTCTGATTTGTTGCTTCATTCGCGCCAAGTTGAGGTCACGATCCTCCGGTACGGAGCGTTGACCGCATGTGTTTTTCTGGCTTCTGTCAAGACCAACACCTATCAAAAATCATACCTAACGATCCTTCAAAGACATGTCAGCCCTAGCTCAATGACACCTGAACTTGGGGATCCACTCCTAGATATGGCTCCAGCTGAAGATATTGCTCAAATGAGAGCTTTACTGTCCGCCCGCCAAGAATCGCCCTCAGAAGAAACTATACAGAATGCTTTAACCATAGCTACAAAAAGCTCTCATCTCGACATAATCAAGCTTCTGTTGAATTACTACCCTTCCATCCATCTAAGCGAAGAGACTGTCCGAGCCGCAGTCAACACAGGCTCCATCCCCATCTTAGAAACCATACTCACCCACAACCCTTCAATCATGAACATGCAGTTCGATCACAGAGGCACACCTCTCATCATAGCTTGCATGGGTCGCCAGAGTATATCATACCTCAACTTTCTTCTCGAAGCAGGTGCAGATCCAAATCAAGATCCAGATGCTGCTGCCTTTCCACTCGCGCTGGTTGCAGCACTGTATTCTGATCCTGAGGTGATTGATTTGTTGCTAGATCATGGTGCGAAGATTGAGCACTCAGGAGCTATAGCTGCTGCGGCTAGAAGAGGGAATGAGAGGATGCTGCAACGACTTTTTGGATTGTGGTACGAGGATTGAGGAAGATGCACCTGATATAGCGGTTGGTAGTCTGCCTCTGCATATCGCTGTCAGGTCTGGGCATCTTGGCGTAGTGAGGATCTTGCTTGATTATGGTGCTGATTCTACTGTGAGGGATGCTGATGGTGCTACCGTTTTTGATGTTATCAGGCAGATGAGGAACGATGGGAAGGACGTGGCGCAGATATCAGAAATTCTAGGGGAAGATCCGAGCTGCGGTATCTAGACTCATAAAAGAGAAGCGTTGAAGGGACCAGGAAACATGTGATGGTATAATCCACTGGCAGGAACATTCCAAGAGAGCCAGGTCACTCTCTCCACCCCAAGCTCTCAGAGATCAATTGCCCGCGAAGTTTTGACTGTCAAAACTACATACATCAGCAGATGGCACGTTGTAAGAACATGAGAGTGCTTTGATACAGCCAGAAATTACTATATAAATCTCTCAGCTCGTCTCTCATCACCCGATCACGCGCCCAACTTTTTATTCAAGCTCTGGAGAAGGCTCCAACAGGACCTTGACTAGTCAAGATGGCTTCCTCAAGAAAATCATACCGCATCCAGATCGGGGGAGGAACACTGCAAATGGTGGAAAACAATCCTTTCATTGACTTTATCTACTAGTGTGCTTTACTCGACAAAACCAAGAAACAAAAATTCAAAGCACAACAAATCCTTCGAAAGACTGCAAAACGTAGAAAAAGCAAGAAAAATCAAGGCCTGCGCGTTCTCGGTGGGTTGAGGTAGATAGGCTCACCAGATTCATCGTAATCATCGGGCTCTTCATAGTTGTTGTGTCTGTAGATGTCATCGAAGGCGCCACTCTCGTTGTAAGGCCTTGAACGCAAGTAAGCAACCTCTCTGGTTGAGTGTGGGACCGGTGGAGTGAACAGTCCTAGCGGTGTGGTTGAGCCTGGTTCTGAAGATGGGGCTGGGGTGGCGCTACCGGCTGGTGCGTTGGTCATGTCTGCGTCTGTGGATGAGGTACCGGTTGGCTCAGTGTCCATGTTGTCGTCTGCAGGTGGGTTGCTGTTTGGTACGTTGCCCACATCTGCATCTGTGGGTGCGGTGCTGGTTGGTGTAGTGTTCATAGCCGAGTCTGCAGGTTCGTCTGGCTCGAAATCACCAAGCGCGTAGTCACGATCACCCTGCAGCAAAAGTTCGTGCTCGCGAGCGGCCGCTGCCTTCCTCTCCTCATGTTCACGCTCTTGCTCCAATTGTTGGAGGTGAGCTTCATTGTGTGCTGCGCGCTGTTCATGGCGAGTCCTTTGAGGACTGCTCATGGTTACGTTCTCGACAGCGTCGTCTTTCGAGGGGCTACTCATAATAGCATCACCTCTGTCGCGGCCTCTTGGGGGACTAGTCATGGACAGGTCGGCTGCAGCGCTTGCCGGAGCCCCAGTCGAGAAGTTGTGGTTAGGTTGCAATACTGGAATATTGCCGAGCGCACCATTGGTGAAGTCCGTGTGAATTGGAGGATTAGAGCCATTCACCGAGTCGAAAACATTGGGCGCAGCCGGTCGAGATGATGGCGCCATGATGAACGGTGTGATACCACCGCGCGGAAGATGTGATCTGGGGGTTGGCGAAGATGGTGTTTCGCCATCGATTTGGCTGTCAGTTACACCAATCGAGTATATCTTGTGCAGGGTCTTCAGACTCACCGTTTCTCTTGACAGGGGAGTTGGCACGACTTCGATGTGGCGCAATCTTGCGACCGAGGGCATTGCTCGGCTTTGTGTTAGGATGCTTATCAGCAGTATCGGACGCTTCAGAACCACGTTTGGAGTTACGAGTAGTAGGTGATGCGCCGCCAGATGCTGTACCGGCTTGCGATGGGAACATTGGGGGAGGGTTGGAGAAAGGATTAGACTGAGGAGCTTGGTTGGTGAAAGCATCTGATTGAGGAGCCTGGTTGGCATTGTCCACCTGCCCGTTCTGGGCCTGAGCCTGGAGTGCGTTTGTCAACCCATCTTTCAGATCCTGATCTGCTAGACCGTTGTTGGTTTGGATCAGGCTGGTATTCGTGTTACGCAGCATATCGTTCTCGCTTCTCAAGCCTGCGGTTTCATGTTGCAGCTCTTGATTTTGCCCCTGCAACTCAGAATTTTGGGCGCGCAGGGTATTGTTGTTTCCCTTTTCGTGCGTGAGTAGAGCTTGGGACTGCCTTTGGAGCCTGTCTTTCTCCTCCTGGCACTTCTGATGCTGCTCGCGAAGTGTTTGTTGCAGACGATTGTTTGCGTCTTCGGAAAGTTTCAACTTGCGCTCGACTCCAAGGCCTGCTTCACGCAAGGAGGTGATCTCAGCCAGCGAGTTTCTTCCCTGTTGAGCGTAGTCTTCTTCCTGCTGAGCGTAGGCATAGCGTAGTTGGTCGTAGGTTTGCGAGAGGTTCTTGAATCGATCCGAAAGGTCGTTGAATTTACCCAAAAGATCGTTGCCTTCAATTAGCAGTGCTTCGGTCTTCTGCTTGTAGTTGTCGCGCTCCTCTTGCATCATAGCAAACTCGGTCTCGAGAATTCCAATCTGTTCTGTATCGATTTCAGCAGACTCCCTGGCCTTGATAAGCTCTTGTTGAAGTTGTTGGATTTGTCTATTCAGTTGCTCGTCGTTGTCTTTCGCGCGCTGTGCCGCGTCAATGGCAGCATCATTGCCGTCTCTAGCGGATAGTGAGGCGCTGAGCGACTCGACCTGTCCATGCAAGGACTCGATCTCTGTTCTGGCCTGGTCGGCGGCACTTCTAGCCTTGTTCTCAGCGTCTCTGGCCTCGCGCTCCTTCTCAAGCAATGTCTTGTTTTGCTGCGTGAGCTCGGTGTTTGTGTTCTCAAGAGCCTTGACTCTATCATTGCAGTCTGCGAGAGCCTTTGTCTGGCCCTCTTGCGCCTCATCAGAAAGCTTCTTCTGCTCTTTGGCAGCACTCTCCTCTGAGTCCTTGCTGGCTAGAAGCGATTCCAATCGTTGGATCTCCTCTCTGAGATCGATCAACTCTGCGCTCTCAGCCTCAAGGGGAGAAGCAGCCAGGGTTGCGGACCTCTCCCTCTGTTTGCGCTCCTCTTCCAACTGGTTCTCCAGATCAGAGATACGTTCTTGATACTGCGTAGTTGTATCCTGAAGTTCCTTGCTAGCGTTGGCCCTCTCTCTGTCGACAGCATCCTTGATCTCACGGCTGTGCCTCTCTTCAGCATGATCGGGATCTTCAACCTTGCGGAGAGTGTCATTGAGTTTCTCGACCTCAGACCTGAGTTCCTGGACAGTAGCATCGTGAGTTGACGCTAGCTCGTTGATCTGTGCCTCATGTGCTTCATTGAGGCGCTTGATTTCCTCCTGATGGCTCGCAATCGCGTAACCGAGGTCCGTAGGAGTGGCATCGCGCTCTGCCTGGAGCCTGTTGATCTCACTCGAGTGTGTTCTGGTGGCTTCACGGACTTGGCCTTCAAGCCTTTGAGCTTGTACTTGATAGAAAGCGAGGTCAACTCTCATTTTTCTCTCCGCCACTGTCATATCCGAAACTTGCTTCTCAGCCTCTTCGTTACGTGATGTGAGTAATTGAACGTTTCGACGTAGGTCCGTAAGGTTTTCTCGCAAGTCTTTCATGGCTCCATCTTGGCGTACGATGGTTTGTTCATTAGCCTCAATGTTTAATATGGCTTCTGCAAGCTCACTTTGTACACGCTGGAGGTTGTTTTGGCAATTGCGCTCTCTCGCAGTGACAGTAGATCTAGTCTCGATAGTCTGGGTTCCAATTGATCTATTGTTGTCATAAGTTTGGGTTCCAGATGTTGTAGTGTTGTCATTAGCTTGAGAGCCAGCAGGTGTAGTGTTGTCATCAGTCTGAGTTCCAACTGATGCAGTGTTTGTTGGCGGTTTAGGGCCGTTGGGAGCGTCGACAGGCTTGGAGTCGTCCGAAGGAGGATTGCCGCCTCCTCCACCAGGTGGTCCACCAGAGGAAGGGGGAGAAGGAGAAGCCGCAGGATCGTCAGGTGTGTTTGGATTGAGCCAACGGCGCAGGTAGTCATTGACAGTGTGTGATACTGTGGCGTAGAACGACAACGTGAAAAACGATAGCTCCATAAGACCACGTACAGGTTCAGGGAGAAGCATCCAGAGATACAAAAAGAAGCCGAGGACAAATTTGAAAGCGTCGACGATAACTTGAGTAAAAGGGTGGGACCAGATGGACTCGAGGACTCCGTGCACAGCCATGAAGGTGGGATTGCCGAACAGGGGAGCGACAGTGTGCATCAGACTTTGAACCAGAGGGTTGTTTGCATAGGGGTTACGACCATTCTGGCCTCCGTAAATGGGACGCACTGTGGACAAGCCCCGATCTTCAGGCTCGGGAGTTCTGATGATCGTGATGTACTCCGTTGTGGTAAAGGTTGGAGTATCTGAGTCATATGGAGTGGATGTGATCGATGTCGATTCGTCAAGCGATTCAATGGAGGGAAGGATAGTGGTGTCGCGAAGAGCGACAGGAGATTCAACAGGGCCCCTGAAGACATCTGTGCTGTTTGAGAAGTCGTGTGAGTAGATCTCACGGGCACCTAAGTACACGCTGACGCCGATGGCAAGCACATGGAGCGCGGAGTGGCGCAAAGCCATAGTAGCCATGTTGATGAAAGATGTTGGATGATATCAGTCGTGCGATAGGAAGAGTTGGTGAAAGTGTGCTGAAGGTTACGTTCGGGGGAGAAGGTAGAGTAATGCGATGTTTATGTGTTTGGAAACGATGGCAATGATAAGTGCGACGACAACAAAGAAGACTGTTGGAGGAAAACGGAATTTTGACCAATAAACACAAAAGCGACGGAAAAAGTCAACGCAAAGTAAACAACGCGAGTGTGCGCGCAAGACGCTTTGCAGGCTCTCAACGGAGACGCTCCGGATGCGTCGAGGATTTGTGCTTTGTTACGGGGACGTCAAAGAGAGCGCGTCCGGTTTGGGAGACACGACAACCTTTATCGCCAGTGGTGCGTCGGTGTTCTTTGTCCTTGGGATTGTGAATTTGGAGACACAGTCTCGAATGGAACCACAAAACTCTTGATAACGTGCTCGAGGAACACGAGACACGAAAGCAGGTCTATTGCAGAACCTCAGGTACAGGTGGGATGCGAAGTATGTAGTTTCCCTTCGAGCATATCCGCGAACGATGTGGGCCAACTTAGAGATAGATTGGGCAATACAGAGCCTACAAAGTCATCGATGTGGAACATAATCTCGTGTTTGATATGATCAAACTTAACAGATACGAGGCAATTTCTTGTGAATACATACCACATCTCCGTATGGAAATAAGGTGTCCAGGGAAATTTTCAGAATATCCAATTGATAGGCGCAAAGGATCACCTTTGTAAAGCTATGCATAGGATGACCATTCGGTTGAAACAAATTGTTACTTCGGCAGCTCTCTGCTAGAACGACTGGGCTGAGTTTGTTCTGGATCCTTTTGTGTTTTGTCTCTGCTGCATGCAGTGCTATGAGCTAGTCCTACTTGCTCGGATTCTGTGCAGCGGTGTCCTGTTGTGAAGTCAGCGATATTCCAGTAGTCGGTGAAGGTGTGCTTGGAGCTTACCAGATACACCTGGTAGAAGTCCATCATCACTGTACCGTCCTTCTTGACTAGGTGGGCCCGAGCAGCCCAATCGACTGTGGCTTCTCGACCATCCTTGAGGCTATACTGAACAGTACCGTAAAGCATAACCTCATTTGCGTTAGGACCGAAGGGGAACACTTTCAGGGCTGTGTGCTTCCTTCTGACTATCTTCTCCCACATTCCTTTCCGCAAACTCAAGATTTCTGAGGCTGTCAGAAAGAATGACGACCGAAGATCCATTGCAGTATATTCATACCTTCACGACCTTGCACCTTTTTGGTGGGCATGATCAACGTAGCATCTTGTGTGAATTGTTCTGAGTATTGTTCGTGAGCGCTTGGAGAATCGGACGTTTCGTAAAACTTCTCAAAGAAAGTCTTATACTCCGAATCGAAATCACTATCAGAAGGATATTCTGATGTGTAGGAGGACATTACTTGATAAGAACAAAGAGTACAGATTATTCAAGATGAAGAACAGTTGGATAGGAAGGAAAAAGCAAACGATGCATGAAGTGAAGTTGGATGTCATCCAGGCTTCGCCCGAGGATCGGAAGCGACACGGATATGTTCCAAGAGGGGGCCATGATACCATCAGTAGCCTTCAACTACAATGTAATAGCTCTCAAAACATGCATGAGATAAACAGCATATCATACAGAATATTGGAATGGAAAATCTATTGACTGGAGCACTACATTCGCTGCTTCTTCAACGCATGCATATCTTTCGCAGACAAAGCGACTTTACAGTCTCTCGCCCAGGACAAAGCCGTACCAAATGGCGCATCCGAATGCGGTCAGATTGATGATCGTCGACACACTATGCAACACACCGAAGCTCTTGTTCAACTGCTCCATTGCCTTGGAGTGCGGGCCGGGGTCTGAGTATTTCTTGCCATCACGAGTTTCTGAAAGTCGTCCATTAGCTCTGTTTGTCATGAACAGAATTTTCGCCACATACCTTGATGGTGACGCTCCTTCATAGTCTTCGTTGTGGCGGGACCAATGATCAGAGCGTTGATAACACTGGTAACAAAGATGGTTGCAAGCGGCACAAAGATAGGCCATCTGTTATTGTCTGCTAAGAGGCCACTGAAGCCAACATTTTCTCTGAGGGTCTGATTTCCGACGCCGAGCAACTTCTCGCCAGGGTAGGTGAACAAGAGTGCTAGGCCAAGGACAGACTGAAGGGCGAAGAAGACAGGGAAAGTTGCCTTTTGAAGAGTCGAGAACTGTGCGCGAGGAAGGACCTTGAATGCAACAACACCGCCGATGAACGACTGGAAGAGTGTGGCTCCGAGGAAGGAGCCATAGCTCAAGATGTGGTACGCTTTGTAGTCGGTGACTGAAGGCATATTTGGCTGAGATGATTTTTGAGAATAGCAAGAACTAAGGGATGGTCGAGTTTTGTCAAATGGTATATCACGCCAGATCGCTTGAGTGGTGACGTATGTGAAATTACTGGTATGCCTCGGTCTTGACCCCAACAAACACTGGTGATTTCATGTCTCTATCCTTTTGTAACTATGATATAAATCTGCTAGAACCAAATGTGACACATGTCTGTTTGTACTGGCAGCGTGCTAGAGGTAAATCTAAGGAAAGGCCGACACGCTCGTTGCTGCCTGCAGGCACGAAGCCGACACGACCTCCGCGTCTGTAAGTGTTTGCTGCGTTTCTGTCCCAAACACAACACAACAACTTCTCCCATACCATTGTCGCTCAACCGAAATACTGCGTTTTCAACATGGCGCAGAAAGAGGCAACAGTGTACATTGTTGACCTTGGCAAGTCCATGGGTGAGAAGCACAATGGACGAGAAATCAGTGATCTGGACTGGGCCCTGACATACATCTGGGACAAAATTACTACAACAGTAGGTCGAAAGATGGTCGCATCACTCTTAGAACAGTAGAATTGACTCCTCAGATATCCAATGAACGCAAAACAGCCATGCTGGCAGTCGTCGGCTTGCGAACTGATGGTGAGAAGCTCACACAAACAACAGATCCTTATCGATAAGGCTGATCTTTGTGAGCAAACAACTAATGCATATCGAAGGCACTCTCAACGCACTAGACAATTCGGATGAAGATGCCTATGAACACATCACGGTCTTCAAAGAGCTTGGACAGTAAGCGATAGCTCGATGTACTCAAAAAAAACCATACTAATCACATTATGCAGAGCATTGATGCCAGATGTACGCCGGCTCAAACAGCAACTTGTGCCCAGCAATACCGATGTGGGTGATGGTATGTTTACAATATTGGAAGACGGCTTTGCTCTGCTAACCCAAGCAGCCATCTCTGCCTTGGTCGTGGCCATCCATATGATAACGACTGTCACCAAGAAATTGGCCTACACTCGCAAGATCATCCTCGTCACCAACGGCAACGGTAGTGTAGATGCCGATGGCCTTGACGCTATCACATCAAAGTGCAAAGAGGATGGAATTGAGTTGGTCATCCTGTAGGTCTAGACCCTCGGCTTTGCGATGGATGGTGCTGACATCTTGTTAGTGGAGTAGACTTTGACGACCCGGAATATGGTGTCAAGGAAGACAACAAAAACGCCGTCAAAGTATGTCGCGAGTCCTCTCAAAGGTCCAGTTACTGATAAGCTCAGGCACAAAATGAACGAGTATTCAAGGATCTTGTCGAGGAGTGCAACGGCTTGTACGGCACACTTGGCTTCGCCATTGATGAGATGGTCATTCCCCGTATGAAGACGGTACGGCCCGTCCACTCATACAGAGGTTATCTCACCTTGGGCGACCCGGAGAATTACGATACGGCTATGGCGATCGACGTCGAAAGATACCCTCGAATCATGGTTGCAAAAGCACCATCAGCCAGTCAGTTTGTTGTCAGACCGAACATGGCTCCAGGAGAAACGCAGTCACAATTCGCGCCATCGGACGAGGATCTAAAGCCGAGCGACCTGGCTGCTGTCAAGAATGCCCGCACATACCAGGTCCCCGATGAAGAGGCGCCAGGCGGCAAACGCGATGTCGAGCAAGACGAACTGTCACGAGGCTTCAACTACGGAAGTACTGTGGTGCCAATTGAGGAGGCCGACAAGAATGTTACCGACTTTGAAAGTAAACAGGGTATGGACATCATTGGCTTCGTCGTCAAAGATCAGGTAAGTCGCGATTGCTTATCGTCTCGACTAGTTGGCTAACTGTAACACAGTACGAGAGGTATCTAGACATGTCCAAAACGAATGTCATCATCGCTCAACGAACGAACGAGAAGGCCATCATGGCGCTGTCGTCGTTCATCCGTGCTCTTTACGAGCTCGACACATATGCTGTGGCACGACTGGTGCCCAAGGATGGGAAGAGTCCGACTATGGTCTTGCTTGCGCCATCAGTTGATGCCGATGCTGAGTGTCTCTTCGAAGTTGAGCTGCCCTTCGCAGAAGACTTGCGTTCTTACAGATTCCCGGCCTTGGACAAAATCGTCACCGTGTCTGGAAAAGAGCTCAAGCAGCATAGATTTCTTCCCGGCGATGATTTGATGGATGCCATGAGTGACTACGTGGATGCTATGGACTTGTCCACTTTCGGCGAGGATGACGAAGGGTTCGTGATCATCGAATCGTTGCAACACTTCACCCACTGACAATCAACAGCAATCCTTCCGAGTATGCGACTATCGAGGAAACCTTCTCACCAGCTCTGCACCGTGTCAGCCAGGTTATCAGAAGCCGAGCGATCTGGCCAGATGAGAAGTTACCGCCTGTTCCTGAAATCCTGGTGAAATATTCCAACCCGCCACAGGAGTTGATCAACAACGCAAAGGCTTCCTTGAAGGCCATCGCCACCGCTGGAGACGTCAAGAAGGGTATGTGCAAGCATTATATCGTCCTAGAAGTCATATTGACACTCTCCAGTCCAACCAAAGTCGAAGTCGAAGAAGGGACGCCGCGACGTCCCAAAGCCACTTTCTGGACTCGACGTTACTGCTCTTCTCTCAGCTCAAGGCGGTACCGTCAAGATCTCACCACAGAACGCCGTTCCAGAATTCAGGCAGCTACTGGACAGAGGCAGCCACGAAGATGTAGAGTCAGCCTTCCAGCAACTCGGCAAGATCGTCCGTGACTTGATCAGAAACTCAGTTGGCGGGTCTGGCTACGCTCGTGCACTCGAGGCGACCAGAGTGATGCGCGAAGAAGCTACCGATTTGGAAGTGCCCGACCACTACAACGAGTGGATGAAGAAGCTGAAGACTGAGATCTTGAAGGAGGAGCTCAATGGCGACAGAAAAGATATGTGGTTCATGATTAGAGCCAACCGTATGGGCCTCATTCAGAGCAAGGAGTGTGGTGCCAGTGGAGCGGGAGTGGGAGAGGATGAAGCAAAGGAGTTTCTATCGGTCAGACTGAGCATTTGAGTGTATGGTTCGGTACGATTGAGCTCCCTGCACAAAAGAACGACACGCCAACAGCGAAATTGCTACTTGCTACCATTTTACTCCTACACCCCTCCATCTTGGTCGTCTTCAGTTGTCTCATGCTCTCATTGCCATCTCGGTTCACAAGAGCATACACTCGCAATACTCGCGAATCTGTTTACATATTCCATCGCACATGCAATCTGACCCTTCCTTCCTCAATCGTCCTCGCACCAAGCACCCGCACCAAGCACCCGCACCAAGCACCCGCACCAAGCACCCGCAACTCTGCAGTTTGCTGTGCCAGCATCTCGACCTCATGAACATCCACGACTAGTTGAGGTCAGAAAAGATAACGACGATAAGGACGTCCGTGATTATTTGCTTCCTGCTAATGTGTTTGCGTCCTGTAGGTGTTGGTTCTGACAAGTCTCGTGTTAGTGCTGCAAGGCGATGTAGAGTAGAAACAAAAATATTAAACGCATAAAGAGCATCGTGTAATACCCAAACAGAACCCCACACTATCACAAAAAAGGAAAGACTAAGGAGAGTTTCTTTATAATGGAATCTAAAAAAAAGGAACACCCTAAAAAATATAACTCTTCTAATAGTAATATATATATAGCTATAAATATTCTAGTTTCTAATAGCTTAAAAAATTAAAACCCTTAGTTTAGTAAACTCTCTATTACTAGAATAGTATATTAGTTTTAATAGCCTTTAAGGTTTACTAGTAGTATAATCTTAACATACTATCTTTAGAATAAAAAAGCTCTTTCTTAAAAAGTTCTAATTCTAATCTAATTAGATTATCTTTAGATATAGGACTATCTTTTAGTTTAAGTAGTATAGTTTTTAGAGTAACTATATCTAAAGTTTTTTCTATAAATATATTAGTTAGTAGACTTTTAGAGTTAATATAACCTTAGCTTAATAATACTTTTAATAAAACTATTAAAGCTAGATCTAAAAGAAAGTACTTTAAAATAGTCTAGTAATAGTTCTAGTGTTATAGCTAACTATTCTTATAGAAGAATAACTAGTTACAGGATTTGTACTCGTAAAGAGGAGTGTTAAGCGTAGTGAAGCAGGTTATATGTAGTAGTGTATACTAAAGGGACTATTAGAATAACTAATTAAGTTAAACGTAGGACTTCCTAATAAAGACCTACCTACCTATATACCTAATAGATAATAAGTGTATGCACATTGCTCTATATGCTCTATTATGCTCTATAGAGCAGAGTAGTAGACTAGAGCAGAGCATATAGCGTGTTTATGTAAGGTGCTCTATTATGCTAAGGTGCAGAGAATAATAGAGTAGGCTATACGACCCTGTCATTAGTAGGATCGTAATACTATCCTCCTTCTATACTAGCGTCGTCCCGACGCTAACGTACATAATTAGCTGCTGCCTCCGTAGTTCTACCTTAGTAAGTAATAGACCTTTTCTACTATGCCTAAAGACACTAGCACTAAACGTCGTAAAAGACTCGCCGAATATATCGAATCCGAAGGAACTATTATAGTGAAACCCTACGCTATATGCTCTAAACACGGTCGCGTTTGTCGGGTTTACGTTAGGTCCGGGAAATGTAGTGAATGTCTTCGTCGTAATTAGAGGTGCGATATCCGTATGTCGTAATCCGAATGGGATCGCCTAAAACAAGAGCGTAAGCGTTTACGCGACGCTATTAAGGATGCGTACTATACGTAAGAGCAGGCTCGGAAAGAAGCGGATCTGGCGCGCGAGCGATAGCAAATAGCGTTCGCTCGGGAGATGCGCCTTCGTTAATAGCTAGATCTACTAGATAAGAAAGAGGAGGAGGCGGTGGCTATAGAATACGCGGGCATCGAATAAGAAGAGGTCGACGCCGCATTACTCGAGTTCTCTGCTAATACTCCTAGCTTAACGCTAGGTCTAGAGACTTAGAATGCTATTAATAGTGGGTTCGACTTGTCCTCCGAGTTCTAGAATGTCGAATCCGCTAGAACTGCTATAGAAGCCTCTAGCAGTTCCTAAGGTTGTTTTCTAGTTCCTAAGTATTTTCCGAATGTAGGTAACCTTTCCATTTTATAAGGTATTACTAACCCTGTTATTCTAGTATCTTTTCTACTTTAAATTCGTCTTCTTCTTCTATCTAGAAATGGAATGTTATCTATAACGGAGTTTCTAGGTCGGCCGGTTCTAATAACGATATATAAAACACTAGGTATATTTTCGTATCGTTAGGAAGTTAGAGTTTATAGTTAACTAATCCTCTAACTTCTAAAATTAAGAATGGTCCGACTTTAACATAATCTAGTTTCCTTATCGTCCGTTAAGATCGTAAGTTTTTTATAAGTAAGTATACCTTATCTCCCTCTTTTAGCTAAGGATCCGGTTTTAATTTTTGTCGACTTTTCTATAAATCGTCCTAGGATGATAGTATTCTCTATTATAGTTGCTTATATAAGTCCTTTAGCTAGTCGCTAGTAATTAATGCTTTATCTACGTTTAGATGCTATAACTTAGGCTCTATAAACAGATTAGGTTATTTTCTAAAATTAGTATAGAATGGCGTAACTCCTATTATAGCAGAAATCTGTTAATTTAGCGCTAGTTATGCCATTAGTAGGTAAATTACCTAGTTATCTTAAGCGTAATTAACGTAATGTTGTAGGTAAGCTTTAAGCGTCTAGTTCGCTCTTTCGGTCTAACCGTCGGTCTATAGATAGTAAGCGGTTAAGAGCTTATGTTTAATACCCATTATAGAGACGAGTGTTTTCTAGTAGTTTAACGTAAATAGCTTATTACGATCTGTAATAAAGGACTTCGGGATTCCGTAATACCTAATTAGTCTGTCTAGAACTAAGTGTGCTAATTCCTCTATAGTAATTGATTTTATGTAGGGAATAAAGTGTGTATACTTCGTAAGTCTGTCGACTATAACTAGTATCGAGTCGTATGGCTAACGTAGTTTTAGGTTCGAATTCTGCTTTAAACTACGTAATCCTATTATAGCATCACTATGCTTACGTAGGTTCGAGTCGTCTAGCGAGCTTAAACTACGTAAGCTAGTAATGAAGTCTATAGTGACTTCGTCCTAAGGCTATAGCGGTAGGTCTATAAATTAGATTTCGCTATACTTAGCATGTCGAGATGATTTGTTTATCTAATAGCTACGGCATTTCTAAATGTATGCCGTAACTTTCGCCTTTATCTAAAAGAATGTAAAGTTACGTTATATGTTCTCGATTGTTTTAGTAATACTAGGGTAACCTTATGTTAGGTCATTATAGTAGTCCTTAATGCACTGTTCCTAATGTCGTTTAGGCACTTAGTATTTGTTACATAAGATAGGAAATTGCTCTTTATCATCTTTTATAATGCGTAGTACGGCATTAAACTTATATGTCCGTACGCTAAGTGTTCTATCCTTATTTGTTTATAAGATGCTATATACGATAGCTTCTTTGCCTTCTATATAGTCGATTCTTCTACTAAGCGCGTCCGCTCGGCCGTTATCTTTGCTAGGCGTATACTAGATTTTAAATTTGTATTATCCGAGGAGTTCTAACCATCTTACTTATCTACGGTTAAGAACTTTAGTAGTCGTAAAAGTTAAGAGGTTCTTATAATCCGTAAGAATCGTAAGAGACGGGGCTCCTTCGGCATATACTCTCTAGTGTTATAAGGCTACGACGATGGCGAGAAGTTCTTTATTATAGATGTCGTAATTCTGTTCTACTAGTGTTATCTTACGCGAGTAGTAAGCTATAAGATGTCGTTTCCCTTCGTAGTCTTACGTAAGACATACTCTAATCGCTCTATCGGATGTATCGGTCTTAATGTAGACTAGCTTTCCTAAGTTAAACATTCTTAGAGTAGGTCCGTCGATATATGCCTATTTAAGTGTTTCGAAAGCTTTCTATTACCGTTCTTTCTATATAAATAGAGTATCTTACTTCGTAAGTTCCATAAGCGGTAACGCTATCTAGGAGTAACCTAATATGAACTTCCTATTATAGTTAGCAAGTCTAAGGAACGATTATACTTCTTTAAGATTTTTCGGAGTAGGCTATTCTTTAATGGATATGATTTTCGTAGGATTAATCCGAATGCTATCGACCCTAATGATAAAGCTAAGGAACTCGGTTTCCTTAACGTAAAATTTACATTTCTTTAGGTTTACCTTAAGTCTCCGTTCTTATAGTTTCGTTAGGACTTGTTATACATCTTTTACGTGTTATTCTAGGTCTCTATCTATGTAGATTAGGATGTCGTTAAGGTAGGCGACAACCGTAATATCTAGGTATTCTCGTAGCGTGTTATTAATCATTATTTAATAGGTAGCCAGTACGTTAGTAAGACTAAATGGCATAACTAAGTATTCGTAATACCCGTAGCGTATACGAAACGCGGTCTTCTATTCTTCTCCCTCCTTTATTCGGATAAGGTTATAGGCTCCTTTAAGATTAATCTTTAAGAACCATTTCGCTTTAGATAAGCGATCCTATAGTTCTTTAATGTTTAGCAATAGGTAACGATTCTTAATGGTGATATCGTTAATCTTTCGGTAGTTAACGTATAGTCTTAGACTACCGTCTTTCTTTAGTATAAACAGAATTAGGTAACCTATAGGGGATTCCGATTTATAGATAAATCCTTATGCTAGATTCTCGTCTAGGTATTCTCGAAGCGTCTTAAGTTCTTTTTCGGATAACGTATAGATAGGTCTAAATGTAGGTTACTTCCTTAGTTCGAGTCGTATTTTATAATCCTACGGCTAATGCCTAGGTAATACGTTTACATTCTTCTCTTCCTAGAATAAGCGTTTCCATTTACTATATTATTTAGGGATATTAGAAGGTGCGTAACTTCCTTTACTAACTCTCGCTTTATAGCCTATCTAACCTCTAAGATCGGTGCCTACGGAGCCGGTATTATGTTGTTTTAATAATGCCTTAGTCGAGGTAATAGTAACTAATACTTTTCTAGTCTTAATGTGACCCTTCCTCTTATCTACTATTAAACGCTACCGATACGTAGGTTACGAGTCGACTACGTAGTCGCACTCCTTAAACCTTAACACTTATAACTTCTAGTTAATTATTAGGTTATATTACCTTAACTAGGGCATACCTAAGACGATATAGTGATTAGCTATCTCTACGACGTCGAAGATGATGTCCTTATAGTGTGATTAGGTAACTAACTATAAAGGTACCGTCTCCTTTATAACTCTAGGTAAGGCTAAGCTGTCTATAGCCATTAATTCGTACCTATATTCTTTCGATCGAGTAGCTATCTTAAATCGAGTGACTATTAATGTTAATATAAAGTTTCTACTCGCTTCGGAATCTATTATTATATATAGTTATCTTCCTTATACGGTAACTAGTATACGGAACACCGTAGTTAATAATGTTAACGCTAGGGCTTAGATCGTGTTATATTCTCGCTAGCTGCCCTTACTATAAGAATCTACTCTTTTCCCGAATCGTTACTAACTAGTAAGTTAAACCTAACTCTTTCTTTTCCTTTTAATAAGGTGTCTAGTCCGTGTTCTTCTCGAAGGTGTCGTTTATATAGCGTGCGTTACTACTATTATACTTATTCGTATCGAGATCGTAGCAACTTAATACTATCTCGCATACTATTATTAACACGTTCTCCTAAGGGAATGATGTATCCTACTAGTATAAAGGTACTACCGAGTAGCGGCCTTTTAACGATAAAAGCCTTAAAGTCGTATTCGACTACTATAAGTTAGTAATCCCTAAATGTATGGCGGATCTAATCTAGCATGTTATCGAAGTTATAAGGGTATAAGAATCTCTAACCGTTAATTAATAGGAATGCGTCTTCTCTATACTTTATTATAATGTCGAACATTTTAGTAAAGCATAATAGCACGTAGGCATATAAGGTATAGATGCCTTCTCTTCTATTACATAAGTGGTCGTCGTCGGATAATTCTTCTTCGGATTCCTCCTCGTCGTCGTCCTCTTTAGGATCGCTCTTAACGTCTCCCTCTTCGATTTCTCCTTCCTTAAGATCTTCTATTTTTATAATGACATTAATCTCGTAGTAGCCTCCTCTACCCTAGTCGACAGGTGTAGGGGGAACCTAATTAGATCCCATCTTAGCATCGTAATGGACTAGACATGCGTTATTATAGCATTCCGTCTAGCTAAGTATTTTATAGTGGTCTAAACCGTGGGTTCCGGTTAGCTTCTTCTACGTTATGTTAAATTACCTTCGAGGCACCTTATTCTTCGAACGATAATCCCTTACTATATAACCTTTCTAATTATATGCATAGCAAGTTATCTAACTCTTCCCTTTAAACTGCTTCTTACCCTAAGATCGGCGACCTTCGGTAACGTCTAGTTCTATTAGCATAGGTCTATAAGGATCCTAGTACTAGTTATTACGACCGAACTTCTTTCCTTTAAAGTTATTATTAGCGCGGTATAGAGCATACCTAGACTTGCTACGAGGGGTAACGTTATAGCGTCTCTCTATAGCACGTTCGTAAAGGTTATCGTCGATTTCGATTGTTATACGGATAAGATCGTCGAGGTCGTCGATCTTCTTACTAGTTCTTATAAGTTCGTCTTTAACGTTTTCCTTTAAACTACGTCGGTATATAGTTATAAGGGCGGAGTCGCCCTAATTAGTAACCTAGGCATACTCCTAGAACTTAGCGGCATAATCGGATGCTAAAGTGTGTTAACGGATATGCTAAATAAGGCGTATAGCAACTTTATTCTCGTTAGAGATACTAAAGATGCGGCGGATCTCTTCCTTAAACTTAATAAAGCTAGTAAGGATACTATTAGTGTCTCCTTAACCGTTTAGGAACTTTATAAGTATCGGTTTTATCTAGTGCTAGGCTCTTCCTTAGAGGTAGGTGCTAGTAAATAAGGTTTTCTTATTAGCCTTAATCGGAGTGAACTAAAAGTAGATATCTATCTAAGTAAGCTAGTCGTTAAGACCCTAGCGGTCTCTATAGTAGAGATCGGGCTTAGCGACCTTACTATCGTCGTAGGAGGTGGTAGTGCGGGTTCTACCGACCTCGCTAGGAGTACCTCTAGGGGTGCTACTTAATTAACTCATTCTAAGGGCGTTTAAAGTTATTATAGCTAACTATTCTTATAGAAGAATAACTAGTTACAGGATTTGTACTTGTAAAGAGGAGTATTAAGCGTAGTAAAGCAGGTTATATGTAGTAGTGTATACTAAAGGGACTATTAGAATAACTAATTAAGTTAAACGTAGGACTTCCTAATAAAGACCTACCTACCTATATACCTAATAGATAATGAGTGTATATACGTTACTCTATATGCTCTGTTATGCTCTATAGAGCAGAGCAGTAGACTAGAGTAGAGCATATAGCGTGTTTATATAAGGTGCTCTATTATACTAAGGTACGGAGAATAATAGAGTAGGCTATGCGACCCTATCATTAGCAGGATCGTAACATCTAGATCTTTATAAGTATTAGAACTATCTTTTTCTAAAACCTTAAAACTATTTATAAGGCTATAAATATTAGGGTCTATATTAGACTCTAAGGTAAGAATACTATCTTTAAAAGAAGTAGGCTTAGCTCTTAAAGAATAAGACATTTTAAGTAAAGATATAAGTAAAAAGGTTTTAAGTAAAAAATAATATTAATAAGAAAGACTTAAGTAAGTACTATTAAGCTACTTATATATCTTTAGTACTTATAGTATTTTTAAGATTTAAGGTTAAGCCTAAAGATATAATAAATCTATATTCTACTATACTTTAATAAGTAGTTTCTTAATAGCTTTTTAATTAATTTAGTAGTTACTAAGCTTTATTTTACTAGCTATTATAATACTCTTTTTTTATATTATAGCTTAGAGTTTAGTTACTTAATATTATATAGTATACTTATACTATTTTCTTAATATTATAAGTATAGTTAAACTAAGATTCTAATATAAAAAACTCTAAAAACTAAGCTATCTATTTCTTTTAGACTTAAGAAGTTATTACTAGTTCTAGTATCTAGTATAGCTCCTTTTTTACACTTTATTAATAGAAAGTATAAGTTTTAGAAAGTGAAAGAGTCTATATATATAGATTATAATAATCTAAGAAGATATACCTTCCTATTCCTAGATTTATGTCTTTTTTGTCTCTAGTATTATATGTCCTAAGACCCTTTCGTATAAAGTATTGCAAAAAAGAGGTAAATATAAAGGAGTATAGCATAAGAGTAGTTACTACTATAAAAGTCTATAAGGGAAGGAGCGGAGAAGAACTATAAACAATTATATAACGTTTCTTTAGTGTAGAGGTAGGCTCAAGATACACGAAGGGTAGGCAGGCATCATGAGAACCAAAAGCAGATCGGTTAGATCAAAGATGTCGTAATGCTAAATGTATCAAAGAGGTCCAGGACGAAAGAGCCGGAAGGGTTTCCTTCCAACTGTCGAAAAGGAATTACTGCTGGCAGGATGCAACCTCATCCCTAACTGCCAGTGCAGATGTGAAGAAGAAAAAAAAAAGAAAAAGAGAAGAATGCAAATCGAGAAAATCAACTCTCATTACAAGAAAAGCATGCAAGCAACAACGCTCGTCATTGTACGACTTTCAAAAGCCAGCCAGTATCCCCTTCCAAAAACTCCAGTTCATTGCAAGTTTCATCAACCACGCCTGTTCAGCACCCGGCTCAAGCCCCTCAACCTATCCAGCGCATCAATTTGCCCAGACCCACTGCTATTCTTGTCTCTAACACTCCTGTCCTTTTCTTCCAGTTTTTCAGCTCCCACACTTAGCACCCGATCAGCCAATTTCTGCGCGTGTGCTGTATATTGTTCAAGTTTATGCGCTCCATCCGCCAGTTTGTCGATCTTGAATTCTAGCGATGAGGCTATGTTGCCAACGCGAGTCTTCGTGCTTTCGAGGGTAGACGTTTGGGTGGTCGATGCGTCAGAAGAGTTGAGTGAGATGCTGGAAAGTAGAGTTTGGAGATGGTCGGCTTGTGAGGGGTCGAGAAGGGAGGGATTGATCGAATGTGGCGAAATGTCGAGTGGAGATTGTGATGATTCGGCATCTGCGGTTTCTGCTGAAGATTTTGGTTGTGAAGTTGAGGCTAGAAGATCATCCCATGTTCGTTTTTCTGCTTGTAATCTGAGAATACTCGTTAGCTCGCTGCTTGTGGAATGAGAGTACTGGACAATAGAACATACCGCGCAAGTTCTGCTTCCAACTGCTGCAACTTCTCGGCGTTTTGTATATTCCTCGGATTCGGCTTCTTGACCACGGCAGTTGGCGTCGTGTCTTCCCTGTCGTACCAGTAACTCAGATTGTTCCGCGAGCTGAATTCGTTCAACAATTCCTCCTGGATGGCTCTCGCTGTGAAACACATGTTAGCGCACGTTTGCTTACAGTATTCAAAATCAACACACCTGCATGCATCGCTGCCGTCTCAGCTTCATCCATCTGACCAACTGCACTCTTCTCTGGCAAAGCGCGATGGCCACACCACAAGAGCAGTTGCCTCATACGTTTCGGCTCAACCAGATCCTGGGAAATGTGTTTGTAGAACTCGTTCGTTTCCACCTGACTGTGTGGCTCGGCTGTATCCACAGAATCCCAGTTAGCTTCTTCGATCTTCCATATATGATTTTCGTCGTCTTCTCGGTGTTCGCTGGTCTCATATCGCCTGGATTCGAGATCCGCATGGTTGGAGTCGGATTCGTCGTTTTTCAAAGCTTCGATGTTGAATTCGGAGCCTGCTGCAATGCGCGCGCAAAATCTTAATGTCAGGGGATGAAACCAACCCAAGACTCAGAAGACGCGAAAAACAAGAGACACAAGACGGTGCATATACTCGAGAAAGGGGGAAAAAGAGAATCCACGTACCACGTGAGCTGCCTGCTTCAATCAAAGACGAAGCCCTCCGGCCTCTCATTCCTGACGAACTCCTCCTCGACTTTTCAGCACTCAACTTGCGCATCTCCTTGTTGCGACGCAACACAGGCGTCTCTCCAAACGGTAGCGGAATCTTTGCTGGGCCGCGTTTTTTGTGTATCGTCAATTCGCCCTGGTCCAAGGCTGGACTGCCATCTGCTGCTGGCGCGACATTTTCATTGCTTGTAGGTGCAGCAGGCGGTGTCGCAGGGTGCCGTTGCTGCGATTGCGACTCGGTAGCTGGTTTCGAGGTGGTGGCAGGTGCTTGATCGCGAACAGGGCTATTGCCAGACAAGCGCTTCGAACGTCGTCGCGGGGTGGGCTCGGGACTCGCAGGTAACGTCTTCCTGACCTTCTTCCTCGGTGGCTGAGTGGCCTCTTTCGGCGCGTGTTCGTCGGTCGGCGGTGGCAGTTGCTGTGCAGATTGTGTTTCGGGGCCAGGCGCAGAAGCTCCAGCTGTGGTGTCGAGCTCGGGTGCTGCATCTGGCGTCTTTCCTTTGGCCTTTTTGGGACGCAGGCGCGTAAAGACGAAACCATCATCGTCGTCATCGTAAGCTGGTCGCAAGCGCATCAGCATTTGCGCGTCGGTAATTGTATATACAGCAGACTTACACTTCTTAGCCTTCTTCACAGTGTTTTGCGACGCGTTCCTCGATGATGTATTGGTGGTTGTCGGCTTTGATTTCTTGACGGGTCGATCGTCCTCATCCGGGTGATCATTGTGATGCCTCTGACTTTTCCTCTTGTTGATTCCGTTCGTTTGTGCGCCGGTCATGCTCAGGTTGTGTAGAGGGGTGCGCGTGACAATGGCGGCCGTCATTGAGAGGTTATGGTTGTTCGGTGGGGGTCAAATGGCGCGGATTCGCATCGCCTGCCGTTCTATGACGGTCGGGAATGGATAATCGAGTTGAGAATGGCAGCGATCGGGTCAAGTATGCGCGTCGCTGGAGATGTGGATGATCGTTGCTGCGTCTTGTGCTTTGTGTTGATCGAGAAAGCACCCGCGACCCGACCCGACTGCCAAATGTAAACACGCCAGTCTTGCCCCGACACGCCAAGACACGCCTCTCTCTTCGACCCTTCCTCAAGCTATGACCACCTATTTATCTCACGAACATCACAATTCACTTCAATATTTCGACGGTTTGTGTCTAACAATGTCCAAGATACTCTCAGTTGTTGGTCTGGGTAGTTGCTAAACTCTTCTCTCACAACGCACGCATCTACGCACTTCTTCCATAGCCTCTAGACCACTCACTGCATGTTGGCTGCCGACGGCAAGCCAGGCATCGCTCTCGTAGGTGCAAAACTGCCTTCAATTCTGCGTTTGGCCTCCTGCTTCTCAGCCATGCTGGGATTCTCCTTGCGCATGTCGGGTATATGAGGTGCCACGTCAGGGCTGTGTCCAATCGACATGCCAACACGGACCTAGTCATCATTGTTAGCACCACATTCGATCATCAATTGCTTGATCATTTCCACTTACCAATGTCTCCAATGCTCCGTTGGAGTTGTCCACCAAGTCGTCATCGTACACCATTCTCCCAGGCTCGAACAGCAGCAACAACGTACTGCCACCGAACTTGAAGTACCCCAACTCTTCTGCACGACTGACCTTTTCTCCTGCCTTCCGCGTGATGACTGTACTGCCAACCATCATAGCTCCCACGCAGATGACCATCACGCGTCCATGCTTGGGGCTGTCAATCGGCACCACCACTCTGACGTTCTCGCCATACACGTCAAGCGCACTGCGGATAGCCATGGGATTGACAGTATAGTACTCGCCTTCAATGAGCTTGGGCTCGAGCATCGTACCATCCACCGGAATGTGGAAGCGATGGTAGTCTTGTGGCGCCAGACGGAAGATCCCCAGCGAGCCTCCGGCATAGCGTTTGGCGTCTTCGGGATATGCATTGCCCAAGAGTCTCTCGACAGAAAACTCGCGTCCCTTCACCCACACACGTTGGGCTTCACTGATTTGATTGAACACGACTGTCCGGCAGTCTGCTGGCGAGACAACAATTTCCGGCCTGTCTGCAGCTGAGCAGGGCCTGGCGTCTGGCTTCAACTTGCGGTAGAAGAACTCGTTGAAGCTCTTGAAATCTTTCGTTTGCAAGAGAACTTCGGACATGTCCAGCTGATGGAAGTTGATGAAACCGGGAATCTGCGATGCTGAAGCAGGGTCGTCGTACTTACGGCCTTGCTTGAAAGACAGAGATCGAAGAAGCTTGCGGATCCTCTTCTTCTCCATGTCCCTGCTTTTAAGACCTTTGTAGAGCAATCGGATACCCAGTCTGACATACACACTCATTCTCTCTTCGTTAATCTGCCCAGTGATACGATCTTGGACGAGAATGTTGGCACTGTTGGCTCCAATCTTGTAGCCACCGTAACCGATCTTGGTGATGACCTTGCTGTACCACTTTCTCTGTGCTTGGCTGCTGGTCACGAAGCCGCCCATGACAATATTATTGACAGCGCGCCAGTCTTGTGACGCACAAGTGGCAACGTGTGTGATAATGTCGGCTTCGGTGTTCTTCTTGTCCAGACGGGGTTGATGGCAAATTGGGCACTCCTTGATCTCAACGATGTGCTCCTCGCCCTTCTCCCCATCCGCAAGATCGTCGTCCGGCAAAGCACCTCCTTCTTCTCCGTCGGCTGACAGGTCCTGAACTTCCAGTGCTGGAATCACAGAGGTTTGAGAGCGGTTATTAAGGGGTGTCCCCAGCGTCGAGCTGTCTTCAGAACGTACAAGACTCTCGGCCGATTTGGACCCGTCGGCGGAAGTCAGCTTCGATGTTGATGTTTCCGCGATATGGAGTTTTCCTTGGATGGTGTCCGCGAGAGTTGCCTTCTTTTGGTATTTCATAAGCTGGTCCTCGAGACAAATTACTGCCTGATCCATGGTCAACACCTCCTCTCCGCCATTCTCAGCAGCAAAGCGTTTGAACCAGGAGTTGATAGTGTTCTCGTGCAAGGTCGAACCAAGAGTATCAAGCATGGTAGTCAGTTCAACCTTGTCGAGGCTTCCAGTGTCGTCTGCATCATAGTGCTTCAACATAGCACGCCAGAATTGTTGACGAAGGGCTTGATATGGTAGATACTTGACCCTGATGTGAACGATGGGGTTGTGCTTGTCTTCCCATCTGTCCTTGTGCTTCAACTGCAGAGGAACAGCATAATACTTGAGGTCTGGATCATCGACACCGTCATTATCCACGTTGACTTGAGGAATGCCAGAAGCGTCAGTCATGTATGGATTGCTGGTCACCTGTGACATTGGTGTCGGGAAGTCCTCGCGCGAGTCGATAGCATTGAGAGAGTCGCCAGAGTCTTCCTTCCGTAACGAAGGTCTGTGGCTGCTTGTGTTCGAAGATGTCCTAGAGATTTTGTTGAGATCCTTGGCCGAGGCGTTGCGAGACGACCTGCTAAGCGTCTGACTCGACTGTGACCGCGACGAGTTCAAGCGAAATCTTGAGCGTCTATATTCGGTGCCAGAGGTGGCTCCAGCGTCCGGGGTCTCGGGACAGTTGTAAAGACCAGTTTCCGGGTCAGCCTCTGGCTGAACAGCCCTAGCTCTTTCGAGGGAGAAAGTCGCAGCACCAACAAAGTCGTTTCCGGAAAGCTTGTCCCTGTCGATGACAGTAAGGTTGAGTGAGTAGTTGATCTCATGTCGCAACACCGAGAAGACGAGTTTCTCTTCAAAGACTGGGTTGAGGTTGTGCCTGACGACGCGAGTCCTGTATGTCTTCTTGCCCAAGGAGCTGACGACAAAGGGATCCATGTCGAACGAGGTACGGGTCATGTTGCGCTCCGGAGGCAGGTCTGTCACCTTCTGTATCTCAACAAAGAGAACACCGGCAACAGCACTCATACCATTGAACTCGTAAGCCTTCAGCTTGGTCTTGCGCTTCAGACGAGCGAGTCTGTGTCTCTTCTTCCTCTTTTCCGATTGCTCGGGGCTGCCGGAACCGTCTTCATCATCGTCCTCGTCCTCGTCGAGGGATTCTCCTGCTCGGGCTAGTTCATCGAGGTCTTCGTCGCCCTCAGCGGGGTCTTCGAGAGCGACAACATGGAAGAATTTCTGGAGCGTTTGTTGGGCGGTGGCGTTGGGATTGATAGGATCGAAGATAGAGAACTTCAAGAGGACTTCGCCAGAGGCATGGCTCTTCTTGCGGCCCGACTTTCTAGATTCGAGCTTATACCACTTGGCCTGTGGAGCGTGTTAGCTGGAGTCCATGTCGAGATTGTTGGGGGTGTTGCTTGCCTCCTGAGTAGTGTGGCCGTTTGTAAAGATATCCTCGAGAGCAACGTCAAACTCGCCCATGTAGTCTTTGCTAAAGCGATCCTTGTCCCAGCACACGGCCTCGAGCAGCAGACTCGAGATGCCTGAAACAGGGAGATCAAAGGTTTGGTTCCATTTGGGGTTCAATGTCTTGTCGATTACGGACGTGGCTTCGCGAGCATCTCCCAGTGTGATGACTAGGTACTGCGGTGGCAGTTAGTGGCGAGTCCTGCGAGGTTGAAGCCAAGGGGGCAGCTTACGGGGTCGCTGGTGCCATTCTTATCTTTGGGAGCGAGGTTGCGGCCCTGAAGACAGCGGGTCAGCTCGGCTTGGTCAGGAGTGAGATCAAGTGGCCATGCATACCTCGAGCACCTGGACTCTCAAGATCAGGTTGAGTGCCTTGTCACCCTGCACGTCCGTCGTCTTCCTTTGGGGGCTCACGGCTCGGCTGTTGGTCTGGCTATCCGATGTCGACTTGACCGAGTTGGTGCTTTTGAAGCGGTGCAGCGACAGGTGCGGCGACAAGCGTGGTCGAGGCATTGTGATGGAGCAATGTGTGGGTTACGGTGCGGCCAGCGCAGGGGGAGGGAGAGAGAGGGAAGTTGCAGCTTGTCAGCAACACCGAATCGTCCTGTGGTCTAGAAGGGGAGAAGATGATGAAATGGTCGTTAGTTAAGCTTCTCTCTATAAATACGAGCGTTGGATCGCGAGAGCAAGCTGCGGGGAGAGTGGACAGCGGGTCTGTTGCGAGATTAAATCAACATCGACGACGTGTTTCGAGCTCCCCTGCCAATGTGCCTAGGTATCAACCAGAAACACAGCTGACATTTGACATCGAGATTCGATCTGTTCTCTCCAATTCCTTTGTTATACCAGCTTGTCCAACAGTGTCACTATTGACATGTATAGCCGGAACGACAAAGCCACGCGAACCACTGCTCACTGCCCCTCGTTGCTGTCGTGGCCCTGAAGTCTGTCTGCTTCCGCCCGAATCCGCCTCGGCTGCACTTGATCCTGAAACCTCCTGCATAACCTACGTCAGCTGTATGCACATTCCTGGACAAGAGCTGCACAACTCGTTTGAGCAACAGTCTTTTAGTAAACACACAATTGAGCTTGAATGGTATTGGTTCTCATGTACGCATTTATATATATATATATACCCTCCTAGATTGCAAAGGTATGTTATGGTCGTCTTCGAGAGCGGAAAAACAAGAACGCCTGCTGTAGCCAAAAAAACACCCATAGGCTGCCCGAACAAAGAATTAAATCCCGAAAAGATGCATAAACACACCATCTTCCATGACAATGCAAACTACTTCACTCGCAATAAATCAATCGTAAGACCTCGAGATGCCAATCCGTCTAAGCAGCAACCTCAGGGACCTTGACCTCGGAGAAAGTCTCAGGCCAGATGAACATACGCTCATCCCTCGGTGTCATGGCCGCAAAAGTAGGAATCGCCTTCTTCGAACTGACTCTACGCCACATGTTTGCGCGAGGGTTGAAGTTGCTAGGCAATCCCTTACCCTTGGTCTTTTCGTCATCAATCTTTGCAATCTTGATGACTTCCTTTTGGATATCGGCAAACGTGTCGAAAGGAATATACGCAATCTTGTTCTCGATGCAGTACTCCTCGAGACGGAGGCCGCGGCGAGCGAATAGGACGTCGGAGTGGCGGGCAGCGGGCAAGTCAGATACACCGTCGCCGATGAAGATGATCATGGGGATAGTGCCGTCTTCCGATTCCAGTTGAGCGGCTTCCTTGTACTCGTTGATGGAGAGTTCCTTGTCGTGGCCCAACTCATTGTCATGGCGCCACTTGACCTTCCACGACGATCCATCCTCTGAGATGTCAGCCTCGTTGGCCACAATGTCAATGTTGGCAGCAGCCTCCTCTCCCAAAAAGTGGTCCAGAACACTGCGCAGCACGGGCTTCAAGCCAGCAGAGATGACGTTGAAGGGGATTTTGTTGTTCAAGCAGAACTGGTGGAAGTTCTTGAACTCGGGATCGATGTCCAGGCCATCCTTCATGGCCTCGAAGCCGTCGGCGAAGGGCACATCGAGAGATCCCCACATCTCCTCGGATACGTCGCGGAATGAACGCTCGCCAGACTTGATTTGTTCGTCGAGGATCTCGCGCCTCTCGGTACCGCAACCAAAGGCGTTGAAGAGGATGTGGCCGGTGTCCTGCATGAAGATTGTGCCGTCAAAGTCTAAAGGGCAGTTCAGTCAGTATTACCTTCCCCGAGCAACATGGAAGTCAACCTACCAGAGAAGCATACAATCTTGCGCTTGGTGTTGAGAGGAGCGGTGCTGATGTTAGGCATGGTGGCCTGAGGAACCTTGAGGGAAGCGGAGGGATTGGCCATTCTTGCTGAAGGAAATACAGTAGTTGAAAGACAATAGACAATTACTGATACAAGAGGCAAGAAGAGCAAATCTCAATATCAAGGGTCAGAAAAAATTAGAAGCACAACGTCAACAAACCAAACGAGGGGCAGACGGGGGAGATCAACCACATCTTATACAAATCATCGATCTCCAATCGGGGAAGCGAGCATAGAGCGAACAATAGGACGCCTCCTCCGAATCGAGCCTAGACACCGCTATCCACAGCCTCACCCACGGGGTGTGCGTGTGTGTGGACCAGCAAAAGGCGGGTTGCGGGTTGAGTTGAGAACTGGCCTTGCGCGCGGTTGAGGTGCTGCCCTCAGCCAAAACATAAATGTAGAGCAAATGCGGCTCCGAAAACGGTTTTCGATCCATGCCTATGCTAGCAACAGAGCCATTGATTGGTTGCAGGGCGGATAAGATGTTGTTCTATCCCGCAGATGCCCGCAGCAAGTCGTTAGCGGTCAAGCAAAGATGGCCCATCGACGTCGGTGGCAACCAACGACAACACATGTGAAAGGCACAGAAGTCGAAGGCGCGGTGGGCGCGTCCGTCCAGAGCCGCAATTGATGTGCAAAATTTACGTTGAGCCTGCCTCTCTCGCTTGCCGGCAGCAGCAAAGATCAAGATCGATGGCAACAAGAGAGCAACAGAGAAAGGTGGTCTTGTCCTTCCGAGGAACCCAGAGTCTAATCGTCGTAGAAATCCCCGTTGTTTTCCAGTGGTGATCGAGATCCAATTGTTTCTCCACCACTTTTGTTCGCCTTCGATCTTCTTGCTAGCTAGCGAACAACTGCCCTATTGCCGCCTCTCATACGGTTTTTCTACTGTGCCCAGCATCTCGTAAAACCTCCTCTTCAAAGCCCTCCTCCTAGTACCAGAAGGATCAAGCCTCAAGGTACAAACCAAAACCCAAAAGATCGAGATGTCTCTCTGTACCTGATGATCGATCTAATCCTTCCAAGAAAACCGGGGAGAGTCTCCTACGTCAGTCAACCCGTTGCTAACCTGTGGATACTTTCTTTCCCCGTGCTTATGTGGTGCAGCACTCGCCAATCTTTTCTCCATCGTGCAAAGCAGAACGGCATGCAGACCCGGTAAATTCGCGTTACCCTCCATGCAAAGAATATGTAATGTGAGAGAGCTGTTCGAGGGTTGCTGTGCAGCGACCAGGGCTATACATCTCATCTATGCAATGCACACGCAGTTGACCTCTTTGCTCAGTTGGAGTGGCGACTATAAGACAGGGCAGAGTGGACCTACAGCACAAGCAAATCCAGGCATTTTTAAGCCCGACTGCTTTCTTCCTTTGCGAGTCGAATCTTCTGACATGCCAAAACGTGGGCTTGCGTTGTACTATGTATCCCGAAATCACGTGAAGAGACTCCGGCATTGCACAAGATGCTTTTTTGAGTATGAGAAAAACAGGGTTCAAAATTATATATACTATGAGTAGACAGGAGTGAGAACGGCGGACGCACAAGGGAATCATGCAATGAGTTGAAAAGAAACAAGGTTGAAGTAGAAAACTTCGGATGGGAAATGAAGAAAGAGGCTCCGGGGGAGGTGTCGATGAGTGAGAAAAGAAAAAGGAAATGACCTCCCCAAACCCCTTCCTTGAACGTCCCAAAAAGTTGTTGTATCTAGGACGCCGTTTTGCCCAGAAGATCCAGAGAAGAAGAAGAAAATGTTTCCCGGAGAGGGGTGGTAAGGGAACATTGTCGCAGAAGCAGAGAGATATGAGAAGCAGGCCGCCCTACTGTCCTTTCTCCCAGCTGTAATAAGAACATCGATTTTTCATCTTTCGAGATTAGATCGCTCCAAAGGCCTTATAGAACCGACGGGTTTTTGTGTTGTGTGTCTATGTCGGCAGCCATCAAAACAACGCTTGCCTAAGAAGAGAAGACAAGTGACTGTTTTGGAGTTCTCGGATGCCAAATGCGAACGACCGGGATACCGAAAGAAGGTCCGGAAACATGGAGTTAAGACTGTTGATTCTTAAACTCTGGCCAGAGAGGAGGCCATAAACAAAGAAACAAATGCATCTTTTCTGTTCGGCCGTATGTTTTTGCGCTTAGATGAGACCAGCCAATCTGAGGTTCTCTTGGATGATGATATCTGGAAGTTGTGTTAGTAAAATGCTTGTTGAAAATGTTTGGTGCTATGAGCTTACCGTTGACAGCAGCCATGACGAATCTGATTTGCATAGTATCGGTGGCGCAGGTGAAATGTGTGTAAATCTGCTTGGTCTCGTGCTGGTTCAAGCTGACGAAACGGTTGAGGATGTAGTCGCAAGCAGCAGCGTAGTCGGCGCCTCCTTCGTAGTCAGGGAAGTAGTTTTTCATGGGGCTGACAGGCAGCTTCTCCTTGAATCTATCGATTTTGTTGAGGAAAAGAATGATCGATGTCTTGACGAACCACCTTGAGTTGCAGATGCTGTCGAACAGGGTCAGAGCTTCTTGCATACGGTTGACGGTCTCATCTTCGAAGAGCAGCTGGTCGTATTCTGAGATGGCGACAAGGAACAGAATGGTGGTGACGTTCTCGAAGCAATGAATCCACTTCTTACGCTCGGAACGCTGACCACCAACGTCGAACATGCGGTAGGTAAGATCGCCAATGATGAAGGTGGTCTCGGTGATACCGGTCGTCTTGACACGGGAACGGAGGACATCCTGGTCGTTGGGAATGTAGTCAGGCTGAGCGATGCGGTCTATCGAGTCGAAGTAGCTGTTGAAGTGGTCAGCAAGCAAGAACGGCGGGCGCGACAAGTAAGACAACATACTATTTGGCAGAGTCGTTGAGCTGGTACTCTCTTGAGCGTTGGAAGCAGGCCTGGACACCAGGGTCCTTCCAGAGGACCGAGATGGCGTTGCCGACCTCTGGGGGAAGGTTGTCACCCTCAATCTGTGCGGGTTGCATGAAGATGGTCTGGACGTGGTACTCGGCTCTCTGGTCGTCGAGGGGAAGCTCCAGCGACTCCATTGCTTCGAGGATGACGCGCATGGATTGGACGGTGTTGCTGAAGATGATTTCCTTGAACGACTCTCTCTCGTCACGAGAATAGCCGCCCTCATGGATGAGCTTCATCTGTTTGAGAATAGTCGACTTTCCGGATTCACCAGCACCTGCGATTCTGTGTCAGCGAGGGTAAAGAGATTCGGCAGCGGCAGGCGACGACGCACCGAGCAAGAGCATCTTGATCTCGTTTCTCTGCATCATGCGATCCTTCTTCAATTGGTTCTCAATCTCCTCGTTCCTCTGCTTGCCCTCCTTATCTTCGGTGCTCATACCACAACCCATGTTTGCGGCGGTTGTGTTGTTTGATCGGTTACGGTATTCAAAAGGTGGATGTTGCCGGGAGGTGATGAGGAAAACGCGTAGAGGCGATTACAAGAGATGCTGTGAGGCTTGTCAGCATGCGTCGCACGAACGAGGTTGTCAGTGGTACATGAGGCTGGTGGAGTCTTTGATGCAGTGAACGGAAATAAGAGAAGGGAATCGCGAACGAATGGCGAACGAAGGAAGTGAGAGGCAAAGCGGACGAACGACGATGGCGCGAACAGCGAATGGAAAAGTGCGTCGGAGGTGATGTCGCTTTGGCAGTCTGTGGCTGGTGTTCGACGCTGGGCGACGCCTGCAGGGTCTGTATACAAGAGCGATTGCTTGACGCAGACAGACGAATCGACAGATGGTGGTGACGAAAATAGAGAGGGTGGTGCAGGCAAGGGAAGGGTTGCTGTGGGTTGGTACCGACCTTGAGGTGCGACAGCGGGGCGAGTCTGACAAGGAGAGTGAAGCTGCGCTGAGCCGTAGACTGGAGTCTGAGGCAGAGTTCAGATCTGGTCGAGGAGCAAGGAATTGGACGTGTATGTGGAATCGGACGAGATGTGAATGGGTCAGATGTCGGATTCGATAGATTGACCGTCGCTCGTTGGCAGGCTAATTGACGGCGAATGCGGAAAAGGTCAACGGTGGTGCAGCAGGGCCGACGTCGATGCAAAAATGCAGGAAACGCAGAAACGTAGAAACGTCTTTGGTGTGCAGTTTTTCAGCGGTTGGCGTGCGGCAGATCAGGTCAAGGGACAAGAGACAAAGAGAGGCAAGGAACAGTCTGCTGTGCGACGGCTCCGAGAGACTGTTGTTTGCAGAGCTGGCAAGGCAAAACGAATCAACTTCAGCAGCGCCGCCCTACGACGTGCGATAAATCAAAAGGGGCTGGCTGCGACTTGGGCCGCGGAAGACGTTTAGCCCGAAACCAACACTGAAGAGTTGACTCGCGCACTCAAACGCTGATCTCAAAGCAATCTCGACGCACAATCGACTGAGCCTCTGTCTGCTACACTTGCTGAGCCCGTGTCTCTTGGTGATTGCTGTTCCAGTCCGAGCCTCTTCACGCAGCTGTGTCTCTGTCTACAAAGGTCTCTCCAGCTTTCCCTCGCTTGTCTCTGCCCTTCCAGCCATCTGCCAGCTCAGACTCGAAAGCTGGCAGATTTGACCAGACACAGACCACCCCCAGCAGGCAGGTGCAATTCAATAGGATGCGCACAGGCTTCGACCTCCACACGCTAACCTTTCTAACTTAAGGCTGAGGCCCTAACTCAACCAGGCTCTACCGAAGAGCCCAATCTTCTAGAAGAAGGTCCTCGACCGTGAACAAGAGACCATCGCACAGCTTGAAACGCTCAAAGATGTGTCCGTCTCTCATTGTGGAAGTCAACTTTCGTCCCGTCACCCTCGCTCGTCTATCAGGTAGGTAGGTCCTCGAGTTGGCAGACGTTCGACCGAAGTTGCGATTGTCTCTCAAACCTGCAACTGTCTAAACATAGCTACTTTTCTTGCACAGGCACCACTCGCTCTACCTGATGCTTCCTGTGCGCCTAAACCTCCAATGCCAATGTCTACGCCACCCTCGACCTTTGTATTCCTCTGTCATCTCGGCTTGCCCATCTCGCTGGGCTTGCTCTTTCGCTCCACCACTTCCACGTGAGGACTTCCCTCCAGAGGAGAAAAACGGTCGCGCAGACACCGGTGAGATACTTACCACTAGAACAGCCAGCCACCAACCGTGCTTTTGCCTTGGCCGAGAGTAGTGAGATCCTCGCTTCCGTCAGACATGACTCTTGCTCGCGCGGCCGGCAAATTGCACTGCAATCTTGCTCCAAACATCGACCATTCCCACCGTCCTGAGTCTCGAGTCTTGCAAGACTCGTCGTTGACTCTGTCAGCCCAGACAAAAGACCCTTCCCGAGCGGTACACGTTGAGGTACCTATCACTAATACCGCAATACACACGCAGGGTCGAGACTACATGCCCACCGCATTGGGTCGTGCCGTCTACGCGGTTGCACCATTTAGCTACTAGGGCAATTGTTTAAGCTATGAGACCGGCGCGAGGTCGATCGTAACAAAAATGGAGACGTGGAGAATGGATCCTCTTTCTCCGGTCGCAGTGAAATGTAGCAAAATACGATCAAGATGTTAAAATGATGTTGGTTGTAAGTCTATTATCAATAGATTTTGTGCAGTGCCGTACAAGCTGTTTCAACAGCTACAGCCTGGCATGCTATGTAGAGAAGTATATACAATGAAGTTGTGGGTATCTCCGAAATAAACAGGTGTATTCAAAGCGAATGACAGAAGGGTAGGGGACAAATGGATGTGTCCAGAATGAAGATGAAGGTCCGTGATCAGCGTGTAGTCGCAGAGGACGGTAGAGATGGAAAGGATATGTGCATGGTTCGCGTTCAGTCGTCCGCAACTTGGCGGAGGTTGGAGCTCGGAGCTCGTTGCTAAGCATTAGAGCTTTAATCATGCTTACATGACCATGAAGCGTGTGGTTCTTCTCTCCATGTTTCTCTTTGGTCCGAGTCCCTCTTGACGTTGTACAGAAGCAAAAGCGTGCTGCTCGCAGTAAACTTTGCCAGCGATCTCAAAGTAATCATCGCTGAGCGGCTTCGAGCAATCAATGCAGGTGAAACAGCTAGGGTGGAACTTCTGTCCTTGTTGGGTCTCGAGGTAAGGTCCTTCGATACCGCGGTCGCAGTGGGCACACAGAGAGTTGTTGAGCTCGTGGTAATGGTGTTCGCAGTATGGATTGTTGTCAATGACGTAAAAGTCAGCAGTCGCAAAGGCTGACTTGCAGGTTTTGCAGACAAAGCAGTGTTTGTGGTAACGACCAGTGAGACGGCCATCGGCAGCCTTGACAGATTTGCCTTGGATAGGCTCGCTGCAACCTCTGCATATGTGCTTCGACGAAGTGCCGGGTCGCTTTGCAGATGTGGGTCTGGAAGAGAAGCCGTGTTCAGTAGGTGGAGATGCCATGGGAGTAGATGTGGCCGAGATGGAGCTTTGCGAGCGCTGAAGGAGGAAACCAGGGACAACAGGCGATTCGGGCAGGTCGACCTCATGAGAGGTACGAGGAAGGTTCAGAGGGAAGCGGTCCATCTTTTCGGTCGGACTGTCAAGTCTCTCACCAATCGAGACGGGTTGCTCAGCGGCGACAAAGCTAGGCTTCAAAGCATCGTCTGGGCTCAAGCGGTTTGTTTGCTTGTTCTTTAATTGCAGACTGGGAACAACCAGAGAGGGATCAGAGAGGTCACCCAGAGTAGACGATAGCATAGATACACTTGATGAGGCCGAGCCAGGGGGGCTAACGTCTGACTTGAAGCTTCGTGTCGACGAAGCCGAAGAGGCCGAATCTGAAGGAGCGTGTACAATGGGGTGCGCATGCTTTTGCAAATCGGCGGCCGAAGGAAGCGGGGGCGGTGCTGGTGCCACGGCGGTAGAGATGGTAGGAAGTGGTGGCAGTGGGGGAGCAGTGGTCGAGATGGTGGGGAGCAAGTCACTAGGAGCGCTCTGCGAAGCGCCAGAGATGGTAGGCCTTCGCTGTCTGGTAGGCGGTGCCGAAGGGCTTCTGACGACTGAGCCAACTTCGGGCGATTTGGGTGCGGTCGGAGGAAGAGGGAAGGTGTTTGAGCGGATAGTCATGTTGGACAGTTGTTGACCGGCGGCCTCGGATTCGCTCTTGAGCAAGGCAAGGAAGCCATCCAGCGGCTCTGGTCTGACAGGACGTTGTGGGATAGGGCGACCTTCACGGTTGGTGCCGCCAGGAGATGTCGAAGCAGTGGACAAGGTGGGCGAAGCAGGGACTTGAGGGGGAGATGCTGATCTTGTTGGAGGAGACGCAGGTCTCTCATAACTCACAGGCGACGCCGATCTGAAAATGGGCGACGCTGCTCTCTCGACCGGAGGCTGGTCGATGGTAATGGCAGGAGGTGGTCGAGTGCTTGCACTCGCAGGAGGTGATCTAGAGGTACTGCGAGCATTGAAAGGACCAGATGCGATGTTATCCAGCTTGCGCACGACGTTGGCACCGCCCGTGCCCATGGGGCTTCGAGGTGCGTAGTGTGCATCGGGTACGGGGCTCTTGACTCTTGCTACCGACTTGGATCGTGCTGTAGGGAAGGGTGGGAATGCGCAGTCCATGTTTCCAGTGAGCTCTTGCGATGGTTCTCGTGGGAGCCTGGGGCTGGGGCTGGTAGCACTGCGCATTCCAGGGGAGCGGCCAGGTCTGCCAGTGAGTGGTGTCAGTGGTGTGCGACGTCCTGAGCTGCTGGATCCATCTGGTGAAAGCAGTTCCTTTCGCGCTTGGTACGGCTTGTCTGCGTCCTGTTAGCTGCCTTGTCCTGACTGTCCAAGACTTGTGGGACTCACTCGCTACAGAAGGATCAATACGAGGAAGAGGACTCCTGTTCGGCCTCGACGGGGGTCTGTTCAAGCTCTGCTTGTTGGGCGGTAGCAGAGCTCGTGGCTGCTCTATCGAGGGAGATGTGGCCGGTGATGCAATTGGCGATCTGAGCTTTGGCGACACCTGGTCCTCCTTCTGCTGTGATGGACACACGTGCTCTCCCATGGCAGAGATTTGGATCTCAGCACCGCAGTCGGAGCATTTGATCGACGGAAGGATGCTCAATGGTCGCTCGGTCTCCATGGCTGCTGGCGGTGGTGGTCGAGTCTAGCTTTGCAAGATGCTTCCCGACCTTGGAAGAATAAACAGAAGCGACGGTTTTGTGGATAAGGATGCGATAACAATCGACCTTGTTCGGGATCAAACCAGCGAGTGCCGAACCGGTAGTGTTGGTCTGCTCAAAGGAGAGACTTTGTTTGTATGTGAGTTTCTGATCCGGACCGTTGATAGTTTCGTGGTAGCATCAACAGTACGAGAAAACAATGAAGCCCCTGGCGTCTGCCGCAGAAGGTCTGGGTCTGGAAGGCACGCAGTTGTAATTAAATGCCTCGGTGCGGCGAGTGGACAAAACACTAAATGAATGGCTGCTCGAATATTAAAAGCGACGGCAATAGTAAAAGACAGTGACGAAGACGAAAAGATAGGTAGGAATCGCAACGAGGAGAGGAAGAGGAAGGAAGACAAAGTGTCAGGCAGAGATGTGCCCAGGAGTTAGTGCATTACGACTGTCTTTCCACACACGCCCAGCGACCGTCGAGATGCTCCATCCAAGATCATCATATCGCTCGTCAAACTCCACAAGCGCTCGTGAAGACAATTTGCAGCACCCGCTTGCTCGACTCTAGTCTCTCTGTTTCGGTGGTCGGGGGACTAATTAAAGGAGATGAGCACTCTCGTCTTGGTCAAAGCACCCCCAGGGTCCCGCAAACTGCTCCCTTGATTGGCTGCCGCCTCGAGCGAACAATCACATGCGTGCTTTTCTAGGAAGTCTTGTCCAAATTACCGACTCAAGCTGTGTGGCAGAATAGTCCAGCATGAGCCGTACCATTGCGAATTTGCGAGTGCTTTGTCAATTGACGACCGCTTGTATTAGATGCAGCCCTCTACCACAGTCTCGCGACTCTCGCCGAGGACTGACAGCCAAAATGATCGACAGATCCACTCCTGCCGCTCCGTGCCAAACTTTACATTTCTTCGACAGGCCTTCTTTCGCAACAGCCACAGCCATCATCTATCGCGGCAACGACTTGTCTGACCCGATCACAACCGCATGCGAAATTCATTAAACCATACCAGACAACGTGCTTACATTGTTGCTACGGAGGCCTCAACAACATAGCAAAGGGACCACGCCCTACTGTTGTTGTAAATCCAGGAGCCGAACCATGTCATCATCTCCTCGATTTGACTTTGTTGACTCGTCTCACCTTTGTGATCTCTCCCTATTCCTCCAGGCTGCCTCGCGCATCAAGCCGATCCGAATATTCCTTTGCATCCGATCAGATAGGAGAGCTCTGTTTACTCGGCCGAGTCCTGTTGACAAATGAAGTGTATCTGAGACTTGGGCAGGGTGAGCGTGTTTGCCAACTCCATCTCTCATACGGCACTCTTGCTTGTGTAGTCTCTCTCTGGCGAGTGCACCATTAAGCTCTGAAAGGAACTGTAGCAATCTGCGAGGAACGGCCACATGTCGTAATCATACCCATACAAGACAGACAAGCCTCGTCTTCACCGCCTGCTGTTATTTGTTCCGAAAGTACGGCGAAACCATGCCTCCGTTACCTCCGCTCTCCAACTCCTTCACCCCGGACTATCAAGATGATCCGTGAAACTCGTCCATCTTGGTACATCTGGGGTCAAACAATAATGCGAGCATCTCAAGCTGCTCCTTCCCTCTCCGTTGCGGTTGCTACATTGTTCCGCAATGGAGTTATTTAAGCTTGACTTTTGTAGGCTTTCCTTTCTTTTTCTTATCACTACAACCACAACTCTAAGTACATAGATCTCTGTGCAGTCTTGTGCAGTCTTGCTTGATCATCCTTCATACACCTCGTCTTTGTCTTCGCTTCTTACTTCCATCACCATGGCTCCTTACCTCAACGAGACGCAGTCTACTGCTTCGAGCAACGCTCAAGCACCCCTCTTCACCGTCCAGTCTCCCAACGTAACATACTCTGATGATGCTATCGTCAGCAAGTACGTCTACCGCCAGACCAAGGTCACCAAGTCATCCAATGGCGGCTACGTCGCTACACCCAAAGAGACTGCCTATGACTTCAAGGTCGAGCGCAAGGTTGGCAGAGTCGGCATGATGCTTGTCGGCTGGGGTGGTATGTATATCTGAACCACGATCTCAGACTGAACTCTCGCTCATCGCATACAGGCAACAATGGATCGACTGTGACTGCTGGTATCATTGCCAACCGTCAAGGTCTTTCATGGGACACTCGCGAGGGCAAGCAATCAGCAAACTACTACGGTTCCATGGTCATGTCATCGACAGTCAAGCTCGGCGCCGATTCGGAGACTGGCGAGGAGATCTTTGTTCCCTTCAACCAACTTCTCCCCATGGTCAACCCCAACGATCTTGTCATTGGTGGTTGGGACATCAGCGGCATGAACATTGCCGAATCGATGGACAGAGCTGGAGTCCTCGAGCCTACCTTGAAGCAGATGGTCCGCAAGGAGATGTCACAGATGGTCCCCCTGCCCAGTATCTACTACCCTGACTTCATCGCCGCCAACCAAGAATCGAGGGCAGACAACATTCTTGAGGGCTCCAAGGCCTGCACCGAGCACCTTGAGAAGATCAGAGCAGACATCCGGTAAGCAGTTTCTTGATCCCACGGCCTATCAATCTTGCTAATTCTCTGTTTAGCGAGTTCAAGTCCAAGCACAATCTGGACAAGATCATCGTCCAATGGACTGCCAACACAGAGCGCTTTGCCGACATCCTTCCCGGCGTCAATGACACAGCAGAGAACCTCCTCCAGTCAATCGCCTCAGGCCATGCCGAGATTGCCCCCTCCACAATCTTCGCAACCGCCTGTATCCTCGAAAACGCACCGTTCATCAACGGCTCGCCCCAAAACACTTTCGTGCCCGGTGTCATTGCTCTGGCCGAGAAACACTCCGCCTTCATCGGAGGTGACGACTTCAAGTCAGGCCAAACCAAGATGAAGTCCGCTCTCGTTGACTTCCTCATCAACGCCGGAATCAAAGTCAAGTCTTTGGCTTCTTACAACCATCTCGGCAACAATGACGGCAAGAACCTCTCGGCCCCTTCTCAGTTCAGATCAAAGGAGATCTCCAAGTCGAACGTTGTTGATGACATGGTTGCTGCCAACAACATCCTCTACGCAAAGGACGAACACCCTGATCACACCGTCGTCATCAAGTACATGCCCAGCGTCGGTGACAACAAGAGAGCTCTGGACGAATACTATGCCGAAATCTTCATGGGCGGCCACCAAACCATCAACATGTTCAACATCTGCGAAGACTCACTGTTGGCCTCGCCTCTCATCATCGACTTGGTCTTGATTGCCGAGCTCATGACCAGAGTTCAGTGGAGAGCCAACGGGACCGAAGATGCCGAGTTCAAAGGCTTCCACTCCGTGCTGAGTGTGTTGAGCTACATGCTCAAGGCTCCTCTGACTCCTCCCGGCACTCCCGTTGTCAACGCTTTGAGCAAGCAGAGAAACGCTCTGGTGAACATTTTCCGCGCTTGTGTTGGTCTGGAGCCTGAGAATGACATGACCCTCGAGCACAAGTTGTTCTAAGCATGCTGCTAGACGTTCACGACGGAGTTTTGGGATTTTGTGTTTCTTTTTTCCTCTAGAGCGTGTCGTACAAAAGGCCTTTTTCTTCTACACTAATTACATCTGGTACGGTACATGAGGTACACGATAGAAATGCAATAATTACACTTTCGGTTTGCATAAACAACAACTTGCTTCTTGACTTTGTTCCCTCGTCGACTTTCTATCTCCCCAAAGTGAATTTTGAAGTGCGTGACACCCTGTTTGATACTCTCGTAGAACACTACATCTTATTCAAGCACCTCAATTGTAATCATGTCAGTAATAGAAGAATACATTCATCTGTATCTAGTTCTGGCGATATACAGTATATTCAAAGTATCAATATCTCGTTAGTTGATCACCGGAACCAGAAACTCAAAAACCTGTTGCCGATATAAATCTCGTCAACACTGGCAAGTATCTTGACTTGTGTTAACCTCAGTGATCCTTGTCCTTTTCTTCTTTCGAGATTGGAACGTGCGATGTTCTAAAGAAGTTGCAACTAGACCAACAAGATTTTATGATCAAGTAAGGTTATACAGACGTTGATTAAGCCGAACCAGGATTGTTGTTGGCCATCTGTCTGAAGTCCTCAGCTCGCTTGTTGAGACATTGACCGTACCTGTCCAGCTTCTCTTTGGAGGCCTTAGGGGCAGGACTACCGAACTTGCGGGATACGCGTGCAAGATCGGGGCCAGAGAGATCGCCGAAGATGCGGAAGTTAGAGACGGGAATGTGGAGCGCGCACAAGGCGTCGGCGATAGTGGCGCTGTGGAGGTAGAGTTGCTTCTTATCAGTGTGGTTGAGAGAGCGCATTTTGTCGGTACGGGGATCCATGACCCAGATGACACGAGCCTCTCTGTGAGCAGCCAAACCATCGGCATCGACACGAAGATCCTCGATCTCGCCAGGGAAGCATGATGTATAGCGTACAGTCAGCGATTCGAGTCTGTCGCCATGACGGTTGAGGGAGCTGACGATATCGTTCAGCTGGCGCTTGACGGTGTCGACACAAGTTTGGAAGTTGTCTTCTCCAGGGTGGTCTTCGGCGGTAACCACGTTGATATACAGCTTCTTGGCCCTCTGAGTGACTCGAGCAGTGTAGTCGTGGTATGGTTGACCAGGCATGTTGAGAGGGTGATCCTCTTGGACAAGAAGGAAGACGGTGTTTTTGGACCAAAAAGTCTCCATGAGCTCCTGAGAGATCTGCTTGTTTGCGAGAAGTAGTCCACGGACTTTGAAGAGAGGTCCGAAGCCCTGGAAGGGAACGTTGCAGATTTCGAAAGGATCAACTCCATGAGAAACCATCAAGTGGCGGTCGAGCAAGTCCGAGCGGTTTCTACGTCTGTTGCAGCGATCTGGTTTGCCTTTGAGAGCTGAGAGCTCGTCGTACTCGGCCTGCTCGGAGGGAGAGAATCTGGCAATGATAACCTCTGCGTAGATCTGTGTTGATCAGTACCAGTAGACAGCGAGTAAGAACATGCAGGGACCGCTTACCTTGTCACGCACTTCGCGAGGCAGTCTCATAAAGTCAAGGACGCCGGGTCTCAATGGCAAGAAGGCATCAGGTTTTTTGCAGGTAGACTTGTGTTTCTTCCAGTGCGCCTGCCGGCAAGTTCTGCTACAGTAGTAGTCTGTCTTGCAGTTACCGCGACGACGCTTGCCGATATTGCGGCATCCATTTGACGCACACGCGTAGCCTGACATGCTTGGAGCGAATGGGGAGTGTGGGATGTTGGTGAACAGAGTCTAGACGAGGGTGAAGCAAGATGAGGTGGAGATGGAGATGAAGAGAAAGGCATCCTCACTCGTGTTGAATGTTGACAGCCAAATCGTGCCTCTCCGTTTGAGGCAGGCGAGCAAACGCGGAAGGATCCACAATCAAGTAGCAACTTCTCATATGCGCGGCGGCGTGCATGACATGCTGCGGCTTCCCGCTTGATCCCCTCCACTGGTCATATGTGGCCTGTCGAAATGCACAATCATGTTCGAATCTGAAAAGTGACCAAGGAGAATCATGGTCATGTTGGCTTCCAATAGAGACTGACCTATTTCCAGACCTGCAGTGTATCACTATGGTCGCAGGAAACTCAGGTATATGCTTAGGACGGGACCTCCTGCCCCTTGTCAACCAGCGAACAGTGCCTGTTTATTTTGAGACTCCACCGCTTCCATCCTCTGCCTCCTTCTTCTTCCTTTCGGACTTGTCTTCGGCCTGACAGCCTTCGCACGGCTTCGAGATAACCTCCAACCTCTGATGGCATTTGAACTTCTGAGCATGCTTTCCTCTGTTACACATCTCCTCGATGGTGGCATGGCACAAGACCATCGAATGATCACCGAGGTGATGACACAGCGAATCACACTCATGAACTCCGCACCTCAACTTGACACCACAAGGCTCCAAACACCCACCATTTGGACAGCTCTCCGCAAAGTCCGCTGGTGTTTGTAGCAGTGCTGTATTCTGTGGGTGGTTCTCGCATTTTACGGGAACGCCTTGGTACATATGTCCACCAGCTTCTAGCAGTTCGAAAAGTTTCGTCCATGTTTCCCGGCCTGTATGCGCAGCCTTGAAGGTCGAGGAGTTGCCGATGATGATCAACGCGTTGCGCGCGCGTGATAGTAGAACATTGAGGCGTTCAGGGCTGTTGAGGAAACCTATGTCGCCTTCTGGGTTGCTTCTGGTCAAAGAGGCGACCACAATATCGCTTTCTTGGCCTTGATAGTTGTCTATGATGTGTGAGTTAGCTGTAGATACCACACATGTTGCGAGATACCTACCAATGGTGGAGATCTGGATCTTTGGTCTTGCTTTAGGGGCATTGGTGGAGCTTGCTGCTTTCGCAGAGGTCTGGGCCGCTGCTGGTAGCTTGCTGGCAGCAGCATGAGCTACACCAGTACCAGCTCCGGCTGATGACGCCTCGAGCAGCTCTGCGAATGCGAATTGATCTGCGTCAAATGCGGCAGGCGCAGGGTCATCCTCAACTTCTTGAGGGGAGTTCTCGACTTCCGAGCTATCTTTGATTATTCCATTCTGCTCCATCCTCTGGATATCCGAGTTACTCAAGACGGCATCGAACTCTCTGCTGAAAACTTCTTGAGTTATTTTGACTTGTCCGAGATATGGTGTCAGAACGACAATACTGCTGGCAGGGTAGTTCTGTTGCAGCAAATATTTGACCGTGCTGAACGCCATCTCGGCTTCGAAGGTGTTGCGTTTAGATGCAATCAAGTTGGTCGTCTCAGGATCTTCAGAAGCCGTGTCTTCGGGTTGGTTGTGGTCGACAAAAATAACATTGTTGGAGAATCCACGCAAGTCTGGACGATTTAGTGTCTTGGGAGCATCGATGAGATCAGGATACGTTAGCTGTCTGGGTAGGTTCGAGATTTCAGGTCTCATGCGATGTTGCTGGGCGAGGACTTGGTGGGGATAGCCCTTCAATACCAGCCGTTCAAACATAGAGCGATTGAGATCGTAGCCATCACCTTTCTCAACACTCAAGTCGTAGTTGACAAATGGACGTAGTTGTTTGTGGTCGCCGATCATGATAAGCTGTTTTGCGGTGGGATTGAGTGCAGTCACAATGTGGCTCTCTAGAACTTGTCCTGTAAACAAACGCTACAGTCAGCAAATATTCTGATATTGGTCGTAGTGATTCGATGTCTTGAGCCAGTGTTCAACACGCCAACTTAGTTAGGCTCTCTCCATCCTAGAATACTTACCGGCTTCTTCAACGACAATGACACCTGGAGCTTCGGCTAGCACTTGTGGGTACTTAGCTGCTCCGGAAGTCGTACAGGCGATGATCCTCTTGCTCCGAATAATCTGTTCAGTGACTTGCCCATTTGCATTGCGAGCCTGGCTCAAGAGGTCGTCATGGTGTTCCGCTGTCTTCAGGAAAGCCGACAGTACAGTCTTGCTAATCTCGGCACACCAGCTGGTCGATAGCTCTTTCCTTTGCTGTAAAGAGAGGTTCCAGACATCGTATTTCTTCTTTTCCGGGAAAACGCCCGGATCTTCGCCCTCGATCCAGCGTTGGAGCAGATAGTGTCTGTTGGCTACTGTACCGTTTGTTGTGATACGTGTGGTTCCGTTGCGTTCAAGGCTAATATCGAAAGCCTGGCTGTATCTTGGATCTCCCCTCATGGCAAGGCCATCCAGATGATTGCGAAGTGCGTTCAGCGAGGTCAACTCACGATATAGATCTTCAAGTCGATGAGCTTCATCTAAGACCTGACGCTCAATGTCCTTGACGAATGACCTTGTGTCCCGACTGGAGCGTAAGGCGCTGTCAACTTTCAAGGAAGAGAGCAGCAGAGAGTGGTTAGCAGGATCTGTCCTTTCTATCCCACCCAGCCTGACGATGTCAGAATCCTTCACACCGACCTTTCGAATGTCTTGAATGAACTGGTCTAGAGCTTGGTTTGTATGACAGATGATAAGATGCTTTTCGTTTGTGTTATCAAGCGAGACCTTGACTGCAAGAGCTCCAATGAACGATTTTCCAGTACCAGGCGGCCCCTGGACGAGACTCAACTTTTGTTTCAAAGCAACTACCAACGACGCTGCCTGCGAGGGATCCAGGACAACTGAACTGTTCAATTCCAAGGTATCTTGTAAGTCGAGTTCCGGAGTCTCCTCAAGCTGTTTTACAATCTTCTTAACTCCTAATCGAGCAGACGTTAGCATTTTCTTTGGGAGACAAACATGTTACAGATGCCAAGGCTACTCTACGACTTGAAGATTGACTCGAAAGTGCTTGATGTGGCGTATGTGCTTTCGCAGACATACCTTCGATCTTGTAGGCCTCAGACTCTTCCAGCATCTGCGAATCGTCCCAGAACAGCAGTTCGCGCTCAAAAGGGATCTCAGTGGTCTCCTGCAGCCTGCCAAGGACAGGCTCATAGGCATACCCAGCAGTGTTGAGAGGTACAAGGTCCAGATTTGTTGCATTGATCATCCTAAGCATTGCTTGCGGGATAGTTCCCCGATGATGGAAGCTAATACAGATGACGGATTTGGCGAGTAATGCTTCGTCACGCAGGATTTTGATGATGGCCACCGGTTCGCCATCTGCAATAACGAGGCCTAGAGCTCCGTCTGGCATGAACTCGATGTCATCTTTGATGAAAGCTTTGCACTGCTCTGGATTCAGATCCTTGAACTCGGGGAGAGCCTCCAAGCATTCTAATTTTAATGACCAAGGATGTTGCCCATTTTTTCTAGATGCATCGCGGCATGATACTCCAGTCATCTTTACTTTGAGTGTTTTTATGGTGTGAGCAACCTCTGTCTCTTTCCCGAGAGCGATTCGTACTTTTTCTCTAATCTCCTCCAGCCAGTCTTGTCTATAGAGTCGAAACAGATTCGCCAGGTAGATGTACAGCCTTCTGGTAGGATCAGGTTCTTCGAATACCTCTGCAGCCTTCCAAATACGAGGCTTGTCGTCTGACATCACTTCCTGCAAAGTAGGAAAGATACCAATGTCCTGGAAGTTTTGGAAATCGTTGTCATGCCGTGGCTGAAAGGTGTGTCGGTCTGTTCGAGCCTTCGCAGCCTGATGCAGAGCATAAACTCGCTGAATTCTCCCGCCGAGATCGCGAGTATTGCCGTAGGTTGAGTCTGCCAGGATACTCTGCACCAGAGGATCTTTGGCAATCATCAGATCAAGAGGCCTGACATTGCGTGTGTTGGTGAGTAACTGCAGAAGGAACCACGCAAAGCATTGCGTGGATTTCTGGTCAACGAGTTCATACTTGACATGAGAATGGTAGTTTTTCCAGAACTTGGATCCTGGTGGGTCGACTATAGACTGCAAAGTACTTCTTAGATAGAAACCACTACTTGCAGACTGGAGAGCTGGGTATTGGAGCCAAGTAATCACAGGTTGTAGAACTTCATCAATGTACTCCGGAGCAGCATCGATGTTGAATGCACGGTTGAGACAGCTGAGACCATTCCGACTAGCCAGGATCTCCTCGACGACAGCAATTGGATTGTCCTTTTGGTTCAAGGTTGTTGACAAAAACACTTGTGCATCTTGGACAGAAGATACTGCGAATTTCCCCTGCAAAGCTCTGTGAAATAGTGTTGGCCTGGTAGCAGATTTGCGATTACCACGATCCGAAAAGAGACGCACGAAAAGTCGGGTCAAGGTCGTGGTTGGAGCATGTCGAGGTCGAAACATGATCTGTGATCAGGCCATGAGAGAAAGATGCTAGGAGTTTGCAAAATGAGTTATCATTTCAGACGGTCAACAGCAGCTTCGAAACCTCAAGTGGAGCCCAATATGCAAGTCTGCGGCACAGCTGCTCTAGGCTTCATTGTAACACAAGGTTGGAGACAAACAAAAGTCATCAAGACGAGCCTCTTCGAGATGTTCGCGTCAGCCTGTTTGATTTTTGATGGAGATATTGAAAATGGAAGGCTGGGAAACGCGTCATTGATTGAGCAGACTTGATGGACGATTTACGCATCGATACTGATCGTGCATAATTTTGTGCAAGACATACTAATGCAGCAAAGCTTGGTACACGACCACAGTCGACATGACTCTTCTACCTTCTCCCATATCAGCCTCTTCTGAATCTGGATTCTTCCCAGATGCCGTGACCGCTCCTGTGACTTTCTTCTGAATCGTTCAGACTGGCTAGATATGTGTTCGATGTTCTCTTTGTCAAACGTGTGCGATTGGATGATCGACGAACCCTTCGAAGCCTTCGAAATCACGACATCGCGGAGCTCGAAGATGCAAGAGCTGCAACCCACGCACGCAATCCACGTTTCCACTCGTCGCAACCTTTCAATGCACGCCAATTGGCCAGATCTTACTGGAATCCACCAAGATGCATGGATTCTCCAAAATCTGGAGTGCACTTCCTGCCATGTGGGTGAAGGATGATGGAGCTTGTGGCTTGAAAGACGTCAGAAGATATACTTTTTGCATGCCGATGGCAACATACAACGAACCTCGTTTCGGCAGGTGAAGGTTGGTTAAGCAAGAGGTAGGGCTGCTTTATACATATCGGGGCCCCATCTTCTCACTCCTTCGCATTTCTTAGCATCTCTTTTCTGCTTGAACTCAACTCAGCCTCACAGGTTTTGCCCTACTCAAGGCATTGACCAGCAGAATAATGGCAGATATCGAGAAGCACGTCAACCACGATGGTGACTCACCAAAAGCTGCGTCGTCCATCTCCTCTGCCGACTACACACACATCAACGAGAAGTCGCTTCTCCGCAAACTCGATTGGAGACTACTTCCCGGTGTCTCCCTCTTGTATCTGGTCTCCTTCCTCGATCGCTCCAATGTCGCTAATGCACGTCTGGATGGCTTGGTCGACGACCTTGACATGACTGGTAATGAATACCTCACTGGTCTTACTGTGTTCTTCGTCGGCTACATCTCGCTGGAAGTGGTGTGGAATCTGATACTCAAGAAGATCGGACCTAGAATTTGGCTGCCAGCAGTGACGATTGTTTGGGGTATCGTGACCACCCTGCAAGGAGTGTTGGTCAACAAAGTCGGCTTCTTCGTCATTCGAACTGCGTTGGGTATCGCTGAAGGCGCGCTGTTCCCAGGTGTAAGACTTCGTTACCCGGACTCGGTGTGTGAGAAGCGTTGCTGATCGTCTGACCTCAGGTTGTGTTCTATCTTTCCATGTGGTACAAAAGAGAAGAGAGAACATACAGAGTAGCCCTGTTTTTTTCTGCCGCTAGTCTGGCAGGAGCTTTTGGTGGTATTCTAGCCTATGGCATTGGATACATGAGAGGTACAGCAGGTCTCAATGGCTGGGCATGGATCTTCATCATCGTACGCTCTCCTTTTCCTCATCCTCTCACGAACACTGTTTACTGATACTCTCCACAGGAAGGCATAGCTACTGTGCTCATCGGCATTGCATCTTACTGGTTCATCGTGGATTGGCCCGCGAAGAGCACATTCCTTGCACCAGATGAGAAGGCCTTTGTGACTGCACGTCTCAAGGCCGACAGCGACGCCTCCAACAGCGAAGAGTTTGAATGGTCTGAAGTGTTCAAAGCCTTCAAAGACCCAAAAGTCTGGCTGTATTGCGCCCACTTCCATACCTTAAGTCTTCCGCTATACACACTGTCCCTATTCTTGGTAAGTGTCACGCCCTCGGCATCATGAGGCAATACGGCTAACACAGCACCAACCAGCCCTCCATCATCAAGAGTCTAGGCTACAAAGCTTCTTCCGCCCAACTCCTAACCATCCCTCCATACGCCCTAGCAACAGGTCTCACGGTCCTCTATGCCATCACCGCCGAAAGATTCCGCCGCCGCAACGTCTTCATCATGACATCCTCGCTCACTGGCATAATCGGCTACATCATCCTCCTCTCCAACAAACACCCTACTCGTCACCCAGCAGTCAGTTACGTCGGCACCTTCTTCGCCGCTGCAGGAATTTACCCTTCTACTGCTCTGGCACTTTCGCTTCCTGCTATCAATGTATCTGGACAGACCAAGAGAGCCACAGCCACGGCTATGCAGATCACAATCGGCAACCTTGGCGCAGTGCTCGGAACTCAACTTTATCGAACTGAGACTGCACCCAGGTACGTTTTGGGACATTCGTTCGCGTTGGCATATCTGTGTATGAATGTCTGTGTTGCGGGATTGACTTGGTGGAAGCTGAACAAGGAGAACAAGAAGAAAGAAGGGTTGGAGGCAGAAGTGCAGCACAGCGATGAGCAAGGTTTTAAAGGTGATGACGATGTTAGATTCAGGTTTACTGTTTAGAAGGTCAAGTGGTAGTGTAGTAGTAATTGTTCGAGAACGAAACCTCAAGGTGTTTGATAACACAGTATTGCTCGATATATTTACGTAGCTTCTGTGACTTCCGCATGCAGCAAAAGATATCAAACAAACTTCTGAATCGACCACTACAGCTTTGCCGCCTCACCCTTCAACTTCAACCCAGTCAACCTCTCCAGTTCCTCGACAGCCTTGTCCGCCATCCCCAACTCCACCTTAACAGTCCTCATACCCACTTGTCTCGCCGTCCTCAAATTCGTCCCAATGTCATCAAAAAAGACGATGTCCCCCGCCGCGACCCCCTCTGTATCACCTCCATCTCTCGCCAACTTATCCAGAGCATCAACTGCATAATGGTAAATCTCCTCATCAGGTTTGCGCATTCCCACGTGTGCCGAGCTAACGAATAAATCGAAGATCCCTCGTAGTCGAGAGTGAAACTGCCCATCAGGGGTATCAGGGTCGTTGAAAGGGTGATCGACAGGGAAAATAGAGGTATTGCTCAACGCAGCAACGATATACCCCTTCCTCTTCGCATGTTTCCGCAACTGTTGCAACGCAGGCCACATCCAAGGATCAGGCTTCCTCGACACCGTCATCATCTCCCAATACAATTTTTCCCCGTCAATACTCGGTGGTTGCGGCACTTGAAACGCTGCTTCCTCTGCTGCTTGTGCCGCTGACTCTTTTCTTGTCTTTTGCAAATGCTTGATGTAGAAGTTTCGCCATAGCTTTTCGTCGCGGAGATCGTGAGTGAAGGCGGAGAAGAAGGAGGCATCGAGGGGTATCTGGCCGCGTTCGAGTTTTGCCCATGCGCCGGTTTTGCCAGAGGCGGAGATTGCGGTGTTGATCCAGCCGATGGGGATGGAGTTTTGTTGTTCGTAGGCGAGGATTGCGGCGAAGGGGGATACGACCTACGGGATTGTTAGTGTCATGGTTGTGGAGAGGATAGGTACGGTAAGAGACAGCTTACGCAGACACCGCCGATGTCGAAGAGGAGCACTTTGGGCGGTGGAGAGTACATGATTAGATGTGAATTGATTGTATTGCTACAGTCAGGTGTTGTTGCAGCTACATGGTGGAAGAGTGTTTGTATACCTAAAGAGGAAGCCCGAGGTGTGTGAAGTCATTCTCCGCAACCTTGGTGGATTTGCCGAGGCTCGTTTGAAGACGACCACGAATACATTTGCTTCCCTACATATTGGTTGTCTATCATCTTTTGAACTCATCGTTTGCGCGGTATCAACGTGAATTGATTTTGAAAGTACGACTGTGACGAAAAGTGTATAGCTAGTGGTACAATCGTTATGACGCATCTTCATGGCTCAAGTGCTGAACTCTCCTGCCTCGACTCTGTCCATCGCCTCCTTCACCTTCGCCTTGTTTGCTTTCCACTCTTCGTAGTACATTATATCTGAGTCCAGATGCCTCTGCTGTTCCGCCTTCCACTCGAGGAAAGCTTCGTGGCTCATTGAATGCTCATGTTCCGAGTAGACCATGCCCCGAACTCTCGACTCAGCGCGTCTGACATGTTCTTCACGCCAAACTTCTGAGTCGTCATCATCCCAACCATAGCCATCGAATTCCAGGAGGACATCGAGTCCTGCTCGAATCTGCTGGTCCCCGGTCCAGAATCTTCCCTTGGCTACGGGTTCTCCTGTACCGTCGCAGTGCTTCCAACCAACCCTCAGACCATCCAGTATCAATGAATGTAGGTGCAGATTATCTCTGAGGTAGCGGAGTACCGGGAAGAAATCAGTAAAGTCCCACATCGCCCAGAAGACTGCGTCCACCAACTCTACCACCTGCAGAGTTCCAGCAAAGGCCTCCAGTATCCACGAGAACTCCGAAACGGACATGCAGCAGGACTTCATGCGGAAGTGAGTGATTGGCACAGCAGACAGAGAATCTTTCATGGGCTGACCAAGGCAATCCAGGTCAAGACGGCAATATTCGGCCGGGGTCCACGCCTCATCAGTCGTGTATCTCTGCTCAAACTCGACAAGACCGAGGCTTGACAAGACGCGAATGTCTGTGTCTCCCTGTCTGATACAAATGTCCTCACCTGCTAGTGATTGAACTCGTCCATCGTTCGACAGCATCAGATCAAAAGCAGTTTCCACTCCACGGTGAGCCTCTTGATCATTGAGGTCGAAGATGAATGTCTTTGGACGAAAATTAACGTTCTTGCAGGAAGATCGTATTTGTCGGAACGTCGAGAACGGCGCTGTCATGAGTACCACAAAGGGCAGTCCAGCGTTGTCGCGCGAAGAGCCGTATCCCTGCAACTGGATTGGTCCTCCGTACTCCGATCTTCTAGGCTCCTGGCTGTAGATACCGATACTAACATCAGTTCTCAGCCCTGAGACATTCTGGAGAGCAGTCTCTAGCATGCGAGACAAGTCGAGTGATTTGAGGAATTTGTGGCACCGACGCCAGTGTTCGCAGTACTGGCGAAGTACGTGCATCGCGTGAGTGAGGTTGATGATTTTGTGGGCCTTGCAAGCATCCATCACCTTCATCAAATCTTGAGTAACATGGCCGTCGCCGAACATGATGCTCTTGATACACGGACCGAAGACTGGATGGGCAGTCATGTCGATCAAGCCTTTGAGACTGTACCACGTAAAGATAAAGCGGCGATGGGCGAGTCTCTTTTCTCCAAAGTGCTTCGCGGCGATGTTGGCCAGAGTCTTGCAAGTAAGGCGGAAGTTAGGCAAGTCCTTAGGAGCAACGTTCTCGGAGATGTTTGTGAGGAGCTCATCAGGGAGTGTCAAGAACTTCTTGGCGTATTTTCTGTGAGGCGCCAGTCTGCGCCGAGGTGGATCGGGAGGTGACTTGTCGGGTGCTGAGATCGCGAGAGTTGACATCGCAGTCGACAGGTCGGATGATGGGTTGGTAGACGACATCTTGCTTGGGTGAACACTCGAAGGAGTGGTGCTGAGACTTGACGCAGACTCAAGGTGGTCGGCGAGAAGCAGGATTGGAAAGATCTGATCTACGCCTTGCTATCAGTGGGACACTTGGAGAGGGCGATTATCTGTAGAAGGACTTACTAGAGGTCGCCAGTCTCTTTGGACGTGCAAAGGACTGGAATGGAGAAATTGGCAGATTGTGGAAAGCGCTAGATGATGAAGGGGTTTGTGAGTGTGATCAAAGACGCCGATAGTGAAAGATGCGATTATGAGTGTTGCTTGGAAGGCTTGGACAGGCGTGAGGCAAGCAGATTGGAAGTGAATGACTTTGAACGTCTTGTTATTCCGTGACTTTGCAGGAGTTGGGGAATTGGTGTGCTCATTGAAACGATCTGACTAGCTTACAGATTTACGTACAGTCCTCATAGAGCCAGGCCACAAAGGAAAGCCAAACTCTTTGGTATGGACTACGCATCTTACATCGTTCTCCCCTCGCTCAGTAACCCAAAAGCCATGAAACTAGGTCTGGTAGGTTATTAGAAATACGAGGGACTTGCCTTGCAGCAAAGCTTTCGACATACTACAACTAGATAGTACTCTCGAAAAAAAAAAGACTACTAGACATGCAAGCATACAGACTTGCGTTGTCTCTCTTCGTACAGCCTATGTTTTGGTTCAGATGCAAAGGTGTTCTCGGAAGAGCGTCAGAAATAAATACTGATCTCTTGCGGAAACACCCGTGTCAACAGGTGTCAAGGCACCAAGAAAAAAAGATGCCATGACAAAGAGAGCGGCCTCGGCGTGATTCTTTGACCCGCCCTGGGGTTGACTTGTCTTCAGAAAGCGTTGATCAGAAGCCGTTACTGAGCGCTCACCCGGACAAGAAAGCTGGTGCCTGAGTGAGCGTCACAATGGTTCGATTATTGCATGAGGCGGAGCACACGCAGGCTGAATAGTGAAACAGAAGAAATGTCCTCATGAAGATGATAAGTGATGAGTTGCACGTGACGAGATGCACGGAAGGCATGGGTTCCGAATGGAAGGCGCGGAAATGAGCATGGGTCTCCTTTGTCGTTTCAGTTTCGCGTCTGAGTTCTTGGGCCCATGGCGCGAGTGGGGGGCTTGACTCCTTGTGGCTTGGGGCAGTCTGAAATGGTCTGACTTTCCAAAGCCCATCCGCGACTCGTACCATTGCGCCGCCAGGGTTGTGCTGTGTCTATCGTTCTTTCCCTCCCGACTCTTGAATTGCCCTCTTCCACCTCTACGACTGTTCAACACATAGTCACACCCGATGGTCTAAAAAGACACGTACGAAACAAATGGACCAAACCACCGCCAGCTGGGACTTCGCACCCGCAGTGCCCGATAACCCCGATGAGTGGGAGGATTGGTTGCGTATGGACTTCGCAGACGACCCTATCTCTCCCAATAGCTCAACAAAGACGTCCAACAACTCTCCCATGCAAGATGTCAACTTCAACACCGATCAATTTCCTCCTCACAATGTCGACCAGACCCTTGCGCCACCGCTAATCGTTGGCGACGATGTCAACTTCGCCGACTTTTCCTTCGCCGACACCGCATTCGACTTTGGCCAGCCGGATACCAAGACCGACGACTTGCCCTTCCTCTTCGGCGCCGATTCCAGCAACCTACAACCTGTTGCCGATCACTTAAACGCCGCTCCAACCGAGCCTGCACCCTCATCGGCATCCTTGTGGCCACCCATCGGTCAGAACATTGATGCGCCGCAGCAAGGCGAACTGCTTGCTCCTATCATTCTCGGCAGCAACGACTACCCCGCTACAGGGCCAGCATCTGTCTCGAGCACTAGTCAACATCGCAGTAGTCCTGCCTCTACCTCACACGCCCGCACAAGTGTATCGTCAATATCGCCGGCGCCAGAGCAAGCGGAACAACCTGTCAAGAAAAAGGGTGCAAGGAAGCGAAAAGTGTCAAACAGCGATGAGGAACAGCAGAGCCCAGAAGATGGAGGTCCCCCGATCAAAAAGACGTCGCACAATGTCATTGAGAAGCGATACCGCAACAACCTGAACGACAAGATCGCCGAACTTCGCGACAGCGTTCCCAGTCTGAGAGCAATGTCGCGACCCAGCGGCAATGACGACTCTGAGGATCTCGAGGGCTTGACACCGGCGCATAAGCTGAACAAGGCCACAGTACTGGCCAAGGCTACCGAATACATCAAGCATTTGGAGAAAAGAGCAAAGACACAGGCAGACGAGCTGACTCAACTCAAGACTCGCATGGCGAACATGGAGAAGGCTATGGCAAGATCTGCTGCTGCCAGCCAACATGCCGGTATTCTCACACCCGCTATTGCCCGCTCAAGGCAGGGCTCGATAGCTTCCCAAGCACCAAGACGCATCCAGCAAGACCAATACATGCAGCAACATTCACAGCCCAGCTACGAACCTCAAGAGACCGTTGTGGAACCTGGACAAACCAACCTCGTCAACGCTCGAGGTGCTGGCAATGGCTTCGTCGGCAAACTCATGATCGGCTCGCTGGCTGCTCTCATGGTCATGGAAGGCTTCCACGAGCAAGAACAAGACTCTCACTCCACATCAGGAAGAGGTCTGTTCGCTGCCCCCGTGCATTTAATCAAGCGTGGTCAATTCCTCAGGTCTCCATCGCATGCTGCTTACGGCTCATCAGCCCAGGCCGCGCTTCCTCTGCTCAAGACCTTCCTGGTTCTGGGTGCATTTATCTACATTCTACTTCCTCTGCTTCGCTTCAAGCCTCAACCGAAGCAGAAGCAACCGATTCGTATTAGTCTCACAGCCGCTCCTTCCCTTGCCTCACCGGTCGAGGTCCGCCGCAAGGCTTGGCTTACCGCAGTGCAGAGTGTTTGGATGCCGCGTCACTTCTTGCTTGAAGTTGTTTCTGTGACATGCAAGATGATCATGCTTAGCTTGCGTCGTCTTGTCGGCTCCGAGTTCTACTCGCGTGTCTCTGGCAAGACTCCTGATGACGAAGCCGCTCGTATCAAGGCATGGGACATTGCCGTTGATGCTCAACTTGCTGGTGGTGATGCCGAGGTCAGCTACTACCGCTTGCTGCTTACCCTCATGGCCTCCGGTACTTTGCCAGACTCGCCCATCCGTCTTATGCAGAAGGCTGTCCACTTCCGTATATTCTTCTGGGAGGTCGCTAATGCCGGTTATGGCAACATGTTTATGTTCCGCGACTTCACCGCCAAAGTGGGCAGAGTGTACTGGGACTCTGCTCGTAAGCAACAGCATGCCCTCGCTGCTGGCGAGTACACCGAGAAGCAGATCGCCGATGACAAGATCGAGAAATTGCCCGACTATCTCGCTGAATTGATCGAGCTCGACTGTGACGACGTTCTCACTGACGAGATGATTCAACGTGCTTACAACCTCGCTTGGAACAGACCTAGTGCTGAGAAGACCATCCCTAATCAAACCATGAACAGTGTGGTTGAAGATCATGCCATCAGATCACCTCTGGATGCTGTCGCCGCTTGGTTCGCCAACATGACCGTCGACGCTGCTCTGACCCGTTCCTTGGATGCTGATTCCAATACTACTGATGATGTACCGTGCCTCGTTGAGTTGGCCAACAAGACTGCCCCTCCTGCGTCAGCGACTCAGACCCGTGCGCATGTGGCCAAAGCTGTCCTTCTTGAGAAGGATCGTGCGACACACATCATTGCCGCTCTGGAGACTCTACCAACGGTCACGTCCAACGATGGCTTGGACATGCCATCGAACATGATCACACATACACCTATCTCTCCAGACACGCATAGTGCTCTGACCCTCGCAAAGATTCTCTCTATCGTTTCGCCCACCAACCCGACCCCGGCGCGCGTGCATGCGGCGTCTGTGCTTTCTTCAATGCACCTCATGCCCAACAAAATCACACTGCTCACAGCCGTGGCTGCTCACAAAGTTCTGTCAGTTTTCTCTTCTGACGCGCTGCTATTCAACAGCGGCAAGTTAGGTTTGGATGATCTGGCCGGTAACCTCAGAGTCTGGATTGGTACGCGTGCGGCCAAGACGGCAGGCCTGACGCGCGAACAGAAAGCCACAGTTGTAGAGTCTTGTCTCGGAGTCAGCAAACGTGTTGGCGGGTGGAAGGACGAAGAGGAGAAAGACAGCGGGTATGGCAGCCTCGAGGATGGTGAGAGGGAGGCTGCTGTCAAGGCTTAGATGAAATCCAGGTGGCTTTGTGTTTAGGCGTTACAAGACGAACAGTGTCTCCCAGCAAGAGCTTGGTTGAGAGGTGGAGGATATACAGGCAGGGCATAGGAACTAGGACATGGTTGCATGATGGAGGTTTAATGGTGTTATTCCTGGGTTAACTCTAATGTCTTTACGTTCATACTATTGCGACGAATGTAATCTCTTTTCATGACAAGTATTGTTCCGCACCGAAGAAGATGTGAGAGGGTGATATGACACAAGAGGTGAAAGCTGCCTGGACGCGGATGGTCCGAGCGCGCAGACCAACGTCGTCTTTTGCATGGGCCGAGTGAAAGTGAGCGCCAGAGCTTCCAACACCATCCAGTCCGCTTCCCCTCCATCCACCACCTTTTCCTGCGCTATTCACGCGCACGCGATTAGCTGTCGATTCTCGATCTGCTCGTCAACAAACTGCGCATGTTTGTCGCGTAATTGTACATCGCCCAGCGACTTCTCGCGCCTCGACTCGTCCTTTCTCTCGACTTTCTTTCGCGTCGACAGCGACATCGATCCCATCTCGACCCGCCGCTCGTCCCATCCCTACTTCGTACCTCAGCATAGTCGAGCAAATCGTCGATAACAACTTCCACCACCTTTCCATACCGTCATGTCGTTCGGCGGCTTTGGCGGCTTCGGCTCGACCAACACGAACAACAACGCCAGCACGGGTTTCGGTGCGTCGGCATTCGGTTCGTCTACAGCAAATACTGGTAAGTCAAGAGTCATGCCCATTTCCTTCTCTACACTGGCTAGCCGGCATCCTCGACGTCTTTATGAACAAGCAACTCGCGCATGTCTTTACCGCCAGCGCTGACCATTGTCTCTCTTCGTTCAGGCTTTGGACAATCCACGACCACTGGATTTGGACAGCAGCCTGCTGCTGGCTCGAGTCTCTTTGGAGCTTCTACTACCGGAGGCGGTTTCGGGGGTACGTTCAAGACCCTGCCTAGCTTGATAACAGCTTATTGCCTCGCTTCTGCAACCATCCCCTTTGTTTGTTGTACATTTTCTCGAATCGCTTGCTGACTATCGTGTTTCTCAGGCTTTGGTGCATCCAATAACGGAGCTGCTACATCATCACCCTTTGGAGCGGCCAACAAGCCCGCTTTCGGCGCCCCAGCCCCTGCAACAGGAGGGGGTCTTTTCGGCGGCGGTGCCACATCAGGCGGCTTCGGTGCGAACGCGGGTGCTACGTCCTCGCCCTTCGGCGGTGCTGCAAACACCAACACTGGCGGTTTCGGAAACAATAATGCCAATGCTGGCGGCAACACTCTCTTTGGCGCAGCCAAGCCCGCAACCACAGGATTCGGCGGTGCAACTACCGGCAGCACAATGTTTGGTGGTGGAGCCAACACTCAACCAGCCAACAACGCATTCGGCGCATCGACCACAGGTTTCGGAGCAGGAGCTGCCCAACCCACAAACAACGGCACGGGTTCTACACCTTTCAGCGCGTTTATCGAGAAAGACAATGCATCATCGGCGAACAGTCACTATCAGTCCATCACTTTCATGCAGCCCTACCAGGCCTTCTCGTTTGAGGAATTGAGATTGGCCGACTACTCAGCCGGCCGCAAGTCTGGAAATGCCAATGGCCAGGCTGGCGCTTTCGGTCAGAGCACTGGCTTCGGCAGTGGATTCAACTCGGGCGCTGCGACTTCAGGATTCGGTGCTCCCCAGGCCACCAACACTGGAGGAGGCATGTTCGGTGCTCAGACTAGTGCTCCCGCAACCGGAGGATTCGGCGCACCAGCTGCAAACACGAACACTACCACAGGATTCGGAGCAGGCGGCGGTCTCTTTGGCCAGCAGAACAAGCCCGCCACTGGTGGTCTTTTCGGAAGCACGCCTGCCTCGACCGGCACTACAGGAGGTGGCATGTTTGGCACAGCCAACAACAACACGACGACCACTGGCACAGGCTTCGGAGGGTTTGGTGCAGCCAACAGCACTCAGCAGCCAGCTCAGGCCAATGCTGGAGGGCTCTTTGGCGCCAACCAGAACAACACACAGAACAAGCCTGCATTTGGCGGATTCGGTAGTACTCCTGCCGCTTCAACTCCATTCGGCGGTGCTTCGACTGGAGGCTTTGGCCAACCCGCACAAACGAACACTACTGGCGGTACTGGCCTGTTTGGACAGAGTGCTACCAACACTGCTAGTCCATTTGGCGGAGCTCAGCAGAACACCGCCCCTGCTGCCAACTCAGGCAATCTTTTTGGTGGTGGTAACGCATTTGGCCAGAACAACCAGAACCAACAGCAACAACAACAACCTCAAACTGGTACAAACAACCTCTTTGGTGGCGGTGGTGGTGCTTTCGGTCAGAACAACCAGCAAAAGCCTAACCCCTTCGGCGGTGCATCGACTGGCACGACCGGTGGTCTCTTCGGGCAAGCTCAGCCTCAGCAAAACAACACCGGTAGCAGTCTGTTTGGCGGTGCCCAAGCCCAGCAGAACACTGGAGGTGGTATGTTTGGCGGTGCTAAGCCTGCAGCTACAAACAATCTTTTCGGTGGTGCTCAGACTCAGAACACTGGAAGCAACCTTTTTGGAGGTGCTCAGACTGGGCAGACTACTGGAGGCGGCCTTTTCGGAGGTCAAGCCAACCAGCAGAAGCCCGCGGGCGGCCTGTTTGGTGCATCCGGTGGTTTCAACAACACCAATAACAACCAGAACCAGCAACAGAGTGCTGGCGGTTCGCTCTTCGGTGGCAGCACCCAGCAGTCTGGTCAGTCGAACGGTCTGTTCGGCCAATCTAACCAGCAGCAATCGAGCTTTGCTGCTACTCTGTTGACCAACCCCTACGGCAACGACCAACTGTTTAGCAACCTTGGAAACCCTGCTCCCGCTGTTGGACCCCTTGCCACTCCCCTCGCTGGAGCGCAGAAGCCGGCTAAGCGCCCCGCCGCCCTCCCGCAGTTCAAGATCAATCCCAGCGCAAGCTTGCGTCTCATCACTCCTCAAAAGCGCTCGAACGGCTATGGATTTTCGTATGCTACTTATGGCACCCCTGGAAGTGCACAGAGCTTTACATCCAACGGCCTCGGAAGCAGTCTCTTGCAATCAGGTGGCTTGAGTCGCTCTTTGGGCAAGAGCTTCTCTACCAGTAACCTCAACAAGAGCGTTGGCAGCGGAGATAGCGTCCTCGCTCCTGGTGCCTTCACGCCCAACAACAGATCATACTCTGGCGGTAGCATTCGTAGACTGAAGATCGACCGTAGCTTGAGAACCGACCTGTTCGGTGACAATGGTTCTATCGAGCCCCCCAACAAGCGCGTCAGCTTTGACGAAGGCGACAAGGGTAAGAGCTCTTCAAACGGCTATGTTGAAACACCTGCCACCAGTGCACTTGTCCGCACCGAGACCGACGGACCTGAGCCATCTTCTGAAGACCTCGGCTACTCGCGTGCTGAGCGTCCCACCACCAATGGCGCATCGGTGAACGGCACTTCCTCCACCACCCAAGCTAGAGGCAACGAACTCGCCATGGTGCCCGAAGACGGTCCCGCTCCAGCCTCTTCGAAGTCCGTCTCTGCAAAGGACTTGCCACGCTCCCAGGTCGACCCTCAACCCGGCGAGTACTGGATGACACCATCTATGGATGACATCCGCAACATGTCCCGTCAACAGCTCAAGAGTGTTTCCGGCTTCACCGTTGGCCGTCACGGTGTTGGTAAGGTCGAGTTTGACCCTGTAGATCTTACCCAAGTTCCTCTGGACGAGATTATCGACGACATTGTCAAGCTCAACGTTCGCCAAGTGACTGTCTACACCACCGGTGTGAACACTCCTCCCATGGGCCAAGGCCTCAACGTACCCTCCACCATCACTCTCGAGAACTCGTGGCCTCGCGCCCAGGCTGGACGTCTTCCTGTTCACGAGCGTAAAGGCCAGCGCTACGAGAAGCATATCGAACGTCTGCAACGCGTCCAAGACACCGAGTTCATCAGCTACGACCCTGCCACCGGCTTCTGGGTATTCCGTGTCCCTCACTTCACCACTTACGGTCTCGACGATGATGACGAGTCAGACGATGAAGCCGACTACGGCAGCGATGTTATGAACACCAGCCAAGTCCCTACACCCAAGGGTAACAACACTGCTGTTCAAGAGATGTCTCAGGCCTCTTCCGAGGAGGGCTCCGTCATCAGCGATGAAGATGATGAATCCAACCCTGATGACACCTTTGATTTCAAGAAAGGTCCGTCAAAAATCCTGCCTGGCAGCTTCGGTGCTCAGCCAATTCAAAATGATGACGAAATGGCTGACGACAACGATGCTCAGGATCAGGAAGAGGACTCCTCCTATCTCGAACAACAAGACGCACAATCGCATGAAGATCACTTCAGGTCTTCCGGCAGCAGCAACGCACGTCCTGTTGAAGCTGGCGATGCGCAAATGGAGGAGACGGACTATGAGAAATATGGTGAAGAAGACATGGCAGGATCATTCCCGAAACCTAAACCTGCTGCTCCAGCTCCGTACAACGATTATGGTATTTCTTTCAGCGGATCTCTTATGCCGAAATCAATTCTCAAAGCATCAACCATGTTGAATAGCACACCGAAGAAGGACCTCGCACTTGCTGGTGATTGGGCAGAACAACTTCAGAGAACTGCCAGTCCCAAGAAGCAAGATCGTCAGGCTCTTCGTGAGCGTCAAAGTGTGATGGGTGCACCCCTTGATACTGCACCGCCATTGGCCGCATCTATTGCTGGCAAGGCTTTCTCTACGACTATGGATATCATGAACTCTCTTTGGGCACCTTCTGCTTCTATTGCAGGCCATGGTTTGCAGGCAAGTTCTGTTGGCGGAAAAGGCTTTGAGGTTTGACTTCCCCTTCTCCTTCGATGATTTTTGTCCATTATGTTTGCTTGTGCCTGCTCTTGGTCTATTCTTGGGCATGACAGCTTGTCTACCGCTCATGTCGATACCTTTCATATGTAGTATTGAACGAATGCTAAGATTTTTCTCTTGTTTAGTGGCCCTACCAGAAGCAGTCAAGGACTGAAGACGCCTTTGCCGATATGGAAGAGCCCGAGCGCGATTATCACACATCCTTCAAGCCTCGATGGGCTGCAGATGGCACTCTCGTTTACAGTGCTGCCGGCAATGCACCTGCACCGTCCGGCAACCTGGTCAGCTCAAAGAAGCCCATCTCGTCTGAGCATAAGGACGTCCGCTTTGCTCGTTTCAACTCGCCCAAAGACACAGTGACCACATCTTTGCAATTGCAATTACAACAGTCGCCTATCACTTCCGCCGAAACCTCTTTCGCCGCCATCGCAGAAAGTCTTGCACACCCCGAGACTCCCGAAGCCCAACACGAGCGTGCTGTCTGGCGACTGGCCTCGATTCTTTTCGACCCTATCGAGATTGGATGTGCCGGCCTGATCAAGAACATTCCAACTGCCCGAGTCACTGAGCTGGAGTCACGCATTCGCCGCGACGCATTGTCAAACTTCTGGACTGAACTCGTCCACACAGAGGCAGCACAGCACGCCAAGGACGCAAGCAGTTCAGAAGAAAAAGCCATTGCGTTCCTCAGTGGCAACAGCATCGAGGATGCCTGTTCAGCACTTCTCGAGGGTCGCGATTTCCGTCTGGCAACCATTGTTGCTCAACTTCCTGGCAACGCCAAGTCGAAAGAGATGATGGCCAAGCAGATCGAGAGCTGGAGGTCGCAAAATATGATTTCTGAGATGACCGAGTCAGTCCGCACCTTGTATGAGCTACTTGCTGGCAACACTTGCATCAGTGAGGGAAAGCTTGGTGCTTCTGAAGATAAAGCCCCGGCTTTCGGCATCTCGTCGCGCTTCGGCCTCGACTGGCGCCGTTCTTTCGGACTGCGTTTGTGGTTCTCGAAAGCCAACGAGTCTCTCGCAGATGCTGTGCAGCTGTATGTTGATGACATTGCTGCAGGGAAGGAAACTGTTCGTCCCGTACCATACTTTACTGAGCAGTCTCTCGCGGCTTCCTGGAATGATACCAATGCACAAGGCAATGAGGACACTTTGCTCGGTCTCTTGAAGCTCTACTCGAGACAGCCCTCTTCAAACGCTGGAGATGCTCGTTCTCTTGTGATCGGCCTCCTCTCTCCAGCATCTGTCTCTGGCAGTCCACTCAACGCTCGTCTTTCCTGGCAGCTTGCTACTCTTCTCCGAAAGAAGGGTGTTCTCACAACTGCCGAGTTGAGCAACGCTTCGCTGGATGAGCTGTCCTTGACTCTATCCAGCCAGCTCGAGGCCGCAAACGAACTGGTCTTCGCCACCAACGTTCTCCTGCATCTGACCAACGAGTCAGCTCGCGAGAGACACATTCGTGACCTCCTCTGCCGCCGTGCGTCCGCACTCTACGACGCTGGCAACCCCGATGCCCTGCCCACAGTCCTGACCCAAGACTTTGGCCTTCCCGAACAATGGCTCTGGCACGCTCGCGCACTCTACGCACGTTCCATGCTCGACGACCACAATGCCGAAGTCACCTACCTGCTGCGTGCCGGCGATTCCATCCAAGCCCACACCGTGCTCTGCCGCACTGTCGGACCCACAGCCATTATCGAGCGTGACTACGACAGTCTCCGCGAGCTGCTCGGTCTCTTCCACGACATGCTGCCCGCAGGCGCCATCGAGAACTGGCGCACAGGCGGTCAAGTCTACTTCGACTACATCCACCTGCTTGACCTCGTCAACCGCGACGATGACGCCAGCCGCGCTTCTAGAAAGGAGTTGCTGGATCGTTTGACCCAAGCTCTGCCCGGTATTCTCGAAGGCCGTGTTGGCAAGGTTGACCTCGAGGAGCGCGTTGCTGTTGGTGAAATGGCTGAGTTGGTTAAGGCTGAGGTTGAGAAGATGGGTAGAGAGGAAAGAGGTGTGGATAGGAACTTGATCGCAAGACTTCCTGTTGCTGGTGGCAAGTATGCTAAGCAGGGCGTTGATTTCAGCAGGGCTTATTACCGCGGTATCGTTGCCTAAGGAGACAAAGGGAGGAGAAGGAAATAAAGGAGTAGATGGGTTGCGTGCCTGCATTGTTTTTACTCTGAGAATTGATGGAAAGTGAAAAGAGAAGCACGAAAGAAGATGGAAGTAGGAGTTGTACAGTCAGGCATAGGTTAACTGGGTACTATACATTGTTTTCTTCGAACTCTTCTACCGTATCTAGGCACATGTGATAGAAAAGCGTTCTCATCGTCGTTACTTCCTCACAAAGCGGTTGTAATAACGCATTGCCATGTGGTATTGCCATGTGCCCATTAATTTTCCCATCTCGATAGCTCCACCTGTAGCATGCCTTCTGCACATACGGAATGGCCTGATGAAAATGTTTGATACTTGGAGATCTTGGAACGTGCTGGGAAGTAACGCCTTGCTGGTTCACCACCAATGACTCGGAGTAGCGTAAGATGTAAAAGTGTTGGTAGTCGTCCCTCAAGCAGTGCTCGGGGAATCGCGTATGCTGAGAGCAGCAGGAGGATGTGCGAGATGATAGACACTAAGCAGCAACACCTTCCCATGTGCAGAAGTTTGCAACACTTGGTAATACACAGTGCGATTGACAAAGAAGACAGTGTTCGTCAAGATGTGATACATTCTGGACTGTCTTTGGTCACATCGCTCGGTGCGAAAATCATTGTGAAGCTGTCTTGATGAGCATTGAGCTCCGTTTCTTCGTGGGCAGGGAGCATTGTAAGTGGGAATTACAGTCTACGAGCTGAGTAACGGCATACAAGTTGGGGCATGGAATTTGAAGATATGAGATTCGGTACGCCTGGTTTCGGCATTGACGCATCGCCTTCCAAATCAGAAGCAATTCGAGATACGCAGCTCCGCTCAAACTATAGTAGCCTTATCAGACTCCCTTCTCTGCTGCGAAGGCAATTCCTCCGCATCAGCATTAACCCCAAACAACGCCATAGGCGGGCCTCCATAACTACTTCCATCAATGACCACAGCATCTCCAGAGGAAAGATACAGATACCAATACACCACGCCCACAAACAATCCTCCTCCGACAATGTTGCCCAACAGAGCAGGAATCATGCTTTTCCAGATATACAACCCCACAGTGATTTGTGGCGCGCCGAGGAAAATACCGACGGGGATGTAAAACATATTCGCGACTACGTGATCGTATCCGAGGATTACGAATGCAAAAGTCGGCCACCAGATACTCCTTTGAACAGTTTGTGAGTGAAAACACTTATATAGGTGCTCGGATAAAGTACTTACATGATCCTGGAGACTTGCTCGCGGGCAGAGCAAGCAAGAAAGCATGCGAGACACACCAACCAGTTGGCGCCGATGCCGCGGAGGAAGATTTGATGCCATTGAGGGGCGACGACTTTTTTGGTGGCGAAGGCAATGGTTTGCTTGGTGGAGGCTGCATCGGAGAGGATGCCGGAGTAGCCTACCAGGAGGGCCATTATGAAGAGGGAGCCAGCGAGGTTGCCGATGAAGGTGAGAGCCCAGTGCTGTAGCATTTGAAGGATACTGGTACGACGGTGGAGGGTTGATATCGTGGTGAACTATTGGCAGGAAGAGTTAGCTCTGAAAAATCAGACACACGATCGAGGCTTGTTCGAGGAATTACCATGAAACTGCCAGTACATAGATCCGCACCCGTCAAAACGATAGCAACGAGACCGAAAGGAAAGATCAAAGCAGCGAATAGTTTAATCACTCCAGGAGCATTTTCTTGATACCACGGTGCCGTGTTGACGACTGAGACTGCAGCACACGCGAAAGCAAGGATCGCTCCTGCCATGAAACCGCTCGTCAAAATCTTGTCGATGCGCATGCGGGCCTTGGCTGCTCCCATCCGTGAAGCAATTTCGGTGGTTTGCTGTGGTGTGTAGGCATTGTGGATAACCTCTATAGGTTGATTGTATGGGTATGCCATCGCCATGGTAGGGAGTATGGAGGTCAAAAATGGCAGGAGGTCAAGTGTGGGCGGCAGGTTGTAAGGAGATCCTGGTCGAATTCAGATGGCGGTCTTGCGATGCATTTATATATGCTGAGATCGCCAATTGCAGTATCATCCGAAAGCCGTAGGGTAAGAGTTGTTGAGGCTCTTATCTTCGAGGCGGCTCATCGGCCACTAAAACCATCTGAGCCAGAAACGAGATGTACTTTGGTCATTCAAGAGTCTTCGCCCGCGGTCCCATGTTTCCATCGATTGGATAAGAGCGTGGAGACTAATGATTTATGCGTATTGCTCGCTTTCGAATCTGCGGTGGGATGGTAGCACTTCTTATCAGGATCGACCGAGTGGATCTGGGGATGGTCAAAAGTACTGTCAACCTTTTGTTCCGCATACAAGGAAGGCGGCAGAGCTTGTCCAGGATGAAGACATCCTATCAGAGGTGTTTGAGGTGATCCGTAAAGGCATTTAAGGCTGGAGGAGTTTCCTGAATATACAGAGAAGGTGACCAACAGCAGCAGCAATGATAATTATAATGTAGCATCTTTACCATGACCATGGTCTCGGGTTCTACTCCACAAACTACCCCCAAAGTGCTTATCTCTGGAGCTGTTGCAGTTGGGGGTTGAGCGAGTCGATCGTGGTGATGTCGTCCCTGCCAAGACCACAAAGTGACTTCCATTGCTAGCGTCCGCTAAAGATCAACACCACACCTTCCTAACCGAAACATGGGCCCGATAAGAGAGCACCTCTCGCAAAAAACAACGAGCTCTCATATCTCTCTGACTCGAACAAAAAGCTGGGCGTGGTTTTTACATCTCCGGAATATGGACAAAGACGTTATGTGTGTGCATTATCGTAATTAGGAACCCCATTCATCTTTTCAATAAGCATAACGTAAAGACTGTTATCTGACGATTGTAGCTCGGATGGCCTCTGAACTTGGGCTGGGAGTCGACTCGATTCGATGGCACTTCAGTCATTGCGATCATGCTGGGCCAGGAACGGCTGGGCATCCTCATCTTCGCTACCACGATCTCTAGCATCTTGATCATAACTTGTTCTCATACCAGCCATAGCCAGCGCGTCAGCCCTGCCCTTCTCGGTATCGATAATGTAGATGAGAGGAATTGGCAGCGCGATCAATACGGCCAAGAATGCAAACGCAGGTCGGATAGTGCCAGCAACATCAACAATCCAGCCCACAATAGCAGGACCAATGGCTGAGCTCCCTTTGTCCGTGACAGCATATAGAGCATAGAAAGCTGCTTCGCTGCCTGGAGGAATGAGAAGGCCATAGAAGGAACGACAGTAAGAGGATAATCCACCCATGACGAAACCATGCACGACACCTAGAGGATAGATCTCCCAGGCTTGCTGTAGACCTCCAACGCCCCAGGATTGGACGAAGGGCAGGTATCCGATCAGGCCGTAGATCGGAATTATTTCCATGAGTAGGACACATCCTATGATAGTCTGCTGAGTGTGTAGACGAAATCGGCGTGAGATGATTGGCCATATGAATGCTCCAGCGATACCAGACGATGTAGCCGTGATTGAGAGAATAGCGATCTGTACAGTGCTCATCTTGAGCTCAGTCCGAGCAAAGAGAATGGCTGTGCCTGATACAGTCGCGATGGAATCCGAGAGCAAGAACCACGCGATCAAGAAAATGACTGTCTGACGTAGCTTGGTCGCTTGCTTGACAGTCTGCCAGACCGACGCCCAAGCGAAAACAAAGTATGCCAACACCTGTCCTGCTTTGCCACGTCTAGTGTTGAGAGTCCTGAGCGGCGGTCCGGGGCGGTCGCGCAGCCAAAGAGCGCCAGGAATGGCACCAACAGCCCAACACACACCTACGAATAGCAACACCACTCGAAGGGGGATCGATTGAGAGGAGAAGTTTACCTTACCTAGACCGAAGAGTAGTCCGATACTGCATACCTGGACCAGTACTGCGGCGATATAGCCGAGTCCCACACCCTTGGCAGAGATCTTGTTCGAAAGTGCCAGAGCAGGAGACGTTTGCTTGTCAGATTGGTGATCGCCAGGCGCCGGTGAATACGATCCGTCAGGCTCAACCATATTCACAGTTGCCGAGGGTGACCCGGCTTGTCCTTCTGCGGAGAGAACGGATGGATGATTGCTGGCCAAGAGTGGAAGGAAAGAGTTCAACAAGACGAACGAAGAGCCAAGTGATGCCACACCCAGGATGACCAGAACAGATCCTAGAAGATAGATGCTGGGAGCGACCACGATGAACAGCATACTTGAGACAGAGCCAACACACCCGAAGGCCAGCAGGAGCTTCTTACGATACGTGCCTGATGCAAGTCAGTCACCATTTTTGAAGGGCAGAGATATAGCTTACCATGATCAGCGACGGAACTAAAGGATATGAGTACAATCGCCTGCACTAGGACGGCAATTGAAAAAGTGTACATGGCGAACGAGGCTGTCGAGATGTCTTTGCCAAAGGGTTGGATCACACATTGACTCTCATTCTTGTCGTTGGTAGCGCGGCTAACAGCTCGCAAGAGTAGGTGTGAAGTCTCAGCCACAGCGGACTTGGGTTTCCAGCATGGAGTGACATGATCCGATCGTAGAACACCTCGCTCTTTTGCAAGCTGCTCTAGAGTGACTGGAAGAAATGAACCTTAACAAATATCAGCGATATCGACGCGTTGTGGGCATGCACGTATTTACCAACACCAGCCACAGCAAAGATCTCGGCAGCCAGGCCGTACGAATACCACCCTTTCAGCTCACGATCGCTGGTCGGAGTGGTGTCTTCGTTTTCATAGCGAAGAGATCTGCCATACTCATTGCTCTCCCTGTCTCGCTCCATGTTTGATTAAACTGAACAACATGTCGTTTTCGCGTGCCAAAAATGAAAACATGACGCTGTTTCGTTGTCAGCATTGTTCGGGTGGGTCTTCCGAGGCTTCCGACCAAGGAAGGGCCCATCAAAACGCGTCACGGCACGACTTCCATGGTTTGTTTCTTAGAAAGAAGCATCCTTGCTATAGCGACTTGATGAAACTCGATCATTTGGGCACGATTGCAAGCCATCAAGACATGCTCAGACCGCTCTCAAACGAACTGGCTGAAAGAGCGAAGCCTGTCAACGAGAACGTCGCGTTCCTTGAATGATAAGAACCAAGCCATGCACGAGCGAAGCCTTGCGCAATATTCCATCAATAGGTGGTCACGCCTGGAATTTTAGGCAGGCCATCAGCAGCCCCGTCGGCTGAGGCCACCACTCATGCCCTGCTTCCAGGTGGGTGTGACTGATGAACTACAAAGGTGCATCGTATGAGTCAGTGTTGAGCGCCACAAGGATTCTTCCAGGAAGTCAGCTGGATGTTCCTGCTGACACGCAGGATATAAAGCACTTCACACCTCCATAAACCAGCAATTGATAATGCTTTACGACTTGCAGGATGAGCCACCATGGCTCCTCGAGACGCGATCGTTCTGCTAATCGGCATGAGATTCCTGACTTCAGGATACACAGATCTCGTTCGCACTCTGCAGCAGCGCGAGTTGAAGGCGCAGAAGCTCGTATGGGATTCAGTCAGAATCCAGACATCTCACCCCCACCGCGGATCTATATTCAAGTAGCACCCACAGAACCCGCCTACCCCTCACCACTGCCTCCTGCTGAACCCAGAATAATCCCTCAGCATGAGAGAACAACCAAATATCCCACCAGAGACGATTACCATGACTCACGAAGAAAGTCGTATCGGCCGTCCGCGGACTACGTACACATCGAACGAGAGAACAATCATGGTTATGTAGCGCCCCCGGCGCACGATGACAGTGGTCGAATGCCGAGTATACAGCAAAATTATCGACCTTCGCACTCACGCCCCGAGACATACGCAACCTTTGCACATGTACCGGATGCCTTGTATACCTCGTCAGCTGAGCATAAGCACGCCCGGACTAGTCATCGACGTCGAAATCGCATATACAACAAGCCTCCAGGAGGTACTGGAGGTGGTGGTGATGGCGGCGATATTCAAACTTCAGCTGTCGAACCCGCCAAACCGGAGCCAGATACGCTCAACAAAATTATGATATGTGTGTTTCGGAACAGCAAACGTCAATTCGTGCAAAAGGAAGTTTGGATGATGAAGCCAGGTCACAGAGATGACATTTTTCTGGAAACATCTGAGCATCTTCGCAAAGACACCACCTTCTTAAAATCCCTCCGCTCTGACGCTGCATTCTTCAAGGAGATAAAATGGCGGTACAAGCACCAGTTACGTGGAACTTTCAGACAATATCTCAGCTTCAAGACAGTGAGCACGGTAAGAGTCCTGGCAGTAAGTGTCTTCGCACATCATACCTCCATCTTCTGTGCCTAACACCTTCGGCTAGTTTGGCAACAATGTCTTCGGTCTCGCAGACATCCGTGAAAAAATCTTCTCGCCAGTCTTCATGCGCATCTACAACAACCCCCGCCGCTCTTTGATCGATCCCCTCGACCACCCTGAAGATCCAGGCCTCAAATACGATTCCTGGGTAAGTTGGTTCTGGCGAAAGCGGCGTGCGTTCGTGTTGGACAAGAAAGTGGATCTCGCTATTGAGCTTGTAGAAGCTTACGACCCAAATCGCGTTCTGGGCGGTATAGCTATAGCGTTGACAATATACTTCGCGCTTACGATTACTTGGTTGGCGTTGGGAGGGGACCCTGGGTATGTGGCTGGAGTCATGTCGTTTGTGCTTTCCATTCTTGCTGGTGAGTGATGTTGAAGTCTTTCTTCACGATCATTTCAGATAAAGTCCGGCAAAGGCTAACACTTTTTAACAGTCTTGGTTGGATTGACTGGGTTGTACGATTGGCTGGATCTAGGACACATGGGTGGTGGCAAAGACTTTCTTGTTCTCGATGAGTATGAATTTGATCAGATCGAGAAGGACGGCTGGGGCGGGCCTTTCGGATAACAGCTGCGATTGATGGGAGTCATTGTATACCGCCGGTACCAATATCCCAAGTTTTATGACTATCTCTGTAGTCGGCCCCTGCAATGTTCGTTTGCAGATCAAGGGCTCTATTTCAGCACTCAGACACGTCTGTCACTCGTTTGGATGTTGGCCTTCGGTCGAAGATAGTGATTCCTTGAACTGATGGTGTTGCTCTGATATTGAATGAGATCAGGGTTGCCCTGTCAGATATCGTTTTGACTTTTTATTCCACAACACAACAGTCGCAACCAGTGCGACAAGTCTTCAGCTGGATCTACAAACCGAAAACGATAGTGTTTGGTATCATTGGTGGTTTTAATAGTCGTCGTCAGCCCTATCGAGCGAATCGGTTATGGTTACCGAAAGCTGAGGGCGAAGTTCGCCCTGCGAAAATCGACCACGCTTCAAGTAGCAGTTGCCCCTCCGTTGAAACACAGCCACGCTCTTGACATGGTCAACGGGCAGCGTACGCAGTGTATCCACCAGAGGCCTCGGCAGATGTCTCGAGATGTACGAGAAGAGTTTGATAGGCCAGGCAGACGAAGACGAATCGATTCGGCGGAGGATTTGCAATCTTCCGCCCTGCGAAACGTCGACGCAAGCCCGCATGTTACACACCCTCAACCAGCTTCAGCCTTGAGGCGCCATTCAAGATACACAACTGACAATCGATGGGCGTGCAGATCATCTTATAAGCATTCGACTCGTCATGTAGTCGCTAATGAATCCGAGCTAGTAGGTGCCAACGACATGAGCTGGCGCAATGCCATTCGCAAGGCTTGAGGTATGGTGAAAAAACGGGCTTGGCTTCAATCTTGGTACGCGCGGCCATACCTTGTACTCGCGCTTCGGTAGTACCAAATCGACCTCTTTATCCGTTATCTAGTACTGGATGTCTGCAGTCTTCTCTTTCACCTCCCTCGAAGCTGGAGAGCCGCCGCATCATTGAGCTGGAGTTTTCCCAATATGCCGCAGTTTCGACATGTCTTCCTCTTGCTCCTTCCCTGGCTGGCTATAGCAAGCCCTTTACCTGAAGATTCTAATTCAGTACCGAAGACCGATGCCATCACGCATGCAAACCACATTTTCAATGCTGTGCACAATTCGATGCGCCAATTTGGCTCATCTTTGAACCACAATGGCATGTCTTTGTTCATCGCTACAGTTCCTGGAGACACAGAGTTATACCACGGAACATCGACCAAAGACCGTGTCAATGGCACACAGTGGCTAGCTTTCGAGCCTGAGCATGCTCTGATCTTTGCTCGAGGTCGCCGGGGGCCTCCACCAGGACCACCTCCTGGTGAAGGCCAATATACCGAAGATGCTGGAAAGGAGCACGAGCTTCCCGGTCATCGGCCTAAGCGTCCTGGAGGCAAGGACCGGCCGCGCAAGGAACATGGTGACGAAGGTTGTCACAGACCATCTCGCAATGAGTCTCGTCCGGATGCCCCACCCCATAGTCCACCACCGCCACATCACCAGGAGCCACCTCGACATGATAAGCCACCGCGTCGTTGTCCTCCCGGAGAGGGCCACCTTCCGTGTCCAGGGCATCCAGGCGAAAGTCGTCATGAACCGCCTCGCAGAGGTCCTCCTTTCAAGCATCATGGATCTCCCGAACATCATGGGCCTCCTTCTGACTGGTTTGAGCACCGCGGTGAGAACCACGATGATCGTGATCACCACAAGCACCATGGACCACCGCCTCATGAGATGGACGACGAGCACGATGATCTGCAACATGATCACCCTGAACACCACGGATTTCACATACCTTCAGTCGGCTTTTGGGTACACCGCCTTGGAGACTTGCTGCGCAATCCCAAACGGCGCCATGTTCCTGCTGTCTCGCCCCGCGAGGCTCCTCAGCTTGAGAGTATTGAGAGCAGGGACGAACAGGAACCGCTGGTCTCAGACAGACCTGAGGATCAGTCTTCTGGTTATCTGCACACCTACCGTACGAAGCACAGTCTGCGTCTGCTTTACGTTGACGGTCAATCTGCTGCAAAGTCGAAGAAAGGCACTCTCGATACTCAGGATGTCTTACTCTTGGCAAACAGCATAGACCACGATTCGGGCATGTTTGGCGAAAGAGAGCGTGCAGCTCAGTTGTGCAAACTAGCCAACGAAAGATGGGGCAATCGTATCGACGGCATCCTACGCATGGAAGGTGGATTTGAGATCATCTTATGCGACTTTGCTGCCCATTTGGAAATTGTTAGCATAGCCAAGACCAAGACCAAGTCTGGCGGTGGCTTTGGTGGTGGTGGTGATAATGGCGATGGTTTCAACTACTATCGTGCCGTTGCTGCTCGCTATCATGATATCGGCGGTGGTCGTGTGGTTCTTGACTACGAGCATTTTGTCTCTACCTTTGCATACCCAGAAGCCATCTACTTCGACGATACCGGTCGTCCACGTATCAACAACGAATCTAGCATCATCGATGATGTTCGCTTGGCTGTTGACCAAATGATCCTGCACAAGGCAGAAGACACCGATGCTGTGAACTGGCGAGCCATCGCTGACATGGTCATTGCACGCTACGCCGACCGTATCGAATATCTCGCGTCAGGCTCTCTCAGCACACTCTCAGCATTACAAGCAGAAATTGAGCGTGCGCTACGCCCATTCATCAATTACAGCGCTCGCAACTCAACTTCAGAGATTGAACGCTGCGCCTCACAGTTCCTCCCCGACTCCACAACATCAACACATGTGGCAGCTCAAGCAGTACGCCAAGTAACACACGCCTTGTGCACTAGCTTGACAATTGCATCCGAGCAGACAGATTACGCCATCGCTTTGAAGCAGGTCAAGCAGTTGAAGAATTACCTCGCTTGGACAACATGGAAGCAATGTCGTGGTTGTGCAGCGGATGAGATCTGTTTCTTGCCCATCTGGCCTGTGGGTACGGCAGAGGACTTTGAACAGCCAAAGTGCAGGTCTGACGTTAGTCTTGCACCTGGTCACGGTGATGGAGATCGCTATTGGAACGACTTTGGAGGACCTGGCCGTCGGGGCTCAGGGTCGAAAGGTCGTAGGGAGAAACGTGTATGAGGATGTATCTGTTTAGTATGTGGTTTACTGCTCTCCTTTTTTGTTTCATAACATTCTAGATACCCCTTTTTCAAGTCCAATATACATTCCCTTTCTCCTCTTCTTTGCTTGTTTGCTTGTACTTTTGGTGGTAGCTTGTTACAGATGCATTGAGTAAAAGTGATGCTCTGCTGCTTCGTCATATGTCACACAGTACCACAAAATCAGAAATGACAACACCGGGTGCCTGTCAGTACCTGTTGGATCACATCTCCGAGGTTGCGCGACAGGAATCAAACATACAAGATATTATCGAGACATCTCTTCAATAATTGGTTCTGTGGTGTAGTTGGTTATCACTTCTGTCTAACACACAGGCGGTCCTGAGTTCGAGCCTCAGCGGAATCATTGCTTTTGCTGTTTGCTGTACCGTCTTTGAGTCCAGAAGTAATCTCGGTATGGCAGTCAGAAAGGACCTCGGAGAATTTTTTCTGGGAATCTTGGCGGGCACGTGGAAAAGCCGAGCTGACACAAAAATGACCTGCCAAACCATTTACCCGAACGCCCGAGGTTCTAGACACATCTCTCGTGTTCACGAAAACCTATTTGCAGTCATCTGGATAGAAGTAACGGTATCAAATACCGACTGAGAGTCTGACTCTCGAGTCTTCACAAAGCCGACAACGAACCAAAGGCCGCGCATTTCTTCAGGTGTACAGGTACCATGAACACGCGGCGGCTACACACGCCTACCACCGCTTACTTCGTGTCGAGGACATCTGGGTCTCGACCCTCAAAACATCTCCTCCACATACACCCGCAGCCTCCGCGGCTCAAGTCTCTATTGCTTCCGACCCGAATCCCAATTCTTCCGCTCCGTGGACAGATTGTTCCGCACTCTTTCACACGCCTTGATGCCAAGGTCTTATGCACCGTTGCCGACGGTGGCACGGTTGCAGACGTGAAGTTTTCGGGGGGGAGAAAGCGGTTCGGGAGTGTGGGTGGATGGTTCTCGGTAGTGGAGAGGGACGTCTGTGGGGCGGGTGTTTGTGTCTGGCTGTTCGGAAATTTGGAAGTTTGAGGTCGGATGATATGGCTCAGTGTGATATGAAGAGGTGGAGAGGTGCGGGCGAGAAGTTGATGACAGGTGTCACAGGTGATGCAAAGATGATTGCTGGTATGATATGCTAATGCTAGAGGGGGTGATGGACATGTTGGACGTGGTGCAATACGGATATCGGGATGTGGAGGGCTGATTTGTCCTCATCGTCGACTGGCTGTCGCGATGACAGCCGTCGGCCGACCTTTCTGGAAAAGGTATCCCGCGTGTGGTGCTCTCATGTCATAAAGCACAGGGTGTCTTTGCACGTCAAACATTCGCCCTGATTCTCGCAGTGAATCTCGCAGAGTTGTGAGGCTCAAACAACACCAAGCACTTCTCGGTCCGAAGATGCTTCACCAAGTTACGCCACAACTTCGACCATTTCTCTACCATGAATTTTTCGTGTCGCGCGCGAATGTTTCCTTTCTCGCATGCAGAGCATGCTCCACTTACCACCAGCCTACGCCATGTTGTACTGTATCATTTTTTCAGGGACCAAGGCGAATTAGATGAAGAAAAAGAGCCGCCTGCCTTGGCCTGCGTAGACAAAAATACAGATGACGATGTATACTCATGCTTTGTAGCCGTGAGATGCCGAAGCGACATGTACCTGAGTACCTACAAACTCTGTTTTGCTGCATCGAAGACGCATCGAAGGATTTTATCTTCTCCTGGAGGATGACGATGGCGTTTTGTTGCTTTCAGCAGAAAGAGGTTGGGAATATTCGATCGTTGGGATGAAAATGGGAGACTTTCCTCATGCCTCGATATATTTGACCGAGCGAGCATGTGTAACGGGATTGTCTGTCAGACGACCATTTTTCGGGTGTGCTGGTCGAAACTTTGCGATATGTTCTTGAACCGCCAAAACATGTGCTTTGGAGAGCCTGGTGTTCGCTCCAGGTTACAACTCGCTCGTCTCTCGGAGAAAAGTGATCTTCAAGATAGGGTGAATGCAGAATTCTCTGATGTTTGGACGAGAAAGAAACGGAATGTGGATCTTCCCCAGGCGCCATCTCACCCCACACCCGGATCTTGCTCGTCCGGCGGTCAAGTGGAGACGAAAAGTGTATTTCGAGATCCTCCTCGCTTGCTGAAGAAGAAGTTTGATATACGGCCCGATCAACCATGCTCATGTCCGTTTACTCGAACATGACAACTTCGACAAGGATTCCAACCCGCATCGTGTGAGTTGAGAGTAGAGTAAGTGAGTAACCCTCGCCTGACAGATGTGTATGTAGAAAGCGAAGACCAGACCTTGTTGGTGCTGCGATTCAGATATGATTTCCGCTGTGTAGATGGGGAGTGTTTTTGGCGATCAACTGGCAACACACCCTGAGCTTTCGACGTTGATATCAGTCGTATGCGTCCACGAGTAAGCGGAATGGTCAGAGTCGTGATAGAACATTCTTGCAACGGCCAGATTCAGGCAGACTCCAAGCATGGCAAGGACCCACGCCGATGCTACCCATGTGACCTCTGGCAGAGGTATTGTCAGGTCTCGAGGGCCTTGATGCACGAGCATTAGTGTAACTGCTCGCGAGTCGCGGGGCATATGGTTGGAGAGATCATAACAGACTCCTTCGAGACTGGATTCTAGGCCGCTACCCATGAATCGCTTTGCAAGTCGTCTCCACATTGCAGTTATGCTCTGTGGATGACACAGACGAATCTGACATTCCTTGGTGATTAGCAAGGCGATCTTCAGTCAATGCAGGCCATGATCAACTCAGACGCATGACGCCGGTAGTTACAGACTGTTGTGTTTGAACTTTGGAGCCCTTGCAAGAGGATCAGATCAGCGCCGACCACTCGGTCTTCTCTGCGACTGGGAGTGGAAGGGCTACGTAGTGCCGAGAAATTACCCCGAGTCGAAAAGAAGACCAATCGCGCACCTTCCCCGGCCTTTCTCGCAATCTTGACCTGAGCGCCGTGTGTCGGGCCGGCAGTAAAAATGCGGACGGATTTCTACGGGTTCGTGTCGTTGGTGGTGTATGTGGGGGGGATGAGGCGATCCACCACGGTTTCCATGAAAGGCCGAGCAAGATCTGACGGCTACCGTATTTCTTGTCTGCTCCTCCCTTCGTTCTTCCTTTTTTCCTGCTCACAATTGTTTCCGTAATCGTCGCGCCGTCAATCAAGCACCAGCACACCATCAAAGCGCTTATCACATCAGCCTCTTTTTGCTTCTCCTGCCGTCAATCCCCAGATTCCCCACGCACTCGGCCGATCCAAACCAAACGACTCGCGTGCGCATATCAGCCCGTCCTTCCATCCGACCTCTGCCAATCACTTGGTCTTTAGCCGGCTACCTTCACAGCCCTTTGCACGTTGGATCTTCTCCCTCGGCTTAATTTTCTCCTACGCACGAGTCGTTATTCCCCAAGTCAGCCGAGAGTGACCGGTCCCTGACAGCCGATCCTCCACCCACTCGATTCCTCTTCAGTCGTCATAGCCGACTCGTTTTCAGCCCTTTCAGCTTAAAGGCCAGCCCTCCCCTGGGTCTCTCTTCTCCACATTCCTCCACAAACTTTCTCCAGTTTATCAAGTCGACTTGCATTCTACACATCTACACACACACAATGGACTCTCACTCAAACCAACACTTCTACGCCCAGCAAAGACCTGCCTACCCTCAGTCTTCTTACAACCAATCAAACTTCACAAGCTCGGCCAGCCTGTCATCACTTGCTTCGATCAACACCAGCCCTGATCAGACCAACATGAACTCTCGTCAGTCACCTACTCTGGTCTCTGCTGCGCCCGTGTCGTCGCCTTCCAGCCAGTCTCAGTTCTCGTTGCCACCTGCACAGAACAACTTCTACCAGCAAATGCCTCAGTTCCCTCAGCAACACCGCGGTAGCTTCTGCGAAGAGGAGAAGCCCAGAGGCCTGAACGACGCATCACCATTCCTGCAGGACTTCAGCCTTCTCGCCGAGGCTGCCAAGCGTGCCCAGATGGCTGTCATGATGAGAGACTTTGACGACCTCGAGATGTAATGCGAGTGTACTTCACTCAGGCGACTTCAAAGCATGCATTTTCAGTGCGTTACGGTTTACGATTGGATGATAAATGGGACGGGAGGCGTTTTCACGAATGGATGTGTTTTTAGTATGGCGTTGGTCGGCTCACGATGATTCACGGCTCGGCTGGAACTGGGACTTTACTAGAGATTCCCCTATGATTTTGTACAACAGCGGTTTAGCTCCTACAGGGACAAGACCTCGCAAGAGGCAGAATACAAGATATTCACGAAGCACTCTATCTATCTTGCTCAACTTCAGTGACGATCCTGCATGTTGCTTCTCCAGGTTCGGCATGTCATGATTGCCAAAGCGGCGATTGAGTTGGCTGGGAGCGGCAGCCTAGGCATCCATACCGTATTCTTAGCACGACAATCGTCATTGTGTCTCGAGTGCCGAGGCGGCATGACGAACATGGGGCAAATACGCTTGACAGCAGTAAAACACGAGGTTGACCTCGCAACACCAACAAGACGGAAAGTGGGAAGAAAGATGGCGCATGCGCAGACTTGGTGTTTGCACGTTGGTGACGATTGTTTCATGGCGGGCAGCCTGCAGCAGAGTCGGGCACAGTGTTTCGATCGGTGTGATGATGATACGAGAGAAGACACATCAACTACAGATAGGACAAAAGTACAGTAGAGCGCAAATGAACAAGACGATGGATATATCAAGACATGAAGTGATTGTTATGGTGTTGGGGAGACTGGGAAATTTGACTTGGGCGGGAGGCCGATCACCTAGGCTGTGCCTGGCCAAAGTCGCCTTTGGGCCAATGGCAACGACCAGGCGTCGTTGCTGCATCCGTCGCTCCAGTCCAAGCGCGCAATCACGAACCGACAGAACCTTGACTGCCTGTTCAACCCATTTTTCCTCACTACAATCGTCGTCGTCGCGCCTACCTCCTGGACTGCAATAATCCCGTCGCGTGCTGCTCTCTTTTGTGAACCGACCGTCGTCGCTCCTGCCTAATACCCGCGTCCCGCCTTTGCACGTGTCGTCAAGCCGAAGCGCCATCTCACTCTTTCGTCGCCAACGCTTCCGATCTCTCTACTACAGAAACATTACGCCAACATCTTAATAATTACTTGCGCATCAATTGCGCTCGCGCCCAAACATGGCTTACAATAACAACAACCAATACTCGGGCTACGGCGGAAACCCTTACGGCGATGGAGACAACCCTTACGGCAACGAGGGCTACGGCCAGGCAAACCCCTACGGACAGTCGTATGGTGATGTGTGTATTGTCGAGCTTGTCGCAAGAACCAAAATACTGACTCGCCACAGCAGCAGCCTCTCCAGCCTCCGGCACCCACTCGCCATGGAGAATCAAACTACTCGGCCATGACTCAGGACTCGCAATACAGCACAACGCAAGCTGCCGGTGTATCTGGTCAACACCCCGCTGGCGTGGTAGCCACTGGTACTCAGGCCCCAATGCAACAGGCAGCTCCCACTGTCCTCAGCAACCAGGATTTCTTGTCGCGCGTCGAGGCTGCCAAAGCCGATATCCGTCAATTGACCCAGTACATTTCCGAAATTGCCGCAGCCCACCAGCGCACTCTCAACAGCCCTGACGCTTCCTCCAACTCGGCTCTGGAGTCCATCATCACCCAGACGCAGGTTCTCAACACCTCCATCAAGGATCAGATCAAGTTTTTGGAGACAGACGCAGCCAGAAGCGGTCGCAACAACAACATCAAGAATAGTCAGGTCGGCCAGCTCAAGACGAGCTTCAAGAAGCAGCTCGAAGAGTACCGTAACGAGGAGGCTAGCTACGAGCGCCGATACCGTGAGCAAATTGCCCGCCAATACCGCATTGTCAACCCTGAGGCTACCGATGCCGAAGTCCAAGAGGCCTCTAACGCCGATTGGGGTAACGAGGGTGTTTTCCAGACTGCTGTATGTTCATCTTTTGTGCTTCGTCAATCACATGTGCTAACTTCGTCTCTAGCTCAAGACCAACCGCTCGGCCACTGCCAGCACTGTTCTCGGTGCTGTGCGCGCTCGTCACAACGACATTCAACAGATTGAGCGTACTTTGATCGAGCTCAACAAGCTCTTTGAGGATCTTGCCGAAGCCGTCGTTATCCAAGAGCCCATGATTCAACAAGCCGAGCAGCACACCGAGAACGTTAAGAAGGATACCGAAGCTGGCAATGTTCAACTCGATAAGGGCATCAAGAGTGCTCGTAACGCTCGTAAGCTGAAGTGGTGGTGCTTGCTTATCACTCTTCTCATCATCATCATCGTCGGTCTGGCAGTCGGTCTTACTCTTGGTCTGCGCAACAAGAACAACAACAACCCCGCATAAAGCCGGAGCGCTCTGTAATCTCTTGCTTCGAATTCGCCTGGATGTTTTGGTTCTTCAAGTCTCACATACTCTCGGATTCTCTCACCAACGCCAACGCCAACACGTCGACGGACAGAATGGGACAGGTTCACCACATGGCTGCGCGTCCTCGTTTGGAAAGTTGATCAATGGCCTGACGACAGCATCGCCGTTCAAGTGGCTCACGGTGTATGCCTCGAAAGAGAGAAAGATTTCTCGTCTTACTCGCCCTTCTCTTCAATGATTCGACATCCCGGATATCATTTGTTCTCTTCGTAACCATACTTAATTAACGAGGAGATATGATGATGTTTGTAATCGGCTCATAATTGTCTTGTTTGCGCCCTTGTTTCTTTTTTCTGTTTTATGTAAATGTGTATTACTCCCCCCACCCAAAGCAGCGAGAATATCAATCAGTCAATTAATTCCATTATTACACTTTTCTCTCGTTTCCTGTCCATATGATTGTCCGTGTGCAACGGCGTTCCATGTAAGGTTCTATAAAGATGTACAATGGGTCCCGATGACAGGATACATTTCCATTGAGAAGCTGTCTTTTCTGCGGCTTTCTTGGTCACCGTCTGTAGTCCCGGACATCATCGTGCATTGTTATAGTGTCCACGGATCGCAGGACAAGAAGGCCGGGAGATGACAGATCTGACACGTCGAAGGTATGGTGATAATAATGTGATGTTCAACAACGCACAGTTCACTTCAAATTCCAGACCTCAAGTCCGCAGTAGAGCGGATGATCACCCACTACTCTGTATAGACACCTCTACAGCGACGCACGGCTGAGTATGAAGTGATGGCCGCCACCCTCCAGAGCAGCATGATTTGGCTCCTGTAACTCTCTTGCGGCACGTTTCCCCCC